ACAGGCACCTTTATGTTTGTAAGCGTGATGCTATATGAAGAGTGGTCTTTGTTCATTGTCAAGTAGGTGGACCCTGGCAGAGCAAAAGATGCAGAAGGACCTCTTTGGGTAACTCAGCTAAAAAATCAGGACTTCAGGGACAATGCATGATAGGTACGCAACCCTCACTTTTATGCCATACATTGGCAGCTAATAGCCACTTTTGTGCATTCCCAACTTTTGTGCATTCTATTGTAGGTGGACGATGCTCCTGCTCTAGACATTCATTTCCATGATTAAAGTAGGTTGATCCGAGTTGATTTGGTTGAGTTACGCTCACACAAGATTACATCGGTTGAGCTACATCGAGCGTGCTTTATGTCCAGAGTGATGTAATCTCTCTTTGACCGCAGCTCAGTCAAATCAGCTCGGATCAACTTACTTTAATCATGGAAATGAATGTCTAGAGCAGGGGCATCTTTCCCATGCGGTGGATCTCGCAACAATGATGATTGGATAAAAGTGACCGTTAGCTAGCAATACATGCCTGTTCCTAGATGATCTATAAAGTAATTATACATTGACCCTTTCATTCATGCAAACGTAGCTGTGTTACACAACACGACCCTCTGCATCTTTTGCTCTGTCAGGGTCTAGCTACTTTACATTAAACAAAGACCACTTCTGATATAGCATCACGCTTACAAACATAAAGGTGCCTGTTTCTCCAAACTTTACAATGAAATGTGGGGTTTTGAATAGAGCAATGTGCTCGGCTTGGCCAACAGCACCTTTTGTGTGAAAGTTTCACGTTCAATGTCGCAAACAGCCCAAAAAATATTTTTTTGTCGTCGAAGAAAGTTTCAAGAGGTCGACCCCAGGTCTAGTTTGGCTGGTAGCGACATTGCGAAATCTGGGATTGGCAAGCTTGATCGTGAAACTACCACACAAGGTGCGTTTCACCCCGCCGAGCACGCTGTTCTCTCAAAACCCCCACTTTTGATTGTAAAGTGTAGAGATACAGGCACCTTTATGTTTTACATATGCTGTATGTATGATGCTATATGAAAGGTGGTCTTTGTTTAATGTCAAGTAGCTTGGCCCTGATAGTGACAAAGATGCAGAGGGGCTCGATGGTGTCACAAAGCCGAGGGGCAGGAGCTGAGGGACGATCCTATTGGTGGAGCGATGCATGAAGTATCTCTATCCACTATAGTAAAAAAACGCCCACCTATGATAGCCCGATGGGATGGTTCGTTCTTGGATAAGGCTGCATAAGATAGCGTTTTCTGAAACTTGTCATAAGTAAGCATGGTATGCCCATATACTCGTGCCACATTCTATCACAGCTCACTCTTTCCTGAACATAATGAAATAAGCTTACAACAATGAACCAAGCTTATATAACAAGCACCACAGATATTGTTGGACACCCTCACTCTGAATTTATTGTCTTTGCAATACAAGCGTTTGAGAATTGTGATTACCTTTCGTCTATCACCATGTGAACTAGAAAGCTTAAACGAATGTATAATGTCACAAAAGCACAAAGGCATCTCCATACATACGCCAATGATGTAAATGATCCAATCTCGCTTTCCGACCTTCAAGTTACTATTCCACCTTTCAATCCAGAAACCAACCACGTGATCCACATCTCATACATATGATGGATAAGTCGAAGAATAAGACGTAGTAGTGAAGATATTTATACAAGTCCATATGATAAGGGAACAATACATCCAAATTGAATAGGGTATGGGAGCAACAGATTGAGTCATAAGGGATCACTGTGTCATTCTATTCTTGGTTGCTGCCACCATAAGCGTCTTCATCCATGATTGCAAAACAGTTGCTGTATACATTGACTCGAGTATCCCAATATCGTCCACAGCTTGAAAAATCCTCCCTTCGTCAAAGATATAAGCCCTTCGTCAATTCCATGCCATCCATCCTCCCTCCTCAGCCGTATCCACGTGCGATGATCCATCCTTCCTGCTGACAATGCGCCAAGTAACCAAAGCAACATTCCAGAATCCTCGTCACTCCACTTGATTGCATCCATCCATCCATAACCATTGCCATTCGGCTGTTGGTCATTTCCCATGGCAGCTCAACCAGCTGAATCTTGCTTGTATTGCGGCGTAGTTGATGGCTGATCTGGCATCAGCCAAAGGAATCCCCGTGTAGTAAAGCAAGTTGCTACGCGTAAATGAAGCTGCTTCGATACAATGACTATCAGCTGTTCACGTAGAAAAGGCTACAAGGTAGGCTGCTGAAAGTAAAGAACGCAGTTGGATACGAAGTAAAGACCTTGCTAATAGCAACAGCTGCCACGTTTGGTCGCGACAGAGAAGTGTGCAAGAGCGTGCGTTGTGGGTATAGACAAGGTGGTGATCGCTTTATGAGACAATGAAGTAAAGAGCTTGCTGATACCAACTGCTGGAATGAACGCTGTTACGCATGGTTGTGGTGGACGAGTGTACAAGAGAAGGTGTAGTGTCAAGGGGAGGCTCGTGTGTTGTAGTGGAGAGCAACACGCCATGAACGTCCCATTCAGTCAAAGACAATCGGATCAAGAGAGTTGTAGGATTGACATGGATGGGTTGAAGAAGGACAATCGTTCGCGGGCAGTAGTTGTACTTGGATGGGGCCACCGGTTGAAGAAAGAAAGTTGACAATGGAAGTTGAATTGGGGGTTGTTTGATAAGGTTGCCTGACACTGGACCAGCCATGCATCGAAAGAAACGTAATAAGCAAATGAGGATGGGCTCATCAAACAACATGACCTGGATTTACCTTATAAAGAGTCCACTATCACAATGAAAGCATGAACACAATGAGTTTTTTATGTACTTTAATTTGCCATCTTGGCACAAGTTGGTATATTCCATATGCACATGAGATAATCCAGTTGTCGTTTTCTCTTTCATTATAGCGTTCTTTATCTATCTTAGGCTTTCCCCTTTTATTTTCAAAACCTTCTGGGTAGTGTAAAATGCATCTGCTATAAGAATCACCCTTGCTGGATCAGCCTTGTTATGCTTCAGTTCTCTTTTGACGATAAAACGGTCAACATGATCAGTATCCTTAACCCAGTGTATGGGCTTCCTTTCTCTGAACCTGGTTATTAACTACCACCTCTATACCCCTTTCCTTTTGTAAACTATGTACGATTCCGGCAATACCGATATACGAAAATACCAACACGTAGTATAGGAGTAAGCTTATTTAAAGTCGCATGTTGTTTCCAAGAATACATCCGCACTAGAGCACACTGGTTGAAAAAATGGTTTAGATCAATCGATATGCGTGCATGTGTTCTTGGCAGATGGACAAGGCAATCTCATTTTCAATCAGCGTGTAGGGGAGAAAACAAATTTGTTGCTGGTCCCATGGCTCGTAGCCTTGGCAACTCTTTTTCTTGCATGTTGCTATGTTTGGTTTGCAACGTGATGGAACTACGACGATCGTCTAATTATCATCACATGTAACACAAGAATGGGGCATCCGGCGATCGTTTTCCCCAGCGATCGCTCCAAGGCTGCAAATACTTTGCGTGGACGCACGTGAGACTTTATATTTATAGACAATGATGAAGATGGATTCATATGAGGGGGGGGGTATAATACAAAGATGATGTATGGGTAAATACGTGTGTGGGTGAGATAGCCTCTTTTCAAAACATGAATGCCCCCAAGATCAATACGACGATAAAAGCAAGTGCAGGGCCTGAGACTAGCAGCTCTGTAGAGGTACTGGAACAAGGTTTGTCAATGACATGACGCGGTGATGAATAGCCAGCTTGGTGCAGCACATTGGGTGGTGGTAGTTGAAATTCCAATGCTGATGTATGGATGTACATTTCGTAGTCTTTGGCTGCAAACGCACGGTCATAGTGATACGTTTTTCCTACTGCCCTGAATGTGGCACGCTCTGCTGTCTGTGTTAAAAGTGTTAGAGAGCATTTTGAAACGCGGTGATAATGCATATCCCATCCGCTGGTTACCATGGATACAGCATAAGCATAGCCGATAACAAACAAAAGTGCACAGCAAGAGAGTAAAAGTCGAGCCATGTATATAAACCTTGCAAGGAGTGAAGTGGAAAAGGGAGAAGAAGGACGTGGATGAGGAATCTATATACGCTGGATCGGCTTTCGGCACGTTAGTAATCCTATGGACACTTACTAGAATTGTGCCCACTACTTTGATGAATGCTACAACTACTCCATTCACGCGTTCTAGAGGCATAGCCAATGAATCCACTGTTGACAGTCCAGAAGCCAATTTAGCGATTAGCTCCATGATAATTATTACATTGATGCTCTTTTTCCATTTTGCCTCTTTCCCCCCATCTCCCTTCATACCTCTTATGCTGCATGGCAATGTTTCTTTGTGATGATACCATCAATCAAAATACAAGATTGCTAGATAACCTTACAACATCATGCGCATGGATGGACATTGACATGCTTGCTCCTTTTGATTCTCCCCCAACTTTCAGTATAATAAAGATACTGTACATGATTCGATGATAATACTAGCAGTATAGCTTTTGATTTATAACGAAAGAATAGAGCATCGATCACTAGACATGGTATTGAATCACTACTATGTTTGATCCCGTAAATATTAGGGTCTCCTGCAGCATAATAAAAAAGAGCATTGGCGATCGGCAGATAGTCGCATGACGTCAAATTATCCAAGATCACACTGATTTGCACCCAGAACTCCTTGCTTCCATTTCCTGCTACTGTTGTTACTCCCTTTACCTCCTTGGCGTCTGAGATACTTATGCTGGGCAGTGCAGGCCAAGAACAGCCTAGTAAAAAAAGAAAGGTGGGCCGTGTTTTATCTTTTATCTCTTTCTCTCTTCCAATGACCTTCTTCAATAAACTCATTGACAAGGCAAAATCTGCACATCAGCAAAGTCATTGCAACAGCAGCGAATCCAACGCGATACATAGTTGCTCTTCTACTGTTCAACAACCATCAACTCCTGCTCCAACTCCTACCAAGGAACTATCCAATACACTCGCGCATACAAACATTGTCAACCATTCAAGCAGTGATATTAGTCAACAACAACAGCAGCAGCAACAGCAACAACAACAACAACAACAATCCGTTAACGATAGTAGCTCGACATTGCCCTCGAATGGATTAACGACGCCACCAGCACATCCCGATATGAATCAATCATCATCATGCGATGAAGATACGAGAATGAGTGTGGATAATGCAGGTGAGCTTGTGGATGATGACAATGTCCGACAATGGGTTGACGAGATCTTTATTAGATCAATTGAACGAGCGAGTAAAGAAGGAACCCGCCTCCTCTTCCGAAGATGATTCATTACTACGAGGTAACATGAAAAAAAGGAGAGGGTCCAATTTAGCCGACCCCCCTGATGTAGTGAAGGCGAAACAAGCAAAAGAAGAACAACCCTCCAAAAGCGGTGAACAGCAGCAACAACAACAACAACGCTCGTCATTACGATCAGTTCCTTCTTATGTCTCCATGTACAATGATCGATCCATCATTCAGCAACGACAAAATCGACCCAAGCTTAAGCTATCGGATTTTCATATTCGGCGTACGCTTGGTACAGGATCCTTTGGACGCGTTCACCTCGTTCAATCTTGCGTCAATGCTCGATATTATGCCATCAAAGTGCTTAAAAAGTCCGAAGTGGTTCGACTGAAACAAGGTCAGCGACAACAATGGATTCACACCACCATCTTATCAACATCCCATTCCATTTATAGTGGCCCACTCGAACAATGAAAAGCATATCCTAGAAATCGTGGCCCATCCTTTCTTGGTCAACATGTGGGGTACATTTCAAGATGATATCAATCTATACATGGTCATGGATTATGTGCCAGGTGGTGAACTCTTCTCGATATTACGTCGTTCTAAGGTATTGCTGGCAGGTTGAATAGGTGTCCATATGAGCTAAGCTATCATTTTAGCGCTTTCCGGATCATGTGGCCAAGTTTTATGCAGCCGAGGTTCTATTGGCGATTGAATACTTGCATTCAAAGGATGTCATTTACCGCGACTTGAAGCCTGAAAATTTATTGCTTGATTCTCAAGGTCATATCAAGATCATTGATTTTGGATTTGCAAAGCATGTACCTGATATCACTTGGACATTATGCGGGACGCCAGACTACTTGGGTAAGCACAATGATCGAGCATCGATACAAGAAAGGATACATTTTAGCTAACCATGTTCTATTACAACAGCACCAGAGATTATCCAATCCAAAGGTTATGGTAAAGCAGCTGACTGGTGGAGTCTCGGTGTATTGATATTTGAGATGCTAGCTGGGTAATTACATCTTCTACGCACCCACATTGTCGGTATCATCATCTAATTGTTCTACATATAGATATCCACCGTTCTATCATGAAGACCATCTCAAGCTATACGAGAAGATTTTGCAGGGCAAGCTTCGCTGGCCTCAACATTTTGACCCTGTCGCCAAAGATTTATTGAAACGGCTACTGACGGCTGATCTCTCGAAGCGATTCGGTAATCTAAAAGGAGGTGCGAATGATATCAAACACCATGAATGGTTCGCCAATGTGGATTTCAATCGATTACTTGCTCGCCAAATACGAGCGCCGTATATACCACACATACGCGGTGATGGAGATGCCAGTCATTTTGATCGATACCCTGAGATCCAAGAACAATACGGCATGACCACAAACGCAGAAGACCCTTACCGCCACCTGTTTCCCGATTTCTGAACACCATTTTCCCATTTTCTTTGTATGTTAAACTATATAAAATCGCACCATCCTTACTTTTTAAAGAGCATTTCATGCGTCAGAAGTGGGGGGGGGTTTTATGATGGTGGTATGTGCCACACAGCGGCTGACTTTATTTCTCGAATTGGCAATTCCGGAACAACGACTCCCAAAAATTCTCTTTCTTTCCTCCACCATTCAATGAGCGATCAAAAGCTACTCGAGCAAGATCTGTCGTTTGAATCCTTCGATCTCGATCCACGCCTCGCACGTGCAGTAGCGCAACTCAATTTCACCCATCCAACACTTGTCCAAGCCAAGGCCATTCCTCTTGCTCTTGGTGGAAAAGACATTCTCGCTCGTGCACGTACCGGTAGTGGCAAGACTGCAGCCTATGCCATTCCCATCGTTCAAAAGATATTGCAATCCAAAAAGGTGCGTTTTGAATAGTAGCTAAGGGTTGAAGCCTTGCTAATGGGCTTCGTTCTTGTAGGAGGAGAGCGATAATGCTATCAAGGCATTGATCCTGGTACCTACTCGCGAGTTAGCCGAACAAGTAACCAAGCATATCAAGAAACTTGTTGTCTACGCCAAGGATGTTGTACGTGTGGTCAATTTGGCTGGTCAAATGACACCTCAAATGCAACGGTAAGTGAGTGATCATTCGGTAGCCTGCATCATGTCTAATGTCAACTTTTTTTTAGACCTATTCTTGCGGAGAAGCCTGAAATCATTGTTTCAACACCTAGCAAAGCAGTGGTTCATTTGGAAGCTAAGGTATGGATTAGGAGGGAAAGGGAACAAAAACAACATAGAGCTAACAAGGTATATACATAGAATATGGATTTGACTGGATCATTGGATACGCTGGTCATTGATGAAGCCGACCTTGTCCTTTCATTTGGCTATGAACAAGATTTGCGCAAGATTCTCTCATATCTTCCCAAGATCTATCAGAGTTTTCTCATGTCAGCTACATTCACCAAAGACATCGAAGATCTGAAGCAGCTTGTCTTGCGTAAGCCTGCCATTCTACAGCTACAAGAGGAAGAAGATGAATCTGAATACCTCACACAATATGCTATCAAGTATGTATATACACAAGGAATGGACGACAAGGTGGGATACTTATATACGCATTCATAGATGTAACGAATTTGAAAAGTTCCTCTTCACCTTTGTGATCATCAAGCTCAAACTTATCCGTGGCAAGCTCATTTTATTCGTCAACAATGTGGAGCGTTGTTACAAGCTCAAGCTTTTCTTGGAGCAATTTTCGATTCGATCATGCGTGCTTAATTCTGAATTACCACTGAATTCTCGGTACGATGAAAAGGAAGGATGATGATCATGATATGGGAAGCTAACAAAATGTATAGATACCATATTGTGGAAGAGTTCAACCGCGGCATATACGATTATTTGATTGCATCGGATGAATCACAGCTTCGTGGTGAGGTGGATAGCGAGGATGAGCAAGATGAGGACGAGGAAGAGGAAGCTGATAAACAACATGGTAAGCAAGGTATAGCCAAATAGTGGTATGTGTATGTATGCTCATTCAACTCGAAATAGGCAAAAAGAAGAAACGAGATACGCAGGACAAAGAATATGGTGTATCACGTGGTATTGATTTCCAAGGCGTTGCAGCAGTGATCAACTTTGACTTTCCATGTTCTGCCAAAGCATATACCCATCGTATTGGTCGTACGGCGCGTGGTGGACAAAAGGGTATTGCTCTATCATTTATTGTCACAAAGGAGACAGGACGTTTGGAGCCTGATCTTGTCAAGTTGGTCGGTCGTGGCAAGGATGTATATGACGATGTTATCTTGGCTCGAGTGGAGAAGCAGCAAGAGAGCAAAGGATTGGAACTCAAACCTTATGGTTTTGACAAGAAGAATGTGGATGGGTTCAAATATCGAGTACAAGATGCACTTCGGTCCGTGTCCAAAGCAGCTATTCAAGAAGCCCGTATCACTGAAATCAAACGAGAAATTCTCAATTCGGAAAAGTTAAAGGTACACATCCATTGTTGTAGTAAGGGATTAAGAAGCGCTGATAGGGCTTTTTTTTATTAGACGCATTTTGAGGACAAGCCATTAGATCTTGATTTCTTACGCCATGACAAGGCCGTACGCCCCGCCCATGTCAAACAACATCTCAAACACATCCCTTCCTATTTGATGCCTCGTGTCACGTTACCGGGTCAATCTTCGGAACATAGCCCACGTACAAGACCGGAGGATGTTCCCTTCCACAATGAAAAGAAGCGCCGGAAAGGATTCCAAAAACCAAATGCAAAGGTAAACAAAGAAACTCCATGTTGCCAAAGGGATCAAACTAAGTATACTTTTATATATAGAAACGGAGATCAAACCCTCTCAAAGTGGTGCGCGCAAGGCGTTGAGCTTATTTTTATATTCTTCCCTGCATACATTTTCATATAGAAACAAACTTCATTGGGGCATCTTGACAATCAATAATGAAAACAACTTGAAAAAGTAAGCCGTTATGGCAATGGTGCATTGTTGTCATTCGTAGTAGGGGTGGATAGGTATTGGGTGATTGGAATGCGTGTATAGGATGAAGCAGCATTGTCGCTATTGTTGTGATTGTTGGTTGTAGCAGCACTATTTGAAGGGAGAAATGGCTCGATATTGGATGGCAACGTGATGGAGGCGATGCTTAGACTGCTGTGGGTCGTAGCCGTAGTTGTAGTTGTAGTTGTAGTTGTAGCAGCATTATTATTGTTGGATGTTGATGGTGATTGAATTGTTGATGATGATTGGCCTGTTGATGGCATCCTGTAGTATTGATCACTAGCGCGCGTGTATGAAGCTTCACGTCGAGTGATGATCTTGATGCCCTGATTGGCAAATGCTCTTGATAAAGGCGTGGACTCTATATATGTATACAACAATCAATACATCGTAATGGATGATAAAGAAGGTTACTTTTTACCTGTCATTCCGGGAAACTAGATGCATATAAGAATGATCAACGTGTTGAATCGCTTTATGCAATGGAAAATAAACCCACTTACTTTCTTTGCAGTATAAACAGTGAAAGGATCGGAAAAGACTTCATTCTGGATAGTAGAACTAAAAGGGGGAAAGCTAATAGCCGAGGGACGAGAAGAAGAAGGAGGAGGAGGAGAAGAAGGAAGGGTGAGTATGAAGATGTGTCAAAATGATGATGTTGACTTACTCTAAATTGTTGCATGATAACCCTAGCATTAAGAACTTAAAGGAGAAGCGGCCATCAATACGAATGGATAGATCATGAAAGACAAAGTAGACACCGGGCTCGTTCCTGTCGTTGAAGAGGCGAATTGCATTGGCAGTAATGGTGCCGAGCAAGTTGCGTATAGGGCGCGGGGTTTTGAGTGAAAGGACAAGACTTCCTGTAGGGCCTTGAGGAGCACGTTGTTCTGAGGGAGGAATCGAAGATGGAACATAGACGACGCTCCTGTTTTCCTTGCCATCTTCATCGTAAAGGTCGCAATGCACCACGAACGAGCAGTCGGTATCAATATCCCTGTGCAAATATAGATAGATGTGTATGTGGAGATGCGTATATAAAAAGTGATGTGTGTATTGCGTGCATGTATACATGGATATATGGATGTATAAATGTGTTCACAGCAACATGAGGAACCATTCAGTCGTAGACGAGGTCGAGCACATACGTGACAGGGTGCAATGAATTGTCTCGTTGCGTAGCAAACAACTGCAGGATGGGTGGTGGATCTAACAAACGACGGTCTTTTTCTCCAAACCCGCAACAGCGAGCACGAACAGGATTTTGTACTACAACTACATTGTATTATGAAATGAGTAGGGCAATGAGCTCGATTGGGAGGGGGAAATTACCAAGGCGGTACGAAGGGGATTCTTCGCTCATAAATGCGCAATGAAGGTGATAGGTGGTGGTGGTATCAGCGTAAAAGGGGAACGAAGCATGGAACTAGTGGCGCCTAGCAAAGGACAGTGTTTGACAAAACGTACAACACAGCAAAAAAGACAAAGAACAAAGAAGAAGAAAAAGCGAGAGCGAGAGAGAGAGAAAGAGAGAAAGGACAAAAGTGAAAAAAACGCCTGTGATAAGCCTAACCGATTAAAGCAAGCACTCTTTTCCAGAAAAATCAAGGCTACTTGTTTTGTGTGGGTGACAATAACTCGGATCCTTGTTCAATCTCCGGCGGTGGTGATGTTGTTGTTGCCCTTTGTTGCTGCTCATGCCCGATCCCCATCCGAGCCATGAACATTTGTAGTCGTAGTTGTAATACCTCCCTATAAAGATCTGGTACCGATCGACTATTATAGTAACCTTGTTGCACATTGCGTAGAAATCCAAAGAACTCGCATACAGCTACAAGCCGGTCACGACAAAATCCATCAATGCACGCCCAATCATCTTGTGTGGATACACGCACTCGAAACTCAAGGGGTGTTTGTGGATCATGTCGCCCACATGCTTGACATCCACTCACTGCAAGAACATCACCACTGAATCGGTCCCATAAATTGAGCTTGTGTACTGATATCTTCAATGGCGTTTCATTCACGATCACCTTGTATTGTTGTGATTTCTCAAAGCCTGGGGGTGTCTTTTCAATAAAGCATGTGTTAAGTGCAAGAGCATCCACAAGTTTACGTGCTGACATTCGTGGGTGGGGTCCAAATCGTAAACAAGGTAGGGCATCCTCTTCCACGCTGTGCTTTACAAATGGCATGGTCATAAGTTTTCTTGGTGGCAGTGATCTACTTTGTTTGACAAACGTTGCAAATTCATCCACAACCAATTTGTCGGCACGCCTTGTATCCAGGCGATCGCTTGTAATCTTTGTATTATCCAATGATAAGCGTCGTCCTCCTCCTTGTTGATCAAGCTCATCCTGAAAAAGTTGACGTAATTGACGCAATTGAGATTCTTCAGCTGCAAGTCGCTCACGTGTATCCTCCAATTCACGTTGCAAATCGGTCTTTTCCCGTTTCTCACTCGCCACCATCCCGTTGGCTTCTTCAAATAGTTGTTGTGATAGCTCTTCCAATTCAGCTTCTGCTTGAGCTTTGGCATGTTGTAGCTCGGCCACACGATCAATTTCATCCACGTATTTACCGTTTAAAACCCTCAAGTCATTCTCCAGCGTCGTCACCCGTTCTTGTTGCGCTTGCAATTCTTCAAGTACTGGTATAGTTCGTCCACACAAGGCACAATGTTTGTTTGTTGCTCCCTTTTTTGCCTCTACAATATGTCGACAAGGGCAATCTGCTGCTGCTGCGGGTGTGCTGGTGATACTAGGACTGCGGCTGCTGTCGGGAAGAGATAAGCTTTTGGTACTGCTATTGGTATCGCCTGCTGTTGCTGCTGCTGGTGTACTAGGGCTGGGCACACGTTCAACCACGGATTGTAATTGCGAACATAAATCAGCAATGTCCTTGGGTGTTAGGCTACCTTCATCCTTATGATGGAAGTTTTTCTCACTAAGTGGAGGTGATGGTGATGACATGCTAAGAGGAAAAGAGAGCAGTAATACGAGGGTTTATTGGCCATTAGATTTCTTATGCAAATGTCTCGGAAGTCGGCCGCATCCTTCCCGTATAGAAAAACTCGTTTCATAAGACCCCCCTGAATTAGCTCAAAATGAATCAATGTTGATTTAATGCACGTGTAAACCTTTATGATTTAATGGTATTATAGTGGAATACGCTACGCTTTGAAAGAACGTGTGTTGCTTTTGCTGTATAATGTGGCATGAATGTACTACGACTACTTCTTGGTTGAGGCGTGTGGCGCGGTTGATGGTAACTTGTGATGTAATCCTTTAAAAGAGGGCATCCAATGTGCAGCAGATACACATACCAGCAAGGCTAACGCAAAAGACAAGGTAGGATGATTAGTACTTGTTGATCCTCCAAGTATGATTGTTTACCATGCACAACAGCAATCATCAGCTGCCGAGTGTTGTTGTTGTGGTTGCTGCACAATAACGGTTTGTGGCGGTGGTCTTGTCAAACAACAATTTAGCATTCTATCCCGGACAAAAAGAGAAGACAAATCTTGTATGTACATACTGCGGCTGATAATAACCGCCACCAGGCGGAGGAGGACCATAACCACCACCGGGAGGAGGAGGAGGGGTATAGTATTGTCCTTGTGGAGGTGGAGGATATTGATAACTTGACATTAATGACTTTGATAAGGAAACGGGAAAGAGAAAAAGAAAGTGAGAGAGAGAAAGAAACGAGGAACAGCAGCAGTGTTGCAAATAAATATAGGGCAACGGGGTGATTTGTGATCCGCGTGCAACCATCAAACACCTTCTCACTTGCACAATGTTGTTGATGCTCTTTCATCATCTTCACCCATCATATTAGGATGATAATGACATTTTCCCATCAACTATTTCAATAACGCAACTATTCATATCCAATGTCTTTTATTCTGTAAACGCCTTTAGTCTCTGTGAATGATCATGTTGTTGGGGATGATGATGGGCTTGACGTGGAATAACAACTTTGTATCACCTCTCAACAAAAGAGAGAAGGGCACATGGTAAGCGGCTAATTTTAGAGGTGCACAAAGAGGGAGGGGGCTATCCTATCCCAGTTCCTTACTCCTGACTTGGACTCGAAAACATGGATACCGTATTTAGTGCTGTTGGCGACATCATCTCCACTCTACCTGAAGGCTACCTTCCCAAATGGCTATTGTTCACTTCGGCTCTCGGCATTTTCAACTCGATGCAGAACTTCGCCACTGACAAGCTCACTAAACGTCTCTATGCCAACAAGCCATCAGAAGGTACCACTTGGACATGCCGACTCTATACTCCCTACGTGTCTAATTTCGGCATCATCTAGTGACTCCATTGAGTGCGCGTTTCTTTGCCACTTGGACATGGTCAGTGAGCATGGTGCGTATCTATGCTGCGTTCCACTTGCAGCACAAGTTGTAAGTTGTCGTTCCTTCCTATCAAGATGAGATGGACACCATATTAACAATGATATCAGCATGTATGAATTGGGTATCTGGACCTACGTGATTGCATTGACACATTATCTTGGTGAACTGGTTGTCTTTGGTGGATGCAAGATCAATGGCCCCTTCATGTCTCCACTTTGTGTAGCAGGTAAATGACAGGGATGGATAATGGATTACTGGTTTGAAACTTTGACACGTACGTTATAGTGTCCTCATTGGTGTGGATGTGGCAGCAATACGGCTTTTATGTCAAATACGATTAGAGGATAGACATCAACTTATTACTATCAATAATGAAAACGAGGCTGCATTTGCGACGAGGGATATAATGGTATCGGTTGTGGGATGAGGTTTGTTGGATGCGACACGCGATATGATGTTGAAATCACGTTTTATCATGAACATTGGGGTATCAAAAAGTACAACAAGTTCCTTGGTTACGAGAGCAATCGATGCGATGTTTGAGCTAGCTGCAAGAAGAGATGGATAATAGTCATGTAGCCAAAGACATCCTCTTTTTGTCAAAGCATGAATGATTCAAGTATTGCTTGGGATGGGTGAGGAACCTGTGGATTGGGTGAAATAGACTTACATGTCGTCTAATGAGATACTATTCATGACAAGCCTTGATGATCCCCTTAGCCTTAATTTCCATTGTGAAAAATCAAAGAAAGAACGCAATGGGCTCCATTGTAATTGAATGATCAACATACATATGGGGATGATGGTCCAGTTGGCATGCACATACGCGCTAATTGATACGATACAGGATGCAAATCAGGATAACTATAACCTGTAGCCCAGCAACGGTTGCATTGGATGTTGGGTGGGGGGAGATACTACTCCGCTGACCACAAGCATATGGCACCCTGGCACTGACCACTGGTTTCTCCCCTTCCACCCTAAGCGATATGGTAAGTACCACTATCATCATCCATCAGCATCCATCCATCTACACTCGCAATCCATCCATCCAAATTGGCATCTCGACATGATTCATCCACCAACACAATTTATTTATTCTTGTCAACCGAATATGGGAGTTGTCGAATGACCCCACCACCATTGTGCAACAAGATGGCATGGATGCTCAATGCTGGCTGATTCAAGTACTAATCGATGGGCATATCTATAGGCTCCTCTTAAGGCTTACGAACTTCGCAACAAGAACAAGGCTGAGCTTCTCAAGACCCTTGAGGAGCAAAAGCAGGAGCTTGCTTCTCTCCGCGTTCAAAAGGTTGCCGGTGGCTCTGCTGCCAAGCTTCATCAAATGTAAGATAGAGGATTTTTGTATGGATATGGATATGGATATGTGTATGCTCATTTTAGATCATCATAGTGGTGAAGTTCGCAAGAACGTTGCTCGTACCTTGACCGTCATCAACCAAACCCAACGTGAGCAGCTTCGTCTTTTCTACCAAAAGAAGAAGTACGTCCCTCTCGATCTCCGCGTCAAGAAGACCCGTGCTATGCGTCGCGCTTTGACCCCCTACGAGCGCAAGCTCAAGACCGTCAAGCAGCAAAAGAAGGATGCCCACTTCCCCCTTCGCAAGTATGCTGTCAAGGCTTAAAGGGATAATGATAATAAAAAGGGTTGTTATTTGATATAGTAATCATCATTGTGATTGTGGCAAAAGGGTCATTATATTATAGAATGAATAAGAGTGAGAGTGAGAGAGCAATGAAATCCATGCTGTTGTCAATGGTCAAAATCCCATTCCGGTGTCACGTGATTGCACCTTGTTAACTAAAGGGAGGATCTATAATGAAAAGCAAGTTCTTGTACCTGAGTCGGATCACTGTTATACAGCATAAGAATGAAAGTTTTATTTACGCAAGTATCATTGAACAATGCATCACAGTGACGTTCGACCTGAAATATAGAAGGGATATTTTCCGCGGAATACGGATGGTGCATGACAAGGCAAAGGGTCATCCATATGAAAAACCATGACAATCACGGGCAATTGAATCACCGCCAGCCGAGAAACTGAAGCCTGTGTCACCATCGCATCACTACGCAGCAACAACGACACCTTATCAGCATGAAAATACACTCCACACGGATCGACATGGATCCATATCCATTCCATTGCATGTGTTCGTTCCGTTATCTTTAGCAAGCATTGCCATTTTAACACTATAACAGCAATAGTAGATGCCAATACCACCTTATCATCATATTGTAAAAGGCCCACATTCAATAATAACAGTAGAGTGTATGTTTTTAAACAATGTTGCTTATATTATGATGTAATGCAAAAAGAAAGGTATATAGGGATGTATGAATTTAAACGATGAGAACATTGGGATGCCATATGGAAGGTGAAACAAAGAATGCAAGGTCTAGTAGTAGTAGTAATATGGATGATGGTGGTGGAGGCGGATGGTTTTGCTTGATTGTGATAAAAGTAGGCGAGGAGAGGATGGACTTGACAGCCTTTTACTTTCTTGGAGTGAAGTACAATACATCATTCTTGCATTCGGTTGCATAGCTGTAAGCAAAAGCACCAGCGGCAGAGACCAAGGCCAATTTCTTGCCAACTTGAGAAGCAGAGGCACCAATAGCGAGACGAGCGAAACGAGGATACATGGTAGAAAGAGATAAAGACAAAATTGTTGTGTTGTTGAGTGATGGAGTAAAACGATTCAAACGTTGGCCTTTATATATGCCAAATCCTCAAGTCTGTTCTAATCTGGGAAATGGCGGGTTCCTCGGCTCGATCGGCGTATGGAGACTCAAACCGTTCCGCGGGGTAAGATGAGTCACAAATACTCTAGAATGAATGAGCGAGGAAAAGGGGGACCTCTTACTCAGCACCTGCCAATAAGAAAAATTGCCGCTATTGTTTTCGTACCCGGCATTTCCAGACGGGTGCATCTAGGGATTTTTGGAATAAGGTTTGCAAAGGACAAGGCTTTCTTCAGATGAAATTTATTCGTCCCGCTCCTTCCATGAACCATTTTGGGATGTCCATCTATGATAAAAATAATACATCATGATGAATGAATCTCATGTAGCAGATTATCAGTCAGCAGAATGCAAGCAATGCTGATGATTCATTCATGTGCTGTCAACTTATAACAACCCAAGTGCACACCAAAAGCCCACTCGTCTTCAAATTTGATATCGGAACTTGTGCATGTGATGATGCATGACATTCATGATATAGCCACAGGATCGATTGCTTCCCCGCTTATACTCCTATCCACAAAAAGGGATATACGGATGGCTGTGTGTCGACGAAGAAGAATGGCACGAGCAATGGTGTGTGTGTGTGTGTCTACATGTCGATGACGTGCTCACGTCAAAAATGTCGTCGTTGTTCCACTGTCAAAGCGTGGGAAACGCCTATTCATGAATCTTTTGTTGCTTCAATACCATAGCTAGAGATCACACGCACGCTCATCTGTAGACCACGTGATCGCCTCAATGGCACGTGCGATCTCACTCTTACAAGCACCAAGCGTAAAACAGCATCATCACCATTACCCATCCACAAAAGAATGCTTCCAGCCGTCCGATAGAAATATGTAACAAGTTGTTATTTGTAATAGAATCTAGCAATGATTATGATACAAGGTGATTATGTGGATTGCAAATAAACAAGGACAAAATATTGTCTGTGGTAAAAGGTGAGAAGAGAGTGATGACAATTGGATGCGGGTAGTTGGGGGGAGGGTGTGTGGGTGGATAGATGAAAAAAGAAAGGTCTCTTATTAATTTGCCATCACAGCTTGATCTTCTTGTTTTCTAGCATGTCGTGCGAGTGGTGAAGATGATAATGATGATGGAGTGGCTATACGTTGCATGTTGTGAGGGCTTGATGGTGGTGAGATGCGTACAGCCGATGACGACGTTGCTCGTAAATGTGGGCTCAATGCAGGACTCTTTGGCAAAGTATTTGGATCCACCTTGAGAGTGATGCGTCCTCTAGATCGATCTTCATAAAGTGTCATAATATTGCCGTGATCGCTTACTCGATAAGCGACTGAAAATGGATCAATCCATAGTACGAAATCTCGAGGGAGACCCATATGGATCACTTGGGCTGATACACCTGCTTTTTTGGCAGCTATTCATATACAACGCTATCAGCCATCCACACTCTTTGGTTGTTTTTCATTCCTTTACCATAGGCAAGAACAGGATCAAGTTGTCCATTGAGATTCGAAATAGACCGAAACCCATTGCCTCGAGAAGGTTGCTGTGGATCCCAATGATTGGCAAACCGTACTTTGAGGATCCCTGCCAATTCGTGCTTGAGAAGGGAGAGTTTTTCCTCCTCCAATCGCGCTTGTAAAAGTCGCCCAAGAAAGTCAATAGCTTGTGAGATCTCAATGTGCATTGTAAAAAAGAGGGTACAGAGGATAGGAAGAGTGTCGGTAGCTTCTTTTGTTGTCCGTCAAAATAGCGTCCAATGACAACGCCGTCAAATCAATTGCGCTGTTGACCCTGTTTTTGGATTACCCAATGATAAAGAGCCTGGCAACAATCAGATGCGATTTGCAATTAAACTACTATGAGCAAGTTGACAATCACATAAACAATTGTTGCTATGTCATACATGACCTTTTTATGCAAATTGGGAGCGATCAATGTGAAGTATATGCTAAACATGAGCCATCATAGCCAACAAAATTGGTGCAAAACCCATGATCACTTTAGTCAAAAGAACGCACTCGGCGTTGTTGCATAAGAGATGTCCATAGTCATATCATGACACTGTAGCGATTGGCATCACCGGTAACTATCTATCCGGCTATGTTTGCATTATACACTTTTGGAATCAACAAGCAGATTTCTTTAGTAGACAACACAAATTGACAGCTGCTGGTTGATCCCGAAAGTACTAGTCGTTGCTATGCAACCAAGGCTATGATGATCGTTGAATAGCAAGCAGTTCAATGCGGCTTGTATGAGAGGAATCAATAATCAGTGCGTATGATTTGATGTGCATCCTGCATGAATTGCACCCGCATTTTCATTGGCTGTTAATCTCACACCACCAGCGCAGATCCTAACAACAGGCAGGAGTTGGGTTGTTCAAGATACTTCCATGGCAACCAATGCGAAGGTAATTCCCTAGACCTTTATTGCTTGGCAATTCGTAACCCATCGCTATAGAAACTATATATTGGAAACCTCGATCCAGCTGTAGACGAGTACGTTTATTGTCTGCATTGCACGCTCTTGATCATGACGACGACGACTGACTAGACTAAAGATACGCAATCGTCAAGCTATTTGAACCCTACGGCAAGATTACGTTCCTAGACTACTTGTTCCATTGGACTGGTCCCAAGAAAGGTCTACCAAGGGGATATTGTTTTCTCGAATATGATACAAGACAGGTAAACTAATGCACCCAAAGTCCCATCCCATACATGATGTTGAATGATACTTTGTGTTATTGTAGCAGGCTATCAATGCCATCGAAGCATTACATCGTAAAGTGATCAAGGGAAGACCCCTTGTTGTCTCCTTTGCATTCGCAGTAAGTTTCTTGCATTGTGTGCACGTGACATTCGGCTGTTTAACGGTGCCTGCCTTAGCATGAGCAAGAAGGAGAATCCAAAGGCCAATCATCCGGTAGATCCAATCGACCCAATGCCGTGACCAATTTAAGAGCACAAAAGATGGCCAATGCAAGGTATGGATTGGGATGATGCATCTAGGCTGGTTAAGTAATCAATGACAATATAGCACGGATGCAAAAATCAATGCTATTGAACGGAAGCTTGCCACGCTACAAAAGAAATCCACGAATCAAGAGTCGCATGAGGCATCAACAGCAATACAAAACGTATCGAAAACATCAAGAGATGCTCGCTCACCACAAGATAGTAATCGTCATCGTTTGGATACCCAAAGGTCACATTCTATGTCAAAAAGATATAGGCCTTATTAATGACAATGCCGATGGAAGAATAAAGCATGACTTTGATGGTTGCCTTTAGAGGATGGCATTGAGTATATGAGTATTACAGGATAAGCTTCAATGATCAAAAGCCATGGCAATTTATTGATAGTATGGATTCATTTGGTGGGGAGAGAAGCTGCTGCGCCACTTGACTGACTTTGAGCGGGCGCGAGGGGCAGCAGCGGCCTGACTTGTCGCGGTGCAACCGAGCTCATGCCCGCCCTCTCACTTTTGTTCATTTGAAAGATGAAGTAGGTATCGTAGGATGATAAGCAGCATCAAAAAGAGACGATGGATGATAGATGGATGAATGGAATACGATGGATGAATACGATGTATTGATGGATGGATGCATTTAGGCTCGAGATTTGCTCCTTCTCCGGCTACAAGATTTACCCTGCCAAGGGTAAGGTCTTTGTTCGCAGCGATAGCAGGTAAATACAAGTAGACATGACTATAATGTAATATACTCATTGTTTATTTTATAGAGTAAGTGATAGATAAAAGAGACGCCTTGACCACCCCTACACCTAATGACAAGACAATGGCTCATTCTATTTCGTTTGTAGACCTTCCGTTTCATCAACGGTAAGACCGAGTCGTACTTTTTGCAGCGCTTGAGCCCTCGCAAGATCCGCTGGACCCAAATTTATCGTCGTGTCAACAAGAAGGGTATCTCTGTTGAGGTCCGTGCTAAGCGTACTCGCCGCACTGTCAAGCACGAGCGTGCTGTTGTTGGTGCCTCTTGGGAAGAAATCCGTGCCAAGCGTACTGAGAAGCCTGAAGCTCGTGCTGCTGCTCGTCAAGCTGCCAAGGATGCTAAGAAGTCCTCCAAGGTAATGATGATGATGAATACGAAATTGTAGGGCAATGGACCACTTTTTTTACTTATGTACGATTTATTCATTCTAGCCTGCTGCTGCCAAGAAGGCATAAAAGCTCTCTCGTGTTGGATCTTCTCAATAAAATCGATATTGTAACCATGGAATGACAAAAGTGGGATGATGTTGGACTAATCGGGTAATAAGGCACCTACAATCATGTTCACAACTGGGTGGCATTCTTTATGCCGACAATAGAGTTGCACCAGAAAGATTGATTATGTTTATCGGACCATGTGCAGCCGGGGAGATATCCGGTCACCATCACTACCACCACCACTACCATCATCCTCATCATCATCATCATCATCATACGATTGAAATGAATCCATGTTTGAGTTGCATGGGATTTTACTTGATTTGACGAATCACACAACTACACACACGTTTGCCCATGCATTGTCGCGTGAGGGTTACACCATCACCAACACTAGAATGGTGCATGGGGGGAGAGAGGTTGAGGAGGAGGTTGTAATATAAGAACAGCAAAGAAACAAGGGTACCCAAAGTTGCATAGAAAGAAAAAAGAAAGAAGCTCCCTTTATGCACATTGTTACTTTATTCTTTTATCACCTGGTGTGTGTTTTGTGTTTAAACGCGCCTTTGTCTTTTTAGCTTTATTCTCACACCCACACCCATACACACATACACACACACACACACACACACACACACACACACACGCATATACACATACACATCTCACTCACTCATTCTCTCTTTCTCTCTTTCTCTCTCTTTCTCTTTTTCGTTCTACACAATATACAACAACAACCCAAGGCATGTCTTCGCCTGTGTCTCCATTGGGTCCACCTTCTATTCATGACATTGACACCACTGCTTCTTACTCGATTGCTTTTCCTCCGCTTCAACCCATTCCATTAAGCTTTCCACAACACCACCCAAAACGAACCCAACATTGTCATCAACTCCCACCAGCTTTACAAACACCACTCGTCCCACCAAAGTATCCCTCCTATCTTAAACAGACTCTCTACGCAGACTTGGTTCTCGAGCAATACAACCTTCGACAATGTCGCCGTTCAAGTGACCAACACCACCACCACCACCACCACCAACAGCATGCACGTCCACACGACTTGTCACCCGAGTGTCGTCCTCCTTCATTATCACATTGCGTCCAAGATATTGACTTGCGTTTACCGACCTTTTGGAACCGACAAGCCAAACCGCGATATCTTGAAGTGGGTAGAAACGGATTGGATTTGAGTTACAATGGTATGTTCTTTTTTTCCCCGACTCGACTCATCATCATTCAAGTGGGTTGACTTTTTCAATACATCACAGGCCCTGGCAAGAATGAACAGCATGCTGCTGCTATTTGTGCCAACTTTCCCATGCGTCCCCAATGTGGTGTCTATTATTATGAAATGCATGTCCTATCCAAAGGAAATGATGGATACATCACCATTGGCTTCTCTACAGCTGAATCCCATGTCGATCGAGTACCTGGTAAAGAAAAAAGAGCTTATTATCATTGTATTCTTCTAAACCTACTTTTTCTCTTTCTCTCTCTAGGTTATCAGGGTGAATCATGGGGATACCAAGGTGATAGTGGCAACGTCTACGCTGGATCGACTCGTGGTACTCAATATGGCCCTGGTTTTACTACTGGCGACATTGTGGGATGTGGTATCAACTTTGCCAATGGTACAGCCTTTTATACAAAGAATGGTGCCTTTCTTGGTGTTGCTTTCAATCGTCTTGACCAAAGTGCCGAATACTATCCGTGTATTGGACTACGTACACCAGGCGAGAGCATCACTGTCAACTTTGGTAATGAGCCCTTTCTATATGACATTAACCAGTATATCAAGGTAAGTCTTCTACTACTATTATCATCCATCATGTATGAAAGCCTAAGTTTTTCTCTTATGTATATAGGACCAAAAGATCAAGGCGTGGGAAGAGATTGGCAAACGAACCTTGGGTACCACCATGACCACTTTCAACACCAACAGCACCTCTAAAAATACCCTGAAACAGGGTTATTGTCGTCGCAAGGAAGAAAAATCTGATAATCTCGTGCTCTCGTATCTTGTCCACCAAGGCTATATGGGAACAGCAAAGGCCATGGTCAAAGACGCCATGCATGTATGCGACAAGGAATTGCCACTGTTGAGTGCAAGAGACCAATATACCAATGAAAAAGACCTCCAGCAACGCAGTGGTAAATCGGACCATGCGAATTGGCATGATTTATTATGCTCACTCTTTTTTTCCGCATAGACATTCGTTCTGCATTGACCCATGGAAAGGTGGATCGAGCCATTCAATTGACCGAGCAATACTATCCGGGCGTATTACAACATGACAATGAAGACATTATGTTTGAGCTCAAGTGCCGAAAGTTTATTGAAATGATACATGAATACAGCGAACGTGAAAAGATCTTGTTTCATCGTGATGATTTGGAGAATGACCAAGCAAGTATCACTAGCAACAACAGCAGCATTGCCAGCTTCAACGTACCCAATTGTATCGATGACGACAATCATCATCCTCTTCAACAACGTTACAACAACAGCAACCATCCCTTTCCTGCCATCGATGTACCTGAGGATACTACTACACAACCTTGGTCACGTGATAGACGACGCTCGACAAGTGGAAGTTTTACAAGCCATGCAACGGCATCTGCCATTCGAGTACCAGGACGTCGACGTATGAGCTATGCCGCTATAGCAGCATCCGCATCACCCAATAGTACCAATGGCCATTTCGCTGGATTCTCTGTTTCTCCACCACCCGCTTGCGACGACCCTTCATTGCAACAGCAGCAGCAAGAGCATGATGACTATGCACATCCACTTTTCAGTAATCGACGCCATCGTAGAGCATCCACTCGAAGGAGCAGCACTTGCAGTAGTCTTTTAAGCGTTGGTAGTTTGGGTGGCTATGAACAAGACGAACCTGATTTATCCGAGGTGGATGAGGCGGATGAAAGAGGTGGAAGCAGTGGTGTTGATGATGCAGCCATTTCAATGAAGCACATTATGGATTATGGACAAAAATTACAAGCCGAATATCGACATGATGATAGACTCAAGATTCGAACACGTCTCGTGGTAAGGATCATATAGGACATGATCAACGTTATCTCCTTTATTCACACAAGAGGGTTGTCGCAGGAAATATTTTCATTGCTTGCCTATCCTGACGTAAACTCGAGTCCTGTTGCTCACTTGATGGCAAAATCCGGAAGAGATGAGCTTGCAACACAGCTCAATGCAGCCATCTTAGGTAATAACTTTATATACATTCCTTGGATTTCATCATCATGCTTACTTTTGGGTTGTAGGAAATCGCGGCATGTCACCTCTTGAAAGCATTTATCGGCAGGTCTTGTTGACCAATAAAGAATTGGCATGTGCAGGTGATGGTCAATCTGCTATTGTCAATGTTGAAGAATACTGTGCACAAGGATCTCCCCATCCTGGAAATACAACCATCATCTCCAGCGAAAGCTAGAAGAAAAACATCATATTTATCACCATCATTGTCTCCCTCTCTCTCGTAACGCTTGCATCCAACAAACTCATATTACTATTATCAACACCCTTTTCTCTGTTCTCTTGTAATTACATTTCCTCGACGTTTCCTTTGGTTCTCATTATATTCAATGAAGTTGTTTTATTGTTATATACCATTGTTCGTAGTAGTAGTGGGTAATTGATCAGTTACTGTATCACGGCAACCGTCAGAGCGGAGGTGCCAGTAAGCCACTCGGGCTGCATTATTGACTGCTTTCCTAGGTTGGATTGAATTGGTTCCATACTTGGTTGTCGTCTTGTTACACTTTCAACCCTCCATCGATCATGGGCAAAAAGAGAGATAAGAAATCGTCAAAGGGTAGGTAGCATGGCTCACATGGCGACGATCCATTGCTAATGGTGGTAACTAGGACGTTTGGACAAGTACTATCACTTGGCCAAGGAACAAGGCTACCGTGCTCGTTCAGCTTTCAAGCTCATTCAGCTCAACAAGAAATACGAATTCCTCGAAAAGGCTCGTGTACTGATCGATCTGTGTGCTGCTCCAGGTGGTTGGTAAGTGTCATTGATAAAAGGGAAAGGCCGAGATCGATCGATCTAATGTTGGTATCGAATAGGCTTCAAGTTGCCACAAAGTACATGCCGACGTCCAGTTTGATCATTGGTAAGAAGCAAAGTTGAGATTGCAAAAGTGGGCTTTTACTAACAAGAGACCTCTTCAACAGGTGTGGATTTGGCACCTATCAAGCCTATACCCAATGTCATTGCCTTCCAAGAAGATATTTTAACCGACAAGTGCAGAACTCGTTTGCGTCAAGAGATGAAGACATGGAAGGCTGATGTGTATGTTTAATAGAGTCATCATCCATCATCATATGAATTGCTAATGAATCTTTATCTATAGTGTCCTTCACGATGGTGCTCCTAACGTTGGTGCCGCATGGACCCAGGATGCCTATTCACAATCAGAGCTGGTACTCATGTCCTTGAAGCTTGCCACTGAATTCCTTGCTCGGGGTGGTACTTTTGTCACAAAGGTGTTTCGTTCCAAGGATTACAACAAGCTCATGTGGGTGTTTCAACAACTTTTCCGCAAAGTCGAAGCAACCAAACCACCATCTTCACGTAACGTTTCTGCTGAAATCTTTGTCGTGTGCCGTGATTACATTGCTCCAAAGAAGGTCGATCCTCGCTTTTTGGATTCAAAGACAGTATTTGAGGAATTGGATAACAACCGAGCAGCAACGATGAATGATATTTTCAAGCCAGAGGTAAAAAAAAAAGAGTGAACAACCAAGCATCAACACTTTTACTCATACACAGCTCCCCAATGTATAGAAAAAACGACGTCAACGTGAAGGTTACGATGATGGTGATTACACTTTGCACAAAAAGAGAGACATTATGGATTTCATAAAGTCCCAAGATCCTATCGCCTTTCTTGGTTCCAGCAATCAATTGGTCTTTGAATCAGATGACTCCAGAGCGCTACTCAAGCGAGAGTCCACTACAGAGGATATCAAGATCAATTGTGAGGATTTGAAGGTGCTTGGCAAGCGTGAATTCAAGACGTTGCTGAAATGGCGTGCTGAAATCCGTGAAGAATACAAGCTTGACAAAAAGGAAGAAGCCAAGCAAGTGGAAGTTCAAGAAGAAGACGAGATGGATGAGGATGAAAAGCTTCAAGCAGAATTGGAGAACCTTAGCGCTGAGGAACAAGCACGACGCAAACGTGAGAGACGCCGAGCCAACGAGAGGAAGATGAAGAATATTTACAGAATGCAAATGAACATGTTGACACCTTCTGATATCGGCACTGAACAAAACATTGGCGATGGCGAGTCACTTTTCAACATTCGAAAGATTCACAAGGATAGCGTAAGTTTGCTGCTGTTGGCTTTTTATTTCCTTTATTGGGTGATGCTAACGAGTTAAAATACATGACAGGCATTGAATGAGATTCAATCGGGTGACATGTCAGCTGCTGATCAAATGGCAGAAGAAGATGCGGATTTGGATGTTGGAGGCGGCCTCGATCGATCAGTATTCAAAGGACGGATACGAGAAATGGATGACGATGAAATGATGGCCGACAGTGATTATGAGGAGGAATTGGAAAAGCAGCTTGATGAGGAATACGAACGATACAAAGAACGACGTGCCGAACGTGATCCCAAATTCAGAGCCAAGCAATCACGGAAAGAGCACGATGAATGGCACGGCTTTGATGGCAAAAACAAGAACATTGAAGATGATTCAGACTCTGATAGCGATGATGATCAAGCTGAGGACGATGACCAAGCTGAGGAGAGCGATTCTGATCTTGAATTGGAGCGTATGGATGCATCTGACGACGATGATGATGTGCCTTCATTTTCCAAGAAAAAGTCAAATTCGTTGTTGAATGATCTCGGCCACAAGAAATCCATGTCCAAAAAGACATCCAGCGGATTGACCACAGCAGCATCCATGTTTTTCGACAGCGACGTCTTTCAAGGAATGGATTTGGATGAAGAAGAGGAAGATGAAGAGGAAGATGATGAAGATGAAAAGGAAGTTGATTTGGTCGATGAAGCAATGCAAAACGCTATTGGATCTCGCAAACGAAAGGCTGAAGATGAAGCTCCTCAAGAGAGCGAAGCTGAGGATGAGAGTGATTTCGAAATTGTCAAGGATGATGAGTTTTCAGCACCGTCAGATGATGAAGAATGGGATGGTACTGAAGATGCTAATTCCAAGGCTGTCAAGAAAGCAAGAGGTAAGCAGCATGAATGACATGATGCATGCATGATGTGTGGGTAACTTACATGCTTTTATTTAGAAACTGGTTTAATTACTGCCGAGGCTATCACACTTGCTCGTCAACTTGCCAACAAAGAAAAGACCACGGGTGATCTTATTGATCAAGGATTCTCCAAAGAAGGTTTCCGAGACAAGGATGATTTACCTACATGGTTCCTTGATGATGAAAACAGACACAACAAACCTCATCTTCCAGTCACCAAGGAGGCTGTCAAGGCGCTGCGTGAAAAGATTAAAGCATTGGATGCACGACCTATCAAAAAGATTGCCGAAGCTAAAGCACGGAAAAAGCACAAGGTGAGTGACGTTTGAACCCGTTTGTTGATCATAAACTCATTCCTTTCTTTCTTTGTAGGCAATGAAACGATTACAAAAAGCACAAAAGAAGGCCAATGATATTGCTGACAATCCTGACATGACCGAAAAAGAGAAAGCACAATCCATCAACCGCATGTTATCACGGGCGACAAAGAGCAAACCCAAAAAGGAAGTCAAATTGGTGGTTGCCAAGGGAACCAACCGTGGTATCAAGGGACGACCTAGTGGTGTCAAGGGTCGCTACAAGATGGTGGATCGACGTATGAAGAAGGATCTCCGTGCACAAAAGCGATTAGAGAAAAAGAAAAAGGGTCGTAAATAGATCATTACTTGTATAGTCTAGTAGAAGCATTTCCTCAATTCCATTTGCATAATTATTCATTTTCTCGCATGTTTTTTTTGTATCCAATGTTGGTATCTTTATATACTCGTGAATGTATTGAATAAGAGAGGGGATAAATGATAAAACTACGTAGAGCAACAGCTTGCTTGGGATTCTTCAGCAAGTGCGCTGTTTTGAGCCGATCCCAATCGAATGCCGGATGTCTAACAGAAAAAAAAATCGTTTAGGATATGGATATGACAATGAACCCATCCATGTCCTCCCTCCTTACCTCATTGTTAGCAAAGACTCCTGCTTGTATCTTTTCATACACCTTTTCTGCTGTCTTTACAAAGGCCTCTTCCACATTGTCTGCACTTTTGGCTGATGTTTCCAGGAATAGTGGGATATCATTTTCTTCTGCGAACCGCTGTGCCTCTTCGGTTGTCACTTGTCGCTTACGATGATCGAGATCACTTTTGTTGCCAATCAACATAATCGTAGTATTTGGGTTGGCGTGTTTTCGAACATCTAAAGCGATAAAAAAAGGTCTCAGCTGATGGTAAATGGATGACTCAAGTTGCTTACCAGCAAGCCATGTAGGTATATGCTCAAAAGATTCCCTCCTTGATATGTCGTATACTATTATTTCATAACAAGTCAACAATTAGACAACAAGGATACTTGTTTCCACCTCACCTAACAAAGCACCAGCAGCTCCACGGTAATAACTTTGGGTGATACTCCTGAAGCTTTCTTGACCAGCCTACACCATCCATAAGTCTCGATACTTTTTCTTGTTTGGGTCTTTCCTTACCGTATCCCATATTTGAAGCTTGATTTGCTTGTCATCGACAGTAATAAACTTGGTACCAAATTCGACTCTATCGCTTGTGTGAGAAGGCAACGCATGGATTATCAACAGCAACAACAACTTTACCCGATCGTCAGCTCACGTCCCGAATAGAATCGTTTGTCAGTGAATTGTAGCAGTAGACAAGACTACAAGGTCGTTAACACTTTTTTGCGATAATAAAAGAGTCCAATAGTGTACCTTGCCAACACCTAATAAAAGAACACAAGACCAGTTTAGCTTCATGTCTCTTTTCCGAATGAGTAGCCATCTTACCGGAGTCGCCTACGATAATGTACTGGAGGTGACGTATCGAATGGTTAGTTTTGAAAATACAATGTGTAAGCAAGATGAGTTGCCCACCTTGATAATATAGTTGTAAGTAGACATGAAAGAAGAAGCAGTATCCAGCTCACTCACACACTCTCATCCGGAGCATGAAAATGGCCTGCATAGCACGTTTCCAGAGTCAGCTGATCCAGCTTCTATAATCATTTTTTATTTGGTACAAGGAGATGCGACTGTAACATCTTGAACATAGTCTGCTAATTCTCGTTTGGCTGCCTCCACGTCGATCATGAAGATGATAGCCGTTGCTGCTACAAACAAGGCTAGGACAAAAGGCCAACCCATCCACACATTGGAAGTAGCTTGAGATATTGCTCCCACAACAACAGGTCCAATCCATCTTGAATACCATTGTTAGCGAACTTGAAAAAGAATACGTGTGTAGTGGTCTACTTACGACGATGCTTTGTTCACGATGCCGAATAAACCAAAGAATAAGTTTTCCTTGCCTTTGGGTGTTAACTCTGCGAGCATTGTTTGCTGCCACGCCCAAATGGGTGCCGTAAAAAAGCCTGACCATGCTGATAATATCCACAATTCCCATTGAGTCTATATTGAACAAGAAGATCAGATCCATGTTGTATGTAGGATAGGGATTCCTTTGCTTACCTTGATACCAAAGTTCGACATGCTTATACCAAAACAACCCCACACAGGCACCAATGCTGTTGTCACGACAATCACCAGTAAGTTGGTCTTTGTTCTCACTTGGAAGCGTTTGGATAACCACAAAAAGAATAAGCAACCAATGATGGAAGTGATGGCTGTCACGAGGGATTGCAACGTGATTTGAACGGCAGAGAAGCTGGTGATCTCACCCGTAATGATAGTGGTCATTTGGCTGATGGTTGATACAGCATCCGAAAACATAAAGTAAGCAAAGATGTACATGAACAAGTATCGCAACTTGCGTGCCTCTCTATTTTCGAAATTGGTAAGAAAACACTCTCCTTGTTGGCATGATCGATTGCGCCTTACCTCAATGCCTTAATGATGGATTTCCATCCAATGGTTAAATAGTTGTCTCCTGGAGGTAACGGTGGGCCACATCGTTTGCGAGGTTGAAAAACAAAATAAGGAATAGCATTGAGGACCCAAAATGCTCCACATACAACGGTTGAAATAAAGTTGTAAACGGGAAGATCACCGAGCTTGGTTCCATCGCTGTATCGAACGAAGGAGACACCCGAAAGCAAAGCTGTTAAAAAGACAAAGCCAACGTTGGAAAATGTGGTCGAGATGGCTGATACATGATTGCGCCACTGTTCAACGACGACCTCCTTTTCTTGAGATGTGAGATTTGGATTGACGCGTGCTTGACGGACGATGGGCAAGTTGTCGCTCAAGGTTGGGAAAGCAGCGGCATAAAATACAAGGGTTGTGCCATAGGAAATCAAGGCTATGGCAAAGATGGCCATCATGATACCCCAATGAGATCCATCGTCATGTACAAAGGCAATCGGTAATATCTGAGTTGTACAAGCAATCACAGTGGCGATCAAAAGAATATATCGATTCCATCGACCATAGTCTGCCAAACTTCCAAAAGTGGTAAATAACAGGAACTGGATCGAAAAGGCAATGGCCTGCAAGTAGAGCATCATGGATGATACAGGTAATCCGTTGGCGGTATTGAGCCACCGTACATGGCAAGGTTTCATGGCGTTTTGTACATCGCATGGCCCGTGTGTCTCTGGATCAAATCCACCGCGATACGCGAGATATTGAAGAATGGTCGGCATGTAACTGTAGATTGTGTAACCATTGTTCTATATCATAGCATAAGAATCATCATCATCCTTTGGATCCCTGTTACTACTACCAACCCCATTATAATACAAGTAGTATCCCCATAATTCTTTCCGAGTGGCAGGTGCTTGCTCTAGTAGCTCATTGCTCGTCTTGTCGTCGTAATCTTGTGTCTCATGGTCATTGACGTGGAATGGATCGGCAGTGGCAAGATGGCGGCGCCAGGACATTAGAGAGCGTGGTGGAAAAGAAGTAAAGGGAAAGAAGGAAGAAATAAAGAAATATGACAATTAAACCAAAGTTCGAGGTTAAGGGGGTTGGGGAGGAGGAGGATATGCATCGGAAGTGTATGAGTTATTCAAAGATGCTACGTACTGCCTGCAAATGATATGCACACCTTATTGATTGTGTTGCCGTATGTGCACAAATGACAACAATAATGCAGCAGCCATAAACACGTGATGATGTAGGGTGACCTTTATCCCAAAAATAATCGCCCCAATCTTTAGAGTCTTATCATTAGGCAGCTCTATTCATTGTAAACACGACCATATATGGCATTGACTGCATGATAATTATAGCCCCTTCTTTGTGTTCAATTTACCTCATGAGATGGTCCTTGGTACTAGTCGCCTTTGTCTGATCATATAATAAATCTCCCTACTACATGCACATTTGTTGTCTTTGTGGAATGGTGGTATTGTTTCGATGCACGTGATCAAAAAAGAGCGTTGTTGGATTTGGATCATACCCTAGTGGGGTGTATTTTCTCCAAAGTGAAGGGTATAACGATTGCTCAAAAAGACGAGTTACAAGCATAAAGAGCGTAGCATACTACCAAGCTTACTTTTCATCTCACTCTTATGTTTGCCATCTTCGAGGATCATTATACAAGCTATAATTACAACATTGCTGCGAAGAGGATTAATACATAGACCATGCGATAAGCTTTGGGTACAATTACTTGAGTATCTTTATTGAGAGGCAACTACGATTTCCAGCAAGAAGTACATCATGCATCATGCAGACAAACGAAAACTACTTTCAACGGGTGAATGGGATTTGAGCTTGCCAATCCAACGGGTTACCATTGATGATCTTGCCCTTGACATATGACATCCATAACCATCGTCTGACAATAAGAGGCAAGTCGTCAAATGATGTAAAAGTTTCACCAAATGCACACTTGCTGTTCTTGCGATAGTGCTTGTGTTGTACATCACCAGGAAGCGGAATCTTGTTGATGCTTTGCTTGCGACAAGGTGCTCGTATGCTGTAGTAATTGCAGGTATCAGGAACACCACAAGAGACTTCAGCCAATGGTAGGAAAGAGTGCTTGTTGAAATGATCCTGGAGCGCTGTCATGATCTGCACATGGTCAAAAAGCCATGCATCGTTGCCAATTGAATTAGGTGGATTGCCTAGTCCATGCCCTTTTGCAATGATCTCCTTGTCAACCGCCATCGCGAACATAAAGTCGTCAGAGATTTGCTGTGCCGGAAGCGTGTAAATCATCCCCAATGACCCTGGTATGCGATCCCCTTTGCCTTGATGATGGTGCTTGTTTAGTATGGTTGCTGCATCATGTTGATCAAGCTTGAGCAATTCTTCCATGTCGGTATCCATCCATGCATCCACAACATCATGTAAATACATCAACCTGAAGTATTGCAAGCCATGTTCTTGCGAGGTTAGCTCTCGAGAAAGCTGATCACAGTAATGAGTGGTGTTGTGCAGCTTGATGAAGGTATGGCCACAAGTCGAACATGTCGCCCGAATAGGTAATTTGTCAATAGTCAGCCATTCATCAACGTTGCCAATCTTTTGGGCCATATCTTCAAGTCGCTGGATAGCATTCTTGTCACGATCTGCTCGGTCACCGTATACTCCAAAACGTCTTTTTCTCAAGTACTCTTCTTTTTCGTCTTCATTCAAGCCACTCATTGGATTGTTTCCAGTTGCAACAGCAACACGTTGCATATCAGCACCAGCCCTTGCGCTCAGGAACCACGCTTCATGCTCGTTAGAAAATGGTATCATGGCTGGTGGACATGGCACTCTTGAAAACACCAAACCTCGCTCTCTCCTCCAAGAATCTTGCTCCTTCAATTGGTCGTATTGTTGATGCCTTTCCATACTATGAATGTCACCAATAAAAGGTTGCTTGATGCGAACCAGCTTTCGCTCATCACTGTTATTGATCTCGTCTCGACGCCGCTTGCTTGATGCTATCATACGCATTGACATGTGTTCCTTTTCGGCTCGCACAATCTTGTCCTTGATAGAATGAAGATGCTGTTTCATGCCCGTTGCTTCAATCACGTCCTCGAATTCCATTTGTATAGACTTAAGCCAACCAATAAGCCGTTCGTGATCAGTGGGTCGCTCTTCGCCATTAGCTAATCTTCTGCGAACAAGGCTGTCAAGGATATGCATCGCACAAATGGATAAGGTGACTTCTTCGGCTTTCAGGGCTTGTTTTGCTGCATCATAGCTAAGTGATCCAGGGTTCCTTATTGGTAACAGCAATGCATAATCGGTGTCACCTGGCCCATACGCCACAATAGCGACGTTGGTCAAATGAGCAGTGCTGGATTTGAAGAATGCTGTACATGGTGTTGGATCCATTTTCGCAATTTCGGACAACCCACCATAATCATTAGGTGATTGATATTCTTGGAAGAATGCTGTGGTGGATGCTGTATCCAACCAGGTAGTGCGAAAAGTATCCAAATGAAAATGGGTGAATACAATTTGCGACATTGATACGATGACCACGGGCTGAACAATTTTCAAATATCGTGATAGAAACAAGATTGATGGAAAAAGTGGCTGCCGACAATGCATAGCTAGCAAATCGACAAATGCCGGGAAAAGAAGGTCTACTGAAATATCCCCGGATAATGAAGACAAAAACTCAAGTGTGTCTCGAAAAAAGCGAGCTGATCTTGAGGAGACGGCACATTCAAGGTAACCGAACACTTTTGTTTTGAGCGATTGTGTTGGTAGGTCTTCACCGACAATAACGGAAATTGTGGTATCATCGATCGTTGTTGGTGATTGTGCTTGATCATTCATCGCTTGTACCAATTGCTCGGTTGGTGCTGCCATTGTTGTCATTCCTTGCATCGTCATCCTTTCAATGAATTTGCTGTAGTCATCAAAGTGCTTTCTCAAAGCATCTTTGATATAATCGGATATGGGTGTTCGTTGCAAGTAGCGTGCAAAGTCAACGCTTGTTGCCGTATTTCTCCAAAACTGGGAAATGGCCATAGATGGCTGGTAATCGACGTGAAATCCTCCATTTGCTGCATTCAATGCTGTATCCCCAATAGACTTGATAATGAAATCTTCAACATAGCCATATTCAACAAGCGAAAAGGAATCGTCAAAATCGAGACCTTGTATTTGATATACATCCCACACCAGCTCTTTGTTTGCCTTCAGCCAATTGAGCATCCTGGAACCACCACCTGCACGCTGGCTATCTTGTAGATTCCTTTCCAAAGGTGTAGAGCTAAATGACATACCGCCATAATGAAGCGAAATCGGATCATTGGAGGAGGAAAGTGCCGTAATATGCTCCATCACGGTAGTGCACCAATTTTTGTCAGCTGGGTACATTGTGCGATATCTTTCAATGGATGCCCTCATAGTTTCGACATCAGCTGCGCAAACGCGAAGGTATGTTGTTGGCTGTTCTTCATGCTGACTCGCTGGATCCACTAGCTCCAATACATCAGGATGATCTTCAGGTGCAAAGGTCAAGGGCGATTGTATCAAATCGTTGAGCAAGGTGTAATGCTGAGAGGAGAACACATTCCACACGGCATGTTCAGGCCCAACATGCTTTTGTTGCCTTGCTGCACGCCTTTCTGATATAATTCGCTGCACAAATTCCTTGATGGTTGTATCCATGCTCCTCTTTTGTTCATGAAAACTAAGCTCATTAGTATAGAGATCAAAACCTATGCATATATCAAACTTACTTTTGAATTGACGTTGAAGGCTATTTCTTGTGAAAGAAGGGAGCAAGAAGAAAGCATCCTCGATACCTGTATTTTTCAACCATGATATACTAAATGGACAATGAGCCCAGAAGGAAACGAACAATCACCAACAACAACAACACAACGAACAAAGAGGCCATGCTCCTACGTATTCACCACTGATTGAACTTTAATAGCGAGTGATCCAATGATTTCGAATGTTGAAATGATCATTATGGGTATCATCCTTTTGAGCTGGTGTTGATTGATCTGCATGCCACATTGTCTACTGCAATAAGTTACCCCTGAAGAGGGCGACTTATTATTCCTGCTTGCATAAATGGTTCGAGGGTCGACAAGGTGATGGCACCAACACAATGGTAGTAATGAACCTGCTTCTCCGATGGTCACTGAATTTCATGCATCCCCCCACCCTCTCTTTATGCTTTTCCTCTTGCCATTCAACGCTTCCCACATTGTACGATCGAAGTCCTTGAGTGCAACATTGCCGGTTTCCCCTCACGCCGTAGTGACGAAATGGAGTTCACATTGGTTATCGCAACAACACATGCCATCTGCCACAATCACTAGAAACAGCTGTTGCCATTCGTTTTCCAAAGCATGCGCGTCAACGCGCCCAAACTACTATGACAGTCATCTTTTGCTGTCGACGACATTGTGGAGCCCTTTTTCAACAACAAACGTGCTTGTCATTGATACCGATAACATGGAAGGACGATCAACTGATGGCGCAAGAGTATCATTGGCGTCATTTTCGAGTGAGCTTCAACCTTCAACCATGGTTCTTGGATGTGAAGACTGGTGCACATGTGAAAGGTACCGCTGTTTGGCAACTGGAAGGATTACAAATGATGACTTGAAAATGAGGCTACTCGAGACAACGCGTTTGGACATTATGGTGATGGCATGGATCGTGAAAAGGATGCTATTATTCGAGGTCTTCAAGAAGACGTGAATGTCAGGATGCCTTCATCAAGTTACACACCAAATCACGTATCATTCCAAAGAGCTCGAGCAAGATTTTATACGTCAACAAGGATGCTGTATCAGCTAGGCCGTTCGTGGAAGGATCCCATTTTCCCATATCTCATTCTTACGACGCTTATGATTGTGATGATCTTATACAAGCAATGCTATAGCAACATGGAGGGAATGGATAGAGGAAAGTTTTCATGTCACTGCGATGGTAGATAGCGTAGAAAAAGGATAGATGATGGCAATCGTTATTAATCCAATTACTATTACCAATGGATATGTATTACATAAACAGCAAAAAATGCTTATTTTCTGATGTTGTGATTATGGATCTATCTGCCCTACTTTGAGCAGGCCAACTATAATGCTGGAGATGTATGATGGTGGAGGATGGCCACATTATTACTCATGAGCATGTCATATGCTTTTATGTGCGGTGATAGCAATGGGTGATGATAAACAAAAAGAAACATGGGATACCTACTAAAACGACGAGCGTGATCCATCTACCTCAGGAACTAGGGATTCTTATAACTCAGAGTCATTCAATTCACTAGTGATGAGCACTCAAAATGAGCTAAAGGCTCCAGCTAATGGACTTCAACTCCGTCCAATAAAATTTGCCAAACACTTTTAACCTCAAATTTCTCTACAATGACCCTCCCAAACCACTTCCTTTTTTCATCATCGTGTTGTACAATTGTTCCGCTAGTGTATGCAACTTTTTTCATCATCGTAGGCCCACCTTCCAAATTGGGAAATTTTCAAACCTACCTGCTACCTCGACATCCAATTAATCACAGAGCTGATTAGCGCAGAGGAAGCGCGTTGGGCTCATAACCCAAAGGCCGGTGGATCGAAACCACCATCAGCTATGATTCGAGTATCATCGATAAGATGGTTGGAAGTAGTTTTTTGTTCCCGTGTCGTGTAGAGGGACGTAGCTATACAAAGCACTAAAGCAATAGCACGTATCTGAATACTTTTGGAAAGACTTGTGTTCTTTATTGTTTTGGATATTGCATGTATATATAAGATGATAGAGTTGGAGTACAAAAGGTATTGGGTACATTTATATTGCTACAGATGTTGAGTATCACTTTGATACACCCGAATTGTCGTAGGTCATGTGACCACGTGACCTAGCTTTTGCTCGTTCCTTCTAGAACCCTTTTCCTTTTGATGCTGGCAATTGCTAGAAGCCCTTTACTAGCATCTTCCACATCTTTCATAGAGATCGCGCTGAACCTTTCTTTCCTCATTGAACATCCTTAGCAATAAAAGATCATCACTTATCATAGCAACACCAAAAGTTATATCATTATTTTTGGTCTAATCAGCCATACGATAACGACACAATTGGTAGCTGATGACTTTTAATCATCCATCGCCTTTGAACAATCGAGCTTTTCAAGAATATCGTGAACCAATCCCGGAACCTATTGAATTATCTGACGACGAATCTCAAGTTTCACAAATGAAACAACCGTTTATTATGGAAGGCATTGAACAAGAACAACACTGACGGACAAGGACAAGGACAGGACAAGGACAAGATATGAATGCGGCTATTTTGACTGCATTGACCCAACTGCTCAAGAACCAGGAGAACCAAAGAGGCCCAATGTTTAGACCCAAGCTACGAGAACCGGACACTTACCATGGAACAAGAACCCATGCTGCTGAAAGCTGGTTACGATCTGTACAACGTTATGCTGATGTGACTGGAATGGATGAAGTTGACCGAGTCCAATATGCCATCAATCTTTTTCTAGGAAGTGCTGACACATGGTGGCGTACAAGAGAAATTGTTGGACATGATGCGGCTTACTTGGATTGATTTCTGCAAGCTAGTACTAGATGCAATTTCGACATCGCAATGCCAAACAGACTGCACGTGATCGATTGGCTGCATTGACACAAACTGGCACCGTTGAAGAGAATGAACGACTTCCGCAACCCCTTTGGCTCAGAAAGTGCAACAATGACTGATGATGAAGCTTTGGACCGTTTTGTACGAGGATTGGCTGAAAACGTTCAAGTCTATGTACGCACCCAATTCCCGACCACAACTGCACAAGCTGAAAGAATCGCATTCCGCCTACGAAGGAGCCATGTCGTTTACCAAAATGCTGCCGACAAGATGACAAGACTTGAACCTCCACGACAACCATCTCGGGATGTTGAATACATGGATTTGGATGCTGTACAAACAAGATATCGACGTAATGATTGGCGCACAAGAACCTTCAGTCGTCGTGACAACGCCGCATGAATCAAGAACCACCTCGTTGCTACAATTGTGGAGGCCTTGGTCATCTACAACGTTCTTGCCATCAACTTACCTGGTGAATGGCGTTATCGACCTGCTTCTCGCGACCTGGCAACAAGCATTTAAAAGACCCAGAAAGGCGCGACGTATGTAAAGGAGTCATCGTCGCGCACAAACATCAATCAACAAACTCTATGAATGCAACCACCACCACTACTCAGCAAGTACCTGGTAAATGTTGGTCTCACCGAAGACGATTTTGAAATGTCAACCCGACACCTGAGCTAGATTTGGATATCAAATCATTTGAAGGAACTCAACGCAATAAAGGAATCTGATTTGCCCTTGTATTCAATGGTCTGCAATGGTTACCTGTTGCTGTTTTGCTATTCACTGATGCTAGTACATCTTTACATTCACCACGTATTTGCAACACTGACGCATCCGCTTGGTCCAAGGACGAGAGGTTGAAACAGCTGAGGTGGACATACTATGGCGATCAAGTCACTCGTATCTTTTGATCTTTCAATGGCTGACGGCTACACCCATCCATGGAAGGCGTATGTGTTTGATACCAAATTTGACATCATCCTTGGCAGAGATTGGTTCAGCATGTACAACCATTCCGTTGGCGACACGACACCTGGCAGATCAAACAAGGCAACCGCACCCATATCGCGACTCAAGTCGCAAACGGCAGATTCGATTTTGAGCTTTATCTTCTCTGATATCGCGCGAGATGCAACGATTGTCACGCACCAAGGCTATCAGCGAGATGTATTTTGTTCCTATACGGCTGACAAGATCGACAAATACGATAACACCTTTGATACTTTAGCGGTTCATGAAAATACGCTGATGTCTTCCGAAACGAACTACCAGGCTTACCTCCAGATCGTGATGAGCATGTGATTGATACTGGTGATGCTCAACCCATCAATCGGCATCCTTTCAAGATGAGTCCTCTATGAACTGGATGAATTACGGCGTCAATTGGCTGAACCATTTGGGGATTGATTGAACCAAGTAACTCTCCATAAGGGTGCACCGGTTCTGTTTGTCCTGCAAGAAAGATGGTTCAATGAGACTCTGTATCGATTATCGCTCTCAATGCAGTGACACGTCTCAATGCCCATCCTTACCACGAATTGATAAAGATATTGGCGAACGTCTTGGTGGTGCGCAATTCTTCTCAGCATCGACCTCAAGAGTGGTTACCATCAAGTACGAATCCGACCTGAAGATGTTCCAAAAACTTATTTCAACACAAGATACGGTGCATGGCAATGGAAAGTGCTCACGCGTTGACGAATGCTCCACCTACTTTCCAAAAGATGATGAATTCAATCCTTGGTGATTTCCTCGACAAGTTTGCCCTGGTTTACCTTAAACGACATCCTTTATCTTCAGCCGTACCAAAGAAGACCATCTCAATATGTTCGAATGGTGTTGGATCGTTTGCGAGCCGCAAGCTATACGCCAATCTCAAGAAGTGCGAGTTCCAACAAGACTGAGTCAGGTTTGTCGGCTTCCAAGTGAGTGCTCAAGGTATCCTGCCATCCGCAGTCCAAGGTCAAGGCGATTATTCAAGAGTGGCCATTCCGCAATGTTCAAGAGGTGCGGCAGTTTATCGGTTTGGCGTCTCGTATAGGCGATTCATTCGTGGCTTCTCAACGATTGCTGCACCACTCACGGACTTGACAAGGGAAGTGGGAGCAAGACGCGTTTGATTGAATGGACACCTGAGTGTCGATCGGCATTCGAAGAGATTCAGTCACGGATGCTTTACCTTTGGTACCACCCAATGCAGCAAGGCCCTTTGTGATCGAAACGGATGCATCCGATTTTGGTGTTAACGCTGTTCTTTTGCAGAAGGTGACGATGGTGAATTGCATCCTTTGGCTTTTGAATCCAAGAAGCTTTCGTCAGCGGAGCGCAATTATCCCGCACAAGAAAGAGAGCTGCTGGGTATCTTGCATGCGTTACGTTCTTGGAGATGTTTCATTGAAGGTCGCTCTTACAAGGTGTATACGGATCATCATCCACTCAAGTATTTCAGGTCTCAACGCAAGCCCACACCTCGTTTGACTCGATGGATTGCTGAAATGGAGCTGTATGATCCCGATATCCAATACAAGCCTGGCAAAGACAATCATGTACCTGATATCCTTTCTCGACGTGATGGTGCTCATTGTCTTACCAATGAATCGGATATGGAGCCTGAGTATCTTTATGCAACACGCGCAATTCAAGAATCCGATTGGCCAAAGTTCTACTTGCGTCCCGAAGAAAAGTGGCCATCATCTTATGCTGATTTGTTACGCAAGCATCGTGAACAATTTGTGGTGCGTAATGATATGGTTTTTCGCAAGGTCAAGGTGAACAACACTCTTCAAGAAGTCCGCTTTGCAATGTTCTCTCGGCGTGCTGACATTGTACAAGAAATCCACAAGGCTTTTGGACACCCTGGAATGACCACTATGCAGGATTTGGTGCGTAAACGTTGGTGGTGGCCCAACATGAAACAAGACATTCAAGAATGGATTGCCCAATGTTCACAATGTCAATTGGCTGCTGGTGCTGACCGCACAATCATCATGCACCTATGCATTTGATCGAAATCCCGCCTGCTTTTTCTCGTTGAGTACTTGGACTTTATTGGAGAATTACCTACTACCATGGCGGTAATCGTTGGATACTCGTTGCTGCTGACTACACGACAAATTGGTTCTTATTGCTCGTGCTGTTCCTGATGCAATCCAGCAGTTTATTGCCAAGTTCATTCATTTATGAAATTGTTATGCGTTTTAGCTGTCCTGATGAAATCGTAACCGATCGTGGCGCTAATTAATTGTCGCTACCGTTCAGTTACGTACGCTCGATACTGGTGCTAGTACATCTTACATTTCACCACGTATTTACAAGCACATGACGCATCACTTGGTCCAAGGACGAGAGGTTGAAACAGCTGGTGGACATACTATGGCGATCAAGTCACTCGTATCTTTTGATCTTTCAATGGCTGACGGCTACACCCATCCATGGAAGGCGTATGTGTTTGATACCAAATTTGACATCATCCTTAGCAGAGATTGGTTCAAGCATGTGTACAACCGGTACCAGATTGGCGACACGACACCTGACGAATCAAACAGAACTGACACACCCCATATCTTGACTCCAAGTCGCGGCGGCAGATTCTGATTTGGCTTATCTTCTCAGTCATCGCGAGATGCAACGATTGTCACGCACCAGAAGACTCATCAGCGAGATGTATTTGTTCTATGGCTGACAAGATCGACGAAATACGATGGCACCTTTGATACTTTGGTTCCTTGAATACGCTGATGTCTTCAGAAACGAACTGCAAAAGGCTTACCTCAGATCGTGATAGTGAGCATGTGATTGATACTGGTGATGCTCAACCGTAAATCGGCATCCTTTCAAGATGAGGTCTCTCGAGCTGGATGAATTACGGCGTCAATTGGCTGAACTCAAACCTTGGGATTGATTGAATAAGTAACTCTCCATCGGTGCACCAGTTCTGTTTGTCCGCAAGAAAGATGGTTCAATGAGACTCTGTATCGATTATCGCGCTCTCAATGATGACACGTCGCAATACTTGCATCCCCTTACCACGAATTGATGAATGTCTCGAACGTCTTGGTGGTGCACGAACCTTCTCCAACATCGACCTCGCAAGGTAGTTACCATCAAGTACGAATCCGACCTGAAGATGTTCCAAACGGCCTTCAACACAAGATACGGTGCCATGGCAATGGAAAGTGCTCCTTTTGGATTGACAGAATGCTCCACTACTTTCCAAAAGATGATGAATTCAATCCCTTGTTGATTTCCTCGACAAGTTTGCCCTGGTTTACCTTGACGACATCCTTATCTTCAGCCATGCCAAAGACCATGCAAGCATGTTCAGATAATTGGATGATTTTGAGCGCAAGCTATACGCCAATCTCAAGAAGTGCGAGTTCAACAAGGCCTACGGATGGAGTTTGTCGGCTTCCAAGTGAGTGCTCAAGGTATGCCATCCAAGTCCAAGGTCCGAGCGATTCAAGAGTGGCCCATTACAATGTTCAAGAGGTGCGGCAGTTTATCGGTTTGGCGTCTCATTATGGGCGGTCGTCGTGGCTTCTCAACGATTGCTGCACCATACGGACTTGACGAAATTGGGAGCAGACGCGTTTGATTGAATGGACACCTGAGTGTCAATCGGCGTTATCGAAGATTCAGTCACGCATGATTCAAGCACCACCTTAGTACCGCAATGCAACCGAGCCCTTTGTGATCAAACGGATGCATCCGATTTTGGTGTTGGCGCTGTTCTTTGCCAAAAGGTGACGATGGTGAATTGCATCCTTTGGCTTTTGAATCAAGAAGCTTTCGTCAGCGAGGCGCAGTATCACACAAGAAGAGAGCTGCTGGGTATCTTGCATGCGTTACGTTCTTGGAGATGTTTCGACTGAAGGTCGCTCTTACAAGGTGTATACGGATCATCATGCACTCAAGTATTTCAGGTCTCAACGCAAGCCCACACCTCGTTTGACTCGATGGATTGCTGAAATGGAGCTGTGAAGTCCCATTCTCCAATACAAGCCTGGCGAAGACAATCGTGGCTTTTGTGATATCCTTTCTCGACGTGATGGTGCTCATTGTCTTGCAATGAATCGGATATGGAGCCTGAGTATCTTTATGCAACACGCGCAATTTAAAAGAATCCGATTGGCCAAAGTTCTACTTGCGTTGAAGAAAAGTGGCCATCATCTTATGCTGATTTGTTACGCAAGCATGTGGGAACAATTTGTGGTGCGTAATGATATGGTTTTTCGCAAGGTCAAGGTGAACAACTTACTCTTCAAAGTCCTTTGCAATGTTCTCTCGGCGTGCTGACATTGTACAAGAAATCCGCAAGGCTTTTGGACACCCTGGAATGACCACTATGCAGGGATTTAGATTGCGTAACGTTGGTGGTGGCCGCATCGAAACAAGACCATTCAGAATGGATTGCCCAATGTTCTAATGTCAATTGGCTGCTGGTGCTGACCGCAATAATCATCATGCACCTATGCATTTGACCGAAATCCCGCCTACTTTCTCGTTGGCGGCTGGACTTTATTGGAGAATTACCTACTACCACAAGTGGTAATCGTTGGATACTCGTTGCTGTTGACTACACGACAAATTGGCCTATTACAACCAATGCTGTTCCTGATGCAACCAGTGAAGCCATTGCCAAGTTCATTCGGGAAATTGTTACATGCGTTTTGGCTGTCCTGATGAAATCGTAACCGATCGTGGCGCTAATTTTATGGGCAGTTGGATTACTACCTTGGTCGAAGCTTAAAGCCAGGCTTACAACTTACGACTTCGGCTTTCCATCCTCGTTTCAGAAATGGCAAGGAGTTGAACGTACCAATTAGGATATAAATGTCATTACGCAAGTATGTGCATGGTGAAGTACGTAGCTGGGATGATTGCTGTTGACACCGCTTTGTTTGCATGCCGCATTCGCAAACATCGAACGACACAAATGAGTCCATTTTTCATGGTGTATGGTCAAGACCCCAAGTTACCTGGTGATCCATTGCGTCCTCTTATTACTGCTGATGAACCACAAGATGATCCCCAAGCACATGTTTCAGGAGTCGGCTCCCCACACTTCGTTCTTACGTGATGCTCGTGCTCAGCTGTTACAAGGATGCCAAGAGGATCGTGAAAAGACAAGGCTCAAAATGGGATTTCTCTGCAAGAAGCAAGTTTGATAGGTTGGCGACTTTGTCTTATTACGACACGAAAACAAGTTTGGCTTGGAATACAATTGGCGTGGTCCTTACCACCAAGATTGTTTGAACGTAACCTTGACACGGATATCTACAGTTACACAGCATGAATGGTGACTTAATACAAGTCTTGGGTGCACTGATCGTTTACGTCCATTCATCAACAAGGCCGATGGTAATCACGACGTGGTACGATCCCACTGCTACGAGAGCACGTTGGCGCCAACTTGCCGATGCTGCCAACATTGTTATTTCCGTGTTGGTCGAGGGCGACCAAGATTTTCGGGAGGGGTATTTGTCGTAGGTCATGCTGACCACGTGACCTAGCTTTTGTCGTTCTTATAGAACCCTTTTCGCGCGATTATTGGCAATTGCAAGGCGCTTTACTAGCATCTTCCACGTCATTCATAGAATCCTTACATTGAACATATGTATATCGTGAACATCATATGGCAAAAGATCATCACTTATCATAGCAACACCAAAAGTTATATCATTGTGTCGTGGCGATGATATCAACATCTGTGTAGCAATATGGGTCGTACAGCCTTTTGTCACTCAACTCTATCATCTTGTAACATACATGCAATATCCAAAACAATAAAGAACACAAGTCTTGCCGAAAGTGTTCAGATACGTGCTATTGCTTTAGTGCTTTGCCAGCTACGTCCCTCTACACGACACTGGTAGCTGATCAGTGAGCAACCTGTACTCACAACAACAACAACGTCAATTCGCTATCAAGAGAAGATCTAAACTGGCTTGAACCCTTCGCAACAGGCACTTTTTCGACAACACACGGAGATACATCTTTATTCCTGAAGAGCAACGCACAACCATACAGGACCAGCTAGTCAAACGAAGATCGAAGAACAAGCAACCAACTTACCGCGTCGTCGTTTTCTTGTTGCTATTGGACAACTTCCTGCTGACGCTTCTTTATCACCATCATAATAATTTATTATGGATCATCGTGAACAAGCTCAAGACGGCCGTGGTGAGAATTCCACAGCTCCACAACAACCAGTGACCACTGAGGACACCGCTTTACATGTTATCATGCAATCACTTCAGGTCCTACTACAACAACACAACTCATCTTCTTCGGGTACCCGATCCACTGATGAACTGGATGGCATTCGATTGGTGCCACCGGAGGTATATCGTGGTGAACGTACCGCAAGCAGTGGAAGGATGGCTTCATGCCTTTGACAATTATTGCCGCCTGAAGAATAGTACTATAGTGAAGATGTCAAGGTGCGTTTTGCTTCCACTTTATTAGAGGAGAAGCTTCTGAATGGTGGCGACAATTACAAAATGACCCTGATGTATATGAACCAACCACTTGGGATGACTTCTGTGTCACGTTTCGCGATGAATTCAAACCCTAATAACTCTGAACAACTGGCTCGTGAGGCGTTTGGATCGCATTTCGCGAACAAACGGAAGGAAGCATTCGTGCGTATGTAGCTACCTTTCGTAAGCACATGCTCGAATTACCAAGTATGGATCCAGCCGATGCAATTTATCGTTTCGTGCAAGGGCTCGATGATGAAGCTCGCATGCAAGTGTTACTCCAGGATTTGGTTACACTACGTGATGCTTACAACGCGGCTGAACGATGAGTCGGCAGCCAACATCGCTCGTGGTGCGTGTGGATCGTCCTATTCAACATGGTACGATAAAGAAGGCATGTGGTCAAACGCAAAGTACAGCAAATCAAGGTGATGATCCTATGGAACTCGATGCAATGTGGGATGCTAGACAAGCTAGCAGGAGAATACCTCGTGGTGGATCTTGGCGCCAACCAATGAACAATCGAGGACGAGGACAAGGAGGTTTCATCAATCAACGTGGTCGTGGTGGCTATAAAGGTCCGCGTTACAATCACAATGCCAACATCGTTTGCTGGCACTGTGGCACAACTGGTCATGTGGAACGCAATTGCCCTACCAGAAATCATGCCATTAATGCCTATTTTGTACAACGTTTGGATGCAACCGCCCGGTGCCACGCCATACTCCAACCCAAGTTCATGCAATGGATGTACCTAGCCCTGATACAATTGAGTTAGATGAGGCTCGTTTTGATGCAGCTACAAGATCCATAGAATCCCACACCCCTATTGAAGCCAATAGAGAATCATCTAATATCTCGTACACTGATGTTGTTACATTACCTTTTGATGGTGAAAACAAGGGGTGGAGCGGTGATCCATGATACGGAATGGGAAAAGGATCGCTTCTTTCTGGAACAGCGATTGACTTGCGCATCAACGAATTGACACGGGATTACCATTGCATCGTGGGTACTTGAAAGGTCACCCTATCTCTATTCTTATCGATAGCGGTGCTAGTGCCAATTATATGTCACCTCGTTTTGTAACATTGGCTGACAAGATTGTACCTATTGCCACGCGTAAAAGTTGAAACAGCAAATGGTACTCCACACTTCCATTTCGAAGCGAGCTCACATCACGTTGGATCTTGGTGGTTACATTGCTACGGACCTTTCCGGTATACTTGTTTGATTCAAATTCGATATCATCTTGGGGCAAACTTGGTTACAGGCAGTGTGTCCTCAACCTCATTGGCCAACGGAACGCTGGACTTTATCTATCAAGAAGGCGACAAGCAATATGTATTGGAACCAATTCGAGATCATCCTCCTGAACAAGCACCTTCATCATTATATCCTTTGATCTCAGCTAAGGAATTAAAAAAGGTCATCAAGAACCAAGATGTGGAATATGGATACATGCTTCATGCATCAGAGATCTTTACGGAAATGGTGTATGCGTTGTCTTCGGCTAGTGTACCCGACACGAGGAGGAGGATGAGGATCATGCGAAAACCATCATTAAGGCTTATCCTAAGGTGTTCGATGAAAAAGGGTTACAAGGTCTACCACCCGATCGTGGAGTGCCACATGTTATCGACACGGGAAGTACGCCTCCAATCAATCGTCCACCATATCGAATGAGCCCACGAGAACTTGATGAACTCAAGAAACGACAATTGAATGAGCTGCTAAAATTGGGACTGATTGAGCCTAGCACATCACCATGGGGTGCACCGATATTATTCGTCAGAAAGATGGATCAATGAGGATGTGCATTGATTACAGGGCTCTCAACAAGGCAACCATTCGCAACACATCACCTCTCCCTAGGATTGATGAATGTATGGATCGGCTTCATGGGGCAGATACTTTGTAGCCTGGATCTTAAGAGTGGATATCATCAAATTCGCCTTGACCCAGCAGATGCACCAAAAACAGCCATGAACACACGTTACGGAAAATTTAGCTGGCGTGTTTTACCTTTCGGATTGGCGAATAGTCCACCGATATTTCAGGCACAGATGAATGCCACGCTTGGTAACTGTTTGGATGAATTTGCAATGGTATACTTGGATGACATTTTGGTCTTTAGCAAGACTCGAGAAGATCATGAACGACATTTGCGTCATGTGTTGGATCGCTTACAACAAGCTCAATTTGTGGTGAACCTAAAGAAGTGTCACTTGTTTCAACGCCATGTCAACTTCTTGGGCTTCACGGTATCGGAAAAAGGCACCACACCTGATGAATCCAAAGTCAAAGCAATTACCTCGTGGCCGACACCAACCAATGTACAAGAAGTACGGCAATTTGTGGGCACTGTACAACACTTTCGAAAATACATCCCAAATTTTGCTAGCATCGCTACGCCATTAACGGATCTCACCAAAGGCACAGGTGCTAAACGTAGACCAATCGTATGGACACCATCATGCCAAACAAGTTTTGACAAGCTCAAGCACATGCTTACGGTAGCTCCAGTGTTACAGGCGCCATGCATGGATCGACCTTTTAGGATTGAGACGGATGCATCAGATTTTGGTTTAGGTGCTGTTTTATCACAACCAAATGAACATGGTGATTGGCATCCTATTGCTTATGAATCTCGCAAATTTTCATCAGAAGAACGCTCCTATCCCGTTCAAGAACGAGAACTCTTGGCTATACTTCACGCTCTTCGCACTTGGCGTTATTTGGTTGAAGGTTGTTCTTGCGTTGTCCTTACCGATCATGAGCCGCTTACATATTTAAGATCCAAACCCAATCCCAACTCAAGGATCATTCGGTGGATCTCGGATTTTGAATTGTATCAACCTGATATCCAATATCAACGGGGTGATCGGAATACGGTTCCAGATGCTTTATCACGCCTTGGAGGTCCACAAAGCCCACCAGCCAACAACAGCTTCGAACCTGAGTTTTTATATGCTACACCTTTGGCTCATGAATCCGATTGGCCCAAGTACTACTTGCAACCTCGTGAAGAATGGCCTGCTGATTTGATACAACAATTGACGAACAATGCTTCAAAGTTTACAACACGTGATGGATGTGTGTTTCGCTTGCTCACTTCCACTGATAAGTCTCCATCACATGAGGTTCGTTTTGTTTTATTCGCTCGTCGTGCTGATTTAGTCACGAAGTATCATGAAAGCTATGGACACTCGGGTACTACGACTATCTATGATATCATGCACAAACGTTGGTGGTGGCCTGGCATGCAACAAGACATTAGTGCTTGGTTACGACAATGTCCTCGTTGTCAATTGGCATCCAACTCTGAGAAACAAATTCACCACGCACCGATGCGGCCACTCACTATACCGGAGGCATTCAGCAGATGGCATTTGGATTTTGTGGGTGAATTGCCACGCACCTTTCGTGGTAATCGTTGGATCCTTGTGGCCGTAGATTATACTACCAATTGGCCTATCGCTGTTGCCTTACCAGATGCTACTGCAGAGGCTATTGCCGACATCTTATACAAGGAGATTGTTATACGTTTTGGAGCTCCTACAGAAATCTTAACGGATCGAGGCGCAAACTTCATGTCACGTGTATTAGCACATTATGTCGCTCGTGTGGGGAGTCATCACAGCTTCACTTCAGCCTTCCATCCTCGAACAAATGGCAAATGTGAACGACTTAATGGGGTCCTCAAGCAGATGTTGCGTAAGTATGCACATGGTGACATCTATCACTGGGATGATTATTTGGAACCGGCACTATGGGCTTGCCGCATCAGGAAACATCGAACAACAGGCGTGAGTCCTTTCTACCTTACCTACATATGGTCGCGAACCCAAGCTTCCTGGTGATATCCTGCATCCTAGTTTGTTACGTGAATTGCCGTTAGACCCGCAAGCACAAGTGGATAGTGTTCTTCCTTCCTTACGTGCTCTTAAACAAGCCCGTTCACTTGCACGTGACCGAATGCAAGACGTCAGCCAAGCGGATAAATCACGATGGGATGCTCAATTAAAACCACAAGTGTATCATGTTGACGATTTTGTTTTATTACGGCATGAAAGCAAATTCAGCTTAGAATACAACTGGATGGGACCTTATCGCGTTATTGCAACACACAAGGATACCGACACTTACAAAATTGTGGATATGAACGACAAGCCGTACGCATCATGGGTTCATGCTGATCGATTACGCAAAATTGACACGCCTAGCAATCCCACTTCGACCTGGTATCATCCTACAGCCGCTCGCGCTAATGCTGCTCGTCACTTACAACACCAGCTTGATAATCTTTCTCCTTCTCATCATGATGTGGGGCCATCATCAGTCTCGCCGGGGGGATAATGTCGTATCAAAGTGATACTCAACATCTGTGTAGCAATATGGGTCGTACCCAATACCTTTTGTACTCCAACTCTATCATCTTATATATATACATGCAATATCCAAAACAATAAAGAACACAAGTCTTTCCAAAAGTATTCAGATACGTGCTATTGCTTTAGTGCTTTGTATAGCTACGTCCCTCTACACGACAATTGGCCACTGATCTAATCAGCCATACGATAACGACAATATCATCCGACATGTGACATGTCGCAAAAAAGCCCAACGGGGGACTCGAACCCCCAGCCTTGAGATTAAGAGTCTCACGCTCTAACCAATTGAGCTAGCTAGGCTTTTGCTATAATTTGTTCTTATTTTTCATCCGCGCGCACCTATATATGCGACAAAATTTCCATAGAAGGTAATGTTCTAAATCGTGAACGAAGCAACTTTGAAAGATCTAACAAGTACGAAAATGCAGCGGAATGCATTCTCTATCCGATGAGAAAATTGGTGTGTTGGTATGGGTGGTAAATGTATAGCAATTGCAGTTGAAAGAGTGGGTCGATGATCATTGGCCGGAATAAAAGGTGGAAGGGGGGCTCTTTTTTTTTTGTATGTAAGGAAGGGGGGCTCATATCCCTCCCGCCAGCTCAAGCTCCAAGGCACCCTTATAATGACATGCCTGCATAAATGAAACAAAACACCCATCACCCTTATACCGTTGATAGCATCGTATATGACTACGTGCAGCTACAGGCATTCAGGTGGTCAAGCTACATCTCCTGAAGGTTATACACCATATAATCAGTCTACTATTGTAGTTGCCACACACACACACACACACATGTATTGTTTTTTTTTAAGACTTTCTTTAATCATGAATAAAAAGAGCGACAATGGTCGACAATAAGCAGCTCGTATCAAATCGGCGAACAATGGTGTCTTCCATTGCCAATGGGATCGCGATTGAGAAAGCAAAACATAGACATGATGGCAAAAGTCAAGGGTATAAATATTATTATTAACTACTATCTGAGAGACACAAGAGGTGTATAGAATATCATTACGTATCATTAAAGTATGGATGATCCTATGAAGAAAAAGTGTGAGATTGTGTGTGTGTGCGTGCAAAAATGATCCTGTACTTACAAGGAGGTCAGCGGCTCTACCGCGTTCAGCTGGTTCTCGTTTCAATAGCATGGTGATGAGCTCTCTTGCATGTGGGTCGCCAACATTTCGCTCAAAGTTGGGAATGTAAAGTTCCTTATGCTCGTCCCATCGCAGGCCATTGTTCAATATGGGTGTTGCTGATGATGGATGGGATACGAAATGCAAAATAGTACCATCCTTGATATTGCTGGCAAACAATGCATGCTTGGTCTCGAGCTCGTAAATCACGCAACCCAGGGCCCACAGATCCACACTAGGCGTAGCAACCACACCATTTGCACCTTCCAATCCATAGGTTGTTGCACGAGCTACTTCAGGTGGACAATAACGTGGAGTAATCACGCCAACACATTCTTCACCAATGGTCCGACTTGCTTCGAAATCAATCAGCTTCCATGGTTCCCCTTGTCGATGCATGATATTACTTGGTTTGAGATCACAAAAAGCGACACCTTGAATTGATGAAAATAATGATGATGAGCATATAAAAATCAAAGGCAAGAGAACATGCTTACCGCGTGAGTGACATAAAATAAGGCATTCAACAATGTTGCGTGCAATATCTCGTTTTCGTTGATGGTTCCATGTTGTTGTATGATTATCCGATCGTGCTTGTTGAATCACTGCTCCCAATGTTTCTTCCAAACGTTCCATAACTGTGCAATATTTCATTCGAGTCTCATCATCTTCAGTTGCAGAAACATTCTCGTCTTGGATCGTAAGGACTTCCAAAAGCTCCACCACATGAGCCGATTTTAATCGAATGAGAGTTCGGCATTCTCGTTCCCAGGCTTCTCGTCTTCCAAACCACTTTATCGTAGCCTCCTTTTCTAATGCTGATTCAGCGGCATTGGTATCAATCTTGTTGACATACAAAATGCTATTGACAGGCCCAATAATAGGATCACGTTTTGAATCTGCTTGATATCGTTTTGGGAGCATGTTGACAAGGGGAGAAAGAGATGTCGTAGTAGTAGTCATGTCCTGATGATTGTTGGATGTCTCAAGACTCGTAGCCAAAGGTGTTGATGGTCGATGATTGTCAAATCCAATTTGAGTCAAGTTTGTTGGTGATCCCACTGTGGCAGCAAGTGATGAAAGGCTCTGTGGGTTGTGATGGTCGATAGGGATGTCCTTATTGTGTTTGGCAAGACGTGATGCTGGCATTGAAAACTCGTTTGGCTTTTGACGTGCAATCTCCTCAGGGTTTTGTGCGTTGCGTAATTCGCTGTCAGGGACGAGTAAAACTTTGCTATTGTGTCGTGAGTTGCGGAAGCTGTGTGTTGTACTTGAATAGTTGGCTTGATCACTCGCACCATCCATCTCCTGTAGCACGCCTGTCATAACATGATCCATATCACCAAGCTCCGAACGTACTCCCAATGTCGAATCTCGCATCGTGGTTGAATGAGTGAGAGCTTTTGAAGCACGTTTGCGTTGAGGAAATGGGCTCATAGGTGCTACAGCAACGCCATCATCATGCAATTCATACAATGATCCATTTTGGTCGCCATTCGTCCAATAATGAGGATGTCTTGCATAATAATCCGGTTCATCAGTCTTTTCAGAAGCATTGTCTTCTTCACGTCGTCTTCGTTGTCGACGTCGCCATAAAAGAAAAAGACCAGCAATCAAGGCTAAGCCCACAACACCACCAACCACGCCGCCTGCAATGGCACCCGTGTGATTGCTTGTAGAAGAGCCGTCCTTGTTGGAGTCTTCAATACCAGTCGTTGCTATGCGTGTCCAACTCCAATTTTCCATATCAAGCATGTACATGTTGGAATCACCAGTAGCACGTCCTCCCCAACCACCAAAGATGTACATTTTCTGGTTACTTTCATCAACAACAGAAGTGTGTCCTAAAAGAAAAAAGAATCAATACAATTGACATGGTGCACAATAATGCATGTATGTATTTACCCATTCTCGCTCCAGGACCTTGCCCTTTGTTGCTGACATCTTGTCGTTGCCATGTCAACGATGGATATTGTGAAGCGTCGAGAATCCATACATCAGAATCCACCGGGCTTTGAGTGCCACCTCCATAGACAATCATCTTGTCCTTTAAGCAATTGGCAGTGTGCATTCTGCTTCCACCAGGGGCACCACTCGATCCTGCTGACACCGATACTTGAAGATTCCATGACTTGGTGGTGAGATCGTAAATGATCACATTCTATCAACAAGGTTTTTGAATGAGTACTACTACTACCAAACAACAAAGCAGCGTATCACTTACCGCTGATGCATCAGCTCCTTGTCCAGTTTTTGTGCCACCAAATGTAATAAGGCAATTGCAAGATTGAACATAGCATGTCGAGTGTGCCATAATTCCATCACCATTTGAGCCTGAAGTCCAAGCAAATGAATTGGAATCAAGAGCATAAAGGCTATTGAGTACTGCGTTGGTCTGTGGATGGCCGTTTGCGTCGACAGAGGCGCCTCCATATGTGTAGATGGTGTTGTTGATCAATGTAATAGAAAAGAATGCTGCTGAAGAAGGTGAAGTCGTTGCTTTTATAGACATCCAATGTGAGTCATTGTACAAATAGAGGTAAAAAAGATCCACTTACAGGAAGATGGGAAGCTCCAACTCCAACTATTGGTATCCAACTTTTGCAAAGACATGCCTGATGTACTGTTTCCTCCAACAATGAGCATTTGACCCGAGCTTGGCAGCTTTGTAGCACCGAAAAAGATCTGTGGATTTGGCTGTGTGCTGGAAGCAAGCTGAGGATGATACCAGGAACCATTACGCGAATCCCACACCCAAAGACTAGTCGTTCCGTTTGCTGCGTTGCTATAGTCCCCATTTGTATCTTCAGTGCCTCCATATACAATGACATAGGGATCCAGAAATGCTAGTGATCAAGACAAGGATTGAGCTTTTTTTTGTGTCTAGTGGGGAAGCGAGTGGGGGATGGGAAAGAAAAGGAATGACGGTGAAGCATTACCCGAGACATGACCTGCTCTCCATGGAACCTGGGTCTGAGAGTCGCCGAGCTGCGAATGCACGCCACCAATGACCCAACCCACTAGAATGAGGAGTGGCGACCAACGATACATGTAATAAGCGAGTTGTACGAGAAAGAGAACAATAATGAACTTTGTCTTCCAAGAATGCGGACTTGATCCATGTGCAACCTCTTGAAAGAGCCCATTTGGCTGCTATGTTACACATTGCAAATGGATGATCCCATTGCAGTCGGTGTTGCACGATAAACTACCGTGGATCTTGATTGTCGTACCATCATCCATCGTTATCAATGTCATACCATTCCAATTATCACTACCACTAATGATGATCCTCTACTGTGATAACAATCAAAACTAGCAGTGATTCCAGGGGAAAAGCCTTCATGCACTGCACATGTTTTTCTCAATGATCCTCGCATCCACCATACAAAAACGTGCCATTGTTATTTTTCTTTGTGTATAAATGTGGTCTCATTATCTCCTGTACTCCTTAGCTACACTACTCGAATGACGTTGTTCATGAATGTCAGCGTTATCGTGGCTATCGTCGAGACACCTTCAGGGTCAACAACAAGGGTTGCACCAAGGGCTATGATTGCTTTCCTCCCCCCCTCAAAGTGTGATGGATACTTTTTACAGGCCCACTATCATCGACGATCACTATTGGTATCTCACAAGAACCACACGTTGTATTATGTTGTACCTGAAACAAAAAGCAAGCATTGATTCATTCCACCAAGGAGATCAATGCACGTGCCGGGGATAATGACGGGGCGCCAAATTGATCTTTTCTTTCCTCTTCCCTGTTGCCTTGTCTACCACCGTGTTCTCAGAATGGTCAAAGCCGTCAAGGGTGTACTCCTGGAATGCGATCCCACAGTGAAGCAGATCGTGCTCAATCTCAACGAGCGAGGCAATTTCGTCATTGAAGATTTGGATGAGACCCATCTATTTGTGGAAGCTTCATGCGTGCAAGAGTTGCAGTATGAGCTGGATCGGATCCTGGACGAGAATTCATACACGATATCAGCCGAAGAACGCGACAGCCGAAAGAACTAACGACCTGCATCAATGGGCGATGTATATCCAATGACGCCTCGTGCTGTATATCCAAAGCCGACAGAGACAGCAACCGGATCAATATCAGTAGTAGTAACGTACATAGTTGCTCAAACACCCGCGGCCAAAACATGATGATAGTGACCAATTACATGTGGAACTTGCCAATAAACCCAAGACTTTTTTTGCGATCAATGTGATGGATAGGATATGGATATGAAGGGGGGAAGGATTGTATTCAATGCAGCTGCTTTTATAAAAGCGCTATTTTTGTATCATCGCATGATATCTTTGGCTTTGAATAACGGCTTTGGTGTCTTAGGAGTGGGGGGAGGTGTCAATAGAGCATACTCTAAAGCGTCCTTGAGGATCATCCAACGGCCTTCAGAAAATCTGTACACCAACCATAAGGAAACATGTATGACTTTATCAAGCAGCGACTCATAGATCTTGAAGGTTTATTGATTTCAATATACACAAATCGGTGCTCCCTGGCATGATGACTTCCCCTTCTTTGAAAGATTAGCATGGTTATCAAAATCACACTATCGTCGAGAGATGAAGCAATCAATTACTATAATCGGGTCACATGGTGGTAGATAGGATGGATGATTGTATATCACTTCTTCGGTTTCACAAAGACGTCAATGCTCATCAATCCTTTGGATTCTTGCCACGTGGATAAGCTTATATGCCCAAAATCTTTGACTAACCCCGAGAATACGGACAACACTGGTGATGTAAATACTTTGTCATTGCTCAATAAATGATCCATTACAAAGGTTATTTTGCATAACGGCTGCCAGTCAATAAATGTGATCATAATTTTTCGTTCGATACCAATCTGTGCTCTAAAGATCGTCTCGGAGCCAAACTAAAACGGCACCATACCGAGAGTGTGTTGATTGTCCTACAGCACTTGCATGCATATACCTAAAGTGCCATGATGGTGATGGTGGCGGTGTGTGTGTGTGGCAATAATCACGATGATGGTTTCATTCAAGTATAGGTGATAGAAAAGATGCATTAAACAAGTGGGATAAATGATGATCCTTATATGTTTCAGGCATGTAAAAAGCACAATGTGAATGGATACAGCGGCAGGGACACCTTTTCACACATCCGATGTGATACAAAACCCGCTCTTTGTGGTTGGCAAACGCCTTTTTCTGTACCCCTTTCGGACTAAGCAGTTTGTGCCCTTTTTTCTTTTTCTCTTTTCTTTATTCTTTTCTCGCATGACCACCGTCAAGGCCATTGCGCCTACTTTGCACTTGGATGAGCATGACGACGTGCCCATGGCCATTGCAGCCCCTCCCGCTTCCTACACTTCTCCTCAAATGCCATCCCGACTTCGATCCCTTTTCAACAGCAACGACACAGCAGCTATCACAGCAACAGTGCCTCCCCCTTCTCAACCCACATCATTCTCTGTGCCAAATGATTTCGACACTACAACCGACACACAAAAAGGATTCAAAAGCAACTCATGGTTCTTGGCTTCTTTAACTGGAAATAAGAACAAAGGCATACGTCGTGTTGCGTCGGCTCCTAACGCCAAAATGTTACAAATGCAACAAAAGCATCAGCCGCCTGTACCTTCACCTTCCGCTGGTACTCAGTCATTACGAGTCGTATCCAACCAACAATTGCCCTATTCAGGTTCCATGTCGTCGTTGCAACAACAACAACAACAACAACAACAACAAAGACGTGGATTTCGACGCACCTATTCTTCAAACAGCATCAAAGTCAAGAACCTGGAAGTAGGTCCATCCAGCTTCGTCAAAGTCAGAATGCTTGGCAAAGGAGATGTCGGCAAAGTCTACATGGTTAAGCAAAAAGGCAGCGATCGTCTTTTCGCTATGAAAGGTATGAAAGGGAACATGAGTTCGGCCATCATCGTGAGATACTCAATGATCTGCATAGTGCTTTCGAAACGTGAGATGATCAAACGCAACAAAATTAAACGTGCTTTGGCCGAACAAGAGATCCTCGCCACATCCAATCATCCCTTCATTGTTACATTGTATCATTCGTTTCAAAGCCAGGATTATTTATACTTTGTCATGGATTATTGTATGGGTGGCGAATTCTTTAGAGGTACGATGATAATAGCTTCAGCTTTTTTTGATATCAAAAGTATTGATGAACTCCTCCTTTAGCTTTGCAACTTCGGCCAGGGAAATGTCTTGATGAATCAGGTGCACGATTTTATGCAGCAGAAGTGACCGCAGCTCTTGAATACCTTCACTTACAAGGCCATATCTACCGTGATCTCAAACCAGAGAGTAAGCATCTTCTGTTGATTGACACCATCCCACGATCATTAACCTTGTGCACCTTTGTTGTAGATATCTTATTGCATCAGAGTGGCCATATCATGTTGACAGACTTTGATTTGAGCAAAGGAACAAGTCCTCCCGGCAAACCTGGAGTCATTCGCTCCAACTCATCCAAAGTGGTACGTAAGGCTTGTATTTGAATCATTGGATCAAAGGTTTCTTATTCCTTCTATTGCTTTTAGCCACCCTCCATCGACACTAAACGCTGCGTCAATGACCTAAGAACAAATAGCTTTGTGGGAACCGAAGGTAATACAATATTAAAATCGGAATGACATGCATTATCTTACTTTTATGAATCCATATTGTAGAATACATCGCCCCTGAAGTTATCAAAGGATGCGGACATACGAGCAATGTAGACTGGTGGACGTTGGGTATCTTGGTGTATGAAATGCTGGTAAGTGTGTGCTTATGCAAATGGTGGCGATCGTGCAAAGACCAACATGCTGACTTGTGTATGTGTGACATCTTTGTGTCTTTAGTATGGTACTACCCCATTCAAAGGTGGAAACCGCAACGAGACCTTTGCTAGTGTCCTTCATCATGATGTGCAATTCCCTCCACAACCTTCACCCTACCACAAGAATATCTTATCCAACAATTGCAAAAACGTGATTCGCAGATTACTCCATAAGGATGAGCATCGTCGTTTGGGATCATGTGGAGGAGCTTCGGACGTCAAGAGTCATCCATTTTTCAAGACTTTGAATTTTGCATTGCTCCGCAATCTACAACCACCGATTGTGCCACGTGTGCAGGAACCCAATGGCATCGACGCTATCAACTTTAGAAAGATGCCACCAGAGAGCATGAGCCTGGATCTCGAATCTGATAGCATCATTGCTAACGGCAACAGTCTCTTTGAAAAATTCCATTCCAGTAAGCTCATCTGTCGCCATGGCAACAACGTTTATCATCATTCACTCATTCATTTATTCCTTCCTTATAGTTACATTGTATCACGAAGGCGATTCTGATTCCGAGTTTGAGGTCTAGAATCCTTTAAGGTTTCTCGTTCTTCTGATGCCTCATCCCAATACCCTATATATTACACCTATTTATTCAATGCTGTTTTACAAAGTTTTCCTCCCATCGCATTATTCTCTTGCTAGTTTTAATTTCATACGGTCCTCCAACATTCTTCTTTAGTCATTCTGGAAAAAGCCAATTACAATAATACTATTACTGTGTAGACGTTTAACTATCATCAATTATTGTTGTGGTGGATATCCAAATCATCAACGCTGAAAAACTCGCATCGATCTTGCAACCAGTCTTTTTGCTTTCCTCCATTGACAAAGTCCTCGAGATTCCATCCTTGTTCTTCGAGTATGCCCTTATCACCAATCCACAGGTACACGTCGCAATCTACCGGTTCTTGTTGACCATCTTGATCATCCGAAATTGCCGTCACCTGCACAGGGGTCCGCTTGTATTCCTGTTGATGCATGAAAATGAGTACTCAGATAGTAATGTTGGTGTTGGCTTACTGCTTACAGGTCCTTCAAAAGCATCAAGACGGTTCACATCTAATGCATGGAGCCCTTGAACGAGGATACCAGTGACCTCATCCTTGTCATCACCCGTGTATACAACTGCAGGGTAATCTCGGCCCTTCAATGCATGTCGTCTATGTCCCTGAATACAAACGTCATGCGTCAATCATCATCATCAAGCGATCCATGTATCTTTTTTTTCCCATGCTACCTTGAGTACAGCATGCTGCGGCTTTATCTTTGAATTCTTAAGCTCGTGGTGGTCAACAGACGCATCCGCACCGCAAAGCACTTGAGTATTGTAAAGCAATGAGTGCCCATGTGCATAAGAGACAACTTCCAACCCATTGCGAATGTACCTCGATTGCGTACGACGGGCGACATTAAGGTGCCATAAAAGAATGCTGCTGCTGTCATTGGGACGTTTACAAACAAGTTGACGGTGCTTGCGTGTCGTGTGCTGTACGTTTTATATTGCTCGCGGACAAGCCGATTAGAGTTTACTGCTGCGGATGCAATCGGTCCCAACCTTGGGTGTTACATTTATGCATTTGCCACCAGGATCAGGTACCAACAATGATGCCATCATCTGCAACCTGCTGAGCACAAAAAATGACTCATCCTGCTTATCAAGGCGCCTTGATGAAATTACTACGAGCCATCAGCAGTAGTAGTCGATAGCAAGCCATTATGCAACATTCATCACACACATCAGCATCCAGCAATGTAAAGTCGAGAAGCATCCTTAGTCAAAGGCGTGATGATCCATGATCGTGAGAATCCGTACTACCGGTTAAGTTTGATGATGATCCCCCATTTGACCCATGGGTAAAATAGTAATGAGTCAAATCACTTTACATGAATAAAGAAGAATGTATTCCCTGGCACTATTGAGCCGCCACGTCATGTCGTAAAAAGAATACACCATCCTCACGGTAAATGTCATCAAACCATATGTTGCTGTTTTGGAGGGATCACATGTTTATCGGCATCATCACACACGAGGGATACAATGGGCATATGAGGAATTTCTGGGAGACTTCCCATTTGTCTAAAGATGTTAAATGAAGCACTGCGCCCGAGGTGCCATTGTTTTGGTGTGAATCCTTATATGGCATCATTCACCTTTCATGATACATGCCGTCAAAATTACTCATTCAAACCTTTCACAGCAGCTACTGCAACGAAGCAATGTTAAATCAGCAGCAATACCACACGCTGCTTCACTACTTTTGTATCAAACGTCAACTTTTTGTCATATAGTTTAATTAAAAACAAGCTCGGCAGCAGTGTCAATTGCATGATGGGATCGGCATCAACGTTTTGTGTGGAAAGCGAAGCACGCACCAGCAATGACCCGCTCTTTTTCGATCGTATTGCTTTTATCTCTTACCATCTTTGTTCATGATACCCAAGACAAACCTTGGATGATGATAATGATCCATCAACAATGCTATCGTCACAATCAATGATGCTCCAAAGTAATGCGTGTACGTTTACCGATGTATTAGAGCGATTTATTGATTATTACGGAAATTGGGTGTGGCAATTGAAAGTGTGTTGTGTGTGTGTTGTGTGTGTACAGCGAAGAAAAAAAAGTTGGCTAGGTATGAGAAAGGAAATATGAAGCATGTGTGTGTGTTTTGTGTATGCAGTATATGATTTGCATTGAACCATAGGGGTGCTCCAAGTAAAAGAAAATATCTACAATGAAACGTTTGTTTTTTTGGGGGGTCATTAAGGTGGAGCACCAAAAGGAAGGCGAGAAAGAGAGTGTGCGTGAAAAGACAATAGAAATGGCAAGAGATAGGTTGCGTGGTGATTGTATGGCGTGTTGTATGTGGTAGTGAGTAGATAGAATGAAGAAGAAAAGTTGATGCAATTGATTTCCATGGATGATGCACAGGGTATAAGATGATGATGAAAATCGGGATATGTAACGTTATAGTATGATCAGTAATGGGACGATTAGGTCGCAGTAGTTTTGGTAGTAGTGGCATAACGAGCGCTCGGGACAATGAGTGGTGGAAGGCGTGTATCACCATTGTCAACAGAGGAGGTTGATGATAGACGTCGTTCAGGATAACATGGAGCCGCCATATCGGGTGACGTGAACAAAAGTTGATGAGGAGAAGGCAACAGCTGATGTTGCTGATGCTGATGGTCAGGTGTTGACGAAGACATGGTAGATGAGGGCGGTGGTGGGGTGCATGGATACCACGAAGGTGAGAGTGATGCAGCCGATGAAGCCGAGTGGGACGAATCAGGTGATGTAGGTGGGGTCACAGGACGCTGTTGTTGTTGTTGTTGTTGCTCATCTTGTTCAAGGATGCTGCCTGTAGAGCGCTTACGTGATTTACGGATGCCTTGTAAAGTACGGTATCGGTTGAAGCAGGTGGCCCGTTTTCTGTGGGGAAGTTGACGAGAAATTTGGCCCCATGTAAGACCTTTGGCAACACCCTCACAAATGATTGTGTCTTCCACATCCGAAAAACGGCTACGTGGCTTGCCGTGTACTTGCATTAATCGACGTTCGTATCCAATTGGCGATAGTGGCGGTGATGTGAGACGACGACCATTCACAGGTGAAAAGCATGACATCCGGCGTTGTGATGGTTGCTGTTGTTGCGGGTGATTCAAAATGTCAGATACTATAAACATTGTGTTGTGAGCAAAGATCATCATGTGCATGGGAGCTATAAAGCAATGGCAATCAACATACTGTTCATAACGAAAAGTGGTTGTGTAAATGCTGTAATGGAAAAAGTGATATGGGAGTTGTGATGTTTTTGCACGTCAAAGGGAGATGCTTTTATATCTTGGGTGTCATGGTTGCCTTGTACGATCGATATATATACCAAGGGACGAAGATGAACGTGTATGTGCCACATTAGGATAGTACATAATACTTACTTTATCCGATCCTGAATGCGGCACAAATGTATAAATGTCAGAGGTGTATGCATACACACACAAACCCTTTCCAAAAGTATTAATGTGCTACGTTCTGGAAGGGAGAATAGGTGTGTGTGTCTGTCCTCGGATCATTACCAATTTGTACAAAGACATCGCACACACAGATCACCCTTGTTGCATTGTATGGCTTGATCTGCAAAACGATCCCTTTTGGTGGACCCCTATCCCTTTTCCATGTTTCCCAATCCGTGTGTGATCAAAAGAATCAAAATTCCAATGCCATTATACGAAAAAAGGGGGTTAACAAGAGCGGGTCAAGGTAGAGGAGTTGCTGTAATCTTTCTTCACCCCGAAAGAAAAAAAAGTCATCAGTGGTCATTATCCCTTCAACCGTTTCCTGATTTGGTGCGGATACCATCATTCAAAGCGAAACATGGTTGACATGTTGGGGGTGGGGATGAAAATGTACACAAGCTTCATTTTCATAAACGAAAAACAAAACATATAACACAAATGGAAAGGAGACCAGGGGAGCACTGGTGCGAAGAATGAGAGAAATCATCAATTACAGGCATGGATCGCCATATTTGGCCTGTATTGTAACTGCTGTTTTTATGGTCTAATCGAGGATTAGGCATCAACAACAACAACAAACAACAACCTTGTTTTTTCTTTCTTTATCAGCGGTGTCACGCTACACAAGGGCTGTCAGAAATAGATTTTGGGAAAAATGACCCTGTGATCATTATGCACAAAGAGCACAATGCTCTGACCAACCAAAAATCTCGAGAAGGGACAAAGCAAAAGGTGGTGGTAGTAATAGTAGTATTGGTAGTAGTGCCATTGTGTGCGTGGTATGGAAGGGGTGAGGAGTAATGGATTAGGAAGGAGCACTATTACAAATGCCATTCACAAAAGGGATTCATTGTGCAATAGGAGACGCATCAACCAACACTTGCATGCCGTGTGGAAGATAAAAAAAACAATGGTCATAACACACCTCCACCAATATTGGCAGTATTAAGGCATGAGGATGTAGTGGTGGGTAAAAACAGCAAGCAAAAGTAACACTGTGGGGGAGGCGCATGTGATGTTTTGCATCATGCCAACGATCACTGCTACTACGTAGTACTACTACTACTGTTGCAAATGGCTAACCATCATCACACTTTTGCATTTTTGGACCTTTTCGGTGGCACCCTTCAAAATGGACGTGATCGCTGGTTGGCTTAAGCCCCACTTTGCACTTGCTTTTTTAGTATTCTTTCTTCCATACTTGCTAGCATGGTGTATTGCTCCTACTTTTTCCCTATCATCTCTAATGAAATGATATTGTAGCAGCTGCACGCGGATGATGATTCAATGATGGTGCATGCTAACCGTATGAAGATCGATGAACAAGCGAGGAGATGTAAAAGGCTGAAAGGGTGATGTATCTGTGTGCTCGCGTGTTTTCTGATAGAGCTGTGGAAGGAGAAAACCAGGTCGTCATAGTGACCTCGTTGGTATCAGTAACCCCGTGATGGTCCCCCTCGATCTTTGCACTCTCAGGTACATCATCATTCAGCAGTGTGCAAGTGGCTCGTTGTTCATGCGCTTGAGAGCATCCCTTCTCTGCACAGCTTATACCCTCCTGGTTGTTACATGGCGCCTTAGTTAATAAGAAGCACATGAAAATTGCATGCTCACCTACCCTATCATTCATCTTTAAGAGCTGCTGCAGGTTAAACCTGTCAAAAACTGGTTTTTTTCTTTGGCGTAGCATTTTTCACTTTGATGGAGCTATAGCTATAGAACACATGCACACATGCATTCACCTGATGATGAGATGTTTTCAGCGGCATAATAGCTTGTGCTGACAATGGTAAGGATAACAGCAAGGGGATGCTCAGGTGTAACCTTGCAGTGTTTTCTCACACATCATCGACTCGAATGTCTGTGTAATAGAAAGCTTGCATCGACCATGATCGATTTAGAAGGCATATCCATGTGCATTTGCAAGGAGATGTTAACAAACCTATGCGTATGTGCTCACTCGATCTCCTTTTACATAATGATCCTTGCTCATCTCCCTGAATGTGCCTGTGCATTGGTTCCACAAACATGCAAAACAAAAAGCCCTTGCCCTACCCCCCGCCAAAATCCAGGTAGCTGGTGCACACAGTAGTTTTCCTTGATTCATTCCCAAATCAAGATGATTCAATGTATAATCCAATGATCGATGCTTATTTGTGATCAACTATGGAGGTTGCATTTACACCAACAATGTAATGTGAAAAATTTCGAGCCGTGGTTGAAACCATTAATTTTGATCTCTCATCGAATCGTTCTTTGTTGGTGTGCTTCCCATTTCTAGCTGCATTGCCGTGATGTATGGAGAGAAAGGGTCTATGCTATCTCCTTGCCTAGCATTGAAGAGGTGTATCAAGTACTGCTGTTTGCCCCTACCACTATAGAAGTTTTCTCCTCATGATGTGTGTGTGCGCATTACAGGGCATCTCCTTCTCTTTGGTGAACAAGTATTATTGTTATCCAGAAGAATTTTGCCTACTCTCCCACCAGCAAAAGTGAAGGAGGCCATTATTTCGGTTTGTCTCCATTGATCTCCCCACCATGACCTAAAATAGGCTCCTTGATGACCTCGGGGATGATGTTTGTTCATGTCGTATAGCTTCGTGGCGCACGGGCATTTCCTTAATGCAAACACCTTTCCAAATAGATCGATCTTGTTGGGATCCTAGACCTAGAGAAGGGGGATTTATCCACAATGCACCATTCCATTTCCTTCAACTACCCCGGTTATCAGCATTTATCATCATGTTGTAGATCACACACTATTAAAAAGTAGAAGATAGCATCAAGCATTCTTTATCTTATACAACCAGTGCATAACTAAGGATATGATATGGGGTGAGCAGTACTATAGCTGAGCTATTACGAATGCTGCTTAGAGCTTGGCAAGCGACTTGCGAGCAAGTGTGGCAGTAATCAAGCCTAAAAGATTAAAAAAGTAGAGGTGAGTAATGATTTTTAAGCATTCATGTATATGTTGAATGACCAAACACGTACCAGATGGATCGGGTTGAGGATAGTAAGTATCCATGTTCTTGCCAGTGTTATCAATGTTGAGCTTTGTGAAGCGGCTAAAGTCAATGCCAACATAGTGCTTGTTGGGGAGTGCGTAGTAGACTTCGGCAATTTCGGGGAAGCGAGTGAGGATTTGCTTTTGCATGAGGTATAGGGTAGCTTGCACCGAAGGTGATTCATCCTTGGCAAAGGTGTCAGTGGTGATCTTGCGTACACCTTCATGGACAGCGGGGTAGTCAATGTTACGCAACACAGAGGGCGAGCTGGAAGCAAAAGTCCAGGTACAATCGACAGCAGTAGAAAAGATACGATCCCAAACTTCAGGCAAGGTGGTGTATTCATCACGATGGAAATCGTAAAAGGCGGAGCCGGTTGTCTTCAACACCAACAACTTCTTAAGACCAGAAGTAATCTTCATCTTGTTGCCTTGGCGATAGTGATCCAATGAAGTGGTTTGGATATCCTCGCCATCACGAACAAAAGAGTGAGGATGGGGTTGGCCATCCACAATGAGTCTTGTCCACTTGTGCTTGACGATATCAACGTGAATGCTGCTAAGGTGAGAGTACTTGTCCAAAAAGTGGGTCGAGAGCTCTTGAGCAAACACCTCAATGTTTTCCACATTGCGGCTGCGTTTGCCAAAGATGTTGATGGTGTTCTTCACGGTGTCTATCATCCATCGCGTTTAATACATTGCCCATGTATTTTGATTATCCCATAAAAGTCATCCATCTTATTACCAGTAGCAACGACCACCGAGTTGTCAGCCTTGGTGTACGAGGTTTCAATGTCACCTTCCAAGAGAAGGCGAACAGTGAGTTCAGCACAACGCTGCACCTTGCCATCGCGATAGACACGCATAAAGCGCACGAGGTCCTTGCCATAGCGAGCAGTCTTCAAGTAAAAATCGGAATCAGCCATGTTTGCGTTTGTTAGAGAAGAGTAGTGTTGTAGATGATGAACGAAATTCACCGAACACTTGCATAAGTTTGCTTATATACTTTTTTTTCATCATCCTCGGCCCTCGGTAATCCGCATGAATGTCGTGGTTGTGATCAATGCATCCGCGAATTTGGAGGTGGTGGATCGCCAAATGTAGAAACTAGTACAACGTGTTGCTATTTTTCGCACGCTGGTGGCTCTTCGCACTTACCCCACATTTTGAATGTCGCTGGTATATTTGTACTCTGATTGGCCCCCTACATGCCATCTCTTTTGAAAAGTGGCGTGACCTATCGAACAACATCCAATGTGGCATTCGATATACTATCTTCAACCTCTTGTATCGTGGGACAGGTTTCTCTTTAAATGAGAGTGAGATGCTGATAAGCCAAGTATATCCACACACAGTCTTAAAAATACCATTGTTTGCAAGGACCAATGATTTAGAGTGATAGATAAAACGTATGTCAATGCCTTTCACACTGCGCATAATCTCACTGCCAAAAGAAGAAAATCAAAGATGTATAGCTGTTAACTCTCTGACCTTCATGTACAGCTAAAGAACACGTATGCGCTCACCACCACCAGCATGTCTTCTTTTTTTTTTTACATTGGGTATACCAATCATTAATTGCATCACATGAATCCAAGATACAGCATTTCAATTATCCAAGAATATAGAGTCTATAGCTATATATCTTACACGTGTACGTTGAAGCATGTTTGTTTTCCCAAGCACAGAGTATGCAACTACTTAGCAAATCCCCACATACAATCCCAATTGTCGACTGCTACAGCCAAACTCCTGTACCACCATCCGCCCCTGTGTACATCCAAATAACCACATGACCTGTCAGATTTCAAAAAGACGAGTATATTTGAGAATGCTGTTTTCGATAGTCTAAGGTAAGGAAGGCCGATTGGTTATGAAGCAAGTTAATACATTTTTCAATATAGCCCCATATCCCACACCTTTTTGGGATGTTTATTGTCACCCCCTTACCTATATCTTCTTTCACGACGTAACAATGACACCACTTTTTCATCCAATCAAATGCTCCATGATACTGCCATTGTCGAGAAAAGCGATGATACTGCTAGGATGGTCAAAGCGACAGGGTTTAAGGATGTGCCAGCTCCCGTCACATGATCTTGCTGTTGTTGCTGATGCTTAGCTGAATCCGAGTGCTCATTTGATTTCTTTTCATCGGATGAAGAAGAGGAAGTTGATGATGTTGTTGCCCCAGGAATCACTGCTGTGGATACTTTGGTTGAAGAAGAAGATGTTGCAGAACGTCGGTGTGTTGCATTGCCACCTGTAATACTGAAACGACCCGAATACGAAAAAGCACTATCCTCCATGGTCAATGAGGAGCCCAAAATATCCCGACATCATGCAAGTTACTTACGGCTCATCATCATCATCATCACTGCCTTGATAAATAAACTGCAACGCGTACGAGGCATCAGGTTCAAGGTCTGAAGGGGTCTATAATAGTAACATGTGAGCTCAATAATGATCACATCAACCACAAGATACTATACATACCTGCCAATCATGGTGTCCTGCATCACCCTGGACAGTGAATTCGTATCCACTTGGCTGTAATGGAGATGTGCCTGTTTCTTGTAGCAACCTTACTTTGGCCTTTTCATCCACGCCATTAATCCATCCTGTAAACATCATAAGAGTCAATATCCTTGAACCATTCTGATTTCTCCTGTGGGCTAATACTTGCTGATAGTAGCACTATATAAAACCAAGAGATCAATACCGCATATACCAAACATGCAAAAGACAACCTACGTTTCTCCAGCTTTGTAAGCGGTGCCTTGTAGCGGTGAAGTGATGTAGAATGGAGCATCCTGCTGTGCATAGATGAGCGTAGCAAGAGGAAGAACAACCAAATTGATATAATGAATGAGATGCATCACGTTAATAATTATACCGTGATAGAATACGTGGATGATTCACCTTATATATACGCACATCATTTGACAATGACCATCGACATTATCCTCTCCTATCCATCGACTCCGGGTTTGGATTCCATCATCACGATAATACGGCGGCCAATGTTTGGATATGAAAAAGGATCAACCGAGCTTGTCCGTGCCAGACACCATTCTGTGGAATTCATTGATATGATTCACCCCAAAAAAGGACAAATAAAGCAGAACACATCCAGAGATAGATAAACAAAGAGGAGAGGTTGTAAGATGATGAATGCTGCTCCTATATCAAAGACCATATTTTAATCCAAACGATACAGAGTCGTAAAGAGGGAGTTGACAAAGGGAGTTTATTGTATATGTGTACCATGTATGCTGTAGTAAGCTACTCTTCCATAGGATTGTGATCCCACTTTTGTTTCTTGGATCGCTTTGGCAGGGTGATCTTGACTTCGGAATCGTCGTCATTTTGAGCTGCATCGTATTCTTCAGGTACAGCAATAGGCTCCTCTGGAATCTGCAAGCCAATCCACTCGTCAGCGAGAATAGGTAGGTTGGGCATGTCCCAATGCAAGTAGTTGAATGTGCTGTCGGTTTGCATGTGCTGATATGAATTGTAGGGTATAGGAGGAGAATGAGAAGCAAAGATCAGCCGTCCATTGACATCAACCACCGCCTTCATGCATCCCACATATACTTCCTGTATCATAGTCACCCATTTTCCACACCTATAGACATGTAGAAGATCATCACATCGAATAAAGGCTTACTATGTTATGCACATTGGTCTCATTGAAATGATGCATTCTCCATCCTAAAAGCAAAGTCGAATATGGGATCCATCAAACGTAAATGAGAAAAGGATTAGCCTTTACCTTTTAAAGAGCCAAGTATCGTATTAACTACGATGACAATGAAATTGGGATAACAATGGGACACAATTATGATGAGCATCATGCATCAGCTGTAATCATCTGGTTGAAACCCACCATGATACTTCAATAACATGAGCTTTAAACGGTACAAGCGATCAAAGAGCTATGGTTGAGGGAAGAGAGCTACTTGGATGGTGCATGAATCAATAAAGTTGTGGGACGCCGATACCACAAACATCGTGCCAAAGAGGCTAGCGTGATCCTGGGTAACTGTCATATCTGGCAGGTGGCTACCGCTTTATGATAAGATAACCTTTTTTCACTAGCAGTGCAACGCCGTCCCATAAATCAGGCACACGCCCTCATCCACAATCCATATCACAAGCAATGCTTGTTTCGATCGCCAAGAGGTTAACCCCACTTGCCCTTAACCTTTCCCATCTACTACCATCTCTTCAGCAACCCCATCGCCTCTTGTTTTCTATATCTCTTCATCTTGTAATCAATCCTCGACACTCCGTAAGACAAGAACGATTCTATAGCTAAGCCAAGGTATTTCTGTACCTGTGATAGCGATTTGAATGACGCGTTTTAATAGTCCCTCGGGAGCGTTCTCAATTGCTAACGCGAAAAGTAAAGTATAAGTATTTGAAGTCCAAGCTATTTCAATTGCGCAAAGAATGTAATTTATGGCATTGATCAGAGTGATAATGAGATAGCTACACGAATGCTCATGGGAGATATCATTATCTAATATTGAGACAACCTGCTACTTAAATCGGCGATCATGCACGCGGTGATGAAGCCATTCTCAGTCAAACCAGCTAGCTGGGGTTGGATTTACTGTAGCCCATATGTGGAGCTGTTTACATCCTGGCAACAAAGTAACAAGGGATACAAGATGGGCATTATATGTGTGGGAGAGAATAGTAGAAGGCTCCGGGAAAGCAAGATGACAACAAGGTTTAATCGAGTGACACTGGGATCTACCAAGATTTGACGTTCGTTGAATAGCTTCAGGTGACCAGAGTGGAGTGCAATAGAGTTGTGCACATACTCCGCCTACAACACACGTTGGATCTCTCTTCTCTCTCGCTCGCTCTTTCTCTCTCTATCTCTTCCTTTCACTCTTCTTCATCTCTCAAGGACGGTCACCTCATTGTCCTCTTTCCTGGGAAATAACAACGTACACATTATGAACGGCAGCCCCATTCCTTCAGCGACAAGCATGTCGCCGACACAAAACGGTTCCAACATCATGAGCGTGGATGGAAAAAGAATCCTCTGCACAGCCGATGTACGAGGTAAGATAACACTTTCTATCATTTCTGGATATGTTTATGGGGTTCTGGAATATGGGAGGCACTCGACAATGAGCTTTCTTTTTCGCACTGTCAAAATGCCACCACTCAGTGTACTCATTTGGCTGTTCCTGTCCTCTCTTCTTTTCAGGCAACATCTCGCATCTCAATCAACTCGCACGCGACACCAACGCTGATTTCATTATACATACTGGTGACTTTGGCTTTTATGGTAAGGATGGGTTGTGTGGCACTCTTATCGTGTGTATATCATTGACTCTTGGTGTACACGTGCACATGAACAAATAGAACGGTCGAGTCTCGAGCGCATCAGTGACAGGTAAGCAAATGGGATAGCAGGATTGAAACGCGTGTGTGATAAAGGCCATCGTGATTGACAATCCACATCTATAGAACATTAAAGCATTTGGTGCAATACAGCACATTGATCCCGCCCACAGTCCGCAAGAGGCTCAATAGTTCCCCGATCGAACAAGTGCGACCCACCATTGAACAATCACCACAGCCTTTCTTATCCGAATTTCCCGATTTCTTGAGCCGTGCCAAACGCTTGGAAGTTCCAGTTTACACAGTCTGGGGAGCTTGCGAAGATGTCGCTGTCTTGGAAAAATTCAGAACGGGTGAATATCAAGTGCCAAACCTTTACATCCTCGATGAAGCTACCACGCATTTACTCGACGTGGGAGGTGTCAGCTTGCGTCTCTTTGGTTTGGGTGGTGCTGTAGTCTCGCACAAGTTGTTTGATAACGGCGAAGGTAATTTATCCTCTATATTGTTCTTTCTATGGATGACTCATTTGTAATGGCAGGAATGGATACAATTGCTGGTGGTGCCGGAACCATGTGGACAACCGCTTTGCAGATCGGCCAGCTTGTTGAAACAGCTCATCTTGTACGATATCAATTGTGTTTTATTACTCAGCTGGGGGATAGGGGAAAATAGAGCATGAACTGATCTTTTTCTTTCCTTCTCAAGGTTTACAACCCAACCGAAGTGAGGATTGTTGTGACGCATGCAAGCCCTGGTCGCGAAGGATTATTGGCACAATTAGCACTTATGCTAAAGGTAATGATGCGGAGGATAACGGAAGGTGGTGGTGTGCGTGGAAACGAGATTTCAGGAACCAGGTTGCTCACGTGCGAGATAGGCTGATTTTACCATTTCCGCTGGTTTGCATTTCCGATATGGCATTTCATATAACGAGTTCTCGTGCCAACATGATCAAGAACACTATCGCGAACGTCTACTTCAATCTCAGCGCAGCTTTATGCACTTGTGGGAGGCTATTCGAGATCAAGTTGAGAAGCATGTCGAGTGAGTACAACCTATACACTGATAATGGATGAGAAAACTAATACTTTTCCATTCTTTTATTAGTGAAAACCAAGCAGCTCTTCTTCAAAATGCACTCGCCGTTGTCAATCGTCTACCACCATCGCGTGAAGCTACTATGGCGAACCCATCACAGGAGGAACAAGCATTCAAAAACATGTGGAATTTCAACCTTCCTGATGCAGCATATGGCTGGGTTGTATTGGATGTCAACCAAGGACGTGTCAGTGCGGAAACCAAATCGCAAGGATTCAACTTTTCATATCGCAAGAGCAACACACAATCGAATCCCACATCATCCCCCGCCATGTCAGCGTCAGGTCTTCCTACATCATCTTCCAACAATAGCAGCAACACTATGGGAACACCTTATCCTGAACGATCCAATCAATTTCGTCAACCTGATTGGCAGCAACAAGCTGCACCACCTATGGAAGCAAAAGTTCCCAGCAACAGCGACAGCGAATGGAAGGATAATGGAAGCTCAAAGGATGAAAAGTTTACCAGCGGCAGCAACAGCGCTAGAAATTCCAAGCGTATGAGCATGGTAAGTTCATCCCAACTAGATGATGGGTAGTGGTTTTGACGTACTTTGTGTATAGCAACGAAGCCCCTATGCGATCTATGTTGGTGGAATAACAAATAACGCAGTGACAGAAGACGACATTCGAGAATTCTTTGGTGCAGATGTGGTAAGTCACCATCATTATGAAAAGGTGGATGTTGTTGAGCGATGGGTATTTACGTGTTTATTATAGATCACTGGTATACGGTTCCCTCTAGACCCAGAGACTCGACAACCAAAATCCCATTGCTACGTTGATCTGATTGACCCGATTGCTCTTGATAATGCGCTGACAAAGAATGGACAGGCAAGTATGATAGTATGCATGTTATTGGGTACAAATGTTAACGTTTTATTCTTATAGATATTGAAGGACAATAAGCTTATTATAAACAGACCCAATCTTCCTGATGGCCGAAACCGTGGTGCTAGAAATGGACGGGGACGTAGTTACCGTGGCGGACGAGCCAGTGATGCTGGATTGATGCGTGGTTCTCGGGAAACATCAACAAGTGCAGATGCATGAAAGATGAGACGGAGCTCTTCCTCGCTCTCTATATCTTATTAATCTATTCCACCGTGCTGATATTTCTCTGTATATGTCCCCTTTGTTTTATGTGGTTCTTTCTTTTTCTTTCTTCCCATTATCCCCCTACCCTTTTTTGAAATCTCCCAATACAAAAAAACGATACTCAATGGAACGATTATCATTTAATGGTTGGATAAGACATGGACAATGGAACAGCGGCTAAAACAACGCATCCAGAGTACAACACAAGCAGCATGCGGTCAAGCTAAATGACAAGGTTAGCATTGATTTGATTGAAAAGAATATAAGAAGTGGATCTTACCATCCAAGACATAAGCCTTCGCCAGCACCAGAATCTTGTGGACGTTGTTGTACATATACACTTTGGGGTGGAGGTTGTGGTTGATAATACTGCTGTTGGTGCTGTTGCTGATAAGGCTGCTGTTGATAAGGAGAATATTGTTGTTGATGGGGAGGAGGTTGATAGTAAGGTTGCTGCTGGTATGTTGGATTAGGAGGAGGTGGATACGAGTATTGGCCTTTGTTATTGTTCATGAAAGATATTATTTCCGGAAGAAAAAAGAAATGTAAAAGGGCCAAGATGCAACAATGAAAAAGGAAGATTCCATTCAACTGCATTGACCTGAGACTTGTCCACTAGAATTGCAATTTCATTCGGTAACGTGGCGACCCCGCTGCTCTTCATGCTCCTCCACTTGCTTCCTTTCTCTTCTTAATACACTCCCCACATCCCCATTTCACTCTTCATGGAATCAGCATCTTCGGACACATTCACTGTACAGATACGCTCACCTTCACTCAACGAGACTTTGACTATCAATACAAACAAGGATGCTTCCATTCGAGAATTGAAGCGTCTCGTTCACGGCATCCATCCGAGGAACCCACATGCCAACGATCAGCGTATTATCTTTGGAGGACGAGTGCTTGACGATAATGAAATCCTGGGCAAAATCCTGGAACGGGTAAGCTATTCTTTGATCATTCGAATGGTATAAGAAACAGCGATGTTGATATGGAAGTGATTATAGGCTGATTCATCCAATATCCCAACGCTGCATTTGGTCGTCAAACCATCACTTACACGCAACTATGCAAGTGGCTCTTCATCATCGATAACCAACAACATGGCATCATCCTCGCAACAAACATCAACATCTCAACCACAGCAGCAGCAGCCACCAACTACACCCTTCTTCCCTACATCACAACCACCACCACAGCAACAACAAGGACCACCACAACCACAAGCTGTTCCAGGATACCCGCCATTATTGCCAGGAGGATATCAAGTGGTGGCACTCAAGTAAGTTAAACATGATATGATGGGAACGTGTGGAGATTTTAACTACTGTCAATAGTGGTCAATACTATCTTGCACCTGTGCTTGTGCCTACGATCAATCCTCCAATGCAATCGCAACACGTATACAACCAGGGAATACCAGCCCAAGGAAATAATCTTCCCGCCAATGGTGGTCATCAACAACAGCAACAGCAACAGCAACCTGTTAGACCACGTGGCAACAATGCACAACAACGAGCAGCATCCGTATGGCTTGCATTGAAATTGATATTCATTTTGTTTATTTTATGTCAAGACGCCAGCATTGAAAGGATCATATTTTTTCATGCCATTGCATTTGTTTTTTTCCTATACCAAACCGGCCGATTGCGATTCGTTATTCGCCAGGTGCGTCCTGAAGACTTGCATCGGAATATAGGCGGTGATGGTGGTCATCATCATCATCATCATCATCCACAACAACAGGCTGCTCCTGCTCCTCCTCAACAACCACAACCACAACAACCACAACAACCCGTAACCCCACCAGCAGAAGCGAGAGGTATGTAAAGGCTATTTACAAAGAAGATGATAGCTGAATGACTGATTATCTTGGATACATAGGTGACAATGGACAAGATGCAGTAGCTGCCAATTTAGGTAATGCCAATGAAGAAGGGATGCGACAACGACGTCCACAACATACCCAACAACGACCAGCCACATCGGATGAACAACAGCCACAACAACCTGCCACATTGCTCGCCACATTGAAACGTGGTGCATACACATTCGTTGCTTCTTTATGGCCCAACTATGGACATGACGCTCGCATTGCACAAGCATTGGATAATGGTCAACAGGAAGCTGTAAGTACTTTTTCTTGTACGTTTACATCATCACAAACAAGCTGACATCTTGTTATTTCTAGTGGGAAGGCTTTTAATACGTCGATAGATCTGGGATCTTGATCTTGCTTTGTAGATTTGGCATCATCCTCTTGTAAAAAAAATGTAATACAAAAGCAACGCCTATGTACTTTGTAACTTTTTCAGAATGAAGTGGGATGATGGCATGACGTTGATGTTGATGGAGATTGATTCTTTGAACATGGGATTTGTGACACGAGTGCTGCTAATGCTCTAAATCGACGGTCAACACGTTGACAGCTCTTGGCGAAACAAGCAGAGAATGTAAAGAAAGCTGACTTGTTATGCATGTTTCGGGCGATTTCACCGATGGCGGTTTGCACCTTGATTCCCTATTCACGCACAAGGGCATATATACAGGGTCCCTGTAAAACATGTGACACAATCGCATCCATGGAAGTCATTGCTGTTGCTAGGTGTTGATGTTTCTTTTCATCTAATGGTTCACGACGTTTGAATGTTGGCTGAATAGTAACAGCCACCTGTTTCAAAGTCTTATTGAGTGCTTGACAAATACCACCGTCATTAATAAACATGTCGTCTATATTTTCATTCGTTGCATGATTTTACTACAAACTCAAAGTTTATTGATTTTTGGGGGAATGGATACCCTGAGAAGATTCGAGTACTACTATTTTGTGCTACACCTACAAATCTCGATGCCCAAAGACATGGAATGATGATTTCAGGGATGGTGGTATAATATCGCAGCATCTAGGGCATCCTTTCAATGTCCAAGTCATTGATCCCGGCTCTCGGCCATGGTCGTCTTTTTCACCTTTATGGAACACACAGCCGGTTAGTGGTACCATACACGTCCCAGGTTTTGACCGAGAAAATTCTCACAGGGTACACGAAAAAGTACTTTTTACGATATAGAGCAGCACTATGTGCCACGCGGTGACACTTGATCCTTTTTCTTGCGTCGACTATATATTTCTGCTTCCAAATGTATGGCGCCATTCAATGCTATCGAAGTCATCGGTTGATTCCGCGCTGAATAATACACCCTTCCATTTATCTACTATCGCTGTTCCTACATGTGCATTCCATCATTGGATGAGATTAGCTACTGCATTGCTCCCGGTTAACCGAAAAGGGATGTACACTCTTGCATGTAACTCCCAATGTGTTTTGAATCTGAGCTCAAGCACATTACTACGCAAATGGGAATACTTGCATAAAGACTGCATGAGCTATGGTCACACAATACATTAAGCATCGGCTTGTGCACACGCACACATTTACTGCAAGTTTCTCCTCATTGCAGGGTTATGCATCTTACTACTGTTTTCAATGGACTTTGTGTAAATATTGATGTCACATGTGGGGCAGCATGGCAACCTTAATTTACATAGGTTGACTTTTACCAATGATCCATGTAGCAGGATCTATCAATCCATACATGCTATTTTCACCTTTTTGTAAGAGAAGCGACAAAAAGGCCAACACAAGCGTGCAATGTGCGACCAATGTGTGCTCCAATGGCTGACTATGAAAAAGCTAGGTGGATGGGTACAACAAAGATGGACGTGCCCATCTTAGTTTTCTGTAGTAAAAGATTCCATACAAAGCGAGCAGTGGCACCCTTGTGCAACACCACGGCCCAAGATCTCTTCAACTATTGGGAGGCATGGATTGCTAAAGACGCCTATTCGCTCATGGCTTGTGCTCTCTCGATTCCTTATTTTACGTGCAGTGACAGGTGCGCGCTTTTGATGGCGCGTTCACACCCCCAAAGACACACAACACATGGTTGTGGAAAGGCAATTGACCCTAATCGAATCATCATCAGCGGATCAAAAAGAACTCGGAACCATAAATGGACAAGCACAAGGTTTTTGTTTTTGTTGCAATCCCTATAACTGCCCGTGCTCCCTTTATTCACGCTGCTCGTAACTTTGTCCTTGTTTTACGCTTTTCTTTCTTGAGCTTTTCAACATGGATTCAAAAGAGGAACGCCCTCTTAGCGGTTCGACAATGAAAGTCGTCACGGAAACAACTACCACTACAACCACCACCACCACCAATAACATCATGCACGAAAAATCAGCCGAGTCAATCACAGATGCAGGCGAAGAATACAACTCCAAGGGCGAACGTATCTATGTCCAAAGTGAAGCTGAGAAGGCCCTCGTTCGTAAACTCGACTTTCTCTACGTGATGCCATTCATTGCTGCTCTCAACTTTTTGCAGGTACGTGTGTTGTGTTATAAACGTTTGCATTCTTTTCTTTTGTCCGGCGCCGAGCGTTTTGTCACACGATCTATTTTCTCACCGTTCTATCCAATGTAGTTTTTTGACAAGTCCACCCTAAACTATGCAGGTGTTCTTGGTATCAAAGAGGACACCGGCACTACAGGATCACAATTCAGCTGGCTTGGCTCGATCTTTTATCTTGGCTACTTGGTTTATCAGGCAAGTAAAGCAATGAATTTTATCGAGAACGTTAAAGCTCACATCTCAACATTAGTTACCAAACCAATTTTTGCTACAACGCCTACCCCTTGGCAAATACATTGGTGGCCTGGTTGTTCTTTGGGGAACCGTGTTGGCTGTAACCTTCACTGCCAAGAGCTTTCAGCATCTGATTGCTTTGCGTTTCTTGCTTGGTTTCTTTGAAGCTGCCATGTACCCCTGCTGTATCATGTTGATCAGCGCTATGTATCGTCGTCGTGAGCAAACAGCTCGCCTTGGTAAAAATCACACCTTGCACTAATCAAATGCCAATCTAACATTCCCCTTATCATATAGGTGTGATATACATTTGCAATGGCATTGCGTTGGCAGTGGGTGGTATGTTGCAATATCATTGACACGTTACAGTGCTGGTGTGCTCATATTAGATTTTGACGCTTTTAGGTTTCATCGGCTATGGTGTTGGTGTAGAGATGGATGGTGTCCATGGTCATTCAGCATGGCAATGGTAAATTACTGCTACGCAGATGTTTGTAAAGAGCTTCTTCTCACCAACATACGAACCCTTCCAGGTTGATGCTTATCCTTGGTATTGTCACCATTGCATGTGGGTTCATCTTTTTCTTCTTTTTGGTGGACAATCCTCATTCACGTTTATTGCGTCTGACACCTGAGCAGCTGGCTGCTGTCGAGGAACGCATCAAAGACAATGCCGTGGTGATTACCAAGGAAATTAAATACCATCAAATCATTGAAGCGATCAAGGAACCTCGTTTATACTGCTTTGCATTTGCATCCATGCTCATCAACTTCCAAAACGGTGCGCTCAACACATTTAGCAGCATTATTACTCAAGGTTTTGGATTTGCTGTAAGTCGCTCTTGATGGTACATATCCCACACAGTATCGATGTACATGCTAAGCCGATGACCATTTCCTCCTCTAGGGCGTTGATGCCATTTTGCTTACTGTGCCATCAGGTGTTGTCACCGTTATCTACATTGTTATTGCCATCTGGTACAACCGTAGATATGGAAACACTTTATACGTTGCCATGGTATTGCTTGGATTCTCGATCCTCGGCTTGGTGTTGCTTCTTGCCATCCCGTTGGCAAAAGCCAAACTCCTTGGTCTCTATCTATGCTGGTCATTTGTTGCCGCTTACACCATGCTCTTGGTCTCCTTAGGTAACGCTAATAACCAATTATGGCGTATTTCATTCGGGCTAACATTGGCGAAAACATTTAGCAAACAACGTTAGTGGTTATACAAAGAAGATCTTCTATAGCTCATGCCTTATTGTGCTCTACACTGTAAGTACTATCAATGGTTAGTCTTTGTGTGTGGGAATTGACCTTGTTCGTTTATGCAGATTGGAAATTTTGCCGGACCCTTGATGATGGTGGATTGGCAAGCACCACTTTACCTTGGAGGTAGGTTGCACTATACCCACATGTGACCTTTCTTGTACTGCTTACTGATACAAACCATGATTAGGCATGATTGCATACATTGCAGCAGATGTTATTACTATCGTTCTGCTTTGGATCGCACGTCGATCTATGGCCAAGATCAACGCTCATCGTCTATCTAAGGGTATCAGCCATAATGCCACCGTCATGACCGATATGACTGATGGCGAAGACCCCAACTTTATTTACCGCTTGTAAAGCGTAATATTATCATCTCGCCCTCTATATCAACACAATCAACGAGCACGACCCTCTCCCTTCCTCATAGATCCTTCCAACTCTCATACATGATATGAATTCATGCTAAAATACCTCTTTCTAATAAACCCAATTTAATCACTTCTTTAGTATTCCAGCGACCCTTTAATACAAAAGAAATCTCCTCGTATACAAATCACTATCCATCCTTGCTACTTGATTGCTCTATGCTGTTATGTCGTAGTTGAGGCATATAGCATCTTCCAGTATCATCCTCTGGCAAAGCTGGCTTAGTGGGCTCATTGTTGGCGTTTGGTTTCTCCTTCATTGAATCTTCTGGTGCAGTAGAGCGATCATTGAGACTCAGGTTTGTTGCATCATGCGTATCCCTTGGATTCATAGTATTCATCGCACATGGATCACCCTTTGAATGGTCGTCATTGTTCCCTTGTGTATCATCTTCACTGGATGCTTCATGGAAGGCTTGATGCTGTGTTGTATTGTTCCTCTCCTTTTCGGTTGATTCTTTTCTTTCCTCTGATTCATTGTCCTCTTTGTCATCGTGATATGATTGTGCTTTTTGAGTGATATGTGGTATACTCGCTCTGCGCTCTGATACTGTAGGCTTTTCAAGGTCTCTTCTCGCATGTGGTTGTGTTGCAGATCGCCTAAGCCCATTTCCATCCACCATCATTACTGGATACGAAGATTTAGGTTCCATGGTTGTGCTCCTTCTTTTGATTCGCTTCCAAGAAGGCGATCCTTTTTTGTGTCTCGTCGCCACATCCACTAGCGCTCGACCCCATTCCAATATTTCTAGTCGCGTGTTGACAAGGAAGAGATACGATTTCTCTCGTTGTAATCCACCAGGTGATCGTAAAATTCGGATGGTGTAATTGCTCCCAACATCATTCGTTGTATCATCTGGATGCTGTGCAAGATAGCTGATGTCGATGGATGGGATGATGGTCGTCTTCGGAACGTAAATGGATATCTCGGGATGGATTTTGCCGTCAACGCTAAACTCATGCAAGAAACCACCTATGCACAAAACACCATTATTACTTGTTCCTTTGAATGGATGGTGTATGACTTACATTGTGTAAGGACACAGTATCGCTCGACGGTCTTGTTACGCACACCTCCCAGCTGTCGATACAACGTGCCTTTGTAAAGTGTCATCACTGCCGGATGTGCCATATTGTTGTATTTGATCTCCAAATGGTTCCTTGTAACATTGGTGTCATCCACAATGAGATCGCTTTCATTGTCCATAAATTTCCTCCATTCTTTTAGTGGATCGAGATTGTCAACAAGCTGCTTGTAGCGTGCAAGGTCATTCTTTGCTCGGCTGTTGCCTAATTCGCCAACATAAAGGTTGTAACAGTATTGAATAGCTGGTGCCAGAGCCTGAATAATCCTCCTTTCCAATTCTGCCATTTGATGCTGGATCGTGATCATAAGAAGCCGCAAACGATTGTCTTCATCGAGCTCTCTTTTCAACGAACACAATACAACTAGAAGAAAGAATGATGATTAGACAAGTGGATCAAACAATGCATGAAATGGGAAAGCTACTTACGGAGATTCTCAAGCCATGGATCGTTAGCAACTTGGCCTTGAGTCATATCAGCTGCTTGGCAAAGTTTGTCGAGTAGCAACATGTGTTTGCGTGTCGTTTCAGCACGCTTGACAAGTTCATCCATACGCAATGAGCCATTGTTCACCAAGTCGTTGAGCCTCATTTTGCATTCTTTGCGTAGCACATCGAGTTGACCAAGGTATTCACGTTGCATTTTCTCTGCTGCCTCGTGTTGTCGTGAAGCAACTTGTGCCGTTAAGAAACGAAGACTGCCCACCATAGTGGATAAAGCTGATCCACGAGGGACACGACGAGTATCCGACCAATCGACATGTTCCAATGCACGGTGGTAATAGGCCTGACTACTCTGCATGTTGATCTTGGCAGCTTCCTCAAGCCATATTGAAATTTCTCTCAATGTCAATAGCCATCCTTCCAATCGGTCGATAATGACTTGTGCACGATTCAGTGTCATAAGCGAACGCGGTGGCGGCTTAATGTCGAGCAAGTTGTTGTATTGTTGTTGTTCAGCATTGGAGTGATCGCGTGGTAACGTATGGGAATGCGGAGAAAGAGGTGTTGTTGGTGTTGAAGGAGGATCCCTTGAATTATCAATTTCTTCTTCCACAGCTCGAGACTTGCCCTTGCTATCATGCTCACTTTGCTTGCTACCTGATGCAATGTCATTCTGGAACACGCCTGATGCTCGTCGGCTGTTGATACTATCAAGTTCACTTGCAAGTGATGAAACACTATCGCTGTTACGTCGCGATAGCCGAAGACTGATGGATCTCACAAGGGAATTGCGCTTGGAGGATTCATTCAATGGCATATCAAAGGATACAACAAAGGAAGGAACAGCAGAGAGAGGAGACCTTACCCCAGCTTTTATACAATGGCACACTTGATCGCAACCATTGTACAACAACTCGTGATGCAACCCCGCGTTACACATTACTCTTTTATTGATATCCATGCTTGTGAAAGTCGCATCACCTATTGAAGCTGCGATTCGTTACATTTGGCGACGCTCCCGTTTAAAATCTTTATAATAAAGCTTGATGTCTTTATTAGAACAAAGGTAGTTCAGCATGCCCGAGAGCATCGTCTGGACCAAGTTTCAAGTTCGAAAAGCTCAATCTCGGGACATGGGCCGTCCACCTACTTATGTTCCCAGTTATCCACCGTCTCTCCTACATTTGGACTGTTCCGCATTCAGGATAACATAATGAAGTGTATGGTTTTTAAATGAATGAAGTTGATCAGCATGTCCCAGCGAACCTTCTGAATAAGTTTCAAGCACAAAATGGGGCCATAAATCACGAACCAGGCGCTGACCTGCTTTCCGATACCCTCCCATTCTACATTTTTATAATGAAGTGCATGTTCTTTATTAATACAACGTTGATCAGCATGTCCAAGAGCATCTTGTGTGGAAGTTTCAGCTTCGAGAGGCGCAATCCCCATAATCAAGATTTAGCACACAGTTTTCAAGGAGGTGGATCTCACAGGTCAACCTACTTAAATTTCTAGCTCTTCCACTCCAGTCGCCACTATTGGTGTATTCAAGTATACAACCACCACCTGCTTCAACCCATCATGTCAACCCTACGATCGTATTGCTCCGATTGTCTTTGACTGAATGGCAAGTCTATGGCGTGTACGCAGCCTTCTTGTCACTCATCTACAACACACGAGTCTCTTGACACAACACACGCTCTTGCACATTCCTCTACCACGACCAATCGTAACAGCAGCTGCCATAACAATGTCTATGCTCCATTGTCTCAAACAGCGTTCACAACCTTTCATTCTACTACAACATACACGCTCTCTTGCACAATCCTCTGCCACGACCAATCGCTATTAGGAAGGTCTTTACTTCAGTCTCGAACAGCATCCTTTGCTTGCAGTATCCTGCCTTGCAGCTTTTTTTCTACATGAACAGCAGATAGCCATTGTATAGAAGCAGTGTCATATTTTACGTGCAGCAACTTGCTTTGATACATACGGATACCAATGGATGATGCCATAGCAGCTATCAAGTACGCCGCCATACAAGCAACTTTCGCAGCGATGGAGAATGAATTCGAAAGGGATGGATCAACAGCCGGATGGAAAGGAAGCGATGACATGGTTCTCTTTTTTATCAACTATTATCATGGATGGATGCAATCAAGTGCAGTGATGAGAAAGAAATCCTGGAATGTTGCTTTGGTTACTTGTCGTGTCCTCAGCAGGAACGATGGACCATATCACGTGGATACGGCTAAGCATGGTGATGGATTGGATGGAGTTGACGAAAGGGCTCGTATCTTTGACGAATGATGTTTCACAGCCATGGATGATATCGGTGTAGTCGACCCAATGCATGCAGCACCTATTTTGCTATCATGGATAAAGGACGATTATGGCGGCAGCAACCAAGAATGCAATGACACAAACATCCCTGTTGTCTCTGTGCGATTCATCTGTTTCTTACTCGATTTTCAAGGATGTTCCTTTATCAGTTTTACTTGATAGACGCCCACACTACTATATGTTATTCCTCGACCTTTTTTTTTTATTGAATGAAATTTGGATTCGACATAGTACTTGGGGTATCATACTATCGGTTTAAATGGGCAAGATGTGGATTACTTAGTTGCTTTCTGGATTGAAAGGGGGAATAGAAATGAAAGGTTGGAAAGCGAGGTTGGATCATTTACATCGTCGTAATGAGTTGCCTTTGTTCTTTTGCCGCAGCATTATTACATTCGCTAAAGTATCCTAGCTCACATACTGAGAGTAGAAGAAAGAAAGTAAGGTTCTTTAACGCTTGTATTGAAAAGAAGGATTGGGGAGGGATAATGCCCAACATGTGCTTGTTGATTGTTCCAGAAGCATGATTCACTGGACGTAAGCTTAATGCATTGTATTCAAGAAGGAATGAGCAGTTGTACAATATGGCATGAGTACATGAACACATCATTCTTAGCTATGACAGTTTACAGCTAAAGCTATCTTATGCAGCACTATGTAAGAACGAACCATTGAATAAGGCTATCTTAGGCAGACCTTACTATAGGAAGGCAGGGGGAGGATCAATCATGCATTCTCCACCAATAGGATTGATCTTCAAGTCTGGCTCAGTTACACAAAGAGGTTCCTCTGCATCTTTTGCTCTGCCAGGATCCACCTACTTGACAATGAACAAAGACCACTCTTCATATAGCATCACGCTTACAAACATAAAGGTGCCTGTATCTCCGAACTTTACAATGAAACGTGGGGTTTTGAATAGAGCAATGGGCTCGGCTTGGCCAACTGCACCTTGTGTGAAAGTTTCGTGTTCAATGTCGCAACTAGCCCAAAAAATATTTTTCTGGTCGTCGTCGTCGAAGAGGTCGACCCCCAGATCCAGTTTGGCTGGTAGCGACATTGCGAAATCTGGGATTGGCAAGCTTGATCGTGAAACTGGCACCCAAGGTGCAGTTGGCCAAGCCGAGCACATTGCTCTAATAAAAACCCCACATTTAATTGTAAAGTTTGCAGATACAGGCACCTTTATGTTTGTAAGCGTGATGCTATATGAGAAGTGGTCTTTGTTCATTGCCAAGTAGCTAGACTCTGGAGAGCCAAAGATGCAGAAGGACCTCTTTGGGTAACTCAGCTAAAAAGTCAGGACTTCAGGGACAATGCATGAAAGGTACGCAATCCTCACTTTTATGTCATACATTGGCAGCAAATAGCCACTTTTGTGCATTCCCAACTTTTGTGCATTCTATTGTAGGTGGACGATGCTCCTGCTCTAGACATTCATTTCCATGATTAAAGTAGGTTGATCCGAGTTGATTTGGTTGAGTTACGCTCACACAAGATTACATCGGTTGAGCTACATCGAGCGTGCTCTATGTCCAGAGTGATGTAATCTCTCTTTGACCATAGCTCAGTCAAATCAGCTCGGATCAACTTACTTTAATCATGGAAATGAATGTCTAGAGCAGGGGCATCGTTCCCATGCAGTGGATCTCGCAACAATGATGATTGGATAAAAGTGGCCGTTAGCTGGCAATACATGCCTGTTCCTAGATGATCCATAAAGTAATTATACATTGACCCTTCCATTCATGCAAACGTAGCTGTGTTACCCAAAGAGGTCCTTCTGCATCTTTTGCTCTGCCAGGGTCCACCTACTTGACAATGAACAAAGACCACTTTTCATATAGCATCACGCTTACAATCATAAAGGTGCCTGTATCTCCAAGCTTTACAATGAAACGTGGGGTTTTGAATAGAGCAATGGGCTCGGCTTGTAGCAACACCTTTGTGTGAAAGTTTCGCGTTTAATGTCGCAACTAGCCCAAAAAATATTTTTGGTCGTCGTCGTCGAAGAGGTCGACCCCCAGATCCAGTTTGGCTGGTGGCGACAATGCGAAATCTGGGATTGGCAAGCTTTATCATGAAACTACCACACAGGTGCGTTTTCACCCGCCGACACGTTGTTCTCTTAAAGACTCCACGTTTGATTATCAAGAGTTCGGAGATGCAGGCACCTTTATGTTTGTAAGCGTGATGCTATATGAAGAGTGGTGTAATTATACATTGACCCTTCCATTCATGCAAACGTAGCTGTGTTACCCAAAGAGGTCCTTCTGCATCTTTTGCTCTGCCAGGGTCCACCTACTTGACAATGAACAAAGACCACTTTTCATATAGCATCACGCTTACAATCATAAAGGTGCCTGTATCTCCAAACTTTACAATGAAACGTGGGGTTTTGAATAGAGCAATGGGCTCGGCTTGGCCAACAGCACCTTGTGTGAAAGTTTCGCGTTCAATGTCGCAACTAGCCCAAAAAATATTTTTTGGTCGTCGTCGTCGAAGAGGTCGACCCCCAGATCCAGTTTGGCTGGTGGCGACATTGCGAAATCTGGGATTGGCAAGCTTTATCATGAAACTACCACACAAGGTGCGTTTCACCCCGCCGAGCACGTTGTTCTCTTAAAGACTCCACGTTTGATTGTAAAGTTCGGAGATGCAGGCACCTTTATGTTTGTAAGCGTGATGCTATATGAAGAGTGGTCTTTGTTTAATGTAAAGTAGGTGAACCCTGGCAGAGCAAAAGATGCAGAAGGCGTGTTTGTATAACTTGAGTCATTCAGCACAGGCGATGCATGATTCTTGTACACTATTTAGGAATGGTTTAAAATGCCAGCTAATAACCTAGTCCTCCCATTCTCCATTGTTGTCCAATCCAATGCATACGAACGATTGCCCTGCTCCAGCCCAGCATGCCCATCATTCAACTTTCTTGATCCGATGAGATTTGACTGAGCAACACTCAAGCAGAGAAGTGTCATCCAAGTATCAGAAAAATCAAATTAATTTGCAGCTCTTCCACACCCAGCTTCTTGCTCTTCCTCCCATTCTCAACTGTTGCTCCATTCAAGTACAACTACCACCTGCGAACGATTGTTCTACTCCATCCCATCATGTCAATCCTACAACTGCCTTGATCCGAATGTCTTTGACTGAATGGCAAGTCCATGGCGTGTACGCAGCCGTCTTGTCACTCTTCTGCAACACGCGAGTCTCTTGACACAACAAACGCTCTTGCACGCTTCGTTGCCATATCCAACGTAACAGCATTCATTGCAGCAGTTGCTATTAGCAAGGTGTTCACTTCATTGTTACTCTACTACATCACGCGCTCTTGCACACTTCTCTGCCGCAACCCAAAAGTAACAGCGCATCCATTAGCAAGGTCTTTGCTCCATTGTCTCAAGTTGCATCAACCTTTCTTACATCCTTTTTCACGTGGAGAGCAGATAGCCATTATATAGAAGGAGCTTTATTTACGTGTAGCAACTTGCTTTAATACATACGACTTTTTATGGATATGGATATTGATTTGGTACATGGGATGGAAGGAACTGGATGTATGCAAAAAGTGAGAAAAGAGTGGTGTCCATTGTCAACTTGGCTATTATTATGTTATCCTGTACCCAATCTTATACACTACCCCATCATCGTTCTTTGTATAACCTACCATCATGATCCAACCCCATGTTTTACCGCATGCATATCATTCGCCGTCGCGTATCAAATGCTCATCCATTCACCTTTACACAATGCACGAAAGGATAGAAACTTCCCTGATCAAAGTATCTTCCCCATGGATGCAATTCGTTGTACCCCTTGAATGATGTTGGATAAAAAGGTTGCTTTAAAGAATACGAGATTGCGTTGGCCACTTGCTTGATGCATTGTAGTATAAAGAGATTTATGATAGTGACGTATGATGCAAGGTATACCCACTTGTAAATGGTCTGATTGATTCATTTGTGATTTGATCATGTCGATACACCATAACGTAGCTGATAATGGTCTCCCCTAGCATCGGGGATTCGGGGTTAATGATGCCTGATCCCATAGGTTGATCATTCAACCTCGACTACACTCCCCACCTTTACTTGAAATTGCAACACTTTGATCCTCCATAAAAGTTTCCCATTTTTCCCATCATTTTTGTCACATTTTCCGCTAAATTCACCAACTTTTGCGAGACCCATTGGAGTACCTTCCAAATAAGGAAGTTGGCGCGCCTATGATGTAACTCGATTTTCGATAAACAAGCCTGCTTGGCTCAGTTGGCAGAGCGTCCGCCTAGTAAGCGGAAGGTCACTGGTTCGATTCCAGTAGTAGGCAAAGCAGTTGTAAACGTGGACCTTGAATCAAAAAAGAGGCCGTCTTTTTTGTTTTTTGGATTGGCTGGTCACGTGATTGCGCCTTTGGCATGTTGTTTATCTTATTTTTGCATATCAAGTTGGGTGTCGCGCATCCAGTGACTTTCATCTATATGTTAAAACAGGATAGTTATATATAATGTCAAGGATGAGGTGGTATTGCAAAAAGCAATTTATGCGTTTGTGCGCGAAGAAAGGGATGTGGATCCGACATGATGTATAGACATCTCTATGATTCTTCTTGTGCGAATAAATACTTGTGAGATGAGGAAATTATCATTACATGCGATATTTTATTATAATGTTTATAATGGAAAAGGTGGATGCTAAGATAAGAATGCATGCAAACAGTGAATGTTGCTATGCCTAGAAGACATGTGTGGCCTATCACGCAAGCTGAATGGATACACATCGATGATAGCAGTAACATAAAGTCAGGCTCACTTAAGCTGTGGGAAGAGGACAAGGAGTAGTATCGAATGTAAATGCTTATCGATATCAAATACTACGGTCATCGTCATTATTGGTATCAAATGACAACCTCTAATGGAGAGGTTCATAATCCAAATGCATTGCAACGTACAGTAGTTCAGGATACGGATCATGGATTGGATTTTGATCAACGAACATGCATACAACACAAGCATAAGGTGTATCCTGCATGTAACTTTTTGTAATCTTCAAATCTGTGACATTAATCGCATACTTCAACTGATCCAAGTATCATGTACGTAATCCATTTTATATTCTTTACAAAGACATGTTGTGATGATATTAGCTACGGCACGTGTGGGTGGAAGATGCTATGCTCATGATGAAGCCTGTTGTTCGGATTGCTGCATTGTGCGTTCACGCTGGGCTTGTCGTAGTTTCATAAGTGTCATGGCTTCGTATTCCTTATCCGATAATGATGATGATGGATTTGCGGATGACTAAACATAGCTGTTAGTTATGGCAGGATCCCATACCAATTCATTTGACCTTTACCTTTGTGGATGGTATCTGGAAGTTTTTGAAGAAAGATGACTGGGTTGCAGAACCCGAAGCAAAAAGTGGTTTATCGGATCGTTGGGTAGGGCGATTATCCATCTCCGTTGCCATTCTCAAAGCTTCTTGCCTCCTTCGTCGATCCTCATTCATCTTGGTCACAATAGCTGGCTCATTCCCTGTCAACCAGTTGATCGATTCAAAAGGTGCAAGCGATGGATGTGAATCATGGCTAGTAAGGACAGCGTGCTAGATATAGATGTTAGGATACCAATTCAAGGGACGCATCCTCCTTATCAACATCACTTACCGCGTCAACCACCGTTTTGAAAACCACCAAGGCGCTACCCTTTTTCTTTTCTGAAAGTGCAATTGAATCCACCTTTCCAATGGGTGATAAGATAGCCTCGAGATCCGACTCTGTAAAGGTATGCTTCTTTCGCTTCCATTTGACTTTGAGGGTACAATCGAGCTCTGTGGGTTCAGGTATTTTCTCTAGATGATTTGCATGAATGAGTAAAAATATCATGCCACACGCTGAAATCGATTGATTTACCTTCTTCTTGTGGTTGTTCCTCTCGCCATTCCTCACGTCGTTTCGCACCCTCAGCTCGTAACCTTGCCAATTCAGCATAGTATTGTGCTTCAGCTTGATCCTGTTCCATCTTGGCTTTCTTGGCACGGTTCTCTCTTTCTTCCAATTCACTTTGAGCTGCTCGTCGTTTGCTATCCATCTCTCGTTGTTTCTTGAGCCGTTCCATCTTCGCCTTCATCAGCTTATCATAAGCCGCTCGAGCTTGTTGATCCACCAGCACCTCAAGTGCTTGAGTGAGCTTATGGAAAAGTGCAGCTAGTGGAAGACGACACCATGCATTAGATCAAGTTGCGATCTCTCAGCTATCCATCGATCGAGCTTACCTGCATCAGGACTGGGATTCTTATCAGGATGGACCTCTCGTGCTTTCAAGCGATATGCCTTTTTGATTTCCTTCTCGGAAGCATCGACCTTGATGCCAAGGAGTTCATAATAGTCGACGTCTGCTTCAACAGCCTGTTTGGACATTGAAAAGAGAAAAGGGGGTTGCGGAGCTGATGGTATCCATGGACATGGATGGATCCATTTTTGGGAATTGCGTTGCTGGTACGTGCCATGATACTACCTCATTGTCTTATCTTCATTGTTGATCTACGTTTATCAATGATAGGATCGATACAATGTGGGCTTATAAAGGTTGTAGTATATAGAACCATAGGAAATCCATAATGATCATTATAATAAATTCATTGTTATTGCCACTGTCATTGTCATTCCACCCTTAATATCCTTTATTGGATACTATCAAGTAGTCCTTGCTGTATGAGAATCGAGAAAAGATCCTGTGCACCACGTGACAACTAGAGACTACCACCTCTCTGATATCACATCAGCGTAGTTGAATCCCTTTTGAGTATTCAAAGGGCGATGACACGCGTCAAAGAAGCAAAAAATTTAATCCACAGCCTAAGACGCCCCCTTGTTTTACCAAAGAGAGACCATTGGTATAGACGGATCGAGAGAACTCGTCTTTTTGAATACTTTGTATATGTATTAAACGCGTGGTGTTTGTCACGGTCCATGTAGCTATGGCTGTGAGTGGTATACACGCTTCTGACAGCTGCAGCCTGAGAAATTGATTTGCCGAAATATTGCGACTGCGACAACGTGAAAATTTTTTCTCTGCTATAAAGGCCGCTTGTCACTGCTGCTTCCTGTTGTTTGTTTCTCTTCTCTCCAACGATTCAAAACGTGAGTATTACTTTTCCAATACCCTTTTACCCTTCTTCCTTGAAGCATATGATGCATCCTTTTTTTATTTTTCAAACTAGAGTTTCTGATACACACCATGATTAATATTTTTTTTCTGATGTGCTTCATCACCCTTTCTCTCTTCCTTTCACGTTCTTGGTTCATCCAGAATGATTTGACTGACCTCGCGTTTTGTCATCAACAGATCTCAATCGCCATGACATAGTCACTTGGCTCAAGCATCGCGTTGCATCGCGCATGGTACGTGTTTTCGATTGTCGCTGGTAGTAGGAGGATGTCAAGATGTCATATGATGATCAACTTTTATGTTGGAATTACCGCCTGAACATTCATGTTGATAACTAATGGCTGTTACTGATCATCTTGCATCTCATCCTGCCGGCTGTGTTTTTGTTTTGAGTCATTGCTCTAACATCATCTTTGTTTGCAGATTCAAAACGTCCAATTGCAGCTTTGCAAGTCCTCGAGGAGGAGCCCTTTCACGTAAAGGTAAGCATCTTCTACCCATGTACCCACCCTTTTCTTTCTTCCTTTGGAGTATGGGATGACATCTAGATGACGAGTCAGACCGAGTCTTTCGCTGGTGATAAACCTCTTTTTTACCATTCATGCATTATCTGATTCTCCACACACATATCTACCTCTTGAATTACCTTTGGAACATTTTCAGGGTGACTGATTTGTTTTATACTTTGTTACAGGTAGCCAACTTTTGTTGTCGGCTTTGCTCTCGAGGTGTATGATGTCAATGACTTCAATTACTGAAGGTGAGTTTTGTCAATGTTATTGCAGACGCATCCCGATCAAGTTTGTCCTTGAAGGATGATTTCAACCAAAAGAAGACAAGCATATGTCTGATCTAGTTGAGGATATATGGTCAGTCTGATAAGGACAAGCTTGACAATGCATCTGGATTTGGTTTTGTTAATTGTGCTTGATGACTCATATCGTTGCTTTATGTGTTCAGTAGTGAAGCCATTTTCTTCAAGCTAAGTGATCCAGTTCTCCTTCAATGGCGTCTTTGATTATAAGGTAAACATCAAATTCCTTGCAAGATGAGCCATGAAGCATTATGTGATGATATCCAAATTCACGACGGTCTTCCGAGTGACTCATGCGGAAGTCGGGTTATACCCATGTATCTGATAATGCTTCAATTGGTCTCATTGTGATTGCTCAAATGTGTGTTTGCAATGCTAATGTACGCATTCTCACTAGGTATGTTCCATTATCGATTGCATAGTGTAGTTTATATCCATACATGACAAAATACATTGGTTTTTTATGTATCCAACAATTCTATATCTTATATAATGTGTGCGTGTGTGTGGTGTGATGGATGTGTGGGTGTGCGTAATGTGTCATTTGCTCTTAATGAGAGGCAGAGAGAGATACAATACCAAAAGTGCTGGGGTTGGGGGAAGATACTAGTGCTTCTCTTTCCTTTTATCTCACTTTCCGACATGTCGCATCGTTCTTCACGCTCCTACTACGATTCCTCTTCAGCGGACAGTCATCAGGCTGGTGGCCATGATGGGCGTCATCGGCATCGAGAGAGATCTCGCAGTCCACAAACGCATCGTCGTGCAGCCCGTTCCAATTACTCACCTGAACAAGGAAGCCATTATGGCAGCAGCAGCAGCAGCAACAGCAACAATCACCACCACCATCACAACAACAGCAGTAATCACCATAGGGATAATCCACGCTATTCGAGATATCACGACAATGACGACTATCGGCCAGACGTAAGATGCTTTTCTCCCTCCCCACCTTTTTTCTGTGTAGTTAGGGCATATAGCTCTTTCTACACAGGGGGCGCTCTTCTTTGGTACTCGATCACATCTTGAGAACCAAACACCGACACACACACACACACACAAACGATAAAGACAAGCTTGGAGTCTAACCACATCCCTCCTACCTATTACACAAGAGCCGCAGACGTTACGATGATCGCTCTCTTCATTATGATGATCCTCGTCACCATCATTCTCGCCATCCTCCTCCTCCTCATCATCAACGTATTGAAGATCAAGGTCCAGCAAAACCCAATATCAATGTGGTCCTGAGAAGCCTTCCTGATAAAGCCACTGAGCAAGATGTAAGTGAGAAAGAAAATCAACATTGCTTGTTTATTTATGTGATGGCGAATAGATCCACAAGACACTTGAAGATATGGAAGGCAGTGTGGATGAAGTTACATTGATCAGAGATCGTGATACTGGTAAGAAAGAGGATTGGGATATGGATGCAATATTGAAGGTTCATGGTAGGTGAATCGAGAAAGTTTGCCTTTGTGAGATTCACAAGCGTTGGACATGCTGTGCAATTTGTCGAGAAGCATTATCCACATTTCTATATGGGTCATCATCGCGTCCGTATCGATTATTGTCAAAAGGATGGATCGAGAACAAGCAAATCAGAATGGCGTTGTCCCACTGTAAGTATGATTGATGACATTTGTTGACAGGATTTACAGCAGAGGCTGATTTTGGTTGATAGTGTGGAAAGTTCAATGATGAATCAAGACGTACATGCGTTGAATGCAGGAGTATGGTGCATGAAGGTTTGTATAGCATCCTGCTTGTTCATACACAAATCACCCATTTACTCATGCATGATACCTTGTAGGCACTAGAGCACAAAAAAGGTCCAAGGAAACTGAATCGATGGCTATCAATGATGGTACTTCGGACGTGTCACAGATGGCAAGCAACATGCTGTTACTACAAAACCTGGATCATCTTTCATCAGAGGAATCGATTTTCAATGCTGTCAAGGAGTATCAAGGGATTCAACGCGTGCTGCTCATCAAGGACAAGTTGACAAGAATGTCATGTGAGTTCGCTTTTGTGGATTTTGTTAATGTTCAGGTAGGATGAAGGGAGTATTGGTGCATGGAGAGGGATATTCATATATGCATCGTGATAGTGCGCTGTTACAGCTATGCGTCAAATGAATAGCCAAGGCTTCAAAGTTGATGGACGAGCACCCAAGGTGTCGTTTGGTAGTCCTGATAGTTTCCTCCCGGCCTATGCAGCATCAGAGTGGACCGTACAAGCAGATGTAGCTGATGGACTTTGGATGTATCATGATGAGCATGCATATGCTTCAGAGTATTCACTTCGCTTGGAGCAAGAGCGTGCTGAGAAGGAGGAACAGGAGAAGAGATTGGCAGCTGAACGAAAGATGAAGCAAGAAGAGACCAGCAAATGTAAGTTGACGTGTTGATGATGATATAAAATGGGGTACTAATGTCTTTATTCCTAGCCAAAGACCCTTTGGAGGATGATTTAAGTGCATTCTATGCTGGTATGGGAAGTATCCTTTCATCTGACGATAAGAAAGAGTCCACAGAAGATATCTTTTCAGTCCCCAAAGTCTAGCATCATTGATATTCCCGATAAACACACATCATTCTTAATACTTGCATTTATGAGTATTTGCTACATATCATGTTTTGCAATGGGTACAATAAGAGCGATAGAAAAGGGAAGGTGTTGGGGAGGGAAGGGAAAAGAGCAAAGTGGATATGAGTGCTGTGGGTGCGAAATGGTCACTTTTTTTTACTTGGAGCTGGTGTACTTTGTGACAGCCTTGGTACCTTCAGAGACAGCGTGCTTTGCCAATTCACCAGGAAGGATAAGACGTACAGCGGTTTGAATTTCACGCGAAGAGATGGTGGAACGCTTGTTGTAAGCAGCAAGCTTGGAAGCTTCAGAGGCGATACGTTCAAAGATATCATTGACGAAGGAGTTGAGAATGGACATGGCCTTGTTGGAGATACCAGTATCAGGATGCACTTGCTTCAAGACACGGTAGATGTAGGAAGAGTAGGTCTCCTTGCGAGTCACCTTTCGTTTCTTTTCACCAGAAGCCTTGGCCTTCTTTTCAGTAGTCTTGGAAGGGGCTACGATCAACAAGATTGGTGTCAATGACGAAGACCTTTTGCTTCATGTCATCCATTGCATTTATGCATTCGACTTACCTTTGCCGCCAGTTGGAGTTTTTCCTGCCATTGTTGTGTTGAAGGGAGATAAAACGAAAAAGGATAAAAAGTGGAAAGAAGAGGGAGAGAAAAAGAGCACCAAAACTTATGCCGAGCTTATATTCCGCGGATGACGTGAGCCACCATTTATGCTCACTGGGTATGTCTCTCATGTTTGGACAATCCTTAGCATTGATGTAGTATACCTGCACCATGAACAATAGTGTTCAACATGGATTGCTAACCACTTTTTCACTCCCATCCATATTTGTTTGTATTGTGGTTGACGAAAAGTGATCGGACAACAGCAGCGATAACATCGTCATTTTATCATCGATGACCTGAATGATATGCGTGATCATGCCTTTATTACTTATTAAAGTGAATGATGGCATAATAAACATTCCCAGATTGAATACAAAGGACCATCATGTATTGTATTTCATTGTTTAATGATAAAGAGTGGATGGCTACTGGCACCAAGAATAGAAAAATCATGCTGCGTAACATGATCGGAGGAGTGGGTGGATGATTTCATACAGCGACGTTTTAGCTGCTGAGAAAGAGGATTAGCCAAGTGGGTATTCTTCCTTCCTTTCTTTTTCTCTTTCTCATTCGCTTTACTTTTATCTTCTTTTGAACAAGCTTATTTTGTATCATCATGTCTGGAGGAAAATCTGGAGGAAAGTCTGCTGCTGCTGGTGCCAAGTCTCAAACTCGTTCTGCTAAAGCCGGTCTTCAGTTCCCGGTTGGTCGTATCCATCGTCTCTTACGTCGTGGCAACTATGCTCAACGTGTGGGTGCTGGTGCTCCTGTTTATCTCGCTGCCGTTCTTGAATACTTGACAGCTGAAATCCTTGAATTGGCCGGCAATGCGGCTCGCGATAACAAAAAGTCTCGGATCATTCCTCGTCACTTGCAATTGGCCATTCGAAACGATGAAGAGTTGAACAAGTTGCTTGGCCACGTCACTATTGCACAAGGCGGTGTGCTTCCCAACATCCACAGCAGCTTGTTACCAACCAAAACCAAAAAGGCTGGTGCTTCTCAAGAGTTGTAAAGGCGTTCTTTATATACACTGCAATCGATTCAAGCGACCCATCCCACTTTGCAAATATCTCTCTCTCTAAGTTTTGTATGTAAATAAAGTACTTTTTCCACTCCCAAAGCATATCAACAATCACTTGATTAAACTTGTTCAATACAAACACGAATGCTTTTTTTCTCGATTGTTATTAAAGTGCAGCAAATCATATACAAGATGTCATTCAACAGGCACTAACTGCTGAGGAAAACTGTTACGTGTGTACTGTGCATGGGTGGTGGGCGAGATTGATAAAAGGAAACACTGTACAAGAGAAAGAAAAGAAGAGAAGGCTGATGATTGTCGAATGGATAGGAGTGAGAGAGGATGATGTTGGCGATAGAGTATGCGGTAAAATGTTGAAGAAGAAACAATATCAGGCAACAGCGCATTTAGGAACGCTCACCACGGAGACGACGAGCCAATTGGATATCCTTGGGCTGAATGGTAACACGCTTAGCGTGGATGGCAGCCAAGTTGGTATCTTCAAAGAGAGAGACAAGGTAGGCTTCAGAAGCTTCTTGAAGAGCACCAATGGCGGAGGATTGGAAACGCAAATCGGTCTTGAAGTCTTGAGCAATTTCACGAACAAGACGTTGGAAAGGCAACTTGCGGATCAAGAGCTCAGTGGACTTTTGGTAACGACGAATTTCACGAAGAGCAACGGTACCGGGTCTGTAACGATGGGGCTTCTTGACACCACCAGTGGAGGGAGCAGACTTACGGGCAGCCTTGGTAGCGAGTTGCTTACGGGGGGCCTTACCACCAGTAGACTTGCGAGCGGTTTGCTTAGTACGAGCCATAGTTGATAATGGGTTGCAAAAATGAAAAAGGGAAAAAGAAGTGCAAGAAAGCAAGGAATAGAGGAAGGTTATATATGTTGCGGCGTGCTTGTGCAACCACAACCACGCATCAACGCGCATGGTTGGAATTTTTTTCATACGGCGTTTTTTTTAAACATCGCGCTATACCGCGTAAACACGCTCCCCCTTACTTCTACGCGATACGTGTCATGCCTATTCATTTCATCTCAAAGCGGTCCAAACATACATCAAAAGCATAGGTTTGTTTTTGGATGACATATGCATCATAGTTCATGGTTTGTGATTGACATGGATTGACACATTGAATGCTTGTGAGAGAAAAAGTTGGGTGAAAAGGAGTGCTAGTGCATGTAAAAACTTGTGTATCTAGTTTTTTTTGATCGACACGCGTTCTTGAATCGCGTGTACCTCAACACGCGGACGTGAAAAATGAAAAAGACAAATGGGGGATACCCGATTGTATATAAAGGCCGCACATCCCGACACCCCTTTTTGCTTTTTCTTTTTTACTTTTCTTTCAATACATCTACAACAACAATGACTGGTCGCGGCAAAGGTGGTAAAGGTCTCGGAAAGGGTGGTGCCAAGCGTCATCGCAAGATTTTGCGTGACAACATCCAAGGTATTACCAAGCCTGCTATTCGTCGTCTTGCTCGCCGTGGTGGTGTCAAGCGTATCTCTGGTTTGATCTATGAGGAGACTCGTGGTGTTCTTAAGGTCTTCCTTGAAAACGTTATCCGTGATGCCGTCACTTACACTGAACACGCCAAGCGTAAGACCGTCACCTCCCTTGATGTCGTCTATGCTCTCAAGCGTCAAGGCCGTACCCTTTATGGCTTCGGCGGTTAAACACCTTCATCTTGCCATTCTACACCATTTGCACACGTTTTTTGCTATTCCTCCTCATTTTCACACCGCACACATGTTCATCTTCTTTTTATCGCCACTTTTTCTACCATTCCATTTGTATACTTGAAGCACCCGCTTGTCCCAATATTGACATCGATCAACGACACTGTATCTGTATATAGCGTTTATCCTACGTTGTTCGCGGATTTGATTAAAAACCTCATGAAAACAACATACATCCAATTTTGTTGCCTTTATCTTATGTTCGTATTGGTTGCAATTATTGTAACAGAAGCATTTATAGCAATTAGCATCGTGCTAAAGTGGATGTTGGGGCACAAGTTATAGGCACATTGATTCAAGCACAGCGTTCTCAAGGCGTTGCTATATGCAAACAATGAAAAGTTCAAGGTTCATATTGTCCTTTGGGCATGGAGTCGTTGTAAAGAAAGAACTCCCTCCCACATTCATACACATATGGCTCATTCCTCAAGTTACTATATAAGCGCCTTGATTACATATACCAAGTTGCCATTTTTCTTCGTCGACATGTATACCTTGGATCTCATCTTTATGGTTGCCATGGCATTAGGTGCATTCTCAAGCATCAATAACCCATGGCGGTGATACATTTATAGCAGCATTATTCCTTATGAGTCGATTTGGATTGATGTGCTTTAACATCAATAGCATGCACACTATCACTTTGCATAGTCCCTTCTCTTTTCGAAACATGTGAACGTGTAATAACTTTGTGAAGCAAAAAAAAGATTCATTTTATCTCGTTTCCGAGGACAACGTAAATCAAACGCTATTTACAGATACAAGAATACGGCTATGTTGAGTGTACAATTCGATGGATGGGTGTGATTGAATGATGGCGATAGAGATAAAATTGAGGATAAGATGGATTTGTATGAGCGAGGAGGGAAAGAAAAAAAAAGTCAAAAGCAAATGATTTAGAGTTCTTGGGAAGCACCAGCCTTCTTGGTCTTGGTAGGCAAGAGACTGCTGTGAATGTTGGGAAGGACACCACCTTGGGCAATGGTAACGTGACCAAGGAGCTTGTTCAATTCTTCATCGTTGCGGATGGCCAATTGCAAGTGACGGGGAATGATACGAGACTTCTTGTTATCACGAGCAGCGTTACCAGCCAATTCGAGAATTTCAGCGGTCAAGTATTCAAGGACGGCAGCAAGGTAAACAGGAGCACCAGCACCAACACGTTGGGCATAGTTGCCACGACGCAAGAGACGATGAATACGGCCAACAGGGAATTGAAGACCTGCCTTAGCAGAGCGGGTTTGGGACTTGGCGCCAGCAGCAGACTTTCCTCCAGACTTTCCTCCAGACATGATAATAGATTTAGTGGTTGATGCGTAAAAAAGGAAGAGTGATACAGCGTTGCTGTGGTTAGCGGGGCCTAGTGCCTTTTATACTTGCCCATCATCCTTCTCCGCACTCACGTGTGACATGAGCTTCACGCGTATACGCGAAAAACTTCAAGAAGTAAAAAAAATTTTTATTACAGCAATCGATCAAAGAGCGTGTCATTGCGCGATATCACGCTTTGGATCACGTAGTGTATAAGCTATAATGAGGTGAAAACGCGCATTGAATCCAAAGAGGCAAACACAAAAGGAAAATTTTCTCAGCACAAACGCGCGCGCTTTTGTGCCAGCAATGTGGCACACAACGAGCAAATTAGCACCCCGTGACTCACTCTATCCACTCGCGGCAAGTATTTAAAGTCGTCGGCTTTTTGCTTTCTTTTCCACCTATCCCAACTCTTTTTCTATTAACATGGCTCCCAAAGACGCTCCCGCTGGCAAGGCTCCCGCTAAGACTACCGAAAAGAAGGTCAAGGCTTCTGGTGACAAGAAGCGTAAGGTCACCCGTAAGGAGACCTACTCTTCCTACATCTACCGTGTCTTGAAGCAGGTCCACCCTGATACTGGTATCTCCAACAAGGCCATGTCGATTCTCAACTCCTTCGTCAACGACATTTTCGAGCGTATTGCCTCTGAAGCTTCCAAGCTTGCTGCTTACAACAAGCGTTCCACCATCTCTTCGCGTGAAATCCAAACCGCTGTTCGTCTTATCCTTCCCGGTGAATTGGCTAAGCACGCCGTCTCTGAAGGTACCAAGGCTGTCACCAAGTACACCAGCTCCAAGTAAATCAGTTGTTTGTTTGGAAAAAAAGAGAAAGAATCTATTTGGCACCGCAACATCAACATTTCATCTTCAAAGCGAGAACCAATTCCCTTCAATATCCCTCATTCTCTTTGCTCCGTTCCATCTTGTACAGACCAAATCCGCTTGTTCATATTCTCTTTTTGCTTTCTTCAATCCATGTAGTCATAAAACATAATCGCGTAAAAACACACACGTATTGTTGTTCATTTTGGGGGGGGTGATGTTGGTGGTTGCTAGGTTTATCAACAAAGCTGGATTAAAGCCAATGTAGGTTTTTGTCCCCGTTGCCGGGTATTGTGAGGTCCAAGTTGCTGTGTTTTGATGTATATCCTTAAACAGTAAAACAACGTACGTCGACAATGCAATGGATTCTATCGATAGCTCGTGATCTTATTATGGACAATGGCAGCTCATAGTTATGGTACACAATGAACATGGCCATGGAGTGGGTAACAATGGAAAATGGAATACCTTGGTTGATACGATTGTCGTATCTTGCAACGCATTTAGTAAATGAACTTTGCAGCTTGAGACATGCCGTAACTAAGGTAGATGGTTCCCTAGCAACCAACTAATTGTTGTCTCCTGGCAACCATTTCCAATTCCGGAATTAGCAATATGGGTTCGTATCTTTGGAAAGAAAAAGGTGTCCTGTATTGGAGGCATCTCTATTGAAACATGAGTCGCAACACGTCCCTTGCAAGAAGCATCATTGAATGTAGCCTGATTTACAAAAAGCATATACGGATCAACGCCTTGTGTCGCTTAAATACGTCATGTCATATGCTTCACGATCAGTGTAACACCTCAAAGCGGGGATCATCCTAGCATTGATCAAGCAAACATGCTCTCAACTTGAAGCTCGCCATCACTCCAATGATCTCAATGGTACCCGTAACAATATCAGGTATGTTCTAAAAGCATACCTTTCTTTAGCACACGTTGATTGATATGAAAAAATGATTGCATTACTATTGGCAAACGTTGTTGCAACACGCAACATGTTGCTGGTTGATTCAATCATGCTTATATATGGGTTGCGACGTATCTAGGATACTGATGGTAAGGGGTTGGCATAGTAGTAGATGCTATGTAAGCTCGGCTACAGGTTTAGAATAGACCTATTGTGCATACGCGTATTAACCCTGTAGCAAGCTGCATTTTCAAAAAGAGCGATTTATATGCCATGCTAACGTTGATCCATAAACTGGGCGCGACACGTATAATTGTTATTGATTTTCGGCTGTTGGGTGCATGAATCTAGATATTATTGATCCAGATCTTGAAACGTTACACATGACTGACCGCTTGTTGCTTACGCAACAGCTGGTTTATAATCTGAGAAATCAAGTTGTGCATCATGTATCTTTTTCCTTTGCCACAACCACCCCCATTCTTCTATTCTACGAACCATGTCTGATAACTGTAAGCTCCCCAACATCATTGTATCAGCTCATGGCTAATGCATCTTTCAATTTTGGTAAGCCAACAAGAAGCAGTTCTTGGTAGTCATTCGCGACTACACGGATGAAGGTGCTCTTGAGCGTCGCATGGCTGCACGTCCCAAGCATCTTGCTATGGCGGAGACCTCTTATCCAAACTATATTGTGTGCGGCGGTGCTATCTTTGATTCACACGAGGTTTGATCCACCACGGGGGTGACACGCGAAATATGGGGAAACGATGTATGAGCGTGTGAGAAAAGCGTTGTTAATGTGTCGTGTCCTTAACATAGAATCGCAAAATGGTTGGCAGTGCCATGATCTGTTTGGCCGAGTCTGAAGAAGAATTGCGTGAAAAGATTGCTCAAGATCCCTATGTCCTTGGGAAAGTTTGGGAATCTTGGACTATTTACCCTTACAGGAAGTAAGCTTTTATTATGGTTTTTGGATCTACAACGTTACTTACATGCATGCGTATTTAGTGCTGTTGGTCTTAAGTCTGAGCTCCCGGGTCCTGTGATTGTTTAATGACGCCAAGTAGACTTGGCATGCTTCTTCCACTGCTTATTATCATCGCCAAGGAAATAAAACAAAACACCCCACGATCTTTCATTTGCCGTTACACAATCTTCGATCGCGGGTTATGCTTCCCGCAGCAACGTATAGCCAGCTGACTCAGCTGTTAACTAAAGCCAAGACAACATGGTGGTGGTTGTGTCTAATTGCCTTGGCATCCAGTATTGTATATATAAAATGGACGTTGTTGAGAAATAAGAGAGGAGAAACAAATCTTGACTATGCCTGTAGGTGACATGGGGAAAGCTTTTTTGTGGCTCGTTCGTTTTATCCACGTGTCTCTTTGCTCATTGCCATATATGTCTAATCGCAGGTTGACGGTACAGCGATTGCAGAAGAGTGCTTTACAGCTTATGAAAAGCTCAAAGCTGGTGATGCTGCATTTGTATTGTTTGAGATTAAAGGCAAGTAGTATAGTAGATAATGGGCGATGAAGACTCGCAAGATGAAAACTAGTGTAGTCTCCACTTGAAATAACTCATTGTGTGACTATAGATGAAATGATCGTGGTGAACCATATTGGCCAACCTGCAAGTGCATATAAAGATTACTATGAAGCATTCCTTGAAGCGCTCCCTGCCGACGAGTGTCGCTATGCTGTGCTCTATGTGGATGATGTTGTTAATCACCATGGCGTGAAAAAGCGTGAGCTTGTGTTTTATGGATGGTAATGTATAGTGATTATGAGATGAATGTCAAAGGAGAATGCTGACTATTATTGGCGACAATGACCAGGGCGCCGGATCAGTGTCATGTTAAGCAGCGAATGATGCATTCGACGTCACTGATCATATTCCGTCGACGGTTGGTTGGCCCTGGGGTTGGAATTGAAATCCAAGCAAATGATGTTTCCGAGGTGAGAATTCCACACCTAACCCCTACATGTAAACAGCATTGAAAACGCATCATTTATGTTTTCATGGCATTAACTATGGCAGTAGGCACAGCGTGAAGCCGTTTTTGAGAAGGCTCAAAGACGTCCACCTTTCATCCAATAAAAGGGATCGACGCATTGGGCGGTCTTTTTGTGTAACAGCGGCACGAGCTATTTCTATAAAAGATTATGCTCCCTTGACAGCGTCCCACCTAAACATTAGCACAGCTCTTCACTGGGATACAGCGGCTATTGGTGATTGATTGTGATGGTGGATGATTTATATATATGGAATGATGGGGTTATGAATTAAATTGGTCGGCGTACATATAGCATTATGTTTTAGATGAGTAGGCGGGAAGAATAAGGGCTAAGGGATCATGCAACGGGAGCGGGGTGAAGATGGGGGGTGCAACAAACGCAAGGGCTCTTTACCAATGTTGGTCTCGCACAGGAACAGACACAACCCAGTGTAACCTTGAGTGCCACACACATACACACGCACACACACACGCACACATACTCACGTACACATGCCCCTCGTACTTTTTCCTTATATTCATTTGCTTCTTGCAATCATAATGAGGATCCATGTTATTAGTAAATTATCCTTGGCAACCAAGATTAAGGTTGGTTACCATCCATAGCAACAACAAGCAACTATAATAAGCATGTAGTGTGTGTGTGTGTGTGTGAACGTGCATTGTGTTATATAGGTTTCTATGGGTGCGTATATTGTATAGGGTGGGTGTGTGGCTGTCAATGGTGGGTGGGGGGAAGAGATGGGTAATGTATTAAATGGTAACATGCTGATTATAGTAGTGGTAGTGGGTTGGGTGAAGGTGGAGTACAATATCATATCATTACACCGACAACAACAACAATGATGATGAGGATGATGATGAAAGATTGGTTGTTTTTCTTTCCTTGGTTGGTGATGATTTGCGCCTGATGACCCCAAGAACGGTGGTTTTTTTTTGTGCGGCGTCCGCCTTTAATTCGCTAACCGCCCCGGCACATTGTGTGGGATGTGGGTTGTGTGAGTTGTGTGTCTCTCTTTTCTCTCTTTTCCACTCCTTTTATTCTTGCTCATTTTGATTGTCAGCAATCTCCCCATTCTATCAACTCTGCCCATGTCACAGCAAAAAGCGATCTCTCCCGACTTGCGAGATTCAAAGGACGCAAGAGAGGAACCAGCTGACGAGCCTCCTGCAACTCGTATCCTCACTCGACGAGCAAGTCGCTCTGCGGCTAATAGTACAAAGCAAACATCCGAACCACCACCTTCCAAAGGGGCTGATGATGGCGATGATTCACGAGCATCCACTTCTCCTACGCGTGTAACGCGTTCACAATCCATTGAGCCTACAGACCATCAACATCAACATCAACAACAACAACAGCCGATCAATACAAGAAAACGGATGCGACGAGGCACGGGATCTACTTCCGGATCCAACACCGCAATCAATGGCAAAAAGCGTACAAAGTCTGGTAACGAAGCAAGTGAAAGAGAGACTCGGAATGCTACGCAACGCATGACAAAAGAGACACGAGAAGCTAGAAGAGCTCAACGTGAAGCTGAAATGAAAGAAAGGTATTAAATGTTATATGCATGCATCATCTTTGTTGCTAATGATACCTTTGTTTAATATACAAGATTGGCTGAGCTGGACGAGTTGGAACAAACCGTCAAGAATGGAACCCATCCAGAGTATCTACGATTGCTCAAAGAGATTGAAAACAAGCGAGAGAAGAGGATCCGTGTCACCAAGGCTCAATATGAACTCGCTCTTCAGAATCAAAATGCCGTTCTTGATACTATTCGTAAGGCATCCAAGGATCATCTTGTGGTAAACATCCCTTTTTTCTTTATGTTTGCAAGGTTTTTTTTTTCCCTTTCCATTATTGACGCACACGGGTTATCACAGTTGAAGAAGCAAGCATTCCGGCGACACATGATGCAACAAGTGCAACAACAGATCAGTAAACTCGAGCAGGAGTATTATACGCATAATGTGACCAGTAAGTGTCTCCTTTCATTTGTTATGATTTGTGTGTTGCCCCGCCACCCAATACTGCCAACAACAGCAAGCATCAGAAACTGACGCATATTTGGCTACACCAATTTAGGCTCGTTGGACAATCAGCATGTGGCTAACTGGACTCCGCTACACCGCCCTTCACGGCTTGATATCCTTTTTATCATATAACAATCTTATATTCGGGGTCCAGAATGAGGAAGAAAATCATCCTTAACCGCTGATGTTTACATTCCATAGTTGTTCCTTTGACACAAGAAGATGCCGAGAGTGATATTCATCTAATGCAAACAGCCATTGAACATCAACAACAACGTCTACCACCATCATCCACAAAACAAGTATCCCCGCCACCATCAGCTACTGCATCATCGCCACAACAACATCAGCCGCCTCAATCGCAGCAGCCAAGACATGTACCACAACGTCAAGATGAACAACATCGTCACTCACCCAAATCTTCAACTCGTTCTCACCCATTACCATCATTTTCTTCTTCGTCATCCACAGCATTACCATCATTCTCCAAGGACTCAAATATTGCATCATCCAATCCCATCCATCATCATCCACCACAACAACATCAAACATCCACTACCAATCACGTGGCTTCACCTTCACCACCAATAACGTCATCTATGCCTCCTGTCGATCATTCATATCAAGTACACTATCCCGGGCGTTTCATAGCACAGGAAAGACCACCAACACACCCTTCATCACCTGCCAAACCCCTTGTCAAGTAGTAATATCGCTTGTTTTTCTGCTCTTTTCATTTGTTTTTTCTTGATAAACAATAATTTAGGGTATCCAATAACGTGGTGTGTGTGCTTATAAAACTTTTGTCTCTTTATTCACAATGGAGGCGATGAGATGAGAAAGGAGGAGAGTATGGAGAGAGAGAGAGATAATTGTATACATGCTTTTTAAGCAGAGCGGGATGCCTTTTCTAACACGGCTTCGTGTTCAACCTCACTAAAGTCTGTGCCTTGGATTTCGATAGCCAAACCAACCAACTTTTTGCGAAGAGCATCTTTACTGGAAGCGTACAACATCTTTTGGCGAACCTTGGCAGTATCGGGAATCCTAATAGCATTTGAAATGAATCATCCCATTCACGTCAAAAACCCCCCACCTCCTCCGAAGAATACTTTACCATGAATAGAAAGTGATCTTGAATCGTTGACCTTCACCAGGCTTCTCATAGTCGAAGTCATAGACTGCATAACGGGGTTCATCAGCAGGCAAGCAGGCAAGGAATTCATCATAATTGCCAGTCTCGGCAGCCTTCTCAACAACGATCTCCTTAAGGTCATCTGTTCATCCACCCCACACAATAACAGCATGAGCATTCGCCAATTCTCGGGTTCTCCCCATTCCTTTGGATAATGCCAATCCTTCACTTACCCGACAACTTGAAGATGATGTACTTGTAGCTCTTGCGAAGCTTGAATTCCTGGTAGAGCTCGAGGCACTGATCGTTGACTGCGACACCAGACGACTAGAATAGGACAAAGTAGATATCCATCAATACAATGTGCTCTAGTATGCAGAGAGGCAAAATGTCTTTATATGGATAATAATAAACTTACCATTGTTTTCGAAAAAGAGTGTTGTGTAAAGAAAAAGAGAAAAAAGAAATCGAGACTCAAAGCGCGGGCTGCCACACCTTATACCAAGTAGGTCGCGTTAGTCTGCTGACGTCTACGATCCGACTAGCATTATACCTCCTCCGACAACAGCAACGTTACTTTTTTAGGAGACATGGCACAATCCCTCATTATAATACATCTTTTTTATTGCCCTGTTCGCTCTCGTCGTCGTGGCATGTACATGTAATCTTCGGTCCCAATGACATAAAACAACTTGTAGGTATGTAGACATATCTTGTGTTCAAGCCCACTATGAGTATCCACGTCGCCAGGGGGTATCGATTGCAAGTTACGCCGGAGAAACGGAGGTCGAGCATGATTACCCAGTACAGTAGTAGTAGTAGTTGTAGATGTCTCCTCTCCCATATTCTTGAATGCTGCCACATAGTCTTCATAGCTTTTGATCCTCTCATTGCCAATTTCATCTTCAGGCGTCATAAGCGTGATGGATACTGTACACTTGTTTGCTTCTTCAGGAGTCTATTCGAGGAAAATAAGATATAGGTGTATCACGTTGGCCACCCGGAACTTACCGTGAATGCAAATAGAATATACAATCGAGAAGTTTTGGATTGGATCTCTTTGGCTTTGAGATAATAATATGACACGGTATCCAATGTAGCCGATGGTAATCCTTCACCCTCGTCAGCGTAAAGCTTCATCAGGTCACGTGAATCAGGATCCGTCACCGCGTGATTGGCTTGGAGACATAAAGCATGGAGCACCTTATCCACTGTAAACAGCTTATAGCCTTCCACACCAAAGATGTAACGTGCGCATGCTTCAAAATCACCAGGATCAATGCCGTTGCGAATCATTTCTCGGACGAGGTCGAGTAGCGTAGCGTAATAGCCTTCCGAAAATGTAAGGTTCACACCTATTTCACGAGTCAGCATGCTCCTTCAACTCTCTCTATATCCACAACAAGATTTACCATTATGTTTCACTTTTTTGACCTTCACGTCAAGCTCAGCACGATATCTCTCCTTGGTGCCTTCAGGGTCCTGATCATATCTTTTGGCTATGTCTTTCATCGTCTCGAATCGTTCATAGAGAATCTATGAGATTATACACTATCAATGTATGCTACCTTACGTATGTAAGAATAAAAAATACCTGGAATAGACGCGTAAAGCAATAGAGGGTATCGTTTGCCACAAATCCGTTTACTACCATGATATCATGAGTATCGCCAAGACAAGATGAATGCTTCACAACGTACCTTTGTTCTGGTTTTCGTCTTTTGGTGATGGTGGAGAGCCGCTCATAAAGGAGTTGATAAACTTGGATATAAACTTCTTCATGGTCCTGATGGTGTTGAGGCCGTAATCCATGCGAGACGTGATGTAAAGTGATAAAAGCTCTCCGATATCACTGACAACATTGCGATCACAAACATGGAATGTCATGTGTGGCGGGTCGGTACGAGTATCATCACGCCGTTCGAAATGCAAACACTCAATCTCGGTTATCAGTGATTTGTTGCTGATGATCTTTTTGTCGATGTTCTTGAAGGATCCGCTGCTAATGTCGAGAGCCTTGTAATAGCTATCCCTTTCAGCTTCTTTCCATGCCTTTTCTGAGCTGGCCTATCAAGTTGAATTAGTTATCATGCTCCTCCACGTGCATTTAAAAGAACTTACCTTTTTCTTTTTCCATTCTTCCAGCTTTGTCTTTAGCAGCTTGAGTACAGGGGAAACGGTTTGTGATGGGTTGGCTTGTAGTAGTTCAGCAATCTTATTGGCCTCCTTGGGGTATAATCGTTCGATGGCAAGTTTGTAGGCCATCATGGTGCCTGCACCGAGAAATGCTGGAGGTTCATATTTTGATCGCTGTTTGGGTGAAAGCTTCGCCATGGCATCCGACATTTGTGTCAACAAGCCGAGCAGATTGGTTCCCGAATCAATCAATCGATCCAAATTATATCGTTGCTCTTCAACTTTGTGGAGATTCTCTTCAGCTTGGTTCTTCTTTGATGCAATAAATCCACCATCTTCACTCGCCCAAATCGGATGCGACGCATAGTTGTCATTCAATACTTGACTGCAAAGCGCATCACGCCCTGAACACGTTGGACTATCGGCCTATCGTCCAAAAAAGTAATGCATGTAAATACGTGCATCATCCATTTCGTTATCCATATACGTACCTGCTTTGATATTAATCGATAGCTTGGACCAGGATCATTCGATAACTTCATCCTTGTTCGCTTTTCCTATGTTACTATATGAGTAACAGTAATATGGCGCACAACATCCTTATTGAACCTACTCGTTTGCTGTCCTTGCTCTTCGTAATGGTCTGTGCAGGGTTTGTGTGACCATTGGTCTTCATTACACCATCAGCGACAGGCATAGTAGCACCATATGAGATGAGATGCTTGAACTCGTCCAATAATGCTGGGTCTCCTTTAAGGAAGTCGGCCGCCTTTTTGATTGTCGCCTTAACACCGATAATGCCTTGGTTGAAAAGGTTGACGAGCTCGAGAAAGCATTGGTGTGAGACCTGGTTGTTGATATACCGCCGTACACGCTCGAAAAATTGACCATTCTCCAATACAAGAGCCATCTCTTCTTCTAGCGATAATTGCCTTCGCTGTTTTCTCTTCTAGTATTCAAGGAGTCAGAAGTCAAGGATGGATACGATGCCATCTAGAGGATAATTACCAGTGCATAAACTTCGCCAAGCGCATCAATCGATTCTCCTTCTATTATCCAATTAGCATGCTTGAGAGGTAGGCAGTAGAGATGTATATAACATACCGCCATCAGAATGAGTGATAAACTTTTTGAATTCTCGAATCAACTTCGGCTCATCGGCAAATAGCTTCTTTACGATGTCAAATACCTAAAGATTGTATGAATACTCAACGCTTATCCTTTCCTTTGTTCCCAAGTCCACTTACATCCTTGCCATTCAAACGTTTTGCTTCATAATCCTTCAACGTCTTCACAAAGCTCCCATATACATCGGGCTTGTTAGCCAATTGTTTCTATAGAAAGATATAAAGTCAATAACAATCATTGGATCCCCTTTCCAGTAGCAGCAGCTAACCCACCTTGAGCATGATCATAAAGTTGTAAGCCAATTGAAACTCGAAAGGTCCTCGATGGTCTTTAAACTCATCCAAAAGAAGTTCTGCTTCCGCCTCGTGGTGTTTATGCTAACATCATATACGATAGATCAGTAATCTGTATTTCAGAGAAACTTGCTCGACGAACTTACGTCTATACCAGGAATGTAGATGATGCGATAGCCTGGAGGTAAAAAGCGATTGAAACCCACAACAAGCTCACGTTGTCCTCGAAATATTTTGGAGATTGAATCGACAATTTGTGCAGTAGGCAGACTAATGAAGAATCATGAGCATAAAAATCGTGATATTTTCTTTTGATCCCTTACCTATCACTTTTGGCTGCACGCATGATATCAAGAAATCGATTGTACTCTCCTGGATCCAGCGCATACTTGACTCTGGTCAAAAATTCGATGGCTTCATTGGGATCCATAAGCGAATATCGGAATTGATCACGATCGGTGGTGGATTGGTCAAGGTTGGAAAGTGGTTTAGGTGATACTTGGTCGATGAATGGTATTGAGGATGCATTGACAACATCAAGTTGCTGTTGTTCGAGCCTAGGTTTCTTCCTGAGTGGTGGTGCAGTATAAGGATATCCAAATTCATCTTCATCTTCATCATCGTCCTCGCTGCTGCTAATGATGGCACTGACAGTTGCACTGGATCTCAATGAAGACATGTGTGTCGTTTGATATTGGGTATTGGTGTCATTGTCTTCTCGTGGTCGCTTGTCACGTGCGCGTAAACAGTACAATAGTCGTGTCTTGTCGTTCGTGCCTTGGTCGGTATGATCTCGTAACGATGACGGTGACAAGATACTAGGACTTGCCGATTGCTGTCTCGATCCTCCTTCGTAATTGGAATCAGAGTCATCTTGGATATCAGATTGCGATCCATGGGCTGAATAGCTGCTTGAATATGCTTCATAGGCATGGCGGGGTCGTCGTAGTTGAATGGGGTCGTTTGCCATTGTAGTGAGTCCAATGTTGTCATTGTTGTCGACTATGTTGTCTTCTTTGTCTCGAGAAGTACTTGAGGATGTGCATTCTTCGCTGTTGTGTTGAGGTGTTGTACCCATATTGTGTATGCGTGTGTGCGTTCAAGCGGAAAGACGTCGCGTGGCGGAAGAAAGAGACCTACCCACACGAGATCCGAGAAGCTCGAGACATTATGTGACGGAGCGTTGAGATGATCCGCTTTTGACCCTGATTATCCTTGTTTGGTTTAAAAGAACCATTATTGGTGTATGGATCCATTATGGTGCCTTTGCCGTACATGGGATTTAAGTCATTGCTTAGTTAGAAGATTAAGGAACGTGCATGATAGCGCTCTTGTACATTGGTATGCTCTCTATCAACTTTATATAACATTTAAACAAACCATAAAGTCTACTTAATATATGGGGAAATTGGGATCTATATCAGTGGCCCACTTGTATAGGCCTCCAGAGATATCGCGTGCATTTGTAATACCATGCTTTTGTAACAATCGTACAGCCAATTGAGAATCATTACCCAACCGGCAAACTACGTAGACTATAAAGAGCATAATGAATCAATACACAAAGAATCCCAATTCCCCAAAAAAGCTTATCCGTACCATTGTCGGTTTCCTTTGCCTCCATATCCTTCTTCAACTCTGATATCCTCTTTTCCAAATTGGCCAATGGTATGCTTAGACTGCCAGGAAGACTGCAAATGTCAAACTGAACTGGTGCCCGTACGTCGAGGAGCACATGTGCTTCGTTGTTATTTACCACCTCATTGTATTGCTAAGAAAGGGAGGGGGCATGTAAATAACAAAGAATACCATTAATTAACACAAAGACTAACCTGTACATTGATGCGTTCTTTGGGTTCAAGAACAGAAAGTGAAAGCTCCTAAGTCCAAAGGTCAATGCTCCATCACAATGCTTATTTGATCACTCTCTTACCTTATCATTTGCGCCCGCTCCACAGAATTGGACATAGTCAATAAGAGCTGTGATTGTAGGATTTTCTCCGCACACGACACAATCCTTTCGTTTTCCACGAAGCTTCATTGTTCTGAACATGGGTGAATAGCTGCCTGAAAAGATCAAGAAACTTGGTGGATCATTGGCTAAATAGAGTCAAGTCAGCGTTTGCTAGTTTGCATTAGTTTCCCTCTTGCATGTATTTACCATTTGATCCAGTGATAATCTTGATTGCTTCTAAGGCTTGCAGGGTACCAATCACACCAGGTACTAGAAAAGTATTGTTCTTTGTTGAATATGATGCATCTCTCCTATGGATGGAATAGAACCTACCTACGCCAAGGACACCACCATCCGAGCAATTGGTCACAGTTTCAGCAGGAGGCGGTACAGGATGCAAACAGCGATAGCAAGGACCACCATTGTAATTGTACACCGTGAGCTAATATTGTCACTAGTCAACACATTGCTTGGCCAAAAATCTTTTGCATCATAGGTTACCTGGCCATCCATTCTCAAAGCACTACCTGAAACAAGAGGTTTGCCCGCCAAAACACATGCATCATTCAGTAGGTAGCGAGTGGCCACATTATCAGTTGCATCGAGCACCACATCGTACCTGAACATCGTTATATGAGCATCATCATGTAATCTACCCATACTTTTCACCTTCCACCTACTGTTTGATGATATCCAATGCATTGGTGCTATCCAAGAGTATTGGGTAAGGTGTGACATGGCATCCAGGATTGATTCTGTTGAAAGGGAGGGAGCGGATCAGCTTATCCAGTCAATCGATTCACGTCACGTGACCTTACTCGTGAACAGCCATCATTGCCGAGACAGCCTTGTTGATACCTTGAGTCCTTTCCTTATGTATCACTTGGCGATGCAAATTGGAAACATCAACGTCATCATGATCCACAATACCAAGTCGACCAACGCCCCCGGCACCAAGGTACAGCAATGCTGGAGCTCCAAGACCACCGGCACCAACAACAAGAATAGAACTATTGCGTAGCTTTAGTTGACCTATAAGCCAATAAAGGTTAGCCATCATTGTATGATGTTTAGACTCCTAGAAGCAACATGCCTTCAATGCCAAAGTCAGGGAGAATCAATTGTCTGCCAAAGCGTCGGATCTCTGGATTGCTAAGCCGATCCACTTGTTGAAAGGAATGTTGCTGTTTGACTGGTTTGGATTCTAGTTGGGACTCCAATTCAGCAATGCGTTGGCGTAAGCGTTGGTTTTCTTGTTCAAGGGTCTCCATGGCCAGGGCGAAGCGAACGATCGATGAGGGGGAAAACGAAAAACAGAGGTAGAACGGCAAGCGTGCGAAAGAGCCCACCAATGACGGCAAGCCCGGTCGGGAATTCTTGTGTCACCATCCATTGCAGGAATTGCATGCTGTAATGTAGTTTCTCGATAATGGGGGATATGTTTATTTGAATGAATGGGATTCTGTCTATCAGTCTACAATGACCGATGCATGTATTGTGTGTGATGGGAGAAAAATGACAAGCATAACTGGAACACAAATTCAAAACAATAAACGAAAAACAAAAAAGAAGAATGATGGGTGGTGGGAGGGCTATTGATGTCTACTACTACTGGCAATACTGGCAGAATCCGAAGGCGATGGGACAACCACAGCAGGTCCTTCCTTACGTTGAACATCCAAATCCTTCTTGATTTGCTCCTCCAGATCTCGGATATCTTCAATCGACATACCATACCATTGATCCATCCAGCAGAACAATTGCCTTTTGACATATAGAATAGCATCATCATCATCATTAGTGATCATAGTAGATAATACATGTTTAAATAACGCCATTACCTGTGGAACTTGAGGAATAGGTTATGGATCGTCTTTGAAAGGAAAGATTCGACCTTGCCTTGAATACCAAACCACTTGAATTCAATGTACACCAACTTGTAGCATGTCATGACAGGCTCACACGTCTTGATCCAATCCTTTTCAGTCAAGGGTCCACGTCCAGTTTTGGTTGAATGCACCAATCTAGGATCTTCTTGAGGCTTGTACTCCTTGGGATCAACCTTGTCGTTGGCAACATCAATCAAAATCACTTCTCGCTTCTTGAGATCAGCATCCGAGATTTTAAGTGCATTGGTAAGCTCGCCACGGGACTTGTCCACATGCAAGGTTTCATAAACAATGGAAAAGTTGTCCTTCATGTAGCCATTCTAAATACCAACATGACCACCAATTAAGCATACGTTGTTCTCGACCATAACCTCCTCCTCATAAATCCCAATTACCTTCAATACTAGAAACATGACACGTCAAACGCAAGGCGTCGAAAGAGGAAAAGCCCGTGAATATACATATCACCCATGTAAAATGCATCACCCAATTTTTACCTGTTTTGCAGTATGGGTAAGCGTTCCATGCCTAAACATCCATATTAGAAATTTGGTCAACATGAATAGATGAAACATTTACCTCTTCATATAGATCCAATGCACCAGCAGGTGCCAATGCACGTACAAAGCCGGGTACCCGTGAGGCTAAGCGAAAGATCTTGTAGGTATACTGGCCCTTTTCACCATTCTCTTTCTCATATGGCTCGTTTTTGATGACTTCGACTCCTTCACCACCACCCGTTTGTTCCTTGGAAGCCATAGCAGTTGCATAGAGCTGACCTATTAGTTATGAATATACTCATCAGTAAAGCGTCTTGACACATCCCATCCCTTGCTTCCATACTTGCCAATTTGATACTCTGATTGGGTGCAATTGTTGACGACACGGTATTCCTTGATGAGCATGGCGAATCAGTGAGAAAGAGATGAACAAGAAAGAAGAGAAGTCTTTGAAGCACGAGAGAGCGGGGAAGACTAAAATTGACGTATACGCAGTGAACGTCAACGGCACATGTCCAAAACAAAACGGGTTCTCAAGCAGGCCTTGGCATTGGTAGCCCCCTTTTTTTATCTCACATGATATCACCACATCCTCTCTTTTTCATTGCTATGACACGAGACAAGTATGTTGGTTCCCGTATCCATGTAGTCTATCCACCGTCGTCAAGGGTAGCATGCCCATCGGATCAATGTCGGCAACCAACCCCCGATACATTTAAGGCATTAGTGCACGAGCAAAACCCAACAAAGGGGTCCCTCCAATCATCTAGATGACAATAGTCTATCACCCAGTAATGCTGCTAGCAATATCATTTTCTCATTAAAGGGTCGATAAAACAATCGATTAAACACGACAATTCATGCGAATGGGGCCATTCCAGGGAACACAAAATGCTCTGTGTATCGTTACTTGTTTTTCCCGGCCCGCATTTCCGCTAGTTGCACACATTATTACCCATCTCTATCAGGATGACATGTGGATAAGCCATGAGACTCAATCACCCGTACCTATTGATTTGTAAGTTGCGTATTATTCAAGAGGCATACTATTATGGGTGGTGATCATTATGGTATGGAAGATGATGATTTATTACTATGTAATATAGGGGGGTCGATCATATACATAAAGTGATGGTGGTCGCTGCTAATGCTTGTTGTACCAATCAGCCAGCTCCTGATACTTCTCTTTGTTGTGCTTTTTTGTGAGTTGCGCCTTTTTGATATTATTGTCCAGGAATTTCTTGTAGTATTCAGCATTTTCTTCCATGAACTTTTGCCGAGCTTCCAAAGACCGTTCCTGGTACACATTCTTCGACGCCTCATCAAGTTCTTTCCACTTTCGGGTGACGATGGTGTTGATATCTTGGAATTTGAGATCTGGATTCTCTTCTTTGAGCTTGGGATACATATCACGACTGAAGAGCACAAAGCTATTCGGTGGCAACTTCGGTTTCTGTTCACGCTGCTTGTCATAGAATTCCTCCTTGAGTCGTTTGGATTCATCACGATATTTCTGCTTTTCTTCCTATACCCAAAAGTCAATACATGAATAAGATCGAGAACGAACAAAGTAATAGGTTACCTCTGGAAGATCTCGCCACATTTGTGAAATCTTTTGGCTGACCTCCTTGTTACTTAATGCATCCGTAGCAATGATTTCCTTGCGCATAGCGGTGTTGAAAAGGAGATAAGGATTGTACTTGTTGCCAGGTCTCGGAACCTTGTGCACATACTTTCGTGTATGCATAGCTTTTACTGGATCCATTGGTTCTTCTGGTGCCTGAGTGCTCCGCTGGGATTGTCCATCAACAAATGACGTCTGCTCGTAGTCGGATGCAATATAATCTTCTTCATCTGAAAACATCGGATCGGGTCGAAATGCCTTTTCTTTGCCTTTATCTACAAATGCACACACGCAATGAGAAGGCTGATGTTGGATGTACAAATGATAGCTTACCTCTCTTTACTTTACTAACCACATCCACTGAGACCGAATCACGCGTCATCGGCTTTGGTTTCTTTGTCGGCTTTGTATCCATTGTCATGTTCGCCCTTTTCTGTTTCCTTTTGATGGGAGGAGCAGCATCATATTCAGTGTCGTCTTGCTCGATTGCAGCCTTAACAAGTGGCCTTTTAAATGCTTGCGACTGGTTGGGAAGGTAACGAGTGGCAACAGGTCTTCTTTGTGGTGGTAATTCTTCATCCTCGCTATCCAACATCTCATCGTCATCGTCATCTTCGTCACCTTCAGGCTGGAAATCTGATTCTGAATCATCGTCATAGCGATGCCGAGGTGGTCGTTGTGATGAATGTGCCTGCTTTTTCATTCGACCATGGTTGCGACGTTTCTTGATAGGCAGATCCCATGTATATAAATCTTCATTGCGACGTTTCTTGATCGGCAGATCCCACGTATATAAATCTTCATTGTGATTCGTCTTCCTTGAAGAAGTTGCACGTGTATTGCGACTGTCATTGATTCCAAGATTCGAAACATCTTCATCGATCATATCATCATCATCCTCGTCATCAAAGTCAATCGACGCACCAGTCGCTTTATACGCCGATGGCTTTGCAAATCGCTTAGTGAAGTGCTGTAATAATGAATCGGTGTCTTGCGTGTCATCATCGTCATCATAATCATCGTCATCGATCATATCAAGTTCCTCTCTCTTGACTTTTTCAAGCAAGTCGTCCTCTGCATCGTCATCATCATCATCATCATCGTCATCGGTGTGATCGCGTCGTCGTCGACCATTGCTGGTGTCCTTGGTGTTGTGGTTCGGTTTTGATGATAGTGAAAAGACCATTGCGTTACGTGTGTTGAATGCTGAAGAAGATGATGATGGCATTTCCTCTTTGATAGCAGCAGGTCGATCAATGCGAGCTGGTTCTGTATCACTGTCATCTTCATAGCGTGCTCGTTTGTTGGCTGTGAACCTTGCGCTGTCCTTATTCGCATTGTACATTGCTCGCTTCCCATCCTTTTTGCTTGGACCGGCTTGTTGGCTATGATCGTCCCACTCTTGTCGTTGGTGGCGGATTGTGAACCGTGCCCTGCAGTTCCTGCATTGACTACAGAATACAAAGGAGGATCAGGAAGACGATCAACAAGCATTCAGTACGCCATGACATTGGAATATCAACTCACCCTTGAGTAGCACTTTTCAGCAAGGTATTGGTCGATTGACATTGCGGACAAGTGGGCATTGTGTTGGCCGAACGCAGTGAGGTGTCTGTGAAAGCGAAGCCAGCGAACGTTTTGTACAAATGAAAAAGATAGCGCGTGCAGCGAGGATTCCCTTTTTGGCGGACTTTCATCTTTTTCCCTCTCTGGACAATGACCTCTGTGCTTTGTAAATCGTGGTTAGCTGCTAATAAAGGATACTTCCTTGTTCGAGTAATGGGTTCATTATAATCGCTCACTAAAGTGGATCACATCTTGCAAATTGAAGCTCTTTATCTGCTATTTAAAGATGACAAAAGCTGTTCTAGACGCCCGTTAATACACACGCATTCAATGATCTACTTCTCTTTGTTGTTGTTTGGGTGCACTCATTTCTTTGTTCTCATCATCATCCCTTCCTCATTTGTTAAGGGTTCTTCATTCATGGCATTAAAACACCTTCCTTCTCATTCAATGTTATCATCATCATCATCTACATCTAATACTACGTTGACCATGATCCATATTGTTCTTCTTATGCATTGGTTCACATGACCCAATTTGATGTGACTCATGCATTGAGTAATCATAATTCAAGCAAAAAGAAGATAGATAAGAGCCATCTGGAGGGATGATGAAAAATGAAAAAGCACCACCATGCATCATGCAGCAAATGGAGATGGCTCAGCAGAATGGTAAATTGGCGAGTGAACCAGCATTGTATTGATGATCTATCGGCCACACAACCAGGACCAGGAAAGGAGGAAAACGATCCACCATCATCAGCCTACCATTGGCTTGCATTTTCCCTCTCGTTGCTTATCAAACATCAACAAGCATAATGTATGGATTGTCGATTTATCATCGTAATGAGCGTATCGTACTCGCTACAATCATCATTTGTGCTCCCTATACACACATGACGTCTGCTTTTGATGTTCTCGTTTATCGTCATGCTAAAGAATGTGCACTACGTCTGATATACATTTTGAAGAAAAAATCATCCAAGGGATCCATGATAGGAGGTTCTTGTTGCTGCTGCATGTTTTAGCCTTGGTGGCATCATTCATGCTCGATAAGCTGTATAGTAGTAGTAGCAGTGCGCACGCGCGTGTGTGTGTTTGTGTGTGTACATATGCAGAAGACGAGATGAAAAACAAAGAGCAGGAGCTCTCTGGTCCAGTTTGCAACATCACAATGACTTTTTCGTATTTTGAAAATGCATCATGTCAACCTTTTCACGTTCTCCCATTATCGTTGACGATAAAACAATAGACCAGTCGTCGATTCTTTATTGGCCATTTTTACATTGTCATTTAGACGTAACTATGTCACCCTTTTTTTGCTACCCCAAAGCATGAATAGCTGAGAACCAACTACGAGTCATCCAGGAGATGCATAGCATTACACACACACACACGTACTTGCACACACACACACACACACAAAACCACAACCACATGGAACTTTATACATGGCAGCATGGTTTGTCACCAAAGTGTACGTGTTGCAAAAACCGAAAAGAAGCTTTTTGGCCGATCAAGTTACCGAGCAATACGCTCACGGATCAACGTCAGAATAGGCAACAACCCCCATGTGGATATTATTGGTTCTACCACCCATCCGCAGCTAACGCTTGGACCACAACCCCCCCTCCACGCTTTCTACTAATGTCCATTGACAAAAAGCTACATTCACACACACACATACATGTGCTTTGTACTCGGGCTATCGTTTACTGCATGACATGCTTTTCCAGTTGCCCGGTCAAAAACATTTACTGATATCATGCAAACTGCCTGATCTTACTGAAAGTAGATTAACATGGATGCAACATGCTTTAATAAAGTTTCCATATGGAAGGGGAAAAAGATGACTATAGATGTAAAAGGGTAAAAGTGGGGGGTAGGATTTTTTTTGGTTCGAGTATGTGATGTTTGTGACAGACAGGAGAGAAAAAGGGGAGCCAGCCCCATTGAAACTACTGTCGCTGCTGTTATAGGATTACAAGCGTGGATGACCTAGCCAAGGTGCCGTTGCCGTAGTGGGTGTGGTGTTGGTGGTCGTATCATGAGGATGAGTCATAAGCGATTCTTCATCCATGACAAAATTCATCAACTCGTATGAATCCATCATCATATCATTGGGTGGATGAAATGGTGGTGAGCCGCTTGAAGCAGTAGATGTGGATGAGGATGCATACATGGTTGGGGGTTGCAAGCGTTGTGCTTGTTGATTGGGTGGAGGTGGTTGATCAAACCATTCTTTTGGTTGGGGTGATGCACCTGGTTGCTGTGTTGTTGGTGGCCATGCCAACGTTGGAAACATTTCTTCCCAAGGCGATTGTACAGCACATGCGGGAGGTGGAGGTGGAGGTGGTGGATGATGATGTTGTGGTGGCATGGCAACAGCTGCAGGTGTTGTTACCGCAGCAGTTGTGGTTTGCTGATGATGTTGAATAGGTTCTTCCTTGATGCTCTTTTTGCGTGATTGCTGTTGTTGCTGCTGTTGTTGTTGTTGTTGTTGCTGTTTAGCCTTATCGGATGCTGATTGTTTGCTACGAGCAATATGCTGTTCCCGAAGCAATCGTTGCCTTGCCAAGCTAGCTCGAGAGGTTTGTACTTCTTGATCAATCATCACCATGCGTGGTACCAAGTCATCCGAAGTATCATAGCGTTGCATCAAATCCCATAAAGCTTCTTGCTCACTTTCAATGGCTCGAATGCGAGTTTCAAGTTGTGATAAATCATCGATGAATGGATCTACATCCGTAGGTTGTGTGTTGCGTGAACGACGTCGAGTTGGGTATGCGCACATCTTTTCGTTGGCAGCGCAACGATCACAATTAGGTCGACGACCATCACAACGCACCTATCAAAAAAATACGCAGTTAGATTACAAGTCTTTTTCTTTCATTGAATACAGCACAATTACCTTTTTCAGATGACATCGGACGCATGCAGTTGATGTACGTGGTCGTTTCGATTGTTGAGGACCACCCACTTTGACTGGTTCAAGATGAGTCGAATCTTGTCGTTGCTTGTTCATGACGTTGAAAAGAATAAAAGGAGATGATTTTGTGATGAAAAGAGGAGAAAGAAAACGATTGATGGAAGGTCTTTATATACTGACCAGAGATACAAAAATGAGCTGTATGTGTGTGTGTATGTGTTATCTGCACCCAGCGATGAAAGCAGCGTGTGTTGTGTGCGTGTGTGTCGTTATTCAATGCATAAAAGGATTCGTCATTCGGTGTGTACGTGCGTGAGTGTTTCCCATAAAACCCAAGATGCAAGTTTGATTACTCAATGATACATGGTCTCGACTGCGAGTGGCCCTGTGAGTATAGCTATGGGGATTTGTGTGTATGCACAATTGTCGTTGTTGTTGTCCGCACAGGCCAGCTGGCCCTGGTTAATGCAACATAGGATGGGTGTCATGGTTTGAAACAGAATTTGGGCATGCTAATAATAAAAGACTTCCCTCAATCGAGTGTTGTTAATAAGGAAACAAATATTGCAAAGAAGTTCCATGGAGAAAGAGTAATGAGCTAATCATGCTTGTGGGGGGAGGGACCTTTTGACGGAAGAGGAGATTGGTAATATTATGCATCACATCCAAGGGATTACAACTCACATCCAATCTTGCATAATAAATGTCGATGCCAAAACAAGACCTATATCCGATGCTAATGTTAGTGGCAATCATCGTTCAAAAAGCATGTTCACGGGCATCAAGTTATGTCTCATGCTCATTCCGCGCTGATAGATGATTATCTTGCTATCATTCTCACATTAGCCACAACTTGCATGACAGCTAACTTGCATGAAATATTGTTTGCTCAATGCAGCGATCCTTGATGTGTATATTAGTATTCTACTACGTGTGAATGTGTAGATTGCTTATGCAACTACTATTGCTGTTGTGGATCCACTCTCTCCTATTGCGTGGTTGAGATCAAGACGTCTCTTTTTTTTGTTTACTAGTGAACTAACAAGAAGGGTCCTTCCTATCGGATTTCTGGATGCCAGGGTCCAGGCAAACAAAACAGACTAAGATATGGGGGTTTCCTTCTTTGAAATGACAAATGGATGTGGTGGGTGGGTGATCGGGTGGATAGCAATAGCCATGACCTGTCAACTGACATTGCGTTTTCCTGCGAATTCGCCCCCGTGACGATCATTTAGACAGCTTTTTCATGCACTGCGATCACATTCGCTGCGGTTTATTTGACTATGTTCCTGTCCTAGTAATATATAAAGACATGCACGTGCACACACACAAGATCCCAGTACAATAAAAAGTGTCACTTGTTTAGGAAATGTCATTGCTTAGTCATTTTATTTTGAAGCATGGAATGGAAATATGCATATTGTGTACAGCAAAGGGTTGTCAATTTGAATCACGTGTTGGTGGTAAAGGCCATCATCAGTAAGGTAAAGCTAAAACCCGTGAATGTGGATGTCCTCTTTGTTGGCAATGCCTTCCTTGATCAAGAACTCAGCAACCTTCGCACGTTGATCACCCGACAGCTGAACCACTTGCCCAAGTCCGTCATCGACAAGCTTGCCATTGCATGCCAATTGCTTCTTCAACACCCTCAAGATCCTGTCGCTGTCAAATTGCTTCTGGAGTCCTTGCACGATGGTCCACGCCTTTCGTCCATTGCGTTGCTGAATTCGAATGTCTATGTCATTGTCAGTGTCATTCCTACATTGGTTCGCGAGGTTAGTTCGTTACGAATAAGGCTACTGGAGGCGTCGTTGTTTTCATCGTCAAAAGGATCTAAAGGATGTACAATGAATACATGATAGGTTGAATACGCAAGGGAGAGAGAGGATTTTATACCGGTATGATGATGGGGTGGGTTGAAGACGTCTTTGTGCTCCATGTCCTTAATGCAAATGACAGAAAATGCAGAAATCGGAATGGCCGGCTGGGACCATGATCCGTTCCTTGTTTGGTAGGTGTCATCCAATCGCAATTGCTCCCGTGCGTTCTCCTATTTCTACCTTTTGTGCATATACCTCAGTGCTGGTAAGAGGGCATGTGAAAAAGACATTGACTAATCCCCTATCAAATGATACCTTTATCGATAGTGATGATCTGCAATCCACGTCAGAGTCAACAAATATTCAAGGAGGATGCTGATAATGCAGATGGTGTTCGATATGGAAAGGCCCAGATTATGATTCTCGACTTTGGGGATGGCGTTTATCTTCAAGCAACCAACTTATGACCCTCGTTTCATCATCAACATCACGCTCGGATCTGTTTCAACAATCAACACTATCAAAGATCGTACAAGGACAACAACAACGACACAATCCCAAATATCTCCGCAATTTCACGATAAAGTTTCCCTGCGATCGAGTGATGGATCCCTTTTCATGAACAATAAGGCCTATCGTTTGCACCATCGGGCAAGGAATGGTTGCATGTTTGCATCTAGTTTATCGCTCTACGGATGATAATGAAGGTATGTGAGGCATTTTCTGTTGTTGTTTTTTCAACAAGGCATGACCTAATCCCGCGGATGTAACGAATTTGGTCAATCTAATCGCAGGCGGTCGTTTAAACACGGGCGCTTATCAAGGCTAGGGCGCGTTATCAGGAGCCAATCAGCCAATCATTGTTCCCGATGTGAGTAAGAGATAAAAGGGGCGTGTATTTTTGGGATCCGTCGCTCTTTTCTCATTTCGTTATTTCTCCTTTTTCCAACCAGCATTTGCACTCTTCTTTTTTCCCAACTTCTTTTACATTGAAATATTCGACACAAAGGACCTTATTGGTATGCATGATCTCTTCCAGTCTTTTGCTGCAATTGTGGGGAAAAATGGGGATGACCCAAACTGATCTCTGTTGCGACCCCCACACATACACAGATTTGATTGATTGATTGATTGCAGCAGCATTGACTGAGACCAAAACGACTCTCTAAACGTCTTCATCCACCATGACGGTCAAATCGCCTTTTTACAACAAGCCATCGACCGCAACTAGTGTGGATTCATGCCACAAGTGCCCCTTAGATACAATCACACAACCCCAGGACTCAAGTGTAGTACCGATCGCTTCTTCAGTGAAAAAAGTCCAGCCTCATGCTGGCTTCGAGCATACGCAAGCCACCGAACCTTCCAGCAACAGCATTATTACAACCATTTCAAATCAACAACCTTCTGCTGTTGAGCCGAGCAGCTCCAGTGCTGCGATATCGGACATTGGCAATGGCTCGATGACTTCGTGCTCGAATTGTGGTACAACCACAACACCACTCTGGCGACGTTCTCCTCAGGGTGAAACCATTTGCAATGCATGTGGTCTTTATCTCAAGGCACGCAACACTACTCGCCCACCTTGGTTGAAACGTAATTCTATCAAGCGTCCAACACCATCAACTCCAGTGGCTTTGGCACCTGCACCTCCTACTTCCATTCCTATTACGACAACAACAACAACAACAACCACACCTATTGCTGCTGCTGCTACTTCTTGCATCTCACGTCTTTCTCCATCATCATCTCAACAACAGCAACCAACGAAAGATGGTGAAGAACGACCTGCTCTTTCATGCGCTAATTGCAATACGACAACAACACCTTTATGGCGTCGTGATGAACAAGGCAACACTATTTGCAATGCTTGTGGTCTTTATTACAAACTACACAGCGTGCATCGACCTATGACCATGAAACGTTCCATCATCAAGCGACGTAAGCGTGTGACAGTATCCAGCATGGCAGCTCAGCATCATTATTCATCAGCTTCTTCCGATGATGGCAATAGTAGTGGTGACGATTGCAGCAACAGCAGCACAACATCGCAACAGCAACAGCAACCAGCATCGTTGACATGTCGTAAACGCAAATTGATGCCCAACAATGACGTTCATCGAAACAAGCGTATCGAGCTTAATGGAAATGGAGGTGGTGCAAAATATGTCATGCGTCCTTTGTTACCAAATCAGCCTCTTGCTCCTGCAACCACCGCTGCTACAGCCGAAAATAGCCGCTTGGATCCAGTTGAGCCTGATGCCTTCCATAAGCATCATCATCAGCATCATCAACACTTGCCATCGCCACCTATGAAACCAATGCCACGTTTACTCAATCCCGAGAGTCGATCATTGCCATCATTGAACAGCTTGCCATCACCACCTCTTACAGCAAAGGAAATGTTCAAAGATCAAGGTGCATCATCATCTGCCGTCACAACAGCAGCTGCCATGGCAACCGTTTCCGCCCTGCTCAACCCGACTCAAAAAACTCACCAGATGCTTGAAGCTCATCGCCACGAGTTGCAACGTGAAGTGACCAATTTGACATCATTGCTATCTCGCACCACTGCCATGTTGCAGAATCTTGACCAAGTTATGGCTGTTACCAAAGATAAGCAACCTACTACTACGACAACCAATTCGATTCAACAACAACAACAGCCTCATGTGACCAATGCTCTCATGTCACTTTTTGCATTGGCAGCTGCCAAGGAGACATCTGGTTCTTCGACATGATTCAGTTCCTGAAACTGGGCTAGTTACACATAGTCGTTGTTATGATTAAATGCATATGCTTTTTGATGATATGAATCAACACCGTTTTAGTAATGTGGGGAAAGACAAAAAAAAAAGTGAAGGAAAATGGTGGTGTTATGAGTGCATGTGAAACCATGTGTGCTCACCGGAGCAAGTGCAAGCCGGGATACCCGGTTGATCGGGCTATTACGGGGGGTTCAATGGTAATTGGGGGGTGAGACATTTTATCCAAGGGAAAAAGATCATGAGAGGATGACAAAAAAAGCGTAATGCGCACAATGGGGGGAACAAGTTTTGTTGAATGGGCCATCACCATCATTCATCATCACCATTATCAGGTTCCGCGGGGTGCTACTACTTTGCAGCAGCCAATCCCTCGCTGTGGCTCACCTTTTTTGCTGACTCCACATCAAACCTGCACACACGAGATGGATTTATGCCGTTGTCTTGACGCCTGTTCTCTTTTCCCTTTTTTCTTTTTCGCTTTCCTCTCTTTTCACCAACCAACATGATGGATGAGGCTTACGACCCAAAACACAAGGCTTCAAGTGTCACTAGCACCACAAGTACTAGCACCAATGGTACCGCCCCTTCCCTCTTTTCAGGTACTTCAAGCGTAGGTGGTGGAGACCTTGACGATTTCGGTGCTATTGAAGGTAATAATTTGGAGATAACAATACATCCATCAAAAAGCCCAACTAACATTTTCATCATAAAAGCCCTTGATCCAACCGCAAGCCTCTCTATCCCTGCTGATGAAGATTACTTTTTCCTCACCAAGCAGGATGAGCAATGTATTCAACCACCTGCTCAAGACATTCTTGATAAATTCTTTGACATGCAATCTTTGGTGAGTCGATTTTTTTTCTTTCATGTGCTAGGATCCAGACCAAATGTGCTTATCTCGAAATTATCATAGGAAATGCCACCACCTGCTCCACAACAACCCTCTGCACAGACATCTTCATCATTATCATCATCATCAGCACCTGCACCTGCACCACAACAACATGAAGAGCTCCCATCACGGAAACGTAGAACATCTGTTATTAGCCAAGATAGCAATACAAATGTCGAGCTACCCCAAGACAAGAGGATACGTGATCTGCTAACCGATGAAGAACGTCGTGCCAACCATATTGCTAGCGAACAAAAGAGACGCAATACAATCCGTACCGGTTTCAAGGAATTGACTGATATCATCCCCACTCTAAAGAACATCAACAATTCAAAGAGTACGATCCTATTCAAGGCTGTTGAATACGTGCGTCATCTCGAGAAAAGAAATCGAGGATTACGTGACAAGTTGGCATCCTTGCAATTACGCCTTGAAGTCGAGAGCCGTTTTGGTCGACGCCATCAACAGCAAACGACGACTACTACTTCTACTACGGGCAACAACCATGGCCATCGTTATTCGACAACGACATCAGCCAGCAACGAGAATAGCGCATCGTCATGTCGATTGGCACCTGAGACACTTGCCGCCTTGATGGCTCACAAGAAACAACAACGACAACTCGAGTTGTTGCAAGAGCAGTTGAGGATGCAGCAAGAGTTGTTAGCTAAACACAATATTGCATACCCAACATCGACATCACACATTAACATTCCATCATCTTCGTCTCATCATAACACGTTCTCCACTCCTTTTGCATCACCTCGTCGTCATAGCACACTCCCAACGACAGCAACAACAACCCAACATGGTGGTAGTTTTCATCGCTTGTATGGAGCCACCAATGCTCCTAGTCTCAACATCCCTGCAGATGAAGAATTCAATACCGAGCACAAGCGGCGTGAACAGTTGCTGAGCTGTCATCGCAATTACAAACCTTCACGATCAACATCTCTGACTTGATCTTTTTTTTTCATATGTCTTATTCCTCCTCCTCTATTGCCCGCCAACATCTTTTATTAGGAACCTTTTTTCTTATCCGCTCATGCTCCTCCTATCTTTTCTCCTCCCATTTTCGATTATCTATGTTGTACTTATGCTCTCAAAACAAAAAAATGTTATCACAATTGTGTGTGGTTTATCTCTATTCAAGACCATTGTCCGAGTGTGTGGATCATGTAAAAAGTCGTTTGATCTCATGTTTTAGTGTAACAATTAGCCTTAGTAGTGGCCAAGGTGTGTGCACTTCTTTGGGGGAAATGTCGTATATAGCACGTTTTGAAATGACGAGATGAATGATTCGTTGTGACACATGAGTCAGTAAGCGGTAGGAAAAAAGACCCCCAACGATATACGTGCATTGTCATGGAACATCTTGATGTCCTGCTGCTGCATACATAATCCCCACATGTGTGTGCACGCGACAGCAAGCGGTGATTATTCTCCACGTCTCCTTCTCTCCCCCCAAAAAGCGTTGGATCGGACTCTTTTTTGATTTTTCGGTAGCACATTAGTCAAGGAATTGGGTAAGCACTTTTACCTTTTGTCTTTGTTTTTTCATGGCCCTCCACAGCCTTTGTACCACAAAGGACCCATTTTTGTCATTCTATTCATTATAATGCGATAAACACGCATATCAGACAATTCTTGTTACTAAAAACTAAGTCGGAAGATATTGTATCCAGAACATCCATCGGAAATCCTAAAACCCCACCCCACTTTTTTCGTTATCCCCCTCGCACCAAGGCATCTACTTTACTAAGTACGCCCCAAGAGGGGTGGTGTATGTGGAAACAATGGATTCAAAAGTATGGTCACTATGGTTGTTGTCAAAGGTTATGGATGTGACAAGATGCATGGTGCATTAAATGCCGCATGAATGGGGTCGAAATGTCATCATGGAAGGGGGTCACCGACATTGTCGGGTAGATCAATTACACATTTTATCAGCATCACCTTTTTTTTTTGTTGCGCTCGAGCCTCTGGTTTTCAGCATGAACGGTGTGATAGGTCATGGGGGCGTTTGTATTTTTCATATGCAAATGGAAAACAAGAGAAGAAAGAAAAAGCACCAGACTATGCATGAGTTCTACTTTTGCTATCATGCGCATCATGCTGTGTAGCACCCCACCATGATAGAAAATGATAGATCCTTGTTAACGATAGCTTCATCTGGTCTCTGTGTCTCACTCTTTAGTGATGATGGCTCACATGATCATATGAAATCGATGTATACCCTTCTTCACCGGAAGTTATCCTTTGATGTATGTGTTTGAAATATAGAGAGGATATGACTCACGTTGCTTGGCAACGGGATGATGGATTGGGCCTACTGCATTGGGTGGTGGGCGCAGTCTCAAGTTCATGTTGTCACTGCCAAGCACCGTCAAGAGCATTCTCTAGTAGCGTGTGTGTCATTCGTCAGGCTTTTAAAACAAGATTGGATTAAGCGTTGCCTGGTTACGAGATCCTCAAAGTTATGGCAAATAGTAATTGGATCATTGTTGCTGTCAAGCTACTAAAGTGTGCAAAAGAAGACGATAAGAGTGGGAGGGCAATGGGGCGGGGATAAATAGGATGCATCATTTTAAAGGGTAGGGTTGACGAGCAATAAGGACCATAGCAATTGTAACCAAGCATCACCATCATGAAGATGAATCCAAGACAACCAGGTTTATTGTTACAACGAAATGCCATGAATGACAAGAGGTCGGGAATTCAAGAGCGACTTCCATGGTAGGGTGAGACTGAACCAATAAGAACGAGGGACCAGTCTGAAAAATTTGCGGTAGATGGATGTAGCTTTTTGGGAGGGAAGCTTTCCCTTCTTACAACGTTTCCCCTCCAGCAAACCAAGCCTCCTTTCCAAGCCTCTTGCTCTTCAAGCCACCGAGGTAGGTCATAAGCAAGTGGTCGCTGAACCACTACTCTTCATACAAGGACATGGAAATCACTCACGATAACATGGTATTACAGCACTTACCATGGCACGAGTACACTTGTTTGCCGGTCCCCAGTCAAACAACGACAAAAAGTCTCGATCCCAACACCAACATGATTCCGAGTACAACAACAACTTGAATGTTGACCGTCGAGGTCCTTCTCCTATGGTCATTCCTGCAACAATGGCAAAGGAAGAGAATGCTGTCAATACGCAAGCTGTATCAGTAGAGTCTTCGACTTCTTTAACGACACAAGACCATCATCATCAACATCATCCATCATCTTCACCCCCGCCGCCGCAGCAGCAGCAGCAACAACAGCATGAGCAACACAAAGAGCCTGATGCTGCATCAATTGCTACCTTAACAGCCATTTTACAAAACGCTCAAGCAGCAGCCATGAATAATGGTGGTGATATCAATGATGTCGTTGGTGCTGTTGCCGCTCATTTATCAGTGAAGCCTGGTATGTTTTTGTATAATGGGATATGGATGGCATGGATGCTGAGGGAGATTATCATGATAGAATCGATCGATGAGAAGGAAAAGGGTCATGATGAATCATCAACGAGTGAGCAACAATTATTGCAGACCTTGTTACGTGCCGAAAGCAACCATGAACTTCCCAGCAAGAAGAGAAAGACTGAAATGGAATGGATTGATCAGGCGACTGCGGCTACAGCGCTTCAAATGCTTGGCTTATCACACCAAGAAGCCAAACCTCAGCAACCCAATGATACATCAGAGGATGGCAACAATCAACAACACTTGCAGCAACAACAATGTGCACAACCAGACAATGAGCAACGATCCCAAGATATGGATAATGTCATGTTGGTGGCTGATTATCCTGGTTTATCAGCTGTGGATGCATCTACTTTGGAATTACAGCATGCTGGTGGTGAAAGTGATCAGGAATACAAACGTGGCAATTGGACACCTGAAGAAGACGAGCTATTGATTGCCGGCATCAAACGCTTTGGTTATGGTCGATGGAAAGATATTGCCAACATGATCCCTGGTCGAAAAGGCAAACAACTCAAGCAACGATGGGATAATACACTTGCATCCAAATTTGTCGATACTGCTTGGTTACGTAGCAAGATTCGTGGTGATGAAGAAGAATGGCAACATGACATTGATGTTGAAGGATCAGCACCACCTTCACCTTCATTCCAACAAAACAAAGATGATCGAGCATCTTCATCAGCCGCATTAGCAGCCGCAGCACAAGCAGCAGTAGCAGCTACACAATCATCATCATCACCATCATCTTCCACTGATCAACAATCACAAGAACATCACCAGCAACAAACCGCCATGAGTGGAGCAGGCGACATCATGCAAAAGATTACCGAAAAGGCCAAGGAAGGCAATCATGAAGCCATTGAAGCCTTGCTTTCACAAGCCTTGTTGGGTACGATTCATCACAATAGCCATCCGCATACCAATACGTCTACATCCTCGTCATCATCCATATCCACATCTGAAGCCCTTCCTCTTGAACAAACCATTAGCAACTTTGCTGATGCTGCAGCTCTTGCCATTTACGCACAACAATTTACCCAACAACAACAACAACAGCAAAGGAGGGATGGAGAATCATCATCATCGTCGTCCTCTGCACCACAACAACCCTCCACATCTCCCATCACATCGCCTACTTCTTCATCACCGTCAGCTGCATTAACAGCTTTGGTCAGCAATCATCCTTATTTGTTCCCGTTTGCACAAGGCAATGGCCATGATACAAACAACACAGGTGCCAACAACAACAACCACCACCATGGTAGCAGTAGCAGTAGTGCAGCAGCAGTAGCAGCAGCCGTGGCTGCCATGGCAGCGAGTCAACAAGGACTTGCAACCAATCGACCACCACCTAAACCTGCTCCACGTGCTACACCTGGTAGCAAACGACGGAGATCTGATCCAGCTTTGGCTGACACTCAATCCGCTGCCATGTCGATTTATGCTTCAGCAGCACCGATTACCACCACCATCAACAACCAGACACAAACCGTTTACCCTTGCCTCTTCCCCAATTGTGGAAAGACCTTTGCTCGCCTCTACAACCTAAAGAGTCATTCACGTACCCATACAGATGATCGTCCTTTTGTATGCGAAGTCTGTCAAACCGCTTTCAGCCGTAACCATGATCTCAAACGCCATGCAAAGATTCACGGTGGTGATAAGCCTCACAAATGCCTTGGATGCAATAAGACTTTCTCTCGGTAAGTTACAAGAATACAATGTATAATCATATACTTATATACATTATCATAGATTGGATGCACTTAAACGACACAAGAGCAATCTACGTAACAAGGCCACTTGTTTAGCACCTTAAAAACACATTCCCTTGCATGATATTCCTTTTCAACATTATCCGCTCACACGTATCCCTTATCTCCCTGTTGCTGCTTTCTTCACACACACGCACACACACATACATCGATGTTCATTTCCCCTTTGTGAATCATTTGAATTATATATCTTCTCCCAAATATTGCAATTAAACATCTGACATTGGCTGCTGCGACCAGTATTACACTTGTACTATGGGAGGGAGGGGTGATATAAAAGAAGAGTCATGTGTGTGCAAGGTCGGAAAAGCAATGGATGAGTACCAGTCATTGATGTTTGCTTGATTTGCATTTGCGTCTCCGTTTTCTTTTCTTTCCTCTTCTTGTGCTCTGCCTCTTTTGTATTCACTTTTTCTCTCTCTTTCTCCTACCGCAAATAACAACAACATATATATCAAAGTCTATATACACACACTTACCACACAATCTCCCCTCTCTACCTCTTGTCCTCCTCTCATTAGCAACCAACACCACCAGTCAATTCCTCTTTCTCTCTCACCCCCATATCTTTGTTGTTTCATTTTAAACATGCGAGAACCCAACATATCGTACATGAGTCACAATCGACCGGCCATTTGCATAACGTCTGGAGTGTACGATCGGCGTGCATTGGATTGTACGGCAACGGTGCCGCTAATCAACTCGCTGACTCATCTAGCGTACCTGACGTCGACTTCACCTCGTATTCGAGAGATTTTGGTATCGGATGGTGGTCTAGAGCGGTTGATACAGATCTTATCGGTATTTGACCTTCCCAATGATCGACGACATCTATGGAAATGGTCGCTTGCTTTCCAATGCGTAGTCAATGTGGGCGTCAGGGGCACGGAGCAAATCAGAACACGAGTCGTTCAAGCTGGAGCAGTACATGTGGTGATGCGTGTCTTGGAGAACTTTTTACAAGGTGTCGAGAATGCTCGTCAACAACATCATCGCAAGAGAGATACTACAGCGCTTGGTTATCCAATGGTCTTATCGCCTATCGACTCTAGAGGCTACAGCACTCTTTTCCAATTACCACCACCTGCTGATAATATAGGTAGGTTGACATCTATATACATTTACATGGTACATTTGGATATGAGGGCTCATGGTTATGAATAGCAAATATCCTTACGGCTGCATCACCCTTCACTACACCATCACGATCCATCACCACGAATAACAACAACCATCATCATGTCAGAGCATCTACATCGTCTTCACCATCATCACCATCCTCCTCCTCCACCACTTTGCAAAAGAAACATCGTGTCATGCGAGTACATACAACAATGAGACGATCAACATTACCATACGTCAAGATGGATCCTGCACAACGCCGACGTAATAGACTTGTACGTGTACCAACAACAGAATTGGAAGCCTTGCGTGATCCTCGCAATTCGAGTATCGACAACTTGTTTTATCGTGAGGAAGATATTTTATTGTCGTTGCAGTTATTGGCTTATTTGTCAAAGTACCCCCATATTCGCAATGTCTTTCATTCGGCTTACAGCATCAACGTCTTTTCACTTGTCGAGCGATTCTGTTGCCATCGTGTTCATTCATCGCCTGTGCAATATTGGGCTGGTGTGATTATGCGAAATGCTTGTCGTAAGGATGAAGGTCGTGGTGGTATTCGACGATGTGCTTATATGCAATGTGGTCGCTGGGAGAAACATCAACGTGAATTTGCAAAATGTCGTCGTTGTCGCAAGGCCAAATATTGCAGCAAGGCTTGTCAGAGTAAGGCTTGGGCGGATGGTCATCGTTGGTGGTGCATTGAACGGCAAGATCATACCAATCCAACGACTACTACTACTACAACAACAACAGCGACTGCTACCACCACCACCACCACCACCAATACTACTACAGCGGCTATGACAGCTGGCAATGCAACGCCTACTACGACTACCACAACCAATGGATCGAATACCACAACAACAGCAACAGCAACAGCAGCAGCAGCAACAGCAGTAGCAGCAGCAGCGGCTGCCATTGCCAGCACAGCTGTTACTCCTGATATCCAAGGTCCCACAACCACAACCACTAATAATAATAACGACTCTCAGGTGACAGCACATCACCATCATCACCATCATCATCATCGCCATCACCATCATCCTCATCATGCACCTCCACAACAACAACCCCAACAACAGCAATCACCTGCAATGACCAATCCTACTAGTACATCGGCTGCCGTGCTTGCAGAAGAGGATACTGTCCAAACAGTAATGGAAACAACCACCATTTTATAAGATACGATCATATCAGAACATGATGCACATATACACAACACACACTCCACCCACACCACCATCACCACCAACAACAACAGCAACCCATCCAATCGATTATATACAATTCAATTCCCCCCTTTATGTACTTTGATCTCTCTCTCTCTCTCACTTTCTCTCTCACTCAGCTTATGTTTATATGCATTTCCCTTGTGTAAGACTATTATATATCAGTTCCTTTGCTTTTCTTCTTCCCCCCCCCCACTTCCCCACCCCTCACCCATTTTCCCTTTCATTTCCTTTTTATACACATAACCTTGCCTTTCGTTCTGCGTATGATGTAGTAGCTTTCTTTTTCTTCTCCACAAGTACCATTAAAAAAGGACAGAATGTCGCTTGGTGATTAACAAAGTCCGTCTTTCGCAGTTGGTGGGCGTTACATGCAGGGTGTTTTATGTTCATCAGGAGATAAATATTAGGAGGAGGAGGGAAAAAAGATAAAAAGTGTGTGAGAGGGGAAAAGAGTATATGATGTGCGTGTGTACGTTGTGTGTGCACGTCCAAAATCGGGCCGTGATGGAAGTTTTTTATTCGTCCCAAACATCATGCAGTGCGCCAAAAACTGCTTTCATCTCGTGATTTCCTAAAGTGCAGCGCGCCCGTTCACTTCCTCCTTGTCGTCCCCAATCCTTGCATGTTTCATCCATATCATTCTTTAAACGTATATATCTAGTATGAATGAATAAAGACTATAGCATGTGCGTGCATGTATGTTGTAATCGCATACATATGTGTGTGTATGAGTGTGCAGAAAAAGAAAGTTGTTGTTGTGTACCATGATTCAAAAACCGCCACCGCCAAGTGGCCCTTTGGGCTTGTGCTCTCTTTTGCCAGCAACTGTTGCCCCGTGAGGCAGGCAAACCTAAGGTGTGCTGATATGCGCCCCACTCCGCTTCCCACCCACTCACATCACGCATCCTTTAGTGACAAGGGAAAAAAGAACAACGACCTGCAACTGATGCTTTTTTCCCTTTCTCTTTAACACTTTCCCCCCTCTTCTTTTTCTTCACAACCACACACACACACACACATACCCAAAACCCCCTTTTCGCTATATCCCGCGTCATGACGACAGCATTCTATCATCACCACCACCATCATCATCATCACACACCGCAACCGCGGAATCATTATCAATCAACCTCGACTCGTCAACCTAACACTCGTCACCATTATCAGCAACATACCATGTCGCGTTCAAGACATACCGAGTTCCGTTATTTTCAGCCTCTCACAGCCACATCGTTGGATGATTTGATCTACGGCTATGCTACTCCAATGGCACAAAGCGAACGCAGCATATTCGAGCCAGCTATTCATCCTCCCGCTATTCATATGCCGTCATCAAGAAAAGGATCATCATTACCATCTTCATCAATATCACCGTCAACCCTACCTTTATCCTTGTTGTCACCTTGTTGGTGGACATCATCATCATCATCATCGCTTGCTCCATATTCACATCCATCATCATCATCATCCATACCCAATGGTGACGTTCTTGTCGATCCTCTAGAAACAACTACGCGGGAACCGTGGGACCCGAGTCATGACGATGACGATGATTATGTTATGGAGAATCATCACCAAGACGATACACCAACAAAACAAGCTGTTGCTGCAACAAGGTAAAAAATCCATTTCCCACACACACAAAACACCCCGCACATACATTAATATTGCACGTTCTCTCCTTCTCTCTCTCTCATGCACCTAATCTAATGATCCATTTGGTTCTATTTTTCTCTCTCTTTGCATTATAGTAGCAGCCAAAGGACTACCAGTAGTAGTATCGAGGATGGCAATTGCTATTACTTTTATTACTGCCACCACCAACATCACCACTACTGCTGTGAAAGTGCTACTGCTGCCACCAGTAGCAGCAACAGCATCGATCGCACAGACCCATTGGATGATCACCACGACCAGCTGCATCGTCGTGCATCAACCATCTCCGATACTATCACAGCTTCGTCGACCGAAATATGCCGTCGCTTCAGCAGTGGAAGTACAAGTATAAGTAGTGCCTCCAGCATTGCTACTGAAATCACTTTGGATGATGAAAAGAGGAAGCATTTATCATCACCACCACCATCCACTACATTTTCAGAATTCACCAACACTACCACAACCTCCACCAATAACGCAACAACCCCTTCACCTCCACCAACAGCACAACAGCAACAACCCCCCTTGGAGCAAGTTCATGAAGAAGAAGAGCCCAATGAAGAATACCAAGATTCAACCCAATCCTCTGAAGCCGAAGAAGAAGATGAAGAGGAGGAGACACCTGTTTGGGCTGATATAGAGCGTGTGAGAGAGAATCCAAGTCGTTATGAGTATGTGCAATCGTACATGAAACAACACGGGATAGTACCAAGTTCGCCCATGCCATTGCCCAACGAGTACATGTTCTACTTTTGGGAAAGCGCATCCAATACGGCTGGGACAACAAGTAGTAAACAAAAGATTGCCACTGCTCATTACCTGTCAAGTGTCAAGCCGTTGTTTGATTGTCGTAGCGTTTGGGATTTTTCATCACGTTGGCGTCTATACAAGCAGCACAAGGGTCGTCCTTCACAAATGATGCACAACCAAAATCTCTATTGCTTTATCAAGCAAGTACAGCCCATGTGGGAAGATGAACGCAATCGCCATGGTGGTCGTCTCACTTTGTCACCTCCTCGCTGTGACCTTGATACAGTATTTGAATGGGTGTTGGCATGCTTCGTGGGTGGTAATCTTGATCCATTTGGTATGGTGGGTGTTGTTCTTTCTAAGCGATCTCGTGGTGATCGTATCGAGCTTTGGCTAGATGGATCAGCCAATGTGCAAGGGCTAAAGTAAGTATCCTTTTTGAATCATAATGTTGGCGCAATAGGATTTACCATTTTATCCTTGTAGAGCATGTCTTTGTCACCACATGGCACCCAGACTCAATGAGCTTGTGTCAAACGCACGCTTCAAGAAGCATTTTGACAAATGATGAACATGATGTACACCTCCTCTATCGCATCAACACACACACACATGTATATGTTTTCTTTCTCTTCTTATGTACAAAGGGCTAAAAGAGAAACATGATTTTTAAAAAAGAGAAAAAATTCGTACATAGCTGCTTTCTTTTTGTCGTTCTCCCCAACCACTCGTCGTCTACTATAAAGATATTGGCTTTTTTCAATCATCCTCGTTGTATCCAGTGATCGGCACTTGTTATTTATCCAGGGGTCGTGCACGTAAACTAGATCGAGTTCCCTATAAGTATGATATCGCCGTGAGGCACACACACACACTCACTCACACCTACGCAATATACTCAATAGCAGGGCCTTATGAATGCTTCGCATTCTCGCTTTTTGTTTCTCCCTTTGACCTTTATCCCCCCTTGACAAAGAGCCTCATTGCCTTGTGACCCCCTTTCCCCCTTTATTCTTGATTCTGATAGAGTTAATTAGCTTTTTCGCCTTCTTTTCTCTTTCCTCACAAAAAAACGCCAAACTTGACAATGACACAGCAACAACAACAACACCATACCTCCTCTCATATCGTTAGGCCATCTTCCATTGCGCCTACTCGCGTATTCATATCACCCATTCCCACTATCAACACGACCGTGGTACTCGAAAACGATATCAAGAAGCGTTTCTGTTGTCAGCATTACTATGCATCCACCATTGTGTCTGAGCAAGAGGAGGTTGAGGAGCAGGAGGAAGAAGAAGAAGAAGACGAAGACGAAGAAGATGATTCAACTACAATGACGACCACAGGTGGATTTTCCACACATAGTGAATCAACAATGACCACCTCACCACCCATATCTCCACCATTATCACCCTCCACATCATCTCGTGTATCACGGCTACCACGTTGGATACGACAAATCGGGAGCATGAGTAATATCAAAACGCCCACCAATATGCCGCCATGGTATGAGCAAGAAAAAGAACAAAAAAGATTGATCGACACTTGTTTTCGGGCGGCAGCATTGTATTATGAGGCGCCAGAAGTGCGTCAATATTTGCGTAAAGTCACTAAGCGCAATCGATTCGATCAAATGCTTTTAGAAGGGTTCCCAGTTATGGGTAACGATGGTGCTACTGACTCTGGAGGAGTAGCAGGAGGGGCACGGACCATGACCCTACGTCTTACATTAACCCCAGCACACTGCCGGGCAACTGACAAGGAAATTTATGGCAAGCTCTCATTGTCTCTCCCATCACCATCCCATTCCTCAACCACTACTCCTCCTCCTTGCTCACAAACTTACTCATTACCACCACCCCTTCCTGCTACTATTGTATCTCATCATCATCATCGGCATCCACCATCGTTGCCTCCCTTTGTTGCAGGTGCTCCCAATAATCGGATGGCGTTCTCTCCTGCTGCTCCAGATAAGCTACCAAACAAGATCAACAATATCACATCATTACCACCACCACCACCACCACCTCTGTTGGTGTCGACAATGTCTCCTCCACATCTTTCTCCTACTCGACGATCATCCTCTTTACCTTCTTCACATCAAAGACGACGTATATTGTATGAACAACAACATCTTCATCAATCACCACCTATTCTTGTTTTACCGCCGCGTAAAAAGCAGTAGCTCACTTTTGATGTGCCTTTCTCCTGTTCTTTACTCCTTGTCCTTACCGCTGATTCGATTCATCAACCAACCCCCCTTTTGCGTACAACCACATGTATACCACGCACGCATACCTTCTTGTATTCTGATATACCTTTCATCATCATCATTAACACATGTTGTATGGAAATAAAGCCAAGTTCCTATTTTCCGTATTGTATTTTTATGCTATTTATGATATGCACATAGATGGGGGAAAAAGATCATTCTACTCCTTGTTCTCTTTTTCAGTGGTACTTGTCTCCTCCTCATTCTTGGTGTCATTCTGTGCTGGTGCTGGTGCTGATGCTGCTGTACTTTTCTCTTCATCATCATCATTGTCCTTGTTGGCAGATGTTTCAGTTGCAGCAATAGGAGACGATGATGACATGGCAGGTTTAAAGTAAATGATTCGCCCATCAAGCTCCACATCCTTCATCTCTTCAAGGGCGCGTTGTTGTTCATCTTGGGAAACAAGGTCCACAAATGCATATCCTTTGGATCGACCACTACGAGCCCGAGCCACTTGAGCCGATGCCACTTTATAGTCCTTGAACAACTCTTGTAAATCCTCATCTGAAGTAGCGTATGGTATGTTGGCTACAAACACCATTGTTTTACTTGGCTCCTTGCGTCGAGTAGTATCATCATCGTGAGGACGAGAAGATTGACGGCGGTGACGACGGCGACGACGAGGTTTTGGCTGTTGTTGTTGCTGCTGTTGTTGATCCTCATCCTCATCCTCATCCTCATCCTTATGAGTCGACTTTTCAGTGCTGTTGGTGGTGGTACGTGCTGAAGACCGACGACGACGATTACGACGACGAGCAGAAGGTGACCAAATGCTTTGATTCGTTTTGGCTGCTTCCACATTGATTTGACGTCCTTCAAGTTCAGCCTTGTCAAGTTGTGATTTGGCCTTGTCAACATCATCCACGCTGTCAAAAAGCACAAAGCCATAACCCATTGAGCGACGGCCATGTTTGACGATTGTTGCTTCCATCCTAAAGGAGATCATTGATCAATCATCCCATCATCATGATACGCTTGGTGTGAAATCGCTTACACTTTGCCAGCACGCTCACAGAATTGGATCAATGCATCGCGAGTCAATTTGAACGGCAGATTTCCAACAAACAACATCTACAAATGATAAGATAGGTCACAAAAGTGGATCGGTGATATCATCTCTTGCATTATAATATACCTTGCTGTTATCATCTCCTTCATTCACAGTTTGGTCCCCAGCATCAGTGGTAGTTGTAGCTGCCGTAGTAGTGGCGTCAGTGGTCGTGGCCATAGCAGTGGTACTTTCAAATCAACACGCTCAAAAGAGAAGAAAAGGGAAGAAAACGGAAAGAGAGAAAGAGACAGCGAGGAAGAGAGAAAGAATGAAACAGGAAAATATACAGAGGCCGGGGTTGTTGCAGGCAATATGCAGCTACTTTGTGCTGGGTAATGAAACAATCATCACATTGCTTGGCTGGTACATCATGTCTGTGCGTCATATCCATATGTATCCTCTGCCCCATTCATAATCCACGTAATGATATCGACATAGTGAAGAACAAGGTGTTGTGTATATTGGATCTTATATTTTTGCATGACGAGATAATGAAAATCGAAAAAAGGTGGGTCGTTGTTGTTGTTGTTGTTGTTGGCATCTTGTTGGCTGTATCCGTTTCATCACCACTTCTTTTTTATCTACACTCGCATGTTATACAAACGGCACGAAAACACCTGTATGAAATACAACTTACAGCCTTTTGAACACACGATCGGAAAGCTTCAAATTCCTTGACACACATGTCCTTGTGCACATCTTGGTATCGAGCTGTAATGCATTTGCCGTACACGGTTGCTTGTGAAGAGCAGGACGCCACACCTTGAGCCAGCAATGCCACGCCTTTTGCCGGTTTACTTGACATGTCGGTTGTTTGCAAGAACAAAGGAGAGTGACAAGCCCCGCGTGTCTCACCCAAAGTGAAATTCTCCATCAGCCAGCTCGCCAATAGGATGGACTTTGTATGTCATAGTAGGTGAACATGTCCCACTCATCCACATTGTGTACCTCCACAGCCATTGTAACGCGATCGTATTATCATTATTCCATAGCCATGTTGGATACTGCAGAGCTGTCAATGTCCAATATGCAACATGCACTCTCATTGGATGCGGTGTGGTACCACCACGTTACATATTTCCTCATGCTAGCATCATGCTGCTATGTCCTTTCAGCATTAAAATCGTATGGTTGCCCGTTTAAAAAAGTTGTATATATATAACATCCAAAGCAATAAAAAGCATTACGGGTTAAAGACATCATTGCATTGGCAGATGATCATAGCTCTTATGATGAAGATGAAAAGAATCGAGATTCCGAATGCTGCTGTCTTTAATAAAGAGTGCAGGGACACTAAGTATCGGAAATGACAGGTCAAAGCAAGTGAGTGGCACCAAATTCAGTAAGAAGGCGAGCCTCGTGTGTCACACTGCGCTTATAAAAAGATCTTGCAGGAGCCCAAGGTGTTGGTGATTTCTCGTTTTCTTTTTCCCTCCCTAACATCAACCGATATCGTCCATAGCAACAGATATGGCGTCTCGAATGGCGACCGCCCCAACAACAATGCAACAAAAGCAACCACCAAAGCGACGATCCACATTAGCCGAGCTTGGTATTAGGCCCATGTCCGCTATTTCTACCAACAGCAGAGGTCCACCACCTGCTCCAGAACCCACAGCTGCTGTTACTCGTCGTGCAAGCACTGCTATTTCTACCACCACGACAACCACAAAGCCTACCACCACTACTACTCGTCGAGCAACAAAACCACGTCCCCTTTCTATGGGTCCTACCACAACCTCTGTTGCTGTGCCACCTTCTCCTACAACTACTACAAAACCACGTTCTGCACGATCATCAACAACAGCAACAGCCACCCCAAAGCGACGTTCACTAGTGCCATCCACACCTGATGCTTCACCTTCACCTTCTCGGCGAGGATCTTCAGCATCCAATTCAACAAATAGCCATAAACGTATGTCACTACCAGCTACACCATCGACATCGACATCATCCATGCTTACACAACAGCTCAAGGATCTACAAAAAGAGGCATGTAACACAAACAATAGGGCAAAGCGTGCATCTTTATGAAACGCGTATCATCTTTTTTTGACATTTGGTTATGTATAGCTTGCGAGAAAGGAGCAGCAGCTTGAAGAAAAGGAGCAACTTATCAATGATTTGCAACAAATGCAACATTCGAGCTCGGAAAAGTCATCATCAGCCGATGAGCCTGCAACACCTTTGCTGTCGTCTTCCTCCACGCTCATCCCGTGTGCCACTGACACTGTTACTACTCCTTTCGAAATGGATAAAATCAAGAGTGAGGTAAACAAGGAGGCCCATGATTCAATGTCAAGGAGAAATTGAAACAGCCACATCACTCAATGGGATATCGTTGATTGTGTAGTATGAGCAGGAGATTGAACAAGTGCGAAAACAATTGCATGATATGGAAGCCATAAAGGTGGTGAGTAGAAAAAAGAAATACGAGATCGGAGTGATCGTTGCATTAACCACTACTACTGCCCATATCCGATATAGAAAGAACAAGCTACACTTGAAGTAAGTTATAGGTTATTTTGGATCAAGGAATATGGGTTTATATAAGGTTGTCAATTAGGAAGAAATCTCTCGACGTGTGAGTCTTGAGTTAACAGCACAACATCAAAAAGCCATCGATCAACTCGAACAAGACCATGAACAAAGACTGCAGGAACAGCTTCAAAAAACAATGTCTGACTACGAGGAACGGATGCAACAGCTTGTCAAGGAGCATGAAGATGCATTGGCTGGTGCACAAAAGGTGGCCCAGGTAACAGGGGGTGAAGTTTTTGTGGGGGCGATGTGGGTGTGTGCATGTAAGATTAAGCTTTGGATCGAGCAACGGGAGGCTAATAGTGTTGTATACTATCCTACAGGAACAGCTGGATGCAGCTATTCAAGAAAAGAAAGCCATTGAAGCCAAGCTTGCAACATTAGAGACGTCAAAGAGTGCCATCCATCTACGTCGCCTTGAAACCAAGTTGAGCGAGAACGAAGCAGCTTTTGAAGATTACAAGCGGCAATCACAGCAAATAACGGACGCCTTAGAACGAAGGTTCAGAGATGAAATGCAACAGCTTCAAAGTGGTAGCGATGATACAGCCAATGTATGGCGCGAGAAGCATCGTGCTCAGCAGCTGGAGATTGATCGTTTGCAGGCTACGAATCAAGATCTTGAATATAAGCATGCTGAGGCAATGGCAGAGCTTGGCAAGAAACATCAGGAGGATATGGAAGCTCTTATTTACAAGTGCGAGACTCAGGAGGATGAAATGGATCACCAAATGCAACAAATACATACATTGCTTGCCCAAGTTGATGACCTTCAAAATTCACTCGAAGCAGCAACGCGTCGTTTAGAAGAACGTGCATCATCTTCTTCACGCAAAGTATCACTCGAGGAGCCCACTCGTACCGAGAATCATAGGATTTGCGAGGAGAAGATTCATTCACAACAACTCGAGTTGGAGGAATTGCATCGAAGACTTACCGAGCTCAGAGCAACACACGAATTACAAATGAATCGATTGGGTAATGAAAAGGCACGTGAATTGCAAGAGCTACAAAAAGAGCTTAAAGCTGTACGTGATCTTCTTGATAAGACCAAGGCTGAAGGACAAGTACGTATATGCACACTATCGACGAATCATCGGATTTGACAACTCCCCATGGAAAAAGGGAGACATGAATCTCACATTGAAATGATCGATTTCTAGGAGCGATTTGCATCACTCGCCGCCCAGCATAAAAAGGAGATCCATATCATGCATGAACAATACCAAAAAGTGGTCAATGTCAAGGATCGTGAATTGGAGGATAATGCATACCGCATTAAAGCTTTGGCATCTGTGAAACAAAACGAGCTTTCGTTTATGCGTAAATCAACCAACGAAAAAATCGAGAGATTGGAGCAAGAGATTGAAGGTTATGAGGTAAGAGAGCAACACAATCTCCTTTTCTTTATATCTTTCTCCACCCTTCATTGTGTGCTGTGGTGTATTTATGCGGTATCTTTCTTGTTTTTACCATCTTTACACTTTACCTCTTTCTTTTTCTTGGGGATTGGGTCGCAAAAGTATTATACTCTGATGATTTGATACCTATTTTCTTTCTTCTCCCTTTGCACATCCATATACCCAATACCCATTTCTCTTCTCCATATTCTACCCTTTCCCCTTTATATCATAGACACGCATCAACCAATTCGAACGACAAACCGAGGAGCTTCAACAAAAGTATGCTTCATGTCGTGATGAAAATGATCAATTGTCAAGGCAAGTAGCATGCTCTTCGTTATGTCTACCTTATTACATTGACTTACTTTGGCCTTTTCTTTCTCAAAAGCTTGCTTCATCAGCTTCAAGGAGAAATGCAAAAGCATTGAAAGCCCCCATTTGTTTAATTCCCTATCTTTTACCTTTATTGCTTATACCGATCAAGCTGGTAATATATACCAGCCAATTTGAGATTCTGGACCTAAACATTGAATGGGAGGATGGCTCCCCTTTGGGGATGCGTTATTGAGCAGCGTGTGCAAACTAGAAGTGTTGTGCTCTTTATCATGCATGGGTGTAAGAGTTGACGTCCGTGCGAGAAAAGGAGTCGTGATTGAAATGATAAATACGAAGGTGAGAGCATTAACAACTGATAAATCCATCCACCGCCTGGGAACAGCGGACATTGGTATGAATTTGCATTATACTACTACTTTGGATATGCATCCACTCGATCCATGGCTCCAGTTAAAGCATGATGATCCATGTATGTGTACATATGGGTCCTTTTATTAACGAACGTCTAAACAAGGATATCATTATACTAATAGATAGGGTTGTTCTGTATGAGATAGAAAATCACATGCGATGTGGCCTTCAAACTTCTGGGCATTAGTGATTTTCCTTCTTTGTCAGATCCGACCGCAGGCACTCTTCTCTTGTACCTTTACCCCACAAAGCACCCAACAACACAGCATGGCGAATCGTTTGGAGCATGTGCGTTCCAACATGATGCACGGAGACGGCGGCCTTGAAGAAAAGGTGGAGGGTAATGTACTGACACAACCCATGGAGGCGATAATCGTTGTTGGACAACAGGCTCTTTTCTCATTGACGACAACGTAGTGAATCAACGACATCTTATCGACAAGATCCTCGCTCGCTATTCTGCTGAATATGTCCTTTACCGTGAGCTCATGCAAAATGCAGGTAGGAAATGGCTTCATTTGTATATCGTAAGACTTGCTTGTTCACTCACTATTGCCAAAAAAAGATGATGCTACGTCTTCCAGTGTGCAGATTCAGTTCCATACAGCCTCGCCCTCCTCTGGTGATCCAACAAAACCCAACCTCTCTGCCAAGTGCGAAAAGGTCACCTTTCGAAACAATGGTATTGCTTTCCGCCCTGAAGATTGGGCTAGGTTGAAGCGCATAGCCGAAGGCAATCCTGGTAAGTGGAAAACGAGATCATAATGGAAACAAGCAATTAACGTATTTCATTGTATTAGATGAGCAAAAGATTGGTGCTTTTGGTGTTGGCTTTTATTCATTGTTCTCAGTGTGTGAAAATCCTTTGTAAGTGGGTCATTGTCATTCATTATATGATCTCCTTGGTAGACTTAGTCGTCATTTTAGTGTCGTATCAGGATCACAATGCATGGCATTCTACTTTAAGGGCGATCAGTTATTCGCAAGAAGAGGCGATGTCCCTGAGGGTGACCAAGATGAATGGACGTCTTTTTTGATGGAGTTGCGTGAACCAATGGAAATGCCTGGATTGGATGACTTTGCAAAGTTTCTCTCTACCAGCATGGTAAGCTTTTATCAATGATAAATTCAAGGGATGAATGATTAATAAGAATGACATAGGGATTCACTGCCAATTTGCGAGAGATTTCAGTCATGCTTGATCATCACTTGCTATTTCGGATAAGGAAGGAAATGCGTGAATCAAAGGAGATGACCGTCGACAGCAGAAAAGTTCACACATCATCACCCAACGGCATGTTCACTATTACTGGAGCCAGCATGCGTGACATTCAATTGAGTGCTGAAAAGTATACCCCACCAAGTTTCATTGCATCTATTCTCTCTGGGAGGAAAACAGAGACATCTGAAGGAGGGCTACCAATGGAAAAAGCCAACATTTTTCTACGAGTTGTTGCGGGTTCATTGAATGTACGAGTATCACCAGCATTTGAACGTGAGATGGAACGAGCGACCAAGAAGAAGCCACCAAAGACAACCACCTATCAGATCGTTTATACGGGACGACAAGAGCTTGATGCGTCTGAAAACAACAGCAATATCTTCAAAGATCTGGTGCCATTTCCTCAACAAGGACGTGTGTTTATTGGATTCCCTACACATCAAACCACTGGATGTTGCTCACACATGGCAGCACGTTTTATACCCACCGTCGAACGAGAGAACATTGATTTTGCCGATCGATACATTAGCGTTTGGAACAAGGAGCTCCTATCGATTGGTGGCCTGCTGTGTAGAATCATTTACAATCACGAATTGGATCAAATCGATCGATTGTACCGGGAATTGATCGGCTATCCCGACATGGTGAATAAGACTGATGCTACGCCAAATGACGCCAAAATCATGCTAGAAAAGCAAGCAGCTCATGCATTACATTCTTTCACTTTCCAAGACTCGACTCCCAGCAACATTGTGCAAAAAGTACAGCTTGAACGATTCTTCAACTCGAGCAAAGTACCGATTCGGATCATGACTTCGCATGGCATCCAACCTATTACAGTAGCTCGTCTTTTGCCCGACTTATCATCGCAACAGCATGTTTTATTGAATGAATTTGTCAAAACGATACCGACAATCCCAATGGACGTATTGGATCATGCTAAAGATGGCATCGACAAGTTGAAGAAATTTGGATTGCTCAAAGTCTTGGATTTGCAAGATGTGCTGAAGGAGCTTGATACGCGCATTCTCAAAGCACCGGAGATGGTAGCATGCTTAAAGTGGTGGATCGAAGATATGAAAAGTGGTGCCATTGTGGATATGCCTGATGTACGACAACGCTTTTTGGATGCTGCGATTCTACAAACAGAGGATGATACGACTGTACCACTTTCAGCTATTCGATGGTGGATCAATCCAAAAATCACACCGCCAGAGCTACCAATGCCTGAAGCAGCACTTCCTTTTGTGATCAGCCGTTCATTCAACCCGAGGGATTTAGCAACATGGTTCGGATCGTGGACTGAATTATCGCTTGTGGAATGGGTCAATTATGTGGCTGGAAAAAGCGAGCTCGAGGTGGTACCTGCATTTGCAGAGCGTGTGTTACGAGTGGTGTCACATGGATACAGTCATGCATCAACCAAATCACAGAATGAGATCTGCAAGGTCATGCGCACCAAAAAATGCATTCCCACCAAATATGGCATGCGACAACCACCCGACGCCTATTTTGAAACTGTAAAGCTGTTTGATGATCTTCCCATCATTCATTTTGAAAAGCCTATCAGCGATCATCTATTAGCTGCTCTCGGTGTACGAAAGGTAAGAATTCTTTATAATGGCTTTTTGCACATCACTCATACATCACTTTGTATATATAGCATGTTGAATTACAATTGGTGTTTGATCGATTGATTTCGGATGGAAGTTGGTCGCATGTGGATCTCGTCAAGTATTTGACATCGGTGCAATCTACGCTCTCACAAATGGAGGTGAATCGACTCAAGGAAACACCCATCTTCACAAAGGAAGGCGAACCACCCAAGGTCAAGCAAGTAGAGCGTAAAACGGATGCTGGTGCGGTGGAAAAGCATACCAAATCGGTCTATCGACGTTACAAAGCGAGTGATCTTTATGCACCATTGGATGTACTTCGGCAGCTACAGCTCCCTATCATTGATTGGAAGCAAAATCGGTGGCGACCTGAAAGCAACGAGGCCAAATTTATGGAACGACTTGGGTTACAGGCAACACCATCATTGACCACTATCTTGACTTTGGCATCGCCATCGACGGAGGATCGTGGCAAGCAAAAGCGTGCGCTTCATTACTTTTTGGAGAATTTCAAGCAATATGAAGCTGCCTACAGGGCTCCAGCAGTCGACATTCCCTTTTTACCATGCAAGGATGGTCAAACATATGTTGCACCCAAGGATTGTTTTACCAACCCAGAAGTTGAGGTTCTCGGATTTCATGTGTTGCATCAAGACCTTGTGTTTGTTCGTGATAAGCTTGGCGTGTATGAAAATCCTGATGCAAAACGATTGGTGGATGCTTTTGTTCATTACATGGGGAATCCTGCCAATAGCCAGCATGCGCGACGTGTGTTTGAATATATGGCTGATCGGATGGGTGATATTGGTTATCAGCAATGGTATCGATTACGCGAGACAAAGTTTATCCCTATCGGCAAGGATTCGGTTGAATTGATTGAGCCTGCGCAATGTTATTTCGAATCCGGCGAATCCAGCTTTCACAAGGAACTTTTTCAATATGTGGATTTTGGTGCACGAGCCAATTCATTTTTACGATCATGCGGTGTCAAAGATGAGCCAAATACTATTGAGCTCGCCACTATGATTGTAAAGAACCCACAGCGCTTCCGTGATTTGAGTGGTGGAGGTGAACGCTATTTGAATGTGCTACGACAAATTGCTGGTCAATATCATCAACTACGTGGCAACAAAAAGTTAATGGATGACATGCGATCAACGCCATTCCTTATTGGTATCCAGCGTATGCCTGACTTTGAGACATCTTCATCTTCTGCTGAAACAACAGATGCCATCGACGATGATCAACAAAGAGATGAATTTGTGCAATATCGACTAGCCAAAGCACAAGATATTTTCATTGTGGATGATACAATGGCTCAGCAGATCTTTTCACCCCTTTCAGCACCAATGGAACCTTTACTTGAAGAGTTTTATGCCCATCTTGGAAGTGATCGTTTATCAAGGTATGTTTTTTATTTATATATAATCGCGAAGTTAATGCTAATTCACGAGGTGTCTTTTGTAGACAAATCCGAGAATCATACACATATCGTGATCTTATGGGTGTGACGAATCGATCGAAAGCAGTGACGGATCTTATCTTCGAACGTGTGCCTGTCATTATATACCAGATGATGAGTGACAATCCACAGCGACAAAAAGAATTATGCCACGATGAGCGATACGTCAAACGCAATCTTAAGGTGATTCAAGTTCGAGAGCTTAAGATCCGCCGCAAATTCAAGTATACCGACAAGGAGAACGTTCAGCCCACATCAGCTTGTGCAGATAAGAAATCGTATACCATCTACATTTCGAGCATGGGTGAAATCGATTATTACGACATTGCCAACGCCCTTTGTGCATTGCTTTTTACTCGTGTCCGATTCAATGACGCTATTATTGTCGAACGTTATCTCACTGCCAGCCTGAACAGCTTACGAAGGAAAGGTGTGCCTGTCGATCGTATTCTCAACATCCGCAAGCATGCTGAAAAGCAGCCTACAGTGATTGATACCCAGCAACCTTTACCACCAACACCTGCTGTACCCACCTTGACACCTTCGCAACTAGACGAATGCACAAAGAAAGTATTGCAAGTGTTTTCGGATTGCCAAGAGGGTTATGTGCGCCAATTGCTTGCTCAAGAACGAGAGAATCACGTGGAAAGGGTGATCGACAAGCTACTTCAAAACAAGGATTATCCCAAGAACCGCATTGTTCAAGAGCAACCAAAGCCTTCATCACCCACATCGCCAAAGAGTCCAGCGGCGGATACAACACCACCACGTCATTCGGGTATCTTGGATCGATTATGGAATCCATGGAAAAGCACCACCAGCACCACGTCAACACCAACGCCCAAACCATCCGAACCAGCATCCACACCTTCAACACCGACACATGACACTATCACCAACAAACCAAAACTACCAAGTTCTGAAGGCACAATTACGCCCAATTACACATCCAACATTAAACAGAACCTTCGACGTGCCATCCATTCTTGCAAACCATTTTCTGGACAAGATGTCTTTTCGCCACCCCATATCAACAAGGTCAAAGAATCCAACAGCTATTGCGACGCACGACCTCAGCATGATTTGGTGGCTGCAGGACGTCTCAAGGAGCTCGAGTTTTACGTGCATCGTACAGTGGATCCTGCTGACGTATACACGCAATATGGTGCAGCCATGGGTCGATTTGCGGATATGATTAGAGAATTGGCTCAAGTATTCGAGTTGAAGCCTTCGAGTGTGCATATCTTTTATGATGTCCAAGGATCGACGATTGCTTTCAACATGAATGGGAGCTTATTCATGAACCTACGATATTATTTGGCGCTCCATGAAAATTCTGGCAAGCATAGAGAAGCATTGATTTACTGGTTTATGACCTTATGCCATGAACTTGCACACAACTTTGTTGCGGATCACAGCTCTGAACACGAGTTTTACATGTCATCGTTCGCTGAAGTTTACTTGGATCCTTTTATCGATTACCTTGGTACACTTGCCGCTCCTAAACAACAACAACAACAACAACCATCCCCAGCGTCAACATCAGCATGAACCCATATTGTACAGCATGTTTTTATATAACAAACTTCAACTGTGTGTATGAATTGCTAGAAGGATCTCACCTGAAACAGAAAAACAAAGATTGAAAAAACTGTAAAGATATTGTTGTGGAAGGGTCAAGAATGGTATAAGAATGAAAGAGCATTTCTTTTCTGCTATGCGTTTGGGAAAAAAGGGGGAGGGGGAAGGTTCGATTAAGTGCGAGGTATTTATACTTGATGAAGCGGTATATCATTGCGGACCAAGCTTTTACGTGATGATGTCTCGTAGTGTACAGGTTGCATTCCAATATCGTCATCGTCATCGTCAAAGGCGTCGTCACCACTCCTATGTTGATTGATATGTGCCATGTGGATCTTTTGCTGCTTCTTGAGTTCGTCACGTACACTACCACGAGACATGCTGGTATTGTATTCTTCAGCGTTTCTAGCAAAGGTGGATGTGTAATCGGTGTCGTAGACGTTGGCATTCGTCGACTTTTCGTTAGACGAGCTCTTGCTGCCAAATCGAATTCCTGTTGACGAGGTGGAAGGGCTAAAGATTGTTGTATTAGCATTATGCATAACACTTTTCTGTTGATAATACATACTTTAGAATGACTGCAACCATGACCGTTAACGAAGCAACACCTCCGAGGTAAGTCCAGACAACAGAAAGGAAGATATTGCCGGTCTTATTAACCAAAATAGTGTCACGAATGACGCCATAAACTATACACAATAGTGCAAAAAGACCAAGACATATAGCAATGGTGAACATGACAGCCCTGATCTACACATACATACATCATCATCATTAGCATATATATATTAAATCATGTTGTTCAATAAATTGTCATTTGAGCACGCTTACCTTGAAGATGCCATTCTTAATTGCACCGTATCTTGAACCGCTAGGGTTGATCTTTTCGAGATGCTGGTTGAGGATATGGATCAATCGAATACCGGCGAGCATCACTGTAGCTGTCAGAGCGATGCAATGACCACCCCAAATGCAGTAATGGACTGAAATGAGGATCAACACGACATGTTCATTCTCCGCATCGAGAGCAAGTACACCAGCAACCACCGCAATGGGAATATTGATGATGAAAGGGGCCAAGAATATCGAGGTACCAATAAAGTCCACAATGGATGACGATGGTAACCACCCTTCAGATATTGCTTTGTGGCTCTTTAAAAAGATCAGCGTGAGTAAACATTGCTTTTCTTAAAACGGTGTATGATAAACTCACGTCAGCGAGTGTCTGTGCGATGCCGATTAAGTATAGAGCGAATCCACCGTATCCCCATTGCCATGGAAATTCAAACAAGACTACGTATACAACATGAGTGTTAATTCACATCAATGCATTCACCTCGTGCTCGATAGTTGTATACACGCTTACAATTTCTGATGGCCATTTGGTATCCCATACCGGAAATGAGAACAGCTGAATTCACTAAGCGGACTAGAACGACGACGTGTGAATCAGCAATGTCCAAGTATGGATGGGCTGATGTTTCTCTCTCTCCACTTACGCATGTTGAAAATAGTAAGCAATAGTAACATTGAATCAATCGGCTTCGGACGTAAACATCCTTTGGCGAGGTTGATTTCGAAAAATTGATGCCCTTTGATGATGACCCGGTAATATATAATTCCTGTGCCTATAGAAGTGAACGTGTATGAGATTCTTGTGTACACACGCGAGAAATGTCTTGACACTCTGTGTGCATTTCCCACAAAATGCCTTTAAAAGGTACAAAAAAAGTGATTTACCCAGCACAAAGCCTAAGGCCGAGATGATCATATTCACAATGATGATGTAGTAAAGTGCGGTTTCCTCCTGGCATTTGTATATTTCGACTCTCCAGTCGCAATGACAATTGATGTCATCTTCACCAGGAGCACAAACGTGGCCGAGTGACCACATGAGAGAGAAAGAAAAAAGGAAAGGGAACGAAAAGAGAAAGAAATGTTTCTCTCGCTCTCCCCCCTGATCTCAGAGAAATGGACTATCACCCGTTTCCCAATGTAGAACATGAGTGTACACAAGGGAACCCACCCATACACAGGCACACAGGCACACACACACAGAGAGAGAGAGAGAGAGTGAGAGACAGCCGACGATGACACACAGCCATACATCCATAATGTTTAGCGCCTAATGTATCGTATCATGGTATACATCCCTATCGCTTTGTATCACTGTAATGGATGCATTACTTTCATTGCTATGGAAAATCACCTGGCTCTATTAAAACGAAAGAAAATCTCGATATGCACATGGGTTGCCGCTGCTGCTGTTGCTGCACCGATCACTTTACATTAGAAAGTCATCCCCGCTCTTGTAACGTTTTCAAATGAGTCGCACAAACTACAATATCCACGTTGTGTGTGCAACATGAGAATTGACGGGCACCCCATTTTCTCTCTCCCCTCCTATGCATCTTATCCGACCCCTGGGTCACTCACTTGTACCACTAGTGTTCATTTTGCGCTTTACTCATATATTGGTTTAACAGCGAGATGATGAAGAAGATGTTGTATATACAAATGGAATGAGAAAAGAAAAAAAGATGCATGCATAAACCATACAAGAGTGTCGTGGGATAATGATGAAACGGGTATTTGCTACTACATGTCTAATTTTGGTGATGAATGTCATGAAGCATGTCGTCTAACGATTTGACGCCGACGTTATTGTTGCTTTCACTACGTTGTTGTTGTTGACGTTGTTGTTGTTGTTGTGCTTCCTCTGATCTCCGCACTTGCTTCATTGCATCTCTTGCAGCTTGGTGCTTGAGAAAAACGAAAAGCTATATTAGTAAATGTGCTATCATCCTCAAAGCATCACACACTTACTTCAAGGTTGGCTTGTTCTCGAGCATGAAGCCGATCGGATGATGGAGGAGGAATAGCCTGTACCTAAAAAGTACTAAGTATAATGATTTCACGATGACACAGCCTCAACAAAATTAATAATATACCTTGGGTTGTCTTGGTCGTTGGATAAACAGATTTGGGGTACTTCGTCGCTGTTGCTGAGGATAAGGTGTCAGACCTTTGGATGCACGATACTCAAGTAGCGTCATTTTACGCCGCATCTGATTTGGTGGACCAGGAGGATGTGCTGAGTGACTAGCAGGTCGATGATGTCTAGGCGGCGTATGTGCATTCGTATTGGTGGGAGGATCAAAAGCCATAGGGTGTCTTCTTTCCGAAGGCCCATCGTTGCCGAATATTGGTAATGGTCGTCTTGTTGGGAGTTGTTCCTCAAAAGGTTGACGACCAAAAGGTGGCGGTGGTGGTGGTTGTGGTGGTAACGGTCGCCTTGTCGGGAGCTGTTCCTCAAAAGGTTGACGACCCAAGGGTTCAGCTGGTGGTTGTGGTGTTGATCGTTCTGGTGGTGTCGATTGTGAAAATGTTGTTGTTGGCGTGGTACGAGTCTGACTTTGTTCCTTGAGCTCTTCTCGATCACTGGATACCAAGTGGGTGGATCGATCGCCTGAGATCTTGTGTTTATCCTTACTCTCGGTATGCACTTGAGGTATAGCAATTCGTTTCGCTGGCGTGGATGGTTGTGACATGGGTCGCTTTGTTCCAGCAGTCTTTGTTTCTTGCTCAAAGAGGTTTCGAGGCTTGTTTCCAGAAACGAGGCGATGTTGGAAATATGGGGGTCGAATCTATTAGCCCGACATTAGTGTCACGATATGGATATGAATGGTTGGTTCGCTTTTTTAACGTTACATTGATCAATAGGTTTCGGTCCATAGCATCCTTGACAAGATCCCCCCAGTATTGGCTTCCCATCAGTGAGCGTTTGTGGCCGAGCACAAAGAGTGAACATCTTGCACGAGTCAATCCCACATTCATACGTCGAATATCAGCTAAAAAGCCGATGCCTCTTTCTACAAATACAATCATCAATACACCCCCTTCAAAGTCTTGAGCCTATCCCAATCCATTGCAAGACCTACCAGACAAGGCACGCACACATGAAAAGATGATGATATCCTTTTCTTGTCCTTGGAAACCATCCTGTACAACAATGTCAATTGACGCTGTCATACTTTATACCCTTTTCTCGGTACATACCACAGTGTTGAAATCGATAACATCCAGGATTCGAGAGCCATATCTTCGTTCAAATCGAGACTTGAGTTGACTCAATTGCTGTTTGTAGGGCGTGATGATACCAATCTTGTAGGCAAGCTAGATTTCAAGGAATATTGCCGTGAGAAATCGAGATCTGCTATATCAAGTATTATGACTTACTTTAAGTTGCGGCATTTGCGTTGCCAACATGTCCACAAGCGCCACAGCCGCCTCAGCCTCGGCGGGATTGTAGAGTGAGCGTCCTGCACCCGTTCGTTCTTGACCATCCTCAACGTTGTAAAATTGGTAGGGTGGAAAGTATTGCCGAGAATGCCATGGAGCAGCAGACACAATATCCATTTCAGGGGCATCATGCAGCATTGAGTTGTAAAATAGCTTGCTTGGGAAGGCACTGATGGCTGGATGCATACGATATTGGATACTATCGCGCGAGATACAACGTTAGATACCCAATATCGGGATTTAATGTAACGCATATGATTAAAAAAATATACCTTAAAAGATAAACGTTGTCCGGAGCACTTTTTTGCAGACGCATGAATAAGCTTTGATCGTATTGGAACTTGGTTGCCATTTGAGATATCACCGTTGGAGGAAGCTGATTCGGATCTACGTTTTGTGTATGTGTGTGAATGATCATCATTGATACTTTCCGATCCAATGTATCACTTACCACCAACCAAAATACAACGTTGACAATCATACTTCAGAGGGATCAATGAGCTCACTTCCACCGATTGTGCTGCTTCATCAACAATGACCGTGCCGAATGAAAGACCCATGGATGTAAGCATGTCATGTCCACTTCCACTCAAAGTCGCACAAACAACATCCACAGAAGCAAACACCTTTTGCCGTGCACGAACCCTCGACAATTCCAATTCACGTGTGTAATCGCGTTGATCTTGAGAGAGGTATTTCATCATGGTGCGTAATTTGCTGCGCTTTGCCACCAGCTCACGCCGCTTATCACGTAGCTCGCTGATTTCTGTAGTTGTGCATTCGGCGATTTCACGATCGGCGTCTTCAATCTCAAGCTGTGTCTTGCGAATTTCTTCATTCAAATTCTCCCGCTTGGATGCGAATTGAGACTTTTCAGAAGTTCCATTGATCGTCCCGGCAAACTCCTTTTCAATCAGGCGATCAAGTAAAATATCCTTGACGGATGCATTGACCGATTCAGATGTGCCGATACGTACAACCTTGGGTTTCACCAGGCCTCTCGATGTCATGATGCCATCTTTCAAACGCTTTGCAATCTCATCCACTGCTGCATTGCTGGGTGCACAGACCAAGATTTTGCCACCAATGCTGTCCGATTGCCCCGATTGCTGTTGTCGTGCTTGATCGAAAAGAGAGACCAACAATCCCAAAATGGTCTTTGTTTTACCTATAGAATAAGGTCATGTCAATCATTGTTGGGTATGTTTGTATGACAATCAATTACCAGTTCCTGGCGGGCTATTGAAAATAAATAGAAACAAATATTAGCATCATATATAAACAATGATGCATCCAACAAAGACATTTACTTACCCCTGAATCAAAGTGAATCCCTTTTTCCGTTCCAACGCCCCGGCAATGGCCTCCGCTTGTGGCTCATTGACACCATATCTTGCTATGCATTCCTCCTTTAATCGGTGGTTGATAGGTGCCTTTGGAATCGCCTTAGGATGTAAGATTTCCTCTGCCAAGTCAAAATGTTGCAGGCCTTGTAATCCAGCGTATTCTCTTTGAGCCGTTGTCAAACTTTAAAATGAAGGCGTTAATGGATGGATTCATGTAAATAGCATTCATGAATAAACAAGTACCTGGTTAACTTTAACATACGCCATGTTGATTTGGGTGATAAAGCATTCAAAGTCTTGATCCTGTGAGCTGGAAAATAGCACCGCATCGTAACATGGCTGAAATTCATCTTTGCCACAATACCAGTGATCTTGCCCAAGAATAAATGGCCATGCCAGTTGCTGGGTTTGTCATCCGTGCGTATAAAATCCAACTCCTTTTGAAAGAAATCGCCTCCAAAATGGTTTGCAACACACACAAGATCATCCAATGCCAGTGTATTGGCCGAGGGTACTGGAAGGTTCATCGTCACATCCACAAAGTCATTGACATGACACCGACTGTCAAGCACACACCGATCAATGATGTTGTAATCTTGCAATGCCTCTTTTGCACGCACCACCTGCATCCACGTTTCCAAAAGCAAGAGTGATTGAAACACCTGGAGATATTCTTCAAATGATGCATAGCGATCCTTGATCGTTTGGTATATGCCCGTTGGCGTATCCGGTGGTACCTCGGTTCGCCTCGTGATATCCCAAGAAAGAACAATCTTGTAAAACGGGTCAATGTCAGGTCGTATCTTTTGCCGCCGACGATCAGCTTCTTGAATCTTCTTTTTCTTCTCCAAAAAGTACTTGGTTGCTGGTGTGTCAATCAATTGAGCTGTGCGTCTCACAGGCTTTTCAAACAATGCCTTCATGCTTGCACGCTCTTCCTCAGCACGATTCTTGCTCTTGTTCTCCTTTGCCATCTTCTCATTCTTTTTTGCCGATTTATCAACGTCCATGACAAGCCCTTGAAGACCCGAGTCCTCATCTGATGATGATTCGCCTTCACTGGATGATGATGAATTACTGCCATCGGTCGATGCATCTCTACGCTTTCGATTCGAGATCGATGCAGATGGTGATTTGGCAGCAGCAACCAACTTTTGTTCAGCATGAAACTCCTCTCTCAGCGCACGTAGTTTTGAAAATCCCATTGGTGGTGGTCTCAACTTTCGGCCTGTCGACGTAACGGCGTAAGCTGTAGGCTTTGTTGGTTGTACTGAAAATCTTGGTGCTGATGATTCTCGATTAACAGAAGACATTCCACGATCCTTTTCACTTTGTCGCTGTTGTCGTTGCTGCTGTTGTTGCAATTCCTGATTATGTTGCTGCACGGCTCCTGCAATGGACTTGCTTCGCTTGGTTGCCTAAAAAGTACCAATGTCAATATGTAGTCACTTTGCATCAATCTTCTTTATACTTACTTGAGTTGGAGCTGGTGATCGTTCTTGCTCGCTTTCCAATTCTGATCCTGTTACACGTCCTTCAAACCACTCATCTGGCAAATCTGCAAAGTCCATGTCACCAAAATCATCCATTGGGAAATCATCATCATATGACTGAGAGGCATCTTGTATAGGGTCTTTGGGGCTTGTGGCAACAGAAGATGCATTCGACTTATCCAATGATGATGAACCATGAGTGGATGGCGGTGCCGAATCACTTTGGAAATACGATGTGATCTTTGACTTGCGTGGAGGTGCTGCTGAGTCACTAGTAGGTCGATCAACGGCTTTGAAAAATGATTCACCCAATTTCAATTGTCGCATGGCTGTGATATTCCTATCGGGCGTTGTTGCGTTGCTGGATGGCGTCATTGTTGCTGTTGCATCCACCATTTCCCATTCCACATTCTCATCATCGTCGCTGTCATCCAAAAAGATTCCATTGTTGCTAGGCTCATGTGTGCTCAAAGCAAAGAATAAACTTTCTTTTTGCTCTTGAGATAACCTTGTTGCATTGACACCGGTGGATGCATCCATCAATCGCTGAAAACATTCAGTTGATATGGTAACGTGTGCTTGATGAAGATGCTTCATGGTGGATGTAAGAAGAGGAATAAGCTTGTCGAGAACCTCGGATCGTGTCACGTAAACCCAATGGGATAAAGAATCCACCGTAGCACTAACACAATCGAATTGCAGCTGTGTGTCATTGCTTGTAAAGTCCATGTCGCTGGGTGCCGCACTATCCATGACTTTTTGAAAAAGCTGACGAGCACTAATCAAGACGTGTGCAATATCAAAGACTGGCATAATCACAGAGACCACCTGCCGAGGTTTATGTGTCTCAGACCATACGCTGCCGCTTCCAAAGATCAAGCTGATAGTCCTCCAACAAGTATCCCAAAATCCCTTGACATTCTCATGCTCCACACCTGAAAATGTGACGCCTCCAACGATGGTTTGAATCATGTAGCCATCCTCGTCACCAACCATAGCAGACAATAATATCGATAAAAGACGAGTAAGGGTTGGGACCATGTTGAAAGCATCACGAGTAGCCAAAGAAAGTGCCAGGTTGTTGAATGTATCCAATAGCTGATTGAACTTCTCTAGCACATGTTGCGGTTGCTGGAAAAATATCTTGCGAAACGCTTGTGCATCATCATCCCGATTTGAAGATCCCAAAAACTTGAATGCTTCTTCACGCAACTCCGTGTGTATTGAACATAGCATATAAAGGAATGGCTCCACCAAATCCAATCCCTCAATCATCCTCGTCCTATTCTCCACAATCATCGTGCTGCTGGTGCTGCGCAATATTTGCTGAATCACACTTTGAGCTTGACGCATCCGTTGCAATGCTGGTGAGCTTGCTGCATTCACTTCCTTTGGTGTCATATCGGCAATGGCAAATTCAGAGTACGCTGAAAAGACAACCACTGCAAGTCGTTGGTCCACCTTTTGCTTTTGCAAATAAATCTCGAATAATGATTGCCAAAGAGATTGATCCTCGAATCTTGTTGTAGACGTGATCCCAAATATGCTTTCTCGCAAGATCCTTCCATCCATGTGTAATACTTGCTTAAGAATCAATGCCGCTCTTTCAGGTACCTCATGGCACACTTCTGGTAACTCGTTTTCTGATATTGATGCAAATCGAATGATAGCAGAACCATGCTTGTTGACTTTATCCGAAAGATCGCTTCCAGAGTACAAATCAAGGATGTTACATGACCATTCGACACAAATCGCTTTGCAAATGATGGACCAGATGTCAAGCTGAAAATAACCAAGCAATGTATCAAGGATGTGATTCGCCAGGTCATCACGTACGTCTGCTGATGGAATTGATTTCCAGTAGAGATAAATCCATTCGAGACGACTTTTGATCTTTCCAATCAGCCGATCTTGAGAGAGGTGTGTGCCATCCTTTTGTACGACTTTATTCGCCTTGTCGTGTTGCGCAATGATGATATAGCTCTTGAATGCCGAAGAGTTGAAAATTTGCTTGATCAATGCATAATGGGAATCTGCAGGTACGTTGTGATCATTCTCATCCCACCATAATGTCGTATCTCCATCCATCTTCCGGAATAAAGGCGTCAATGTTTTGATCAACTCCAAAGTAGCTGTGCTATTCGTTGATTCCATTTGCTGTTTCAGCCATCCAATTCCAAAGATCTTTGCTTCTTGCAACATCCACATGACATCTTTTGCTGATAACAGGTTGATCAAGACACGAAATGACTTCCAGCGCTCTCCAAGATCTTCTACCGCTTTGACAGGGAAAGCATCATTCGTTGCTATCGTTGTTGAGAATAAACTGGATATGGATCTCATGCAATCGGGTGATAAAGAGACGTTGATTTCCTCTGATAAGAATTTGAGCAGTTGCTTCCTTGCCCACACACGAATCCATTCATGATGATGAAATGCCAAAAAAGATATCCCATCAGCAACCTCACAGCCATAAGAAGGCGCCACGGCATGAGCATTCATCTTGTCAAATAGGTTGCAGACGAGACGATCACAATCTTCTTCACGTAACAAGCTTGGGGTATATAAAATGTCGTAGATCGTGCATATCAATGGCTCGGATAGCGTAAATGACTGAGATGGATCTTCAATGTAGAGGCTGCGTCGTAAAGTCTTCATCACACGATGTCGATCAAAGCGAGCAAGTAACGAAAAGAAAGACTCCACATTCTCGGTAGAAAAGAGTCGCTCGTATCTATACAATACAGTACAATACATGCCATCCATGCATTAATATCCTTGATTGACACATGCCCACCCATAAGCTATTATACCTCTTCCTTAGAACTGGTTTTGTACCATAGTAATAAACGAGACACCTTCTGCAACTTCGTAGCTGTTTGGAGAGCTTTTCCTTGTAATGAGAGATCGATGGATGGTCAGGAAGTGAAAAGAGCCATAGCGATTCCTGGGCGATCAGCCGTTCCCGATCGTCGCACCACCAGTGTTCCGAGGAAGTTGTCAAAAGATAGCCAAGGACGTCGTTGAAGAATTGCTCTTGCAGGTCGTCGTTCGTAGGGTTGGCAATCTTGCGATCCAACAAATCGAGCAGTTGTTCAATGCTGGTAGTAGTCGCCAAGTTCAAATCATGGTCGCTCATGAGAAGCGGGTAGTGCAACAAAAGGGAATAAAGTCGCGAATTGAGGCAGCCCAAAATATTTGACTTCACTGCTGCGCGCATCATGTTCGTGTCACCCGGCAACTTGATACACCCCTTCACATCCTCCCGAATTACATGAGCAAAAGATACATACTACACTAACATGGTAGAGATCATTCCCCTTAAAAATTGTCGATGCTTTCATCCCTTGAAGCTATATTTCAGGGCTCACCCCATTATTGTCGTTTGTCAATAAGATTGACATTGCTATCACATGTTACTATCACTACATAATAGTTGCTGATTAAACACGCTCATCCCACGTCCATTATTGTCCCTGAATCGGTATAGCATGGTGATATGTATATGCACATTGGATATGGGCTCATTGTTTCGAGAGTTTATTCTTACCCAATATGGAGCCCAGTGCCTATAATTGGATTAGAAGATGTATGCCATCACAATGAAGCAGTTACATGGCCAAATGATAAGCGTTGCTACGCTGAAGATGAAGCTGTACAAAGTGTATAGTAATAAAAGTGCTCTTCTTGATGAGTGCATCCATAAGTCAATAGGCCTTCATCATACCCTTTCTGTATCATGCAAGAAGGGTATATAGTGCATAGGGTGGATTGAGCATCGTGCAGCTCAATACTCGTTTCAGGTATACATGTACGTATGCAAGGCATCAAGAACAATCATCCAATGGCGATGCATTTGGAACTTTGATGATCAAACATGTCATTACTTTGCAGAATGTACTTTCCGGTCACTGATTCGATCTGCACTGGTACATAAATGAAGCTCTGGATTAACCTTTTTTCGACATGAACAATTGGATGATGGAGGAGGCCGACAATGGGGTATCCCTATTAACGCTGATGATGATACATCAACATTTTGATCTCATTTAAACATAAAGCTGTCATCATCATGGTATATCGAATTCATGCATGCATAATGGAGTATGGTGATTGGAAGTACGATGGCCTCATTTTATTATGTACAATGGTGTCAGGATGGTGATATTGTAGCCAAGGAGATTGGGTTGCGATGGCAACAATGAAATTTGACTGAGACAATAAGCCCCATCTATCTACATATAGGGTGGGGATGGGTGGGAAGATACCCGGCTGGCTGGCTGGCTGGCTGGCTGAGAAGGGTAGTTCAGCAAAGTCACGTATTTTGGTCGTCGACTTTTTTGTGTGGAAGGGTACCAACCCAGCAAACAAGCTCTTTACAACAAAACATATCTCCATGGCTCAGCAAGCAAAGCAGGCAGCCCAAAAATTGGGTGGAATGTTTCCTAAGGGTGCAGGCAAGGGCGTTGGCTCTGCTGCTGGTGCTCTCGTTACTCTTGGTGCTTTGGGTTACGGCATTAACGCATCGCTCTTCAACGGTTCGTTTATTTTTTTCTTGTTTATACTATATACTATTCCCACCCAACATGCATTGACTCAATTGCCCATTAGTCGATGGTGGTCACCGTGCTATCAAGTACACTCGTCTCTTTGGTGTCCAAAACACTGTCTACAACGAAGGTACTCACTTTGTCATTCCTTGGTTCGAATCCCCCATTGTTTACGACGTTCGCGCCAAGCCCCGCAATGTCGCTTCCTTGACCGGCACTAAGGGTAATGTATAGAAGGCAGGAATAAGGTTGACAGCATTGGATTGAACTGACATGGTGACCCTTGCTTAGATTTGCAAATGGTGAACATTACTTGCCGTGTGTTGTCCAAGCCTCGTGTTGACCAGCTCGCTACCTTGTACCGCACTCTTGGTCAAGACTATGACGAGCGTGTGTTGCCATCCATTGTGAACGAGGTCCTCAAGTCTGTTGTCGCTCAATTCACTGCTTCCCAACTTATCACTCAACGTGAGCGTGTCTCCCGTTTGGTTCGTGAGAACCTTGTTCGTCGTGCCTTGCGCTTCAACATCATCTTGGATGACGTTTCTATCACCCATGTTGGTTTCTCTCCCGTTTTCGAATCGGCTGTCGAAGCTAAGCAAATTGCTCAACAAGAGGCTCAACGTGCTGCTTTCGTTGTTGACAAGGCTCGTCAAGAGAAGCAATCCATCATTGTTCGTGCTCAAGGTGAAGCCAAGTCTGCTGAACTTATTGGTGAGGCCATCAAGAACAAGCCCGGCTTTTTGGAATTGAAGAGAATCGAAGCTGCCCGTGAGATTGCTACCATCATTTCTCGCTCTGGCAACCGCGTCATGCTCGACTCTGACACCTTGTTGCTCAACGTCAACTCCTCCGTCAACAACAAGGATACTAAGAGCAAATAAGAACACATTTACATCTCAAGTGTTGTACGTTAAGAGAGATGCAATCAAAACAATTGTTCATATTACATCAAGTAAAAAGTTTCCAATAATGCAGGCACATATTATCCCACACATACACACACACACACACAATCAATGGAATGATTTCACTATTAAGCTCTATATTCACTTTTTATTATATGGATGAGATGAACTGCAAAATGTACAGAGAGATGATTTATACAGAGATAGAGGAATTTACAATGACATTCAGGGACCACGCTTAACCATCATCGACATGATTTCATAGATCAAATCAGCAGCCAAGAAGGAGGTGAGCTGAGCTTGAGTGTCAAAGGGTGGGGAAACTTCAACAACATCAGCAGCAATGATGTTGTAACCTTCCAAGCCACGGAGAATGTAACGCATTTCACGAGTCAAGAAACCACCAGTCTCGGGAGTACCAGTAGCAGGAGCCATGCTGGGATCAATGACATCAATATCAATGGACAAGTAAACAAGGGAATCATCCTTAGGACCGAGAATCTCTTGCATACGCTCAACAATACCATCAACACCAAGCTTGAAGATATCATTGGCCTTGATAATGTTGAAACCAAGAGCCTCATCGCGCTTGAAATCATTGTGGTCGTACAAAGTGGAGCGGATACCAACATGCATGGAGGTACCATTGGCTGTCAAACCTTCCTTGGAAGCATGATAAAGAGGGTTGCCGTGGTTGAAGCGAGAGCCAGGAGCCTTGACATTGTAGATTTCAGGAGCCCTAATCCATAAAGTTAGATACCTTACATCATGGCATGAATCATATTTTAAAACTTACCAGGTGTCAAGATGAGAATCAAAGTGGATAACAGTGATAGGCTTGCCATAAGCAGAGCGCATAGCACGAAGGACAGGCAACAAGACGGTGTGATCACCACCAAGGGTAATCAAACGAGGGATTTCAGGAGTGGCACCATCTTCAGTGGGAGGACGTTGCAACAAGTACTTGGTGTAATCTTCAATTTGCTTCATAGCATGACCAGCATCAAAAGGCTCGAAAGGAATATCACCACAATCCACCATCTTGGCCCACGAGCGGAAAGTGTTGACACCGACTTCGGTATTGTAACCCTAATATTCATTTCCTTGTTAATGAAATCCACATCCATGGTTTTGTACCTCTTGTTTTTCCTCATACCTTAATACGCTTAGATCCTTCACGAATACCAGAGGGACCAAATCGAGCACCAGTTCTGAATGTTACACCAATGTCGTAAGGGGCACCCATGACAGCAATGTCATAATCCTCGACGATTCCTTCATCCCAGCACTTGAGGTATGGCAAATGAGCAAAAGTAGAGATACCAGAGAAGGAGGGAACATAGCCATCTCTTTCCAGGACGGGGCGATCAAAGGCTGTAGGAAGCTCAGAGGGACCAGAAACGATAGGCATTTGTCCGACAAACTCATCATCATGATGATCATGAGCAAGGACGTTACCAGCAAGGGCACCAATCAATGCAAGGCTTCCAAAGATTGCAGAACGCATTGTTTATGATTTTTTTATAAAGAAAGGAAGAAAAAAAATAAACAGAAACAACAAGGGAATGCTGTGTGGGGTCTTTATTCTTTTTTTCGTTGTCGCTCATCTGTCATTCAAATGAAAGGGATGAATTTAATTGGATGCTTATTTGTAATCAAACACCCGTCTCCACCTATTGCCTGTAACCTCCACCTCCTCGTCCTTGAGGACACCGATTGGCATAATGGCCTTGTGCACCACACTTGAAGCATGTAACATCTTCCAACCTTCGATAAAATCCACTTTGCGGCCGATTTACATGGGAGCGTTGTGGTTGATCATCTATAGACGAGGTATCTTGTTGATGTTGATGTTGCTGCTGCTGCTGTTGTTGTTGATGTTGGGGTTGTTGCTGCTGCTGACGGTCATCACCGGCACCGTCTGCGGAGTACATTGTAGGAAGTTCATACTTGGGATGACCATTCGGACAATTGGGACCTTCTGGGCAAAAACCAGTAAGATAGTTCTGGCAAACCATTTTGCGTACATGCTTGTGTCGGCAATTCGGGCCTAATGATATCATAAGTGATGTCTCAGTAATAAGCTTTTTTTTCGGCTTCCCCTAGATACCATACCATGTTTACAGAATCCTCGAGCATACCATGGACATTCTTTTTGTTTGCTTTCAGGATCGATATGAAGATACATGCATTCATCGCCATTGCAACATTCGCCGTATTTAGAGTAAAACCAACACTCGGGCATCTTTTTCATGTTGAAGACGTGTAAAAATTCGCAGCTATCGCCCTTCTTGCAAAGACCGCGTAACCAGTGCTTACACACTACTGACTTGTCTCGATCTCCACCTCGCGAATGCTTGAATTGGCAATGAGACCCTTTGGTACAAGCACCCTTCAAAAAGTACTTGCACACTTGTCCATCTTTATGTATACCCTTATTCAGTCAAATGCCTTTTGAAATCTACATGCCTCATGGGACTGACCTTCTCTTTTATTCTCATTATCAAGATCCAATCCTAGCTCTTTCTTAATGTACTCTTCAAAGTCAAACGTCAAGTGTCTGTGATCGCTCAAAAAAATTGCTGGCGGGGCAAGCATGATAAGGGTAGGTTTGTGTATGAAGGAAAAGAAAGATAGCTAGCTAGACGACCCAAAACCACAGCCATTGAAAGGCGATTTATCATCCAATCAAATGTATTCGTCAATGGACCTCATGCACATGAACTTTATTCTGACTGATTCGTCGTGTTTGATCGTAACTTTCGGGTTTGAGGATTAATAATGATTTTACGTTGTTGTTTGTTGATGGGTGATCTTGTTTTCCTGGCTTTGGATGCTTTTGCTGCAAGTACATCATCATCTTCATCGCCATCATCATCATGTTTCCGCCGCCTTCTTAAAGTTGGCAAATTATCATCATTGGTGTCGGATGAGAGTGACGCTGAGGGGGATGGAGGTGTTGGAGATGGTGTTCGATCGGGAATAGGTGTATCAGATGATGGCACAGCATTTTCTTTTGGCGGCTCATTCGTCGCATCCTCTTCAGTTGGGACCTTTTTGGATGATTCATCAGGCACGGTCGATTCATCTTGATTACTTGCTTTGTCTTCAGCTTGAGTTGTTGAATTATCAGGGACATCATCCTCGTCTTCCTCATCATCATCATAATCCACCAATGGCTTTGGAGTCGAAGACGTCGAAGAAGTTGAAGTAGGTTGTTGTTGTTGTTGTTGCTCCTCGGGTTTGGTAGCACCAGGTGATGATGGCGTTTCCTCTTCTTCATCTCCAGAATTATTAAAGTATTCTTCCTCATCATCATCCACAGTTGAAGATGACCATCCACCAAGTCCAGGTCCACGTTGGCTATTTACGCTACAATCCTTTATGAGCTTTCACATGTATAATGCATCCTCCACCCTTCCATTGATTCTCACCTTGCATTGTCAGACTCGGTTTTGGTCTCTTGCATCTCTATGTTCTGATCATATCGTAATCGTAAAGCTTTGCAAACTCCTGTATAATTGACAGTGTCCAGCACTTTGCCATATTGTGTCACGAGATGGGAAACTAGCGGTTTGATATTCTCCTATTTGAATGTTAAAAGTCAACCCTTTCTCCCTTTACCAAAAGTCGCCACCATCCTAAACTTTACCTTGCGAATAAACTCGAGGATCTCAATGCAAGCTGAATTCAACAAGTTGTTGCGTCCATCCGTGTCGAGTAATACCCTGATAGTCGGTTCAAATACGTTTTGCTTTATCAGGTTTTGGTTGTAAAAGCCATCCATCACACCAACACATGCACGGAAGAATCGTAATGCAGCTAAGATACGCGAATTGAGCATGATGCATCAAGCGGCTTTTGTCAGGTGCTTACCTAATTTGACGTATCCTCGATTGCATCGATAGAGTTGCAAAATTTTGCTCAAGCAATCGGTTGAGTGAACGAGGTATTTGCTCCTGAAGCTGTGTTGACGAATTGCGAAGCACAATAGATCACAAATATGAACGCAAAGATCGGCTTGTTCTTGGGAGAGCGTGAGGATTTCAATGGGACCATCCAGCTTCATTGGCTTCTTATCGAGAGCCGCAAGTGGCCGCAAAAAGTCATCGCCATAATTGTCGTAGAATAGGGTAAGGAACTCCTCGGCTTCCGGATCAGTCTTGCGAATGGTCTAAAAGTAACAAATCGGCATGAATATTAACTTTAACATGTATTAAAGTCCCGCTGTCTTACATCTGTTGTCATGGGATTGCCCAATACAGGTCCACCACCGAGATCCAGTAACAGGCGAACGATTTCCACATATTGTGTCTTGAGGAGTGGGTCGTGTTGTTTGGTGAATTGGTCGAGAATGATTGCCATCAGAGACTTTTCAGCGCCATCCTTTTTGATTCGAGCCGTAAGTTGTGTACGAATAAACGAAACGTCGAGCTCCACCATTCCCATAAGCACATTGACTCCTGATCCACGAAGATGTGCTTCCTCAGCTCCCAAAGCAAATGCAAGCACGTTGAACAGCCCTTGAGGTGCCAATTCTCTAATGGAACAAAGTCTCAATATCCATATGTCTCATAGCGACAACCTCTTCCTACCTGTATAAACCAGCTCTATGTGCTGCCTGCAAGCATTTTGCCATAGAACAAAATTGCAAAATAAACTTGGCTCCTTCCGTTTTCCTCTCAGTGGTGCTATTCTCCTCATCTCTGAAGATATCGAATACTGAAGATAAAAGCTCACTGTCGTGTTGGATACTGCTGACGATATCGATATGGTTGAAAAATGTCAATGAATGTACAATCGAATTCAAAGAATCGTCGACTTCGTTGGCGAAAACGCATTCCTTGATATATTTGAGGCGAAGATTCTGGTGAAGTTTGGATATGATGACCTCGTCTTTGATTGGTACAACCTATCAACCTTGGTCAGCCTATACATTCATATGACCCAAGGCTATACCTCTTACTTACAGGCTTGATCTCTGCGCATTTTTCCAAAAAGGCCCTATGTTTTGTGCGCGTGTTGGGTGTGTCAGGATTATCTATATAGAGAACAAGTATCAGAATCATTTCCATATACGCGTTTGCTGATCAAACTTACATTCTAGCATTCCCATTACATCCATGTATATGTCGTCGTGAATGATGTGTTCAACAATGGTATTGTCGTTCAGCATAACTAGTAGTCAATGTGTCAGCTATTTGATTCATTGCACTCTACGTCCGAAAAAAGTACTCACTTATTGCTTTCATGATAGTATAGAGTTTGTGTAGATCATCGATGCTCTCCAAATCTTCGCATGTTTTGAACAATGGGATAAGTTTGTCGACGTAGCTCTGATCAATAACATTTAGCTTGATGTATATGGGATGTATAGATATGGAGCACCCACCTCAGGGACGATGAATGATGCTAATCGATCCTTTTCTTGTATCGTCTTCGCATTTGACAAGATATCCGCGATTTGTGATAGATTCGATAGCTCGGGTGGAGGTAGCACGTCAGGTTCATGAGATTCTCTAATTGGTGGTGTATCCTCCGTATCCGAATCGGCAGCTGGTGGGGGGGGGGAAGAAGAAGAACGTATACAATATGGTGAATGAAGGAGTAAACGATAGGGTCATGTTCCTTCCTAGATATAACGCTTACAGATGGCAGGTGGAAGTTGTTGACCGTTCTCATGTTTTTCTTGTATCCGTTGCCTAGCAAAAGAGAAAAAAGGCGATGTTGGTTACATGCAACCCCAGCTTTTCACGCAACACACGCACACACACACACGTACCAAATATGCTCACATCCATCAGCTTCTTGAAAGCTTAAAGCCAAATCGACATGTGCTCCCTCTGTCCAAACAATCAAGGTTTCTATACCATACAATGATTAATCGATGATCCCTCATTGTCATTGTCATGTTTACCTTGTTGACGGTGATACTCCTTGAGATCCAATATCTTGGACTTGAGTAACGTCGTCTCGTCTCGCTCGGAGCGCACAAAGATCTCATCAGGCTCATCCTCGTCTCCCTACATTGAGTGTCACAGCGATCACGTATTGAATGAGTCGTCAGGTCGAAAAGAGAACGCGATGGGCGAAGAAACGATAAGGTAGTAGATGGGTAAATTACCGTTTTGTAAATACAATAGCCGGTGCCTTGATCTTCCCAAGTACCCTCGGAATCAAGCTTGTAGAGTTTCACTCGAAACGATCTGTCTGGTGTGGTATCGCCAGCATGGGTGGATCCGGTTTCGTCTGTCATTGAGAGCGATAAGAAACGGTGGACTGAACTGGCTTAAGCGGTTTGCGGAAGAGTAAAGTTTGAAAATCGGCTTGTGTCGACGATAGCTGAAGGATGACAGTCATGGGAACTCTCTCTCTCTCCCCCCAGCAACGATATTCATGCGCACGCACAGCTTTGTCTTTAGCTTTTATGATACCTGTGTCATTGTCTTTATATAAACAAAGAATGCTTTCAAATGGTTTATTGTTTATCTTTCATTGGGGCGTATTCTTTCAATGATCATTTGTGCTATGTAGCAAAAGTGGTGGGATGTCAATATTGCATGATATGGACACGATTGGCTCATTCATCAAGCATGCAATCAACCAGGCTTTACTCTAAAGTGCAAATTACTTTATTCCTTGATCACGCTTATCAATGCATATGTGTACATACTAAGAGTTTATCGTCCATGATTTCAGCTTGTTCATTTGCGACAAAGACAAAGAGTAGCTGTATCATCATCATAATACCACTTGATGATGGCCTTGTGCTGCAGAAGCCAATCGATTGACGCTTATCATTTACATATACAGCAGTGCCATGACACACTTAAGATTGTAGACAGCTCCTCGGTTGGGTAATTACTCTGCATAAAGCTCTAGCTTATTCAAGTCAAAGTTGCACCTAATAGCGATTATTGGACACTCAATGGGCAATGGCGGCTGAATCTGAAATATACCAGTACAACGGGCCTTTTGCTGACACCAGCCCTTATCCGCCGCTGACTCTCGACTCCACACACTCCACTTCTCAACCTCCATGAGCACTGTGACAAACAACATTTGGTTCGAGGGACCTGTTTCTGAAGCTGTTGCACTCGTCAATTCGAAGGATTGCGTCTTTGTTGTATATATCTTTGGTGAGTCTCCTTACCAGTAGATTGCTTGCCAATGACCCCATTACTCAAACGCTCACTGTGGTGGTGTATAGATGACACCGAGAACACACAAAAGCTGAACGAGACATTGGATAACGAGGACGTGAGTGAAAGAATGCATTGCATGATACAAAAGAGATATACGTTGCTAACGACAACTTGACTTTCTATAATCAAAGGTTATCCACGCGCTTTCTTCCAAGGCTGTAGCCCTCAAGATGCATACGGAATCCGACAATGCAAAAATGTTCAAGCAGCTTTGTAAGTTATGGCCGATGATGTACACAACAAAAGAAAGCTCATCAATGGATGATAGATCCCACATACCATGTTCCTGTCATATACTTCATACGGTAAACAACCGAGCGAGATGAGGGATGATGATATCCAGCATTGACATTAGATCTTACAGGCATGGTACTATCAAAGATTTTGGTGTTGAGGATGTTACTGCAGACGCGATTGTATCAAAGATCAATGCAACATCGACGAGTGAACAGCAACAACCACAACAGCAGACTTCACCGGCAACACCTGCAGCTCCAGCTCCTGCTCCAATGTCTCCTGCTCCATCATCTACTGAGACATCAGCAGTGACAGATCAACCACAACCATCACAAGGAAGCTCATCAGTAGAAGAAGAAGAAGCAACGAATGCTGCCAAGAAAGAAAAGTAAGAATGGATTATGAATATGGGGGGGAATGGATCGATTTCTCATCTAGTTTTGATGTTATTAGGCTACGAAAGCAAATGGAAGAAGCAAAGAAAAAGAGAGAAGAGGAAGAAAAACAGGTGAATATACTCTGTGCGTGAGATTGGGATATGCACAACATGACGTTTACATTGATACCAACCTTGAATGATGTTTAGCGTGCCAAGGATAATGAGCTCAAGCGGAGACAGGATGGGAAATTGATGCAGCAAACGAGGCAACAATTGGAAAACAAACAAAACAAGCAATACTTTGACAAGATCAAAAAGGAGAAGCGTGAGGATGAAGAGCATCGTCGAAGGATCAAAGAACAAATCGCTCGTGATCGTGCTGAGCAAATGGCAGCAAGACAAGCAGCAAAGCAACAACGTAAATCAGCCAACAGCAGCCCTGAGGCATCCACTACAAGTGTGAAACGTGCTAGGTATTTGGAAATGTGGATGGGCTATGATCGTGAAAACAAAACCATTAACATGAGGATTACTTTTTTGATACAACGAGGAACAGCAGCAGCAGCAGCCAGCATGACCATAGCAGTATCAGCATTCGTCAACTAGATGGCTCAACGATGCGTAATCGTTTCAATGGTATGCTTACGATGATTTGGGAAATGATGGGTCGACTCATAATAACATTCATTGTTTACAGCTTCCGATACCCTTTCTGTTGTCAAGAATTGGATTGATCAGGTAGGATTCATTTGATCGGTGGATGGTAATGCATATGATACTAAAAGGAGAGAGAAAAATAAATAGAATCGATCCGATGGTGATCAACCTTACAAGCTGCTGGCTCAGTTTCCAACACGACAATTCAGTATAGGAGATGAAGAGCGATCGTTGCGTGAACTTGATTTGTGTCCAAGTGCTACGCTTATTATGAAAGGCATCAAGAATGTCAGCAATGCCTATGGAGCTGGCTCGTCTTATGGTGTTATGGATTACGTTTATTCAGCAGGAGGGCTCTTGTATAATGCAGCAAGTTCAGTTGGCACCACCGTATCTGGTGTCATGTATTCCATGTTCCCATCGGATCAAGGTGCTCCTCCTTCGGAAGCAAATGTGCAATCGCCCGGCGGCTTTCCCAACACCGGCGTGACACAACAAACACCATCATCTTCGATCCCAGGGCAAAGACTTGGTGGAGTGCCTTCAAGCACAAGGCCGAGGTGAGTAAAACGATGGGGTGAAGGTATACATACATTTACTCATTCATGGGTATACGAATCAATAGAAGCAATATCAACACGCTGCGTAACACTGCATTTGATGATGACGATAACGAACACCGCACGTACAACGGCAATTCTGTTAATCAGGAGTGAATATTTCAAATATCAATATAATGAAAATGGCGACAAGTTGAATAGCTTTAGAACATGTGATCTTACAAGTTGCATTGGCTAAACTATGGGGAAAAAGGGGGTTGAGTGGGTGGGATGGGGATGCGTAATGGATGTTGTTGGAGGGTAAAGAAAAACAAAAGTGCACACACACACACACGTACATACACACATGTGGGGTTGTTGCTGCTGCATTTGCAGTTTAAGCCTTTGCTGTTGCCTTCTTTTTGGTGGCCGTTGTTTTCTTGGTGGTGGTACCTGTAGCGGATGTGCTCTTCTTTCTGGGAGCCTTTACGTTTTGCTTGGTGGCCGTTTTTTGCTTGGAAGGTTGCTTCTTTGCGAGAGCGGCTTTTTTAGCTGCAGCACTCTTGGGTGCCTTTTTGGTGGCAGGTGCTTTCTTTTTAGTGCCGGATGCCTTGGATTCAGCAGAGCTTTTCTTTTCACCAGCCTTGGCCTCCTTGTCTTTCTTTTCAGTTGTTGACTTTTTCTCGGGCTTAACAAGCTTGACTGTACCAGAGAGACCTGTAGAAAGGAGCCAAATGAGCATCAATCCTATAAAGGGAAAAATACAGAGATCCACACCAATCATCGTATTCCACCCATACAAATACACTGTACCCAAATATCCCCCACACTCATTTCACCACGCGTAAAATGGAGCAGCAATATACCTCTAGGAAGAGCAAAGACGTTCTTGGCTGCACCACGTTTGATCGCTGCGGCAATTTGTGTATCAAAGTGTGCACCAGAAGTCACCTTGTAGTTTGCCAAGATATACTTTTTGATTGCAGGACGAGAGCTGCCCTTGCGTTCCTTGAGTGAGAGAATAGCAGCTAATCATATATAGAGACATTGTTAGGCTTATCTTTGGTAGTGGTATTGAGTATCGTTGTTACCTTTGATCATTGCCTCGTACTGTAAAAAGAGGAGGAAGAAAGCGTGTGAGTAAACATTATGGAGGATGTCCTCTTTCACAAAATCCATTGTTTTGAATACATACTGGAGGATGCTCAGGTGTTTTCTTGCTGGATCCGCTTTTGGTACCGGTTGCAGGCATAGGTGACAGTTGGGTCGAAGTTGGGGAAAAGGAGAAAAAGAAATGTAATCGAATAGCCCCCATCCTTTACGACTTCCCACCCTATTTGTGCGTGTTTGATGCGGTAATTGAAACTGCGCATGGCAGCATGAATAGCTACTTCCGCCGCCCCTTTTTGGCTCACTTTTATCCAACAACGTACATAGCAAAAGGCATTCAATGTTTCTCGGATCGTCCAATTAATGTATATACCACAACTTACTTTGATCGTTTGGACATGTCTGCAGGCTGATTTCATTTTTCTCTCTCTCGGGATCTCCCTTTTTTGGGCCTTACTCCTTTTTATTCATACGTATCGATGAAAAGGATTAGGGATACTCCTGTTGAGCAAAGCGCAAGCTTCCATGTTTTAGCAAAGCGTGGTGGATTGTACGTGAACACGCATAGCACTCTCAATTACGTGATGAGCGTCACTATCCTAATTAAGCGACCAACGTGGCTCATTAGATTGTCTTGTGTTAGGGTATGGTTATTAAGTGTATCTACAACATGTGACATATTACCCGTGATCATCATTACCTGTGGAACACCTTTTCAAAGTGATAAAAGTGAACAAGTGTGATCATGGATTGCTTTCTTTCCCAAGCATTATAATAAGAACATGGTGATATCAACAAAAGCAAAGCCTGTTTCATTGGATTTGTTATTGGGGGAACGAAAAAGCATTATGTGGAGGAGGGTGACAAGGGGATTGAGTGGGTCAAGGCGTTGATGATTGATTGTCGCCTTTCGAACTTGAAACTTTAACGCTTGCCGTCATTTTACATTCGCACTCTCACCGCCCCCCCTCTTCTTCTCTATTGACTTTTCTTCCAATGACGCAGTGGGATCGCTCCTTGTTTGATGGCGATCTTCAAGCTCTATTAGACGTGCGCCCTCCTGTTCCAATATCAAGGATAAATGCTCTTCGGGACTTGGCATTGGCCCATCGTGAAGTAAACCATTGTTATTGAGTACCCATTGTGTGTCAAAGCCGCTCATTCACTTTATTATCAGCACTTGAACTATATCACACAGCGTATTTTACGGTTCCTTGAAACGTCTCCACCTGACTATCGAGTGGCCGGATTGTACTTGATCGACGCCATTATCCGAAAGCCCAAAGATCAGCAGGCTGAATGTGCAGTCAACGACTATCGACTTCGATTCCAGGCTGTACTACGTGACCATGCGTTACAAGGGCTATTCAGCTTATGCAGTGAAGAGGATAAGGTGATGTTGTGGGGAAGGTCATATACGCCATGCTGTTGTTGATGCATGATCTCCTTGTAGGCACGCGTTATTAGAGTGTTTACGTATTGGGCAGAGAAGCATATATATCCAAAGCACTTTGCAGAGCAGCTCAAGATCGATGCGATATATGAGCCGAACGTACCGAGTCGACAACCTACAGTAATCCCGAATCATAACGTGGCGGATGAAAACCTGCAGCAGACATTACAAAGTAAATCATACATTGAAGACGATGCGTTGGTATACAAAACATTGTTAACATGTATGGCTTGTTTCATAGCCCCATTCCCAACGATACCGAACAATCCCACCGATCTCACCCATTTCCTGGCGAGCTTGCAGACCACTGCAACAAATCAAACTGGTATTCAGCAGGATAAATTTACATGTCAGGCTTTACGCTCACTATCATCCTCATTCAATCTTCAAGAATTATCCCATTATCCACCCGCTTTGCATCATTTCCTTCAAGGTCTTCATCTTGGAGCCCATTTGCCAGCTATCGCTTTCAATAGTGCTTTGCCTTCTCTTTTCCAACCACCTCCACCGCCACCATCACAACAACCTGCTCCATACGCCACTACCGATCTTCCAGGCATGCAACAGACTTACACCAACAATACCACCTTCGATGACAAGTCAGCTGTCAAGTATGAATGTATTCAGGATGAAGTGGTGCCTTCATGTCAAATAGCTTTACAACAAGCTCAATCGCATTCCCCATCGCCATCTCTCTCAGTACCAACGTCAAGTACTACAGCCACGGATCATGATATGGTCCCTGTAAAACAAGAGCCCCTTGGAGAAAATGAACCTGCTGTTGTCGAATCGACCCAATCTACGTCTCAACATCCACCCTCATCATCCACCTCAATTCCACAAGTACCTGCTTCATCAGCAACACCACCACTACCAGCAGCTCAGCCTACAGCGACAACATCAATTGAACCTGTGATGGCATCCACTACAGCATCAACCTCAATGTCTTTGCCAATGCCTTCACCAGAAGCCATGTTGTCACCTAAGCAACCATCACCACCACCTATATCGACAACGCCAAATCCTCCTTTGTCAGAAACCATTCCACCACCAAAGACACCACCATTGCCACCTGTTGCCAAAGAGGAGCATGTTGTACCTTCGATTTCAATGGATGTAGCCGAATCTCAATTGACACCCTTTGAAGATACATCGACAAATGATTCCTTTAAGCGACCTCTTTCACCATCATTTGAATCCAAAGACGAAGACAAATCAATTGATTTATCACAGGCTATTGACAACAACGCCAAACGCCAACGTCGTGAACAAGATGAATTCCATGATTCCTCTAATCAAAGTGCACAATCTACGTCGTCGACACGAAAGCCTTCTCGTTGGGATGTCAAAAGAGATGAAGTTGCAAGACCCAAAACGCCTCCATTGCCTCAACCCACAACGCCACCATTGCCTCGACCCAAAACACCGCCGTTACCCCAAGAACCCCCTGCAGCAGCACCTACAACTGAAGTTGCCACGTCGATTGGACCTGATTCAACAAGTATGATGGAGGATGTAGTGGAGCAATCAACACCATTGCAACAACAGCAAGAATTGGAAAAGCATACACAGCAGCAACAGGATGATCGGATGTCTCAAACCAGTAAATCCTCGAATAGCACTCCATCTAATGCTATGTCATCACCACAGCAGCCCGCACATGTTGTAATGAACAATGCCATTCCACGGCCCAAGACACCACCATCACCACCTGCGTCATCCTTGTCAACACACAATGAGCTTACATCTATTCCAACAAAGAACATCCCTCGACCGAAAACACCACCCCTGCCGCCTCAGGTCACTGAAGATGCTTTACAGTATACAATGGATGATCACAGCCAATCGAAATCAGCAAAGCGTCATCACAGCCCCTCGCCAAGTATCGATAACAACAATCGACAAATGACAGATATGAATGAGTCAGCAGAAGATTCACAACAACAACAATCATTTGACAATGCGAGCCCATCAAACAAAAGGAGAAGGAAGGCATCCAATAATGACAACGTTGAAGAAGATACACGTAGCAAGCCGAAGCTATCCGATGATGAAAGCAAATTGGGCAAAGAGCTAAGCAGAGAGGACAACAAAGCGGCGTTGGCTGTAAAGAAATCCAGTAAAGAAAAAGAGTCCAGTTCAACAAAGGATCGTTCGACATCGTCATCACCAACAACAAAGAGTTCGACCACGAAAGAGGGATCATCACCATCAACGAGACATTCAAAAGAGAAGGAGGCATCATCATCAACGAGGCATTCAAAAGAGAAGGAGGCATCATCATCAACGAGACATTCAAAAGAGAAGGAGGCATCACCATCAACGAAGCATTCAAAAGAGAGGGAGGCATCGTCATCGACGAGACATTCAAAAGAGAAGGAGACATCACCATCAACGAGACATTCAAAGGAAAAGGATAAGGCAGCAAGATCCCATGAATCGTCCAGTCGACCCTCTACATCATCCAGCAAATCAACCAGTGAAAGATCTTCAACGAGTAAATCAAATGAGAGATCACAGGCACATTCATCCAAATCCTCTGAAAAAAGCAGCAGCAATGCGCGATCAAATGAGTCACCTCGATCATCCAGAGACAACAATCACAAGCAGTCGCACAAAGAGAGGACCAAAGATGATACTTCAGAACGACATCGATCAGAGCGACATAGTCATTATCGAAATCGAGATGCATCGCCTTCTAGACAGGCTCACAAAGATGAAGATCGTGGATTATCATCTCCCAATACGTACTATCCTCCTCAGCTATATTCACCATCAGCACCTACCGCAACATCTACACTAAGTCCTTTTGCACGTCCAGGCCCCGTTGCAGATCCACGTTTGAAAAAAGGCTTTATTAGAGGTATAAAATGGTATTTGCTATTGATTAGTACTTTACTGATCATAGTATTTGTCACTTAGTGATGACGAGAACGATGTACGTGGGTCCCATGCCATCTGATGTCGAGGAACAGGATATCCGAGATCTCTTTTCACGATATGGCGAGATATTGAGTATCAATGTAAGTTTTAAACGAATGCTATAATTGGATGACTGTTCCCTTATAGAATGTACACTAGTTCAACGACCGCCCTGACAGAAAACGGAATGCGTTTGTGCAATTTGGGAATCGCGACTCATTGACAGCAGCAAAGGAGGGATCTCAAAACCTGCGTATGGGAGGCAAACCTGTCACTGTAAGTTGAATAACCATGCTTGAGTAAAATGAGAACTAATCGAGGATATTTTTAGGTCAATTGGGCGTATGGATTTGGACCAAAGGCGTTATACAGTTATGAAAAGGGTGATACGATTATCAAATTGGATGAATTGACAAAGGAGGAGGCTGCATTATTACGCTCAGCACCAGTGGGTGGTTTCCAAGGATCAAGAATGAGGGATCAAGTGATTGTGGAGGAACCTGGGCCTCTTGGAGGTCGCCAATCTACTTTGCGTCAACAACGACAAAAACCAAGTGCATCACCACCACAGAGTGAACATCGCCAGCAATCATATGAGTCACCTATGATACAAAGCACACCACCTTCGCACCATCACCAATCCCCTATTCATCCACCAACGGCATCATCGTTGAGTCAACCGCCGCAGCCACAGTATCATGAAGTGCATTATCCCCAAGAGACATATCATCATCATCATCCTCCACAGCCTTTCAATGGTTATTATCCTGCAGTTGCATCACCCTCATCAGCGAATCCACCAGTTGATCCCTATCAAGGTGTCAAATTTGAGCAGGTGCAGGATTACGACGTGGCTCAGCCGGTTTATCCATATCCATACTATTCTGGACCTCATTATCCACCACCACCACAAACAAGCGCTCCACCACCTCCACCTCCTATGCATCCTTCTTATTACCAACACCCATACCCTTATCCCGAACAGGATCCAAACGTGTATTATCAGCATTATTACTACCAGCAGCAACCATCACCACAGCAACCACCGCATAGCAACCCCTATTACTATGGATACCATGATGGATATCGGTAGTACTGTAAATGAAACGAGTAGTAGTAATAGTAGATAGTAGCTTTTGCTTTACAAAAATCGTTAGCTTGCTAATCATTAGTCAATAACATCATTTGCCTTTATGCAATTCAATCTCGTTTTCAATGATGGCTCAGCTTGATACATAGAAAATGCATTACACTAACATCACCGAGTACTTGGGACAGTATGACAACACCTTTTTTTGTTTGAATTGATTGAAGGGAATAGATAGCTCATTACGCGAGTGTCACACATGCCAATTGTAGTAATTCAACGTGTCTCATTTAAATGCTAGCACATTAATCCACATGCATTCGCAATGCTCAGCTTGATTGGTATATCCCTCTCACTCATCATCCATGCACAAAACAAGTAACATCCACACGTTCCTCTCCAACACAGCTAAGACAAAAGTATCCACTGAAATAAAACAATGATGACACCATTTACTTTGTGGGATTGTACAAGATAGGTCGAGATAAAAAGATGCTAACCGGATGGTTGACACGGTGATGCATTTAGTCAAAGAGACCTATATAACATTGATTGTGAGTATTACATGCTGTCTCCCGTATAGAAAAATAATACGTTACCAAAGCCCATATCTTCATCAGATTCCTCCTTCTCTTCTTCCTTCTTCTCCTCTTCCTTGGCTTCCTCACCACCAGCAGCGGCAGCACCAGCACCAGCGGCAGCAGCACCAGCGGAAGGAGCACCCACATTCCAAATGAGTTCCTTCACGTCCTGGCCATCAAGTGCCTTGGAGTACAACGAGTACCAAATGGGCTCGATTTCAGTGAAGCCAGCAGCCTTGGTCAAAGTCTGGAGCTTGTCAGCCTATTATAGAGCCATAATGTGTTGAGTTCAATGAAGGACTAGTCATGTCGAATAAAAGAGATATGATAGCGTACAGTGACTTCGAGATTGTCATCCTTGAGGATAAGGGCAGCATAAACGATGGCGTTTTCAGCGGACATGATGGATGGATGGATGGATGGATGGATAAATGGATAATTGTCGCAAGTAACGATTTAACCCTTTGGGAACCAACGACTTGAGTTGCCAACTCTGCTCGGAAGAGTCTCTTTTATATCCTCCGGGATTTGAATCCAGCACAACCACCACCACTATCATCCACTCACACCTATTGCTTATCCCTTGATCCTTCTGACTACATTCATAATATCAATAAACACCCATTCTTTAATCGGTATTCATTACACAATCATTGTCTTTACAAGTATCCACTATCAATGAATGGCCATTTGGCTGTGTTTTCTGCTTGCTACTAATAAGGTTTACGCACATGATCATTGTGCTCGTATCAATGTGACACACATGGTCATTCACAAACACAAACATTCTGCCAAGTACGGCGAGAGGCACTCTTTGTAGAGGAGGGGCGCAGCTTTATATATGGTATGTGTGTGCTATCCTGTATTATTGGCGATTGATGGTGCCATTGTTCTAGACACATGGATGAAGAGATCTCATTGATTGCATGCACATACACCATTCATTCATCCATGGTCATTGGGTGCTTCTCTTATCCCAAGTGTGGGGGTTTGACGATCGAGATAACAGTATCACTTTTCTCATGCACCACCACGATTAGCTCGGTTTTTCCTTTCTTCCACAAACACACGCACTCCATAGAGTTGCCAATTACGTATGCAACTTGGCGTTCCTGATCCGTTTTCTCTTTTTTTGACAGCCATGGGGCAAAGCACAAAATACCACATAGCTGTGATCATCCTCATACTCTGTTATAAGAGTGCATCATCATGATGGACATTGTCATTTTATGTTAGTGTGCAATAAATGTGTAGAGATAATATCTATTGTGTCATCAAGCCATAAGGGAATGATAATATGGGAGAGAGAGAAATGAGAGGGCATAGTACATCAAATGAAGAAATCACGGTGGTTGTCGTAGGTGATAAAAAGTGGTTATCTAATAGGGTCGTTTTGATATAGGATATAGGTGAATGTATACGATGCATATTTGGCACCATTGTCTTAATCCCAAGTGTTTGTCGTTTTGGGGGTTGTTGACGTGTCATTGTCCGGAAGATTCTCATTCTTCCAGCCACACTGATGACATTCGTATCGAACACGCATGTTGCTTGTCTTGCCAAAATGTTTGTTCAAGATGACCAGGTGGGATTCAGAACGCATCAATTGGACTGACTGAGGATGCTCGCATCGGGGACAAGGATGGTATTGTTGTTCCAAAGGAATCTTTTTACCATGTTCACCTACTAAGAAGTAGTATGCATATGTATGTGTGAGTATCACCCTTCTTTCCATTTTCTTTTTCTTGATCATCATCAGCGTATGGTGATTACCTATAGTGAAAGGCATGATGGCACAAGAATAAAAAGGAATGTGTGGTGTCGGATGAGGATGATAGTAAAAAGATGTCTCGAACGGGAAAGAGGGGCAGGGAAAGTAAGAAGCGGAAAAACAGCGTCGGATGGGGAGGGGGTTTGTATAAGGTGGTGAAAATCCGAGAGACTGGATTTGACATTACCATCTAACCACGTGGCATTCGGCATCCCCGCTTTACTGGCTGCTATTTGCCACATCACACACAGCACGCGGCATACATATATATAGCATGGCAAGGCAATATAAGATAAAAAGATACCACACATCCCGGGATTAACGTGAATGTAATAATTGGGACACCAAGATGCATGTTAAAGAACCATGGATGGTACCAGTGACCATGAAACAAATCACCCTTACTTGTCACAGACACGTGGCAAACACCACCGCCGCCGCTATCATCTCTTCATTTTCTATCACACCATTTGCAGCAGTGACAAAAAAAACAAGCTGATCATTTGTTGTGCGTGAGAGACGCGTGTAAAGATAATGAGACTATTCATTAAATTTTCTAGCGGTATTTTTTGCATGCAAGTTGGACGAATAGGAGGGGACGATACGAATTAGTTATCAATGTTGAAATAGAAGGTCCTTCCATGATCGACCACGGGTTTGTATGCTGCTTTCTGATCATTGTCCTCACGTTGTCCTTGCTCATCAGCTATGTAATGATCACGCTCTATAAACGTGGTGTTGCCTTCATGATCAACTAGGATGACTGTGCTCGTGCGTGTGCCGTAGATGGATGTGCCGAATAAAAAAAGCGGAATGAAGATGCGTTTCTTTGCCTTTTCAAGGGCGGCTGCTGGATCTTGGTTTATATCATCCTCCATCGTCGGTGACCCACAAGTGTCTTTTGTCGTGCTAAACATTACGTCAATTTAGTCTCCTTCCCAACCAACCAATGCAAGCTTATCCCGATACTCTCGGATATCCCATTCTTCTTTTCCGACAGGCTTACCGTAGCAGATCAAACAGCGATTCAATCAATTCCTCCTTTGATAAATTGCTTTGATTGACGATACCCTTAAAGATTGCACGACCATTGTCCACCTTTTCCCACGGCTTGTCGAGAACTGAGTTGGAAAGACCTATGTAATAATGATGGTTTCCGGTTAGTAATCTCCTTGAACCAGCAAAGTGGATGGCGTTTATATATATAAATACATATAAATAAGGGCAGGTCATGTGAACAATTAACGTGGCACCCCAATGTGATACTTGCCATATATTTCTCCTTGAGACAATGGAGTAATGTCGACACCTTCGCGGTTGCTAAAGTAAGCCATGTCGTTTTGATGGTCCCCCTTGAGATTCATGCAAATAAGACTAAAGCCACCATATTCGCTTGCATGCTCTTTTAGATCCTTCATGTATCCAATAGCCGAATTGTTGCCGCTTCGAAGAAAGTCCCGTGTAAGCGCACCCCGAGACCTGCGTCCAAGATACTTTTGCTCACGATAGTTGGTCAAAGCCGCAAATCGACCGTCTCGTGTGATACCAAGCCAAGTACCATCATGTGAAGGAGTCGCACTTGCTTCCAGGTCAGTGCCGGCAAGTATGTGTTCATGAGGTGAAGGCCAAAAATGAGCTGCTGCTGTGGGTCGATCAAGGAACTCATCCCGATTGCCGGCGAAAATGCTCCAGGAGAAATTAGATTGGGTGCGTCAACGTCATTGTAGGCTACTTACAAGCGGTATTTTGGATGACTATTCACTGTCCAGAAGAGAATACACATGGGTGCTGAAGGTATAGAGAAAAAAAGGTATCATGCGAAAGCGGGTGACAAAGCAATGTCAGTGCAACCTTGCAGATCACGTGATATTGAGCCATGTGGCACAAGCATACAACATCCCTAAGCCGGCTTCCGCTATTACGCTGCTACATCTTGTATCTAGTCATCGCTAGCCTTTAATCGCCTACGTTTTCATTCCCTTCGCTATTGGACATGTATGACATAATGCTGAACCATGAATAAAAGCATCAATGATAGATTGGTTGTGGATCAACAACATTTTCAGGTAAATGCATTTGTGGAATTGCTCTATAAGTCTTTTATTCATAAATGGAATCTCTATTTGTCTTCTCCAAACAACTTGTCGAATGATTCTCGAACATCCTTGTATACTTCATCCACTGGCTTATTGCATGAGACGGTCTTCACCTTGTTTTGCTTTTCAAATGCCTCAATCACAGGGAAGCTGGTTTCTCGGAAAACAGCAAATCGCTTCTTGATGGACTCGATATTGTCATCAATGCGGCCGGAGCTCTCGCCACGCTTCAACAATCGTTGCAACATGATCTCCTCAGGGCACTCAAAGTACAAGACGACCTTGGAAGGAACAACCTATTGTAGTAATAGCTGTCAGCCATGTACAACACACGAGAAATCCCCACTATGCAATCCAACTTACAACTTCCTCAAACTTGAGAGCTTGATCCATCTTTCGAGGGAAACCATCAATCAAAAAACGGGTGGCCTTTGACTTTTCCATAGCTTCTCTCATGGCGTTTTCGAGCAAAGCAATAGTGACCTCCATAGGCACAATCAAACCTTCACGAATGTAGTGCTTGATCAATTCACCATACTTGGATCCAGGGCGTTGTTGCTCTTCACGCAAAAGATCACCGGCTACGTATCCATTTGTTAATGAAGGATCCCATTGACGTGTGTGTCTTACTTACCAGACAAATGAACAAAGCCGTAATCACGCTTCAAGTTCTCGCACTGTGTACCCTTGCCAGCTCCAGGACCACCTATATCCATCATCATCCAAATCAATATGCATTTATATAGATCCCATATTCGAAAACAAGACCTTACCAAGCACAAAGACCACAGTAACTTCCTCTGGAGAAAAGGCAGGGATACGCTTAGCTTCCTCGGCAGGCTGCTGTTGCTCCTGTTGCTGTTGCTGCTTGTCGTCTTGCTTTTCTTCACTGACAGGTGCTGGTTGTTTGCGACGAGGCAGTGCTACATGGCAATCAAGGTGATGAGCCGAGATGATATCTTGTACGCGGTGGTAAACGAATGCTGTTGATAGATTTACCTTGACCCTCTCGAGATTTGACAAGCATGCTGTAAGCGGCAAAACCCATTGAGGCAACAGCCAACATGGCAGCGAAGCTAGGAGCACCAGAGTTCTTTTTTTGGGATGTGCTGTAGAATCGCATTGGACGAGCCATTGTGGTAGGCTTGGGGGCCTTGGCGACGGCCATGCCCTGGCGAAGCAATGTGGTGCGGAACATGAGAAGTGTGCGTGTGTTGAGAGAAAGAAAGGACAGGTGACACAAACACAAAGAGGTCGTTTTAGACTTTTTTTAGGCTTTGCTATTTGCACCATGTACACCATGCCACCAATCCTAACTTTGTAAATGCATCACATCAATCAGCTATATTGAAATAAATCCATGTGTAATAGTATAATTGAGTTTTACCCCATTACAAAAGCGACATCACAATGACATCCACGTATCCAGGGCCATGAGGAGTAACCGAGACATGATGATGCTGGTGATGCTAAATCGACAATTGACATAGCCATATTAGGGTACGTAGTTGGCAACATCTCCTTGAACCAAAAGCCATGTATCAGGATTATTACTTTGTTACGTTGTTTAATAAAAGCATTAGCTCAAAGCAATGAGCTTGTTGTAAATGAAGACAAACATTACACGTTGTTGAAGGGTGCGTAGCCATGGCAACCTGTGTACACTATCTGAGATTGGATGTGTATTTGACATGATGCAAACAGCAAAAACCTTTTTCATTGCACATGCTGAAAACTTTGTTTGAACAAAGGGTGTGAAGGATATAGGTATCTATGGATGATGAAAGATGATGGATATGCTATGATTACAAAAACTGAACAACAGTGGGTGCTGGTGGTCGGACATGAGTTTGATGATGGTATTGATCTGGAGGTGGCAAATGCGTTGATTTACATCGCTTGTTGCTATGGTTACTAGTAGCGTGTGGGTAATCGGATGTAAATGACATTGCGCTAGCCTTCCTTCTTTTCCTTCCAGCAATGGGAGTTGTGCTGGTAATGGATGTTGATGCTACGTCATTTATAGTTCTTTGATGACGATGGAGATGTGAATATGCTGGATGATGATAGTTGTAATAGTAATAGTGTGGATGATATTGGCGGCGACAAGTGCATTGTTGGGGTGGTGGTGGTGTTGTTGGTGGAGGTTGTTGTAATAGTGGAGAAGGATGTTGTTGTTGAGCAGGTGATGGGGTGCTTGATAAATGAGCAAAGGAGACATCCTGCAGTGAAACAAGGGTGTCTGGTTGTTGGCGTAAAGCGTGGGCAACTTGAGCACATAACACTCGATGCAAATCGGCAAACATAAGCGGAGGAATATAAAGGCGGTATTGACACAAATCAAGGAACACGCGTTCGGCAAGATTAACTTCACGCACCGGTAGACGCGCAATAGTTGCCCACGCCGAGTTACGATAGGTTTTATCCTGCACGAATTTGGACGCCACAATTAAAGCCGCCAGAAACATGCGCCTTGCACAACATACGATACTTGCACCACGATGCCGTTGCAAATGTCTTCTTATAGCACGCTGTGTCTGAAAAAGGTATTGCACCGCCATTTGTGCTGTAGTCCATCCCGTTTGTGATCGTTTTAACACCTCTCGTAAATATGTACGTAGTGCACCACCCCCTGTACTTGCAGGAAGTGCAAGTTCAACATCACGGAAGATCCCTTGCCACATGATCTCTACCATGTTGGTGACAATGTCTGCATTTGTGTATATAGATGTTTATGTAATGAATGTCATCAGCCAACCGTGTACTCTCATAAACCACGTTTTGTGTATTGTTTATTTACCAAGTAGTGCCTCGGCATACGCCAAACGCCGGCTCATGGTCGTCGGATCTTGCTCTTCGGCGGACAACAATTGTCGTGGTACACTACTTTTGCTGCTGCCGTTGCTGCTACAGCTGCTGTTCCATGATTGAATGGCTGCTGTTGTTGCTGGTAGCGTGTGGTGACTCATAGCGTTAAAGTCAATGAGGACAAAAGTTGTAAGAAGAAAGGGAAAGAAAGCAAGGCTATATGCCGAGATAGGAATTAGCCAAGAAGATGTTAAAAAAGCAAAATCCAATCAAGGGGAGACTGAGGGATGATGCACCCTTCTCCCAGCTGTGGGAGGAGTTTTACGATAAAGCAGCAAATCTTACCGAAACAACAAAACGGAATGGAAAAAAAGAAGAGAAAAAAAAAGCAAAAGAGAAGGAGGGTGATGCACATTACGCCTTGTTGCAATGATATTGGGGCTGGCTGCACATGCTAATCACCAGGCGGAGGAAGAACATGGATACATTATCATCACAAGCCCATCCGCATGTACACTCCTGCCAAACAGGAACTTGCCTACGTTCCCTTGCGTGTAACAGGATCTGCTGCTCTTTGCAGGGATAAAATCATCGTCCTCTTTTTTTATGACATTCTTTGTCTCCGCTCGACGTAAAAGAAAAATGACATACGTTGACTCTCACACGCTGTTTCTCCTTGATAGATGTCTGGATAACAGAGTCAACCGCATAGTCTGCTGCCAAATCAGGCGGTACTTGTTGTTCACGCCAAGATGCATTAGTAGGTGTGGCAAAATGGTTAGATTTGCAGATCTAGTCAGCATGGATAGCTGAACAATGGGATACTCATTTCTCCTAGCTCACACTCTCACTCCCGATCTTTATCCCACCCCCAATTATCTCTCTCCCTTTCGCGCAGCTTATGGCTATAAACATCACACATAAATATAATCACACATCTCGACGCCCAATTACAGGTCAGCAGTTGCAATTGCTATTTGCAGCAAAGCAATGCATCCACATGTTTGATACGTGGCTGACACTGTTACACACATCTACACGCATATCTTTTGCATCTCGTTTATCATCCATCCTTGATACCCATCGTCAATGAAAAAGGAGAAAAAAAAACAATATACAATAAACGAAACAAACATTACGCATTCAAGGCAGCCTCCCACGATCGAACTTGTAATAAAAATACAACTCCCCAACATTATCCCAGCATCTACATTACACATGTTGTGGCCCCCTGTCAAATTGTATGCAAATGCTCCTGCAATGATTTTCATTGATGATCATCATAATACATCCTTTGCTTTCTATGGAACACTTCCTAACCCAATCTTCATAGTCACCATATCTGCAGATGATATTGCAAGTCATGTATTAATCGTAACGGCTTCGTCTTGGTGAACGTGAACGTGATCGGCGAGGGTAATCATCATCGTAATGGCGAGAGCGTCGGTTGTATCGTTCCATTTCTCGGTCCCAATCATCATCCCCACCACCTCGTCTATCACGGCTACGGCGACCATGGTCATCTCGTTCTCTGTAGCCACGATCCCGATCAGAATAACGACGGTGATCTCTTTCCCTACCTCCGTCACGGCGATCATTGCGATAATCATAACGTGCACGCGTGTAGTCTCTGTCGCGGCCTCCAAATTGTTTTGATTGCTAATAAAACACATGAGTAATTTAGCCCATTGCCTACTTTTCCATGGTGGTATACTTTACCTTGATCTGATCGAGAGTCTCGCGAATTTTGAGATAACCTTGGTGTTGCTTACCCTGGTAATGTGCCTCTAGGCGATCCGACGAGTCATTTGTAACAAGGAACGCACCACATACTTGACACACCTAAAGAGAAGGATCAGCAGCTGTTACCATTGGCGGCGAAACGTTGAAAGAAAAAGGGAAAAAAAGAAACAGAAAGCCATTAAAAAGCGGATTCATCACTTACCTCCATACGCTTTTCACTTTTGCCGCTATCAGCATTCTAAAATCCAGGGTACTTTAGTATCTACACATATACGTGCATAAGACAGTCCCTTTCCATACCTCTTTCAATTGTGATAACTCAGCTTGCAGTTTCTCAACTTCGGTTGTCAAATCAGCCGCTTCCTGAACACGACCTTCTTCACCGGCTTCTTCAATCTATCAAAGTTGTTGTTATTACTTGATGCACAAGCATACGACAAGGATGATTGCACTTGCCTTTTGCAGCATTTCCTTAATCTTGACGTCAAGTAGAACCATCTTTTCCTCACGCTCTTCCTTGCGATTTTCAGCTAACTGTAATAGTAAAATAAAAGTATTGAGTATCCCACATCTCTCGCCATTTCAAAATGTGCCAATGTTACCTTATCCTCGCCTTGGATATTCAATCTTCCCTTGCCGTTTCTAATCCTGCGGCCTAGATCGTTCACAAGCTTGTTCAGGTAATCGTAAAACTCGGCTTCATAAGGATATTTATGCTTATCGGGAGCACTTTGATAACGTTCCTTGAGACGGTCATTGTGAATCTTGTCGCAGGGACCTGGATATCAAATAGACGCACGCACACACAACAAATGATGTCAGAGCATGTGTACATGAAATCGATCCTACAGCAATACCCCACCACACTTACCCAAATCAGACTTGGTGTTGGTAAAGAGTTGCGAAGGGCAATAGGCAACAAGGTAATGCTTGCAGACCTACGATTCATCTGGTGTCAATGCTACTGGTCCAGATTTGACATAAGAGCACTACTCACTGAATCATCCCAGAAATCCTTATTGTCGACGTCCACGTACTGGGACATGAGCTCCTCCAACATTGCCTTTTGGAAATCTATAAGGTTCATGTGTCAATATAGCAGGTAAGGCACACGGCCATGGAGCAATCGACGTACCCATTATGAGTGTATATGTGGTGTAGAATACAAAGGACCAAAGAAGGAAACGAAAATACACTGCGGACTCTTATACCAGTGCCATCATTGGCTCATTCACAACCATCGCCAGCTACGTAGCTATACCATAAGCAACAAAGACGACGATTGTGATCTATAATTGCTTCCATGGAACAATCACCCTTTGTCATGGCCTTTACGTTGATCTCCATTCAATTAATAAAAAGTCATTACTCCACTTGTGATACATCAATCAACATGATGACAATGGTGACATTTTTCTTCTCAATCACTTTCCTTCAATGAAGTTTAGGAAATACACATGCGGGGATATCCAATGATTTATGCGCAGTAGCTTTACAACAACAGGAATAATACAGGTAGCATGTAGGATGGATTCTAATCTTCAGTGCTAGGATCACCATACTCAAAGAGACCAAGCTATTTGAAAATGTTATTAATATGAGGATATAAAAGATGTTCGTTCACACTTACTCTTTCACGACGAGCAGCTTCCATTGCTTCTTGTAAAGATTTGATAGCTTGTGGATTGGCTGCTGCATAGCGTGTCTTGGGATTAACCAAAAGTTGACCTTCACGCACCATCTCGAGGTTCAAGCTAGCTTGAGCATTGCTGGAATTGGATGGATCATAAAGCGTCAAGCACATGACACTGCCTTCACGAGCATCAACATTTGCAACAAGTTGCTTGTCCTATAATTATCATAGATTCCTCGTTAATACATTGGCTACTACTTGCTTGACATTTGATAAAGTGTTTACATACCCCAGTCAGCTGACGTAGGCTCTCTAGAGATTCTTCTCCATAATCTTCTTCTCGGCTTGGTCCCTTGACAAACGACAAGACGGCCTCATGTGCTTGGGGCTTCAATGACTTGAATTGATCAGGAAGCACTCGAATACGGGACGTCGACAACTTTTCGGACTGCAGCATTTCATTAGTAAATTACATGTCCCTATTCACTCGTAGCTGTGTAATGATACTCACGTTGCCATAGTCGATGTAAAAGACTTCCACATTGGTTCCAGCTACTCGTCGCACCTTGGCTCTGTACCAGCTATCATCTTCAGTGAACTTGGCGCTCACCAAATCACCGACACGAGGCTTATGAGGGCCATCCATGCCACCACGGCTTGTGTGATATTGCGATAATTCGTGCATGAGAGTCTCCAATTTCCTCACATCTTCATTGATGATTTGTACATAGAATCGATGGCCACTCAAGTATTCGGAAATGACCAAATCGATATATTCGCGACGAGGTTCCACCACAACCTGTGCAGCTTGTTCCTCTTCTTCAGCAGCCTTCTCAGCTCCCTCATCATAATCCTTCCAAAGTCCCTTCTTTTCATCACGTGCTCTTCGTTCGGCACCGTACAATTGACCCGAGTAGGGTGACTCGTTGGCTGAAAAGTCATGGATAGAAGCAAGACCACGTTCAAGCAATGACACGGCAATGTTTTCACCATTCACAAAGATGTTGCCAATAAAGCAGCCGACCTTGTCCACATTTTCAATTTCAATATCGACCTAATAATAATTTGATGTTAACATGCATGCCATTTCCGTTACATGTCGTGTGGCACTTACATCACGTTGCAAACAATGATCGACAACATAGGCGAGTGCTTCAGGACCAAAAGGTTCAGAGGGATCATTTGGAGTACGGCCAACACGGGGTGCTCGAATACCCGCAATGACAAAGGCAAGACGGCAATTTTCCTTGGGGATCCACAAAAAGAGTCTTGAGCCATTTGCAACGTGATCCACGACAGCCTTTTGCTTAGGGCTACGTTTCAAGAAGGTCAAGAACTGGCGAGATTTAGCTGCACTCTATCAAAATTTCAACATCATGAGTACTATCTCGATATATCACAATAGTGAACATTACCTCCGATGCATCCACAATGCGGACAACGGGTTGTTCCTTTTGGCTATGGATACCCTTTTGGCCTTCTTGTGCCCTGTCGTTATTGTTAATACGCACATCTACCACATCTGAAATTGCCAACTTACTTTGTTTCAGCCAACAAGAGTTGATCATAGCAATGAGATCGGTTGTCATCATCCTTTCGGTGGCGAATCACAGAGGCAAGACCGCGCTCAACAAGTTGTTCTGCAATGTTACTGGATGATGCAATGTGAGTGAATGGCACGTATATGTGAATGTCCAAATCAATCCTTACTGATTTCCAACTTTGATGGTAGCGCAATCCTTTGCTTCAAAACCTTCCTGTGCAGGCTTGTGATAATCGACAACAACGTGGACCTGGGGATCGCACATAGTATTAATCATCGTATACACAAAGGTGTAGAACCAAATGATACTTACGGTTTTGCCAACCAATCTCTTTCGAAGGAATTCACGAGCCTCGAATTGGTATCCAACTTCTTTGATGTCACGGGATCTGCTGCTGCCACCAGGTGCGGTGCTACCTACACCTCTATATAGTATGACATTAGTCTCAATTTCTCCTTCTTACAGCTCACATGATATTACCTAGGGGCCTGCTTGACACTAGCAAGTTGAAATTTACGTTCGACACCAGCCTTTGTCTTGACCAAGATTGTGTCACCAGTAAGGATACGGACGACTTGAGCATCGAATTCAGAGTCATTGGTCTTTTCCTTGGCAACAAAATCTCGCCACACGCGCAATTTCTTTTCCTTGGCAATTCTGCAAGATAATACCCAGCCATTGTTAGATACCTGTTCATTCAATAAGGCTCAAATCAATAGTTACCTTTCCTTGTTGCGAAGTTGGATAGGGCCACCTGTGACAAGAGTCAAACTCCAATCCAAACATTTGGCATAGCCATTCTCCAATAGCAGCTCAGCAATGTTGCCAGCTGGATGTTTGACAGTGCCCACAAAGTTTTGTCCACCAGATTGACCAACACCTTCAAGAACCACCTTGACACCACGCTGCAATAATCGGGTCTCCACAAAGAACTTGGCTTCCTCACCAAATGGTTCGGATACTTCAGGACCATTATCACGCTTGCAAGCGGGAGCTTTGATACCAGTCAATAGCAACGTGATCATTTGTTGGCTCTTGTCTGGAAGTGTCAAAAGCACACGGAATGTCGATGCATCACGAACTTGTTCAATTACAGCTACAATGATCATGCATTAAAATCAATAATCCATTGACCCCTTCCCCCCACTTGGATCAAATGATCTTACCATCCAATGGCTTGCCCTTATGTTCATTCAAGAAAGCACGTGCGTCACCATCAAATACGTACGAAACTTTGCGAGTTCCCTACATGCCATCGTATAAGCACACGTGGATTCGTACCCTTATGATCACGTACCTTTGCATCTGTAGCCCACATACCACGCTTGGCATCACGCGCCTCGTCTTCAAGATCAAACAAACGATCCAACGCCTCTTGTTGTTCATCATCAAGCTTCCTTCCTTCTCGTACTTTGAGCCAACCCTCTTTGATACCAAGCTCGGCCACGTTGTCACCGTTAGCTAACAGGATTGAGCCGTATTCACGTGGTGGAGTCGTTGTCGTAACCGTGTACTCTGGGATAAACGAGATCTCCTTGCCAACCAATAGTTTACGCAGGTATTCACGCGATCCAAATGCGAATGGCTATATACAATGCATCCATGAGCCATTGTGCTGTGAAAAGCCAATGTGTGATTGAAGGTACCTCATCATCTCTCTCCTTGTTGCCTAATCTCGGTGCTTGAACGTTTGACAAGGCAAGTAGACGCTCCAAGGGGGGACCATTGGGACGCGGCTTTCCTCTGAGAATAACGGTATCTCCGGACAAGACGTTCTTGACGACAGCTTTGTGGACAGGGTTACGTTGTTGAACCATGTGTGTGGTGGGATATGAGAGAAGTGTGGAGGAAGAGACAACTAGTGAGGGGATGATGGGAATGGTGCCACCCCGCTCGATGTAACAGGCGCACCAATGATTCCTCGCAAACGCATAAATTGATCTCTCGCTGGGTGTACACTCTTGTCGGTGGTTGACAATATGGATGAAGCACGCGTTACTATCAACGACTTGTAGATAGCATCCGAGAAGAAACCTATAGAAGTTTTATGCATACGTACAACTTGCATGCGTAATTGGGTCGCGTCATTTATCAATAAAACGCAAGTCTTTCTCTACCAGTAGCATGCTGCTGTGGATTGGACCATTCTTTAAAAATCCATGTATCACAAGAACAATGCATCACTTCTAGCGGATATCGTCATACCAATGTCATCCTCACTACACCATTCATAGAATGGGCTGATTCAATTGATTGTTGAAAATGGGTGTCATTGTTTATATAAATAGCCCCAGGATACTTGATCCAATACCGCAACATCATCAACCTCTGCTCAACAACAAGAAAAGAAATCCACCATCATGCTTTCAGAAAACGAATCCCTCCGTGTTATTGTACACTCTGCCCACGATCTTATGGATGTCGAGACAATGGGAAAACAAGATCCATATGTGCAAATGACATTGAACCCACATGAAAAAGACGCCTTTCAACGCACTGAAGTCAAGAAGGATGCTGGCAAGCAAGCAAGTTGGAACCAGCAATTTGAATTTGCACGACATGGCGAGCATAATTTATTCGTTGAGTTGATGGATGCCGAAAAAGGAATTGATGAGCTGATTGGATTTGCCGCTATCCCCTTGGACCAAGCACCTATCAATGGCATCTTTGAACTATACAACGTCACTGGCAAGGTGGCAGGCACATTGCACTTGTCTATCAACACAACGCCTGCAGAGGAAGAAAGCGAGCCTATCTCTGGAAAGACCTATGCGAATGAAGAACACCTCAAGCGTGTCAAGAATCTCCGTAACAAGGGTATCGCTGGTGATGTGGGTGCAGCCCTACTCACAGGTGCTTTGGCAGCGGGTGCTGGATTCCTTGGCCAAAAGTTGTATCAACAACATGAAAAGAAGAAGCAACAAGACCAAGAAGGAGAGGAAACTTCCAAGGAGCAATAATCGTCTTCTCTAGTATACGATCCAAATAAATGATGTTGTATGAGGAATCATCCACTCACGGAGATGTGCCATATTGTGTGTGCGTGTGTGCGTGCGTATTTGAGTTTGCTCTGATACACTTCGGCAATACAACGCTATGTGATGTTTTCTTTTGGTCATTTTGGAATCCAAGGATCATGAGGAGGAAAATGAAAGCAGTATGATACACCATTGTGTGCATAGATGAATGAGCCAACATGAACAAAAAGCTACCCTATCTCACGACGATGGTAGTGCCATGTATGTACTTGCATCTTCCATGTGGCATCAAAGTGCAGTATTTGTCCTTCTCGGAATCATTTATCATTTACGGCACTCATTTTGCAATTTTACACATTCCAATGTATGCGTATAACTTTGCATACATCTACAACCGGAATAAGCAGCTGATGGGTCGTCAGCATGGTATAGAGTAATTGATCGAAAAATAGGGGGTATAAAATTTGACACGCGCATTGGCAAGGTAAACAACCACGTATGGATGATTCACCTTGCCATGCGTCAAGTGTGATCCGTTCTCATACAAAAGGAACCTGGCTAATGTAATCGACATGCGTAAATACGCATTAAAGGCACAAGCCATGATTGTTTCAAATGTAGCCGGATGGCACCAATCGCTTGGGTACAATTTCCATATGCATCACCATCATTTGGCGGTTCAGGTACCACCAAACTATGCAGCACGCAAGAATAATGACAATACTGCTAAACGATCTATGATCAGGATATAAAGAAGAATCATGAGACAAGCTGTTACGGGTCAAAGGATGATCGGTTAGGAAACTATTGTTCATGACATGCATATCGCCTCCGTGAGATGAGGAACGCAAAAGCCCCCTTTGTAATACCTACATGGTCATATTCATGAGGTTTCATAAGATAGATATAAAGGTAATGAGAATGCCCATTTCTTTGTTTTTCCATCTCTGTATTTTCGTCAAAAGAGTCATTCAACGATATGCGTGTTGCCTTGCTAGGGTGCCTTTTCTCAATCACTGCTGCGGTGCAAGCTCTCAACCCTGTCGAAATCAAGGGCAGCAAATTTTTTGATTCTGTTACCAAGGATCAATTTTTCATCAAGGGGTGAGCATTCATTGCTTGGATACTATGTGAGGATGCTGACATGTATATTAGTGTGGCATATCAACCGAGAAACGAGTTGAGTGAAGATCGCACAAAAATTTCGGATCCATTGATCGATGAAGCAGCATGCTCACGTGATGCGCAATTGATGCAAAAATTGGGACTCAATGTGGTGCGTGTTTATGAGGTGGATCCATCCAAGAACCATGATGCATGCATGAAGGCGTTTTCGGATGCTGGATTGTACCTGCTTCTCGATATTGCTACACCCAAGTTCTCAATCAATCGCAAGGACCCAGAATATGATACCCGCTTGTACGATGCATATACCAAGACGGTGGATGCATTTGCCAAATACGACAACGTGCTTGCATTCGTTGCCGGAAACGAGGTGACCAATGACAAGACCAATACATTGGCATCTGCCTATGTTAAGGCAGCTGTGCGTGATGTGAAAAAGTTCATCAAGTCAACACAAAAACGATACATCCCCGTGGGCTATGCGAGCAACGACGATGAATACATCCGTGATGCCATTAAAGATTACTTTGCATGTGGTGAAGCTGATGAGCAGGTTGACTTTTATGGTGTCAACATGTACGAGTGGTGTGGTGAATCAACCTTTCAAAAATCGGGCTATGCCGATCGTACCAAGGAATTTGCCAAATACAACAAGCCTGTATTCTTATCCGAGTATGGATGCAACTTGGTGACACCTCGACAATTCACAGAGGTCGAAGCTATCTATGGACCCGATATGACGGATGTGTGGTCCGGTGGTGTGGTATACGAATGGTCTCAAGAAAACAACAACTATGGCCTGGTTAAGATTTCCAATAACGATGCACAACCATTGGAAGATTATCGTAACCTACAACAAGTGCTAAGCAAAGTCAACCCCAAAGGCGTGAAAATGGATGCTGTCAGTGAGCAACCTACACCTGAATGTCCCGGGCAAAATGATAATTGGAAAGCTTCCACCAAACTTCCACCTACCCCTTCACAGGGTGCCTGTCAATGTATGCAAGATAACCTCTCCTGCGTAGCATCGGACAAGGTTTCGAATTCGTCTGGTGGTAATAGCAGCAGTAGTGCACTTGGTGACCAAATTGATACACTTTGTGGTATGGTGTCATGCGAAGATATCAGTGGCAATGCTGAAAAGGGCAAATACGGTGCGTATTCCTTCTGCAGTGGAACCGAAAAGTTAAGTTGGCTCTACAACCTTTACACCCAAAAGAACAAGGATGGCAATTGCGACTTTAATGGCTATGCACAAAGCGTGTCGCCGTCACGTAATGATCTCGACTCGTGCTCCAACATCCAAGCTGACATGTCTGGTACGAGCAGCCACGATGATAGCAAATCAAACGATGCAGCCGCTCTCTTACTTCAATCATATCCATTGACTACATGGGTTACAGCAGCCGCTTTATTAGTTTTCGCAGCTCGTTAGGGAGATTTTTTTTGTGCTTCATGTGTATTCTTGCATTCTCTTTCTTCATATAAAGCATATACTACTAATGGGGAATGAAATTACACTATCGCCCTGCATCCTTAGGAGAAGAATATCACCGAATAGAACAAGTGATATGTGCATGTGTGGTCTATCAAACCGGGATGCGGAAGGAATAACGAGGGATGACACATTTTGAGTAAGGGGCTACCGGGTGAGGAAGTAATTTCATAGGAGAAGATCCAGCACATTTTTCAAAGATGATCTCGATTTGTACATATAAAAAAACAAAGATGACGCTGATCAGGTGCATGAACGTGGAAATTGTTGTCATGGAGATAGGGAAAGGAATTACATAGAACAGCATGATGTGATCGGACCTTGTGACATTGAAATACTATACCAGGTACTCAAAAAGATACTCGCGGTCTTCGTTCGGGTATCAAGTAGTCTTTTACTCCTGCTTCCTTCTCATGCACAGAAAAACGATGTTGGTGCGTGCACTCTTTTGATATTATCTTTACTGTGAAGTGCCTTAACCCCTGATTAAGAGTAGGAAATTTGGGCATAGACGCCTACTATGCACATGGGGAACTCTCAAAGTGTAGAACGGAACCGCCGTGCATCTTTTTATTGTGGTGGTGTGTTAAAGATTTTGTTGTTGCATCAAGGCTTTCTTTGCAGCTTTTCTCCCAATCTTCTTCTAGTTTTTACCACGCCCCTTTTACATTGGCACATTTTTTATTATACTCTCGCTCTCGCCTCTGATCAACGTTTACAACTACATTTATCTTAATGTCATCAGCCATTGCATCATCATCATCAGCAGCTACGTATGATACGCCTGTATATCGATCGAGGAGACGACAAGGCCGACGCCATCAACGCCCACGCTTGTTTCAAGTACGACTTGGCGACTACGTGTTGATGCAGACATTGGGTGAAGGAGAATATGGCAAAGTCAAGCTTGGTATCCATAGCAGCACTCGACAAGAGGTAGTATCATAGCAACGAAAAAAGAGATGAAACGACCATCATGATGTAATAACATGTACATATGCAAAAGGTTGCCGTCAAGTTGATTCGCAAGGATACGGTTGGTGTATCAGAAACACGGCGAAGTCGAGTAGAAAGAGAAATTCACGCGCTTCGGGTAACGTGTAATATGCTTCTTTTCATATGCACGCGTATGTCTCATGTGTAATGCACGACTTTTTGTAGACGCTCAAACATCCTAACATTGTCAAGTTGATTGATGTTGTGGAGACCGACAAGTACATTGGTATCATCCTTGAATATGCCTCTGGTGGTGAGCTCTTTGAATACATTCTTGCACATAGGATGATGGATGAGGATGATGCACGTTGTCTTTTTGCCCAGCTTATTAGTAGCGTCAATTACATGCATCACAAAAAGATTGTGCATCGTGATCTCAAATTGGTAAATATGCAGTTACGCCCTTCAACCCCTTTTCCATCCCTTTCTTGTCATTTTCCCCACTTTTATTTCTCTCTCTCTCTCTCTCTTGCTCTCACTCTACCTCCCCCCCCCACTTCATTGACCTTCAAAATGTCAGTAGGAAAACTTGCTGTTGGACGCTAATCGCAATCTCCTTGTGACCGACTTTGGATTCGCCAATGAGTTTGTACGCGACAATCCCTTGATGGCGACTTCTTGTGGCTCCCCATGTTATGCAGCACCCGAACTAGTTGTCACTGATGGTGGATATGCAGGCCCTCTTGCTGATATATGGTCGTGTGGAGTGATTCTATACGCCATGTTATGTGGACACCTTCCTTTTGATGACGATCCAAATAATCCTGATGGCAACAATATCCATCGCCTATATCGATACATCTTGACTACGCCTCTTACTTTTCCCAATCATGTCACTCCTGGTGCACGAGATCTCCTGCGTCAAATGCTCACTATTGATCCTTCCAAACGATGTTCATTGGATGCCATCATACACCACACATGGTTGATACCTCACGAAAACATCCTCAACTTGTCAGATGCAGCTTTGGAAACCCAAGCTTTCAAGACATTGCAGAAGATCAAACCACCTCTTGTACAGCAACAATCGCCTAGGAAACACAAAATGGATGTCGACCATTTGGATACAAATCATAAAGCATTTACAGTATCCGCTGGCACCACACGTCGTCGAGAACGGATATTGAGCTTCTTTACCAGCACTGCTACGAAGGATGTTAATATGCAGCAACCATCATCACAACAAGAGCCATCTTCATCACAACGAAAACAACCACAAACAAGATCAACAAGGGGACGTGCAGCATCATTATCATCATCCTTGGTACCAGCTACTTTACGTGCAAAGTTGACAGCCAATGTGAATCGTAAGACATCACCACCTGTGGAGCGGTTCCGATTCAACAACGCCGATGATCAGCATGATGATGAAGCGATCGCTCTATAACAAAACGTATTCAACAGCAATAAGGGTCACTCTCGTCCCCGGTTTTACAGCACTGTTGGGCGACATGCAGCACGCAAGTTAGCAGTGGCTGCAGCTACAACAAGTCCACCATCACGACATGATGAATGTACCCCTTCAACTCAACAACAAGATCAAACAACGGCAACTACAAACCCAGGTAGTAAAAGCAAAGTCATTGCATGGATTAAAAGAAAGCGACCAGGTGGAGGTGGAGGTATGTAATAATCCAAGATTAGGTATTGAGAAACTTTGTGTGCTGATCATTTACTATCCTAACACGTGCAGGTACATTATCAGCGGCTGATCATCAACATCAACAACAATCGGCAACAGTGGCAGCAGCAGCATCGACTAATGATACTCCTGAATACGAGGAGAGATCAGCTATGGAATTGCCATCGATAAAAGCAGCAGCGGCAGCAGAAGCAGCAACAGCGAATCAAAAGCAACCAGCAATAGCTGAATTGGAAGAGTACAATTTACGCGTGCATTATGGTGCAGTTGACAAGGCCGCACTCACCTCGTGCTCTCCTACAAAAGTGATGATTCAAGTCCGCCAAATTTTGCATGCACTTGGCATTGAATGTGGTGGTGGCGGTGGTGACAGTTGTGGCCCTCCTGGTGATTTCAAGGTCAAATGCACGCGACGTGCAAAACGTGTCATCTACGCAGCACCAACTTCGATCACCCTTTTCCCTAATCCAGGTCGCCTATCAGCTACTTCTTCGGTGATTGATGACATTGATAATACATCCTCCTCGTCACTTTATACCTTGTCCAGCTCAGCGAGTACATCGGCCAACGCAAGTGATAATGAAATCCATGGCAACCAGCACAGTGGTCATCAACGAGTCCCTCAACAAAAGAATCATCCTATCTATGGAGACCCTGCAGTAGATGCTGGAGAAGAGATTCGATTCATGGTGGAAGTATGCCAGTTACCCAACAACGACCATCATCGGATTATCCATGTTCGAAGACTACGTGGCAACGTATGGGCATTCAAATTCATTTACCACAAGTTTATGGACCTGTTAGAAGTGATGGGAACAACAACATCATCATCAGCAAGATCAAATGAATCACTATCGTCACTAGCAACGTAGCACAATGATATGGGGTTTAGCGTGTATGTAGAAGAGGAGACTCAGCAATAAACAACAAAACATTTACGTTGTGTGTGAATGCAGTGTGACATGCACAGGCCATGGTTGCACGTGTGTCCCATTGCCGATCATTACTTTATCACGCCACTTTGGTCATGCTAAGTGCATTAACAGAAAGAGAGAGAGAGAGAAAAAAAAACAAGACATATATGTATTACTCAGCTGATGTATATGTATAGCAGGTGTGGTTCTATGACAAAAAGCAACAAAAGGTGGCGGTTGTATGGCGAAAAGATAGATCGAAAGGGAAAGTAGGGAAACGAGAGAGAGGGAGGATTCGTTTGTGTGAGAGTGAGAAAGAAAAAGATGGGCAGCATGCTGAACCTCTTTCTTTTTCTTCTCGTGAGGGTGGATATATGCACAATTAACGGTGGTGGATGTGGTTGAAAATGATAAAAAAAGGACAGCAGATCGATATGAAGGAAAGGTGTTATGTCGAAAAGAGGAATATGGTATATATAAAAGACATAAGGCTGGTTGTTGCTCGCTGTATGGAATTAGATGGCGGCTGCAAGAGTTGCTCGTTGGTTCTCCAAAACTTCTTCGGTTCTGCACATGAAGCTGAGGATATCGTCCAATTCGTCACGTGGTGGTTCAGCGTCTTGATTAATGAGTCGACAACTTTGAAGACGATCGACCTTGTTCAATAGACCAGCCATGAACAAATCTCGTTCTTTGTCGGGGGAAAGTTGAAAACGTTGTCGAGCAAAGGAGGGTCGCTGCAAGGACTTTGCCAGCAAGTCAGTGAGCGATTTTCTTTCCCGAGCGAGTTCAGCCATGTTGTATGTATATATATGAAGAAAGGATGAAAAAAGAGGAAAAGATAAGAGTACGAGTGCGAGTGTGATGGGCGTGTTGTGAGTAAAAAATGGGCTGGAAAACAAAAATACGTCGCTTTTTATAATGGGACGAGGCTGAGATGGCGGAAAAAGGGCGGAGGTGATCGCGGTGAAAGAATTGTGCTACAATGCATTGATCCTTCTCCTTGTTTTTCCAAAAACCTCAGTTTCGGTTTATCGGATGTTGATCAGAATCATGGGGTGAAAGGAAAGAGTAAAGCAACATTTACCTCTTATTGCTTTTGTCAATTTATTGATTACACGACAAGGGCATCAACACTATCATTGGAAGCACCACGCCCCTATTATTATTTGCTCTTTGGTATACTACAGGAGCCTGTTTAAACATATCAAATTGTTTAAATTCATCCCGTATCTTCGAGGTCACAGGGCATCACTGCACTAAGCAAATGTAACATTGATGGTTTCGGGCTCTTGTTATGAGATCGTCACATATTTAGGAGAACGGAGCATAATTGTGTGAGGGCGTTGCATCACATTCATTGAGCAGAGGAGCGCTCCCTCTTTTTACTTTGCTCCTTTTTTTATCATTTTCATTGATGGACATTGTGAGTATCTTTGTTTGCAGAGATCACACGCTACTATGGACTCATGTGCTCATCAACGCATATACTCATCGAGGAGTAATACTTTTGGCGGACTTGGCATTTGCAACCGAACGATACAAGGTTGGTTGTGCCACGCAAACTTGAGTTTGAGAATTGATTCTTGTGTAATGTTCCATTTTTCACTAGAAAAGCCTAAAGAGCTGCACGTTATATTATGGAAAGGGTTACTCATTTGTCGCGTGCCTTTGTCACAATTGACGTCAGGGATAAATGAACAATGTTTTAAGGATCATTGAGAATATCGATCATCTTGTATTTGACATGAGGATGCCACCACGAGATGTTGCATGATGCGGCGTCTGCTGCAGCAAATAATGTATGTTGCATTTTAGCAAGTTCAGGGACCACCGCTTGGTCCGTTCATTATAATCACAGCAGCTAGGATAGTGTTTGATGCACCTCATTTACCCGGCGAACAAAAAACGGTAGCCCGAGCAACATGGACTTTCGATCAGTGATGCATCCATGTCACTTTTTCCCCAGTCCTTTCTGTTTTGGGTGATATTAATAATAGCGACGTGGTGAATGGGCATCGGCTATCTTTTTTACTATTCATAGTAGTCATCTCACCGTCAGCAAGGACCACCCACCTATGAGGAAGAAGGAGGAGATGTGATGCCACTCTCTTCAAACTCCCTTTTACTTTTCTCGAGGGATAACATGTGCATGCATAGGCGGAGGAACATCATTACTTTTGTATTGCCCATGTGCTAAATCAAAGTGAATGATGATGATCAATCTAAACAACAACTTTGGATGACGTGATTGAAAAGGTAACATGTTTATTATGAGCACAGTAGTGGGATAATGAAATGCTTTGTGCGTACACAAAGAACACCAAGCCATAGAGCGAGTGTTAAGGAGAAGGAGAGAAGATATGAGGAAAAAGAGGAATGTGAATAATGAGGGTGGTAAGTTAGTTAGTCAAGAGATCAAGTGAATATTCATTATCATGCATGTTGATGCGGGTGGCTCAAGCGCTAGTGTGAAATGAGTGCTATGCATGCGTGCTGGAAACGAAGGCAATGGGGATTTAGCTGTTGTTGTTGTAAGCCTACAATAAAGTCTCCCAACAAAGCAGTGACCAAGTCCGACGCAAAGAGGCTACTTTGTTCAATCACCCCTTTCCCTTCTCTTCATGACATCAGCCTTCAACTACGATTCAGTGGTACCACGCGGATTGAGTGTTGCTCAACAGCGAGAGATTGCTGCAGCACAAGCACAAGCAGCTGCCATGGATAGACCCTATCGACCACCGACAACAAAGCCTTTTCCCAGCTCGGCTTCTTTGTATGTTGGCGAACTCGACCCCACAGTGCAAGAATCACACTTGTATGAGATCTTCAATGCAGTCGGTCCTGTTGAGAGTGTCCGTGTATGTCGCGATGCCATTACTCGGCGAAGTCTCGGCTATGCCTTTGTCAACTTTAAGACACACGTCGACGGTAGTACTCCCCCCTTTCTCAGCAACTGCCAAAACGCATCTGTAACGATATCTCTCTTTTCCCCTTTTTGCTCCTACTAGGAGAACGAGCGTTATCAACACTCAATTCAGCTTCTATCCATGGAAAGCCTTGTCGTATCATGTGGTCGCAACGGGATATCGCCAAACGTAAGGTGTCCGGTGGCAACATTTTTGTCAAGAATCTCGATCCATCCATCACGTCAAAGTCGCTACGTGACACATTTGCACAATATGGTAATATCATCTCATGTAAAGTGGTACTGGATCCCCAAGGTCAATCCAAGGGTTATGGCTTTGTCCACTATGATACAATCGAGGCAGCAGAAAACGCTATCAGACAAGTGAATGGAACCATCCTTTATGATCGAGAATTGTAAGTTTATGCTATAATCAATCATCGATGATTTGCCATCATATTGAATACGCTATGTAGGTTCGTTGGTCATCACATTCCAAAGCGTGAACGTCAACAACATCAGCAGCAGCAGCAGCAACAACAACAACAACAGCAGCAACAGTATCACCCACAGCATCAACATCATCGCCCAAGTCGTTTTACGAATGTCTATGTCAAGAATTTGATGCCTGATATCAAGGAAGAGGAATTGAAGGAGCTCTTTAGTGGATTTGGACCGATTGTATCAGTATTGATTCAGCGTGATGAAATGGGCAACTCGAAAGGATTCGGTTTTATCAATTTTGAGCGGCACGACGATGCAGAGAGAGCAGTGATGCAAATGAATGACACAGAGTATATCGGTCGAAGACTCGTTGTTTCTCGAGCACAAAAGAAATCAGAACGCGAACGCGAACGAGAGCAAGATCATCATCCTCCGATGAATAATCACCATGAGAGCAATAGCCATAGTTCACCCAGCAGTCAAAATGGCAATGGAACCACCAAGCACCATCGATATCAGGGCATGAATCTTTACATCAAAAATTTGGATGAGCACGTGGATGATCAACGATTACGGGAAGAGTTTTCAAGATTTGGGAACATCACAAGCGCCAAAGTGATGAGAGAGGACAAAACGGGTCAATCAAAAGGATTTGGTTTCGTGTGCTTTACAACAACTCAAGACGCCAACAAAGCTGTCGCTGAAATGAATGGTCGTATGATCGCATCCAAATCGATTTATGTTGCGCCAGCTCAACGTAAAGAAGATCGCCGTAACCATGAACAACAACAACAGCAGCAACAGCAGCAACAGCAACAGCAACAGCATAGGCAACTTCATTTGCAACAGCCATTTATGCCTGTACCAGCGGGCTATCCACATGTTTATTACGACTATAGCGGATATCCACAAGCTGACATGAGCCCTAATCGACCCCCTCCACAAGTGCGATATGCTGCAGCACCACCATCAGCGGCACCAGCACCTTTTCTCAAACAAGGATACCCTGTCCCAGTCCCAACCTATTATCTACCATCACCAACTGCTCCCAATCACCCAGCTTATCCACCTCAATCACCGAATCCACAACAAGATGAATCACAGCCACCAGAGGAATTATCCTTGGATATGATCGAATCCTACTCGCCAGAGACGCAAAACCAAATACTTGGAGAAAGGATTTATGCAGTTGTGTAAGTTTGTGTGTTCCTTGTTTATATGCATTTATCTTATAGAATCGATTATAGGAAAGAAAAGTATCCAGAGGAAGCTGGAAAGGTAACAGGCATGCTTCTAGAAATGGATAAGGAAGATCTGGTGCCGTTGGTTAACGAACGTGATGCTCTGGAAAGCAAAGCCGATGAAGCCGTGGCAGTATTAGAAGAACACCGTGCTGGACAATCAACTGATGAATGAATGCTGCAAAGTAGTTATCCCTCGTGTAAATAGTGAAGCTTCTTTTTTGAACAATGATATCGATACTATATCAATGGAAAGATGATACAAATGTCTTTTTTATATCTATTGAGTAATGCGAACAATGGGATATGGAATGAAGAGGAAACGATATATAATGAGTTCTAAGACTAGAAAAGAGCTATCTTGGTTTGCTTCTCTTGTGCCCTTGGTGCAACGTATGCACCCAAGAAAGAATATAAATCACCTCTGACAGCATCATTCTCGAACACATTGAATTGCTTTGCATTCTTTTCCGTATCCACGACTACCAATTCCAACGCATCCAATTTCAAATGACCTAAATCAATGACCTGGTTACCATCTCCTTCTCCATAACAATAAACGCCATCTTTCTTACCTTGTTCCACTAAAAGCTTAACACGGTTAGGCGTACCAACACCGATATGAATTGGTTGTCGATTGAGGAAATCCACTTGTTCTTCCACCTTCAAATGCTTTGCAAACAGCTTGGCAATCTTGTGTGATTGGCTTTGGAGTGGTTTTAAAGCACGAGCAAGGTCGGCAGCACGAACAGCCGCATGTGTCAGAACCAGTACCATTGGTGTTGCTTTGGCTTCAGGTGCCTTGATCAGTTTACTGTGTCGCATCACGCCAAACTTGACATAATTGGGTAACGTATCAAGTGTGTGTTCAGACTGCTTAAAGTTGTCGTTGTTGACAAACTGGGCCTCTGGTAGCATTTGCTCGTCAAGCTCGATAGTCGATAACTTTGGAAGTGCCAATCGCTGTCGATCGTGTACATAGGCACATTGCGTTGCTGGATCCGATTTGAAAATATGAACAACGTCGTTGAAGGGATCTTGTCGTGCACGCTTTCGTTTAGCCTTTTCCTTCTTTGCTTTCCGCTTTTTAGACGTTTTGCTTGGTGTTGTGGTTGTTTGTTGTTCTTCCTCCTCTTGCTCTTCCTCTGATGCTGAAGCGGCTACGAGATCGTCTTCGTAAAAGTCGTCCTCAAGGGCATCGCCAGAAATCGGTTTGTCTGTCATTGTACGATCGTGAAAAGGGAAGTGAAAAATATTTCAATTTTCCTCCGCATTTGGTTCCCATGCTGCTTCTCCATGACACCGTTGTATCCATAGCAACACGATCCCCGTTTCTCCATTCTCAAAGGTGGCCGAGTATATATAAATCCATAACCATCGTTAACACTATGCACGGTCGGGCGTTAGTCTTCCCCTACCCCTTTCAGGCGTTTAACGAGGCTGTTCTCTAGATAATCCCCCCTGAATCTTGCATTGCATATAAAAAGCAGACATTGTAAAAGATCAAACCACTAAGATTTTTCTTTTGCATTCTTATTATACTCTATTCACGATGACGAGCCTTCTATGGATATGCGTTTTGCTTTCTATCCCATTGCTTGTAGTCTATGGGTCACCAACTACCATTGAAAAACCAAACATTTTGTTCATATTCACCGATGACCAGGATCAAACAATGGGATCACTCGATTTTATGCCAAGGTTACAAAAGTATCTTGTTAAAGAAGGTACACTTCATAGAAACCATTTCGCTACAATTTCCCTTTGCTGCCCAAGTCGCGTTGGACTCTTGAGAGGACAATACGCCCATAATACAAAGTAAGAGGTATCCATCTCTTCCTAATTCCACCGCAAAACGCCTCACCAAGCTTGCGTTTAGTATCACCAATGTTTATCCTCCTTACGGGGGCTACGATCGGTTCAATGATTTGAAACTTGGTAATGATTACTTGCCAATATGGATGCAAAAAGTACGTACGCTTTCATGGGATCCAAGAATTGCTCACTAAAGTACGTGCAAGAAAGGCTGGTTACTCCACACACTATATAGGCAAGCTGATGAATGATTATTCGATGACAAATTACAACAAGCCAATACCAGCAGGGTAAGCAATCATAGACGTCGTCTCAAGCATGCATTAAAGGATCGGTATAGATTTGATTATCAAGGTATAGATACACACATACCTTGTGACGAATAGCCAACGGTCACCCTTACCCTGCAGCTCTCTTTTCTAGACCAGCTGGTGGAGCCGTACACATACATTTTTAACACCCCTGTGTTTTCCAAGGATGGAAACGCCCCTGTTTACTATCGAGACATGTATCAGACGGATGTGATCCACCGGAAGGCATTAGCAGTACTAGAAAGCCAACGAGGCGTAGACAAGCCATTCTTTCTCTGGGGTATGTACGATGGCTATAGTCATCATTGGGCTACACATCAAGCTAATAAATCCTTTAAACTTTACACAGTGGCCCCTACAGCACCTCATGGCCAATTTTATGTGCGTAAAGATGATGATGGGAAAACTACGGTTGTCAAAACCGAGCCGCCTGAACCAGCAGCTCGACATTCTCATATGTTCAAGGATGTTAAAGGTTGGTATAGAGAATGATGGTCGATCCTTGATTATTGATGTCCCTCGATCTACTCTTGTATATAGTACCTCGCAATCCCAACTTCAACCCAGCCAAGTTGACAAAAACTGCATCTTATTGGAAACGTATGCATCGGCTCAATCAGACCGAAATTGATCAAGTGGATCTTGCATATCAAAAACGGCTCCAATCGTTACAATCCGTGGACGAAATGATTGAATCTTTGGTGAAAGAGCTTGATGCCCAAGGGAAGCTCAACAACACGTATATCATTTACAGCTCAGACAATGGGTACAATGGATGAAAAGGGCACGTGGCTATTTGTTGCACATTATTCATGCATCCTTGGTTACACAGATTTCATCTTGGCCAGCATCGTGCATTTGCAGGTAAAGGGACCAATATTGAAGAAGATATCAGGTAAGCTGAATCACCATTCTCATCAATGGAAGAAAAAAAAAACTTAATGACCCATCATTATAGTGTACCTTTCATTGTTCGAGGACCAGGTGTTAGGCGAGGCCATATTAGCCACGTGGTGAGCTCGCATAATGACCTTGCATCGACCTTTTTAGCACTTGCTCATGAGGATGAGCTCATACCTGAATGGGTTGATGGTGGTGTCATGCCATTGACATCAGCTTTAGAGAACCACCCTAAACAAGCACCTAAGGAAAGCTTTGCGGTGGAGTTTTGGTCCAATCTTTATCTATCGTAAGTGGATCAATGGTAGGCTACTCAAAAGAGCTGCATCTTAAAAATAATATTTTTACATAGGGAGTGAGTTGAAAACCGTGTATGCTATGCTGATGTGCCTCTGAAAGTCTCATTGTATCATTGAGCATGTAGATTTAAACCACAACCTGAAGCAATGATTCATGGAGGAAACACGTATAAAACCCTTCGGCTCATCTCTCCCCAGTATAACTGTAAGTATTCAAGCGCTGGTAGATCCTGAAAAGATGATAACTTTATCTATATAGTAAAATATGCGGTTTGGTGTACGGGGGAGCACGAGCTGTACGATCTAAATGTTGATCCATTCGAGACCAACAATCTTTTTGAGACACCGGAGCAGCAATCCAATGCCACCATGATACGCTTGACAGACCGCCTGGATGCCCTTTTGTATGTTCTCAAGTCTTGTTGTGGCTCCACATGTCGCGATCCGTGGTCAGCATTACATGGGGAAAATACGCTGGTGAAATCGCTTGCTGATGCTTTGCACCCAAAAGTAAGTATCGCAATGACATACGATGTAGACTTTGTTGTATCTAAAGTGGGATGGGTTGATGTTTTATCATTGCCTCTTGAGTGTAGCATGATGTCTTTTACAAGCAATTTATCCATATTGGTTTCAATGAATGCCTCAACCACTTTTCGATAACCAATGAAGAAATGCATCAAGCGCCTTATGACACGAAAAGCGCCTTCAAAGTGCCTACATCGAACCATGACATATGCCCGATACATCCAGAAGATGGATCTAGATCTTCTTTGACCAAGCGAAATGATACATCCAATCAAAAACCCATGAGCCAAAAATTCATCAATCCTATACCATCAAACGAGGTATATGATCTCTTCCATTTGGTTCCCCAACCATCAGCACCAGTCGGCCTCAAGGTACCCACAGCAGATGAATTGAATGTTTGCTCGCAACCTGTGCCTCAGCAATTGCTAGAAAAGCAAGTTGAGTGGCATAGTTACGGGTTTTATAACGCATACGGAAACTAGATTTCTCAATAAAAGAAAAAGAGTGCCACAGGGTGCTGTCGCTTCGCTTGTAAACTTTTGACTTTTCGTTAAATGGCTTGACCAACCTATGGAGTAATGATCTTATAATAACCTTACAAGTTTATGCAACCACACTACGATCTCATAGTATTCATATTTACAAGATCCTGCAACCGTTTGCCATCCATATTTACAATAAGAGACAGTAGGTCTGTAATAATGAGCTGCCCTGGAACAATGTTCATCCATCTATCCTACTTTTAATTTCCACTCCTTCCACTCCCACAACTTCTTGTCTCTTCCTCCCAATCTCAACTATTGCTCCATCCAAGTATACCACTACCACCTGCGAACGATTGTCCTGCTTCAACCCATCATGTCAATTCTACAACTCTCTTGATCCGATTGTCTTTGACTGAATGGCAAGTCCATGACGTGTACACAACTTTCTTGTCACTCTACTACAACACACGAGCCTCTTCTCTCTTGGACACTCCTCTGCCACAATCAAACGTTACAGCATTCATTCCAGCAGTTTCCATTTGCAATGACTTTACTTCGTTGTCTCAAGTTACTTGCAGCAACCTTCATTGCGACCTTTTTTACATGGACAGCAGATAGCCATTGTATAGAAGCACTTTTATTTACGTGGAGCAACTTGCTTTGGTACAAAGGGATCCCTACGGATGATGTCATATCAGCTATCAAGTATGCCGTAATACAAGCAAGACTCACCTGATGGAGCTGCGATGGAAAGTGGTCACGAAGAGATAAACCAACAGCAGGACGGAAAAGGAAGCATATCAGCAGCAATCTCTGGGGCTTTTTTTTGACCAACATATTGGATCGGGAATGGTTATGGTAAATGGATTCAATCAATGCGGTGATGAGGATCATGGGTGTCAGCAGGATGGATGGACCATATCGTACACATATGGCTGAGGATGATGATGGATTGGATGGAATTGACGCATGGTGTTTACAGCTATGGATGATATTGGAATACTTGGGTCAACGCATGCAGCAGCTATTTTGCAATCATGGATGAAGATATTTATGACGGCAGCAACCAAGAATAGAATGACACAATTATCCCTGATGACTCTATATGTTTCGCCACACCCTACTCTCAGTACCCTGTTCTACGTACTCTTACTTTTTATTGAATGAAAATTGGCTTCAACATGATATTTGAGAGGGATCGTGCTATCAGCTCATACGTGCGAGATGTGTGTCACTTGGTTGGTTTCTGGTTTGAAAGGGGGAATAGTAACTCAAACACCGGAAAGCGAGATTGGATCATTTACACCATCATATGGATCGAGATGCGTTTGTTCTTTTGTGGCAGTATACATTCGTTTTAGCTTCCTAGTTCACATGATGATGATAGACGGTAGGTAGTCGCAATTCTTAAACGCTTGTATTGCAAAGTCAATATATTCAAGCGAGGATGCTTGTTTTAAAAGCTTGGTTCATTGTAAGCATACTTTAATTATTATGTTAAAGAAAAAGTGAGCTTTGATAGATGTGACACAAGCACAACCTACTACAAGTTTCAGCTAATGCTATCTTATGCAGCTGTATACATAAAGAGCGAACCATTCCATCGGGCTATCATAGGCGGACCTTGCTATAGGCGTATCGTGGATAGAGCTACTTCATGCATCTCTCCACCAATAGCGTCGACCCTTCAACTCCTACCCCTTGGCTGTGACACCAACTAGTCCATCTGCATCTTTGGCTGCATCAGGGTCAAGCTACTAACAATGAAACAAAGACCACCTTTCGTATAGCATCACGCTTACAGCATAGTGAAAACCTAAAGACAGTCATATCTCAAGATTTCACAATGAAACATGGGGTTTTTAATAGTGCAATGGGCTCGGCTTGGCCAACAGCACCTTGTGTGAAAGTTTCGCGTTCAGTGTCGCAAACAGCCCAAAAAATATTTTTTGGTCGTCGCCGTCGAAAGAGGTCGACCCCCAGATCCAGTTTGGCTGGTGGCGACATTGCGAAATCTGGGATTGGCAAGCTTGATCGTGAAACTGGCACCCAAGGTGCAGTTGGCCAAGCCGAGCACACTGCTCTATCAAAGACCCCACGTTTCATTGTAAAGTTTGGAGATACAGGCACCTTTATGTTTGTAAGCATGATGCTATATGAAGAGTGGTCTTTGTTCATTGTGAAGTAGGTGGACCCTGACAGAGCAAAAGATGCAGAGGGACCTCTTTGGGTAACTCAGCTAAAAAGTCAGGACAATGCATGAGTACGCGAGTGTCATACATTGGTAATACTTTTGTGCATTCTCTTGTGCATTCTATTGTATAGTAACGATGCTCCTGCTCTAGACATTTCCATGATTAAAGTAGGTTGATCCGAGTTGATTTGGTTGAGTTACGCTCACACAAGATTACATCGGTTGAGCTACATCGAGCGTGCTTTATGTCCAGAGTGATGTAATCTCTCTTTGACTGCAGCTCAGTCAAATCAGCTCGGATCAACCTACTTTAATCATGGAAATGAACGTCTAGAGCAGGAGCATCGTCCACCTACAATAGAATGCACAAAAGTTGGGAATGCACAAAAGTGGTTATTAGCTGCCAATGTATGATATAAAAGTGAGGGTTGCGTACCATTCATGCATTGTCCCTGAAGTCCTGACTTTTTAGCTGAGTTACCCAAAGAGGTCCTTCTGCATCTTTCGCTCTTTAGAGTCTAGCTACTTGACAATGAACAAAGACCACTCTTCATATAGCATCACGCTTACAAACAGGCGTTCGTATCTCCGAACTTTACAAATGAAACGTGGTTTTTATTAGACAATGTGCTCGCTTGGCCAACTGCACCTTGGGTGCCAGTTGCACGATCAAGCTTGCCAATCCCAGACTTCATTGTCGCCACCAGCCAAACGGATCTGGGGTCGGACTTCTTCGACGACGACGACCAAAAAATATTTCCAACTTCTTCCCCCCTTCCTCCCATTCTTATCTGTTGGCCCCATTCAAGTATACAACTACCACCTGCGATCGATTGTCCTGCTTTAACCCATCATGCCAATCCTACAATTGCCTTGATCCGATTGTCTTCGACTGAATGGCAAGTCCATGGCGTGTACACAGCCTTCTTCTTGTCACTCTCCTACAACACACGAGCCTCTTGACACAAGACACACTCTTGCACGCTCCTCTGCCACAATCAACCGTAACAGCGTCCATTCCAGCAGCTGCTATTAGCGAGATCTTTACTGCATCGTCTCAAACAACTTTCACAACTTTGTCACTCTACTACAACACACGCTCTTGCACACTCGTCTGCCACAGCCAATCGTAACAGCTGATGCCATTAGCAAGGTCTTTTTCGTTGTCCTCAAGTTACTTGGCAGGAGGCTATTCACTGTGACAACTGACAATGTTGCCAATATGAAAATCATGGTGCGACACGTGATGGATTATGGGAAACAAGAATCCAAGCAATGGTAAGTCGACAGCTTTTCATGGTGATCAAGAGCTAAACGTACATCTATATTGTATAGACCATTCCGTCTACTCACCATATCCCATGCGTTGGTCATATTTCAACCTTGCTGTACAGGCGATCCCCAAGAATGGGTTGAAGGCCCAAGCACCCGAAAACATTATCGATAATGACAAAGAGGTCTTGCAAAACCAAGAAAGGGCATTTTGAAGATGCGGTAAGATGTCGTATACATATACTTGATATCGGTAAGGATACTTACGTTTATGTATAGTTCATTGCTCCAACGCATCGCGGCCTTCGAGAGGAGACGTGTGGCCATGGACTGCCCCCCCTTGACCTTAACATTGGATGTACGTACCCGTTGGAATTCGACATACGACATGTTGAATCGTGCTGTTAAGCTGAAGGATGCGTACATGGCGATGGCAGCACCTGGGACAGAGCTCGAGGCGTTTGCATTGTCATTGTCAGAGTGGATACGTATACAAGATTGCATTGGGGTGCTGTATCCATTCGAGCAGGCCACCCAGACCTTGTCAGCATGCAAGGCCCATGCATTGGTGAACATGACAATCCTATGTTACAATCGAGTCTTGGATGCTCTGGATAAGCTTGTAGCAACTTTCCCTGCAGCCTTTTTACGTGAACAGCAGATAGCCATTGTGTAGAAGCAGCTTTATTTACGTGTACCAACTTGCTTGAATACATATGACTTCTTATGATATGAATCTGGATATTGATTTGGTACATGGTGTGGAAGGATATGGTTGTATACAACGCGTGGAAAGAGTGCATCCATTGTCAACTTGATGCTTGTTGCTATCATTGTAAACGATTGATGCATCCAATTATCGTAATTACATCCGATTCCATGGCAATTGCTATCATCATCCTTTACGCAACCACGCATAGAATTCGTCATCACGCAGCAAATGCCGTTTGACGTCTACCTTTGCATCATCCACGTCCAAAGGATAGGTGCTTTCCAAATCGATGTGATTTGTGGCACATTGTATTATAGAAAGATACACGGTATGGGAAACGCAGGATTGTTGGAGTACATCCACTTGTAGATGCTGTACTAAAGGAAAAAGAGAGGAAGGGGAATGGACCGATAGCTTCATTGTGTCTTGAACAAAGGCTGTGTTCGATAGCATAACTCAACTCCCCTTTACTTTTTGAGTAGATCTTGTCAATAAGGGCATAACACACGCTCCTCTTGTGATAGCAAATGTTGATGTGGGATGCATAGGGTGACAGCTGATTCAAACTGCGTATGTCTCTGTTGCAGCAACTCCCATGTAATAATATAGGAATGAGTAGCATAAAGCATCTAAGATACTTTATTTGTTGCATGTGGTGCATGGTGAGGATTGTCCAATCTTTTTAGGGCGTTGACAATGAGACGCTTAGTATTGTGTACAATAAAGCAAAACAAAGAGATAGTTTATGTATAAATTTTACGCCAAGGATTCTATAACATTGGTCAAAGTCTTCATATCATCGCGAATACCCTTGGCAAATCGGACGACCTTATCCTACAATGTTGTTGTGTTACCCATTTTAGTCATGTTGCCATTGATCCCCTTTATCAGATCCACCATTTACCTTGCTATCAAGCACCTCAACGCTTTGGGTCAATGCATTATATCTTACAGAGAAAGGTCTGTTCATGGTTGAAGCAAAGTCGCGCACCTTTTCTTGGGCATCCTTAAATGAATCAGCCACAAAGTACACAGGTTGGAACTCGGTGATAGGATAAGGTTGAACAGCAGTCTTGGAAGGCTCAAATGGTCGGAGATCAGGCTTATCAGAAAGGCTGTAATCCAACTCGCCAAATGAACTCAATAAACCAGCACCATAAGCCTTGATCTCATCACCTTGTCGACACAAGCCGAACTCTGCAGTGAACCAAAAGATGGTTGCAAGCTTCTTGATATCCTCATCGGATGCACCCAAAGATGCCAAACCAATTTCATGACAAAAATCGGCAAAATCGGGATCAGCAAACTAACACAAAGAGGCATAATCAATATCAAAGATAAGATGTAATGTCATTGAGTCCTTACCAAAGGAGCATGACCAAGCAATTCATGGCAAACATCAGGCTCTGGAGTGTAAAGAGGTCTCGAGTGATGACGAATATACTGAGTGGAGTGGAAGACACGGAAGGCAAATGCGTTTAAAAAGTCGCGGCTGGTAAGCAAGCCCATGACAGGTCGAATTGTAAAACCAGTGCAGTCTTTAAGGAACTTTGACACGGTCTCAAGTTGAGGGATGTTCTTATCGGAGTAACCACAATTTTGTTCCAAGAGAGGGAAGACGTATTGATGCTCTCTGCAAGCATGGGTACGATACATAGCCGTCAGCTTACGATAAATGATACCCCAAGTATCGACTTCTTCAGGTGTATAGTTGACATGTGGTACAGGATCACCAGTACGGAAGGCTTTAGCCTTGCGAGTGATATCAGCTCGTCGCTCACGGTATGCTGGGTCATGTGCTCCAGGGTGATCCGAGCCTGATAAGGTGGTTAGCTACTTGATCCATATAGCTACTTCTTTTTTTTTACTTACTCAGCTCCTCGCCCATCTCAAGCACCTTTTCAGCAAAGGTATCCAAATCAGCCATTTTGCGTGGGAACCAAGGAACACTATCTACCAATCGATTTTTCCCACGAAGGTCAAAACGTGAATTCTCGAGACACACGTATTCGTATTACTTACTTTGGACCTCGGCACCAATGACACGCACATCCGCGGTATGCTTTCGAAGCCTTTCCACGACTTGATTCACCTGATTTGTGTTTACAGCATCAAGATCCACAAAGAAATCGTAATCCCAACCAGCAGTCTTGCTTGGCCGACTATCCGAATCAATCACGTTATTATCCCTTTCAAGAAAGCAACCATGACACACACACACACACACACACTACTTACGATTCAATACGAGTCAAAGAGACATCCATTGCCTTGATAGCTGAAAGACAATTCTCAAGTGCGCCCACCTTATCAGTGATGGAGAAGAGCAAAGTTGTCTTGGGGGGATTGTTCACCGTGGCATTGGCAGCAGTGGCCATACCTCGCCTAATTGTAATAGGGTATAAATTTTCGCACGGATTTTCCCGCGATCACATGGCCACCTCCTACTTACTTTTCAGCCACCACACCCACTTGAGCTTGTCGCAAGAGCTTGCCATGCAATGTGTATCCAGGCTTCTTGACAGTGAAGATAGTACCAGGTTCCTTGCCAGGCATCACCTTTTGAAATGCAGCTGTAGCACGCTTGGGATCCAGCTTTTCTCCTAATGTAGGCTTGAAGGCTTCAAGGCCATGTCGCTTAAGCGTCTTGCTGAGCTCTGCATCTGTCATAGAGACACCAGTGTAAAAGTTGACAAGTTGATCCAAAGACTTTTCAGCAGGGGCTGTATTGGTATCAGCTTTGCGCATGTTGGCAGGTACAGAGGCTAATGCCATGCCCAACACATCCACAGTATCCAAAAGATCCTTGGCAAACTTTGAGATTGCATAGTCGCGTGTGTTGGCAATTTCTTGTTGGGATCGACCTTGCAAAGTCTCATTGTCCTTGACACATTGTTGGAAGGCTTCCTGTATAGGATACATGCGTGTAAGTGGTGGCTTGGTGGCATGTATGGAGGAACGGATGGTACTTTACCTGAAGTTCAGTGATACGTTGGTCCTTTTCTTGAAGCAGTTGTTGATGGTTGGCCACAGGTTGCTCACTTTGAGAAGCGTATTGTCTTGCGAAAGCAATGCGAGTGAATGAAGGAATGACATTGCGACGCGGTGTGTGTCGGGAGTGAAGGTTAACCAAACGCCGGGCGGAGCGGTGCATACTCAAAAAAAATAAAGTGGGAACAAGAGGGAGTAAAAATGAGGCCTCCCAATGGGCGCGCATTTAAACGATTCATGCTGGCAGCCTGGGTGATACTGTGTGCAACCTTACGATTTCTTAACACACCTCTCCACATCAACCCCACACCTATTTTGGAAAGGGCGATGCACACGTTGCATCTCATCCATTGTGTCACACTATTCGTTTCCACGAAGGTCTCATTGCTATCGTCACATTGTATGCATGATCCTCGGTATCAGCATCGTTGCCTTGGTATTGGCATCGTTGCCTAGGCGACGCTCTTGACAAACGTAGTTCATAGCAACCACGACGAGCCTTTAATGTCCACCCATAAATGATTTGAGAAAAGCTACCATCATGCACATCCCATTCATTATTGGACAAACGTATATAGAACAATCCCTGGTTTTGTCATCCGTAACAGATCAAAACGCACTTGGAGCTTTCAATCACGCCTTTTGAAGGCATCCAGTGCACAAATGGGTGTCAATAAAGAAGACGTTGGTTCAAAGTAGATCCCATGGCACGTGCCTTTGTTATTATAACATGAACGATACACCTTGATCTAAACAACGGAACACTGCTGTAGTCATTGTTCTTTATGGAAGAGTATGGCATGTCTTAAGGTAAGCGCTCGAATTGTACGATCATGGATGAAGAGCTCTTTTATTTTTTATCCTCACTACAATAGCTGTAGTATGAAATGGGTTGATTGCTTTATATGATATCTAGCAGTGGAGACCTATATGCAAGATCTATGATAGTGACACTAGTGTGGGCCAGCTATTCAGTAAGCAGCGATCAACATCTATGGGGTGAAAGTGGCCTAGCCTAGTCGGTACCAAAGCCCAGAAATTTGCCGTGGTCGTGTTTGAGTTTATTCCTCCTTCGCCTCTCGCTCTCCTTTTCTTTTCCACCGTTTCGAGAAAGGAATAGAGTCACCAGTCGTTTCGATTCAGCAGCCTCTCAACACCATTGGATTCGTCTCCACCTAATTAATACTCTTATATATAACCGACTATCGTCACCCTCCACACAGCCCAATGACTCTCACAAGCGATCAGGTCAACATCATTGTTTATCGCTATCTACAAGAATCTGGTACGTCTACAGCAGCACAAACTGCACCCGTAGATTGACAACGACGTGTTCTTAGGCTTCCGGCATACTTCATTTGCGTTTCAACATGAGAGTCAAGTACAGAATTCGGCATATCGCGACACCGAGATTCAAGCTGGTGCGCTCATCAACATCATCCATAAAGGCCTTCAGTTCATGGACATTGAAGCACACATGAACGAGGTACAACGATAACGCCCTTTTTATTATGTATTATTCACGTATTCATCCGATCGACTCACACGACGCGTCGTTTTATCAACCACAGGATGGAGAATTGATGGAATGCAATATACCGTTTTCCTTATTGGAGCCTCATCATTGCGATTTGACGGGCAAGACGCTAAGCGATTCACATACATCATCGTCACCTACGCCAGGAGCAAAGCGTCAACGTAAAGAGAAATCACAAAAGGAAAAGGAAAAGCGTGTACGAAGGGATACATCCAATGATGAAATCTCATCAGCTGTTGCAGCAGCTGCAGCATCAACCACAGCAACATCATCGGCAGTACCATCGTCATCATCATCCTCCGCACCAACTAACAACAACACAGCAGATGCCGCTGCACCTGTCAATGGCTACACAATCAAAGAAGAGACCGAAACGGCAGATGGTATACTTTATACATGGGAAAAGCAAACGTCCACTCATCATCCTTTATCCTTACATAGTCGAGATGCGAGATGTACAACCTGCAACAACTACAACTACAACAACAACCGAACAAGTGGCCAAACCTCAGACCATGGTCGATTCCAAAGATGTGCACGTTTTGACAGGCCATCAAAGTGAAGTGTTTTCATGTTCGTGGAATCCAGTGGAACCTCTATTGTTGGCTTCAGGGTAAGTAGGCTATTGGAAACGAAGGGTTGTCATGAGCTGATGGATACCCCCTCATAGATCCGGTGATGCCACGGCACGATTATGGCGAATTCCAGAAGATAGCAGCAAAACAGCAGAACCACCTATTGTGTTGAGTCATCTTCCCAATCTGAATGAAAATAAGGATGTTACTACGTTGGACTGGAATGTAAGTTATTGGTAGGGGAAAGGGCACCTTTCTTTTGTTATCGCATGCTAAGCGCTTTTTTCCCCTTTAGCCATCGGGTACACTCTTAGCAACAGGTTCATATGATGGCCAAGCACGTATTTGGACGTTGAAGGGCGAGCTACGTTTCCTTATGGCACAACATCGCGGGCCGATCTTTTCATTAAAATGGAACGGCAAGGGTGATTTGATCCTTAGTGGCAGTGCTGATAATACAACGGTTGTATGGGATCCAGAGACAGGCGAGATGAAGCAGCAATATGAGCTACATTCACGTAAGTAGGCAATAGGAAGCATCATCATGGACGTATATATATATATATACTCACACCATGATTGTTTTATACAATTCCATAGTAGCTATTCTTGATGTGGATTGGATGGATAATACGACCTTTGCGTCATGCTCTTCGGACAAGACCATTTTCGTGTGCCGCGTTGGTGAAACAGAGCCATTGAAAAAGTGGGCAGGTCATGAGGATGAAGTCAATGCAGTGCGTTGGGATCCAACTGGACAATATCTAGCATCCTGCTCTGATGATATGACAACCAAGATTTGGTCTCTAAGCTCGGATCAACCTGTTCAAGAAATTCGTGGACACTCGTTGCAGATTTACACCTTACAATGGGCACCTTATTCACGCAGCAGCACCTCCGCCACTGAATCCTCTTCTTCTCCACGGATACTCGCTACAGCAAGCTTTGATGCTACCGTTAGATTATGGGATGCGTTGAATGGTACTTGCCTTCATGTACTACAAAACCATAGCGAAGCCGTATATTCTATTTCATTCAGCCCTGATGCACGGTTATTGGCAACGGGTAGTTTTGATGAGCAACTCAATGTGTGGAATGCCAAGGTACGTTATCGTATTGGATTCAGTGATCAAAGACATGGAGTAATGACGTTTTCTTTGAAAAGGATGGTACTTTGCAAGAGACTTTCAAGGCCAATGGTGGTATCTTTGAAGTTCATTTCAACAAGAATGGTGATAAGCTGGCTGCATGTACATCCAATAAGCAGGTAAAGATATGGACGATGTACAAAGGAGGAAAAAGAGCTAATGTGTGTGTGTGTGTTTGGTGTAGGTCGTTATTTTGGATATGAAGCGATAAAAATGAATCTCCTGTTTTCCTCCTATTCGAATATGTTTTATCTTTTCTGTAACCACACATCTATATATCATGTCGGCATTATTACGAATGTACCATCGGATAGAATTAGTTTTATTGGAAGTTGCATCTACTACTCCTCTGGGTTTGGGTAGTTGGTGGGAATGGTAGAATGTGAAAAAGATCTTGATGAAATGGGGATTGCAGTGGTTTACTTGTCGTTATGGTATGCACCGCCATCTGATTTACGTGCACGCACTATGATTTTGGATTAGAAGGGGTTGTGTCCAAAGATAAGATATGCCACCATTACTTACCATCATTTCGGATCGGTATCTTGAGACCTTGTTTGGCGAATGCTTTGGATAGCTCGGTTGATTCTATGTAAAAGACGAGAAAGCGTTTAAGTTTAAGGTTGTGCACAGACATTTTAGATGACTTACCAGTCATTCCAGGGAACTATGGAGGAAAACAAGTTATGTGTTATACATAAGCGTGTAGGAGAATGGTATCATAAAAACATACCTTTTTGGCAGAGTAAACGGTGAAAGGGTCCGAGAAGACTTGAGCAATGATCCTTGACTTGGCATCGGTTTGAAAGTCAGAGCTATTCAAGATAATGCAACTCGTGAATAAAAAGCGATCTTTGCAGTCACCATTGTTGTCATACCTTGCCAACTTCATAAGACTAAATCTCAAAGTATATCGTCCTTCTGTTCGAATGCTCAAATCGGGAAATGCAAAGTATAAACCTTGTTCACCGGAAGGATCTTTAAGTAGACTGGGAGAGCTGACAAGAGACCCCATCAAGACACGAGTGCATTTGGGTGGATTAGAAATGATATTGCGTTCTTCCACACGATCCGCAGACCAAAGGGTCACGTGCAATACAAAGAAGGGTGTTTGAAGAGTCCTAAAAGGCGGTGTTATGATGCCAAGAAATTTTTAAAGGAGTATACAACATACTGCACATCGACAGGACCCTGTTCTTGTTGTACAATCAATTTCACAATGGGTGGCGGGTCAATGGGGCGTCGGTCTTTTTCACCAAATCCACACATTCGGGCATGGAGAGGCTGTTGACAAACAACAAGCTCATACGTTCTACAACAACCCATTGATTGCATTAGCACACACCATTATTTCGCTTCCTCTTTTTTCCGTTATGAACACCTACCTCCTTTCTCTTTCATCATAACCAATCGCTCCACAAAGTGATGATTGTTGTTGTTGTTGCTGTTGCTGTTGCGATGGAAACGATTCCACTCCTGATAATCCTCCTGCTGTTGGTTGTGGGGGTGCTGCCATGGTTGCCGTTGCATAAGTGTCACTGTTCGTTCCGGGTAAAGCCGAGTCCTCTTGCTCGGGGTTCAACGACGAACCTTCAGCATAAACTTGGTGGCCTGTTGATCGAGTATCGTGTACATAAGAAGAAGCATTGCTGTTTGCGGTCGTTGCTGTGGGTGGTGGCAAAGAGTCTGGTACTGAGTGATGTGCATTGCCATAGTAGGGCGGAGGTGGAGGCGGTGCATTGGACGATGATGAGCTTGTGTATGGTGAATCGTGTGAATCAATAGAGTTATGAGAGCCTATTTCACGTTTAATGTTGGTCATGTTGAGTGCAAAGACAAGGAGGTAAAAATGAAACGCAAGAAAGGGAAGGGAGAGAAGAGGAGGGGGGAAAAAGAGAGAGCGAGAGTGGTACACTGGTCGGTTTAAATGATTTGACGGCCGATTGGGACCTTGTGCCTTATTTAGATATTATCATCATCTCTTATGGGTTTTATCATTCATCTTTTCCTCTCTCTATCACATATACACACAACATGCAACACACACTCATGCTATTCTACTGCTACTCTGGTTTTCCTATAAGACCCTTGCCCCAATTTTGGATTACTCGTGAACACTGTTTACGCACATGCTCTGAACGAGCATTCTTCCATAGTCCGAGTGCATCCAATTGTCTTGCATGGTGTACACATTGTTCCCAGTAAAACTTGGCATAAACTCGGTTCTCAATCACACGCTATTTGCATATATTTAAACCACTTGATTCTCGGCTATAGCTTTTCTTTTCCCGTATGCTTACCTCAAAATCACTCAATTGGCTTTCTCCACTTGCTGGTAGCTGAACCACAAAGTCGTCTGGCAGCACCCAAAACTCACCGCCCGCAAGATAATTGGATAACAAACATGCTGATCGCCTATCCAGAAACCTCTCAGCACACCTATTAAAATAAAATATCAGCAACACAAATCTGAAACATATATCATCATCAGATAATACCATGGTTGAACGGTCTTGCTTGCAATCACAATAGGCTCATAATCATAATGGTAGTGCTCCACAGCATATAGAGAAGTAGACTCACGCCATCGATCCAAATCTGTGGGTCCCTGATTTATCTCCCAATGTGGATCCACAAGTCCCATCTCGTTTTTGTTGATGCTCTCCAATAATCTTTCCTTGTGATATGGGATGGTGAATGCTTCACGTTCATCTTGATGATTGAATCCAAATATAGGCACCACAAGCATGTCGCCTTCACGTAAAAGTGTCTCGAAAATATTGCGATTGGCATCAAAGGTACGTCGTAGATCGGTAGCCGGTACCAAATTACTTGGCATCTCACACACAAATTCGGTTCGGGCAAAAAGTCGTGCCACGTTGCGTTCGACATTGCGTGAGAGCAACACTGTAGGTGGATTACTTTCAGCTGAACGCACAAGATGGATATCGGCTCGCAGCTTTAGATTGTTGACTCGACTTGTTGTTGTATAAGCATCTCGAATACGTTGCAATTGATCTCGTCCCACTTGATGATCGATATGAAGCGTGGCAGATATCGGACCTGATTTTATATAGCATCACAAAAGTTTAGTGCTACCCCTTTTCCCCAATGTGCCATGGTAACGACCCTTAAAAGCTTACCTTGCCAACGCTCCGCTATACGCTCAAGCTCAGCCCACGTATCCAGTGTAACGGCAGTCGTCAATGTGACATCTCTAGGATCAATGGCTTCCGATCCTTTTAACCAGTAAGGCTCCGTCATCCGAACAGCATCATAATGCGATTTTGAGAACAATTTGGACATCTTGAGGCCCGTAGTCATATTATCCATCACTGAGTAAGATTGATCTAGAACGAACGTATCGTTATTAGTCAACGTTGCTATGTAGAAATAAAAATGGGTCTTATCTACCAGAATCATACGTGCGAGCTGGTTGCCACGCGACACCAAATCGTGGATCGAGCGGTGGTGTACTTGAGAAATACCATCCCCAAAGTTGGCTGAACGAAAGCATGACAGAAAACATAGCATAAAACAATAACAACAAGCGAGCAAGTCGTGAACGAGTCAGCTTGGCCACCCAAGACTTTGAAGCGCCTTGTTGCTCGTGAGGAAGTAGAGGCCCTGAAGGATTGAGAAATGCATCGAGTTGCAATGAGAGTCGACTGGTATATTTTTGCCAAGAGCGTGACATGGTGAAGGAGGAAAGAGATGCCAATGAAGTAGATGCTTGAGTGCTTTTGTCTGGAATGCGGTGATGAGTGGATGCTGAAGTGATAGAAGGCTTTCGTTGGTGCGTTTTTGTCACCAAGGGGGAGCGTTTATGCTGGCGCTGTTGTGGTTGCTGAAAGTCCTGATGCTGCTCTGTTTTCGTCATAGAGTCAGCCGCTTTACTGTGCGATATGTATAAGGAGCAAAGATGAAAGGGGGTCGTCCAAAAGATTGGCTCAAGCCGAGAACGACGACGATCCTAAATCTTAAACACAGCACCACCACCAAAATTGAAAGGCCTCTCGACTGTGCTATGTGCTACCATCAACGTTTGCATGGATAATGCTACCTACGCTTACCCTTTCCAAGTTGGTCTCGTTGTAACAAAATAAAGGACGTTTATTATAATCACACGTTGCCCTCCATAATCATATTTTCATTCATTACTACAATGGAAAGCTCATTGTTTCATTGCGTATGCATTTTGATTGTTTGACTATGATGATTTATCATCCACATGGATCTAATGTCGATCTTGATACACAAATCAAGTATCCGTTTCATGTCATACTTGCTATGTAAGGTTACATCTAGCCAAGCAACCAGGTTTTGCTTATCATCACCAGTAGCAGCACACTTAACCAAGAGTGGTAAGCAAGGTGATCCACCTTCTTTTTCCTAACACAGATAACCACAACTAAGGATTGTACGTAATGTAATGCTGGAAGATGATCATTGGCAGGATCAAACTATATCATCTCGATAGGTTGATACCAAGCGGGTAGCATTCTTTACGTACGCACGTGCACAAAAGCAAATGCATTGGATGTAAAAGTGAATAAAATATGGAGCTAGTATAGAGATGCAATGGATAAGCTTTCTTGTATCTGTGCACGGTTTGTATAACGAAACCATGCATTTGGCAAGTGCATATGGGATATCCATTTCGACAAACAATGAAGGTTGGTGCGTTTTGGTAGGTGGTCATAGCGTGTTCCTGCTCTTGTAGTAAACTCGTTTCACCCAACACTGGATGGATAATAGGAGCAAAAACCAGGAGTGAAAGAAGCCACCCAACGCCTTGTTCAGGAGAAGGACTAGATTTCCCACAACGCTTTGCCCCTGGGATAGAAGAAAAAAGTGGTTATTGAGCGAATGCTGCACTTTACATCTCTCCTTTTCCTCTAAAAACTTCATCGAGCTTTACATACGCCATGTCATCGTATCCTCAACAAGGCTATCCACCACCACAGCAAGGGTATTATGCCCCTCCTCCTCAACAAGGCGGATATTATCCTCCACCACAACAAGGCGGTGGCTACTATCAACCAGCGTATGCAAATTTGTGCTATTATTCTCATCAACTATCCTTGTTAACGTATGCATTTGGCAATGGACATGTTTCTTATTAGACCTCCACCACAAACAGTGATGGTACAACAACCACCAAAGAATGATGATAAGGGTTGCTGCATGGGATGGTAAAGAAAATCATGGCACATGGGTGGGTCATCATTGATCTAACGTATTGTTACAATCATTCTTAGTCTCGCTGCCTTGCTTTGTTGTTGCGTCCTAGAAGAATGCTGCTGATAATAACGCTGTAGTGATCGCTATCGCCTGCTCTCTCTTAATTTTGAATACAGCAATACAATATGTCTGCAATCCGACAAAGCTAGTATGGGTATGGTTTATTGTATGAAGCACGGGATGTAATTTTATCGAGCAAATGTGGTGGGTATAGACATGCGATCGGGATTGTACAGTGTCGGGATGCGTATGCGAGGTGAATGGATGATGGTTGGGGTGAAATGATGGATAAAGGGAAATTAGGCTCTTGTAGAGGTGAACCATTGGTCTAATCTTTCGATACGTGCATCACACCGACGAAGACCTGAAGCCACCTTTGGGCTAGTTGACGTGGTAGTAGTATCTCTTTGCTGCTGTTGTTGTTGGTTTAGCATCACGGCAAGCATCGATGTCCGTGATCCGATAGATTGGTAGGGTGGAATTTCCTGTTTTATAAAAAGGCCGGCATCATCACTTGTGGCTGCAGGTGTGAGCGGGTAATCAGATATCGATATTTCATCGTCATCCGTAGTCGTTGCTTCTTGATCGTAATCATAATCATAGTCATCGTCATCCTCTTCATCTTCACTATCACTGATAAAGAACTTGTTGGAGGCCGATGATGATGATGATGGAGAAGAACTAGAAGGTGGGCTAGATTGCTTGGCTGTTTCAGAGCATTGGGCACTGAGTGTCGGGGAAGATCGAGATCGTGATAAAGTTTTTGTTGGCGGTTTTGACACAACAGCAGGTGCAAGCTCTTGGCTTGTAGGCTCTGAGATTGCAGGTGATGATACAACGGGCTTTTTGTTCATAATCGCTTGACGATACCAAAGACGCCATGTCATGTTTTCAAGACGCAAGCTATATTGAAGCTGCCGTTTGCATTTTGAAAGAGCTGATAATATTGTACACTGATAAGCAAAAAAAAGGTACCGAGTAAAAACGTTGGGGGCAGCTTACCGATCCAAAGGGATACGAGATCCTCTCGTGTATTTCGAGACAAGGTATGTACAGGATGCAAAGCGTAAGAGGAAAAGTGTAAATCCATGACGATGGCAGCAATGATTGCTTGTTGTGTGTGGTGTAAGGAAGAAGAAAGAAGTGCTTGTGCTTTGCTCTTTTCTGTTTGCTCAATGCTGAATGTAAATTTAGCCCGCCGCTTGGGGCAAAATGGATGTTTTCGCCCCAAGATGCTTTTGGTGGGGTAAATCTGCCCGGCGGTTTCACCAAATGACCCTTTTGCAAAGCACAGGGCGTTTTGTTTCCCTCACACATTTCAAAACATACACCGTAACACATTACCCCACCATCTTGCTACCCGCAATAGTAATGTGTTTTTTATCCTTGTTGTCATACTGTGAGTCTTATGTCAAACAAAACACATCGTGAAACAGGAAACGCTGTGCACTGACGGCAACAAGCAAGGTGGCACTTTATACGTAAAGATTATAGGCATATCAATAAAAAAGGATGATCGCCATTAATTGGCTATTGCACTGCACCTGTTAGCCTTTATCTTCCCCCCCCCCAGATCGTCGTTGATTAACCAGTACTTTGAGCTGCAGGGTGCTGTACGTCTGACATTGGCACCACTACACAAGCAAGAGCGATTGCATATAGGTATACACGACGAGAGCACATCTCATTGTCGTTTTTCTCCATAGCTTTTATCATGACAGCAGTAATGAATTGGTTGCTCCTTGGCGTTATCTTATATCAGGAGTGTGACACAAACTGCTAAAAGACAGCCATTTTCATGCCGACGACCAATAGACCCATGCATGCTTTTGGCCGGCACATTTCTCATTTATTCTTTGACCGACCACATTTCAACCACAACAAGGACAATGCCTTAGATTGATGATGAATGAGTGGCGATCATTCAAATGTGGCAATGAGGAGACGATTATTAGGGTCAATCATCACTTTTATTTGTATAATAACGGCACAACAACAACAACGACATGAATCTCCTTGAAGCAATATACCCAGAATTGCAATGAAAAGAAAGACCGATTCACGTGTCTCATCTATCAATTCAAACGTCTACTACAACATGTGTGTGGAATGCATAACAACGATGAATATGTGGTGAAGAAGAAGCATCATCATCACCATGGCAAAAAGAGCGTGGTGATAGCAACAGCAATGATAAACACGATGAATGGGGTGGTGCTGGGTGAAAGGGGACAAACAAAATAACATCTTGGCACTTCTTTTATGTTGTCGCTTTCTCCTTTCCCTTCTTCCTCTCTCACATTATCCGCCATAATACACACAAATATGCACGGCCAACAAGTCATGATAGTAAAATATGGTGAGCAGCAAAAGAGAACGTTGTGTTTATCCTCTGTAACTGGGCAACCCCTTATTTCACTCCCTTCTTACCCACAAAGTTAGATCTCGTTGTTGGAGACCACCATTGCCTTTGTCTCCTTTCCGCCCATTAGAAGCTTAATTCACCCATTCAGCAGCACACACAAGACACACGACCTCTTCCTCTTTCCTTCTTGTCTAATGCCTGTCAATGACAACCTCACTCAAATCACCATGGCGCACAGACTCTCCAATCACGATCGATCGTATACACGCTTATTGGTAACACCACCTTCACCACCCTACGGCACTCCACCAGAATATCGGCGATTGAAGGAGGATATGGTACTACGATGGATCAATTATCAGCTTGGTTGCACACCACCTGTCAGTTGTCTTGCCGACATTTACAACCACGACGCCTTTGTCAAGCTCATTCACACTGTATCTAGTCAACATTGCCCTCGACAACGATTATCAAAGCCGGCAGGGACATCATCGTATGAAATAGCCATTGCTATGCTGGATGATTGGATTGGTGGACATCGTTTGGAGAGAGTGCTTCGTGACGATCCAGATCAGCTGCTATCGTTTATCCTCACTCAACATCAGGCACATATCATTCATAAGATACAATCAACATTAAACACATTCATCATTCCAAAGGTAAGTTGTGTGTGTGTGTGTGATGGATGATGAATGAGATCTTTTATTCATTGTTTTACACAATAGGATGCGCCTGTTTTGTATCCAGAGCAACAACAACAACAACAACAACAATCGTCATGTGTCGAACCATTCCAGATCAAGCAAGTGCTATTGTCATGGGCACAAACATGCTTAACCGACTATGTGGATGCATGCTTACTACCTCTTGTCGACAACTGCAACGAATCATGGCAAGATGGATTAGCATTCCTGGCACTAGTACATCGTTATGATCCTGGCAGCGTACAAGATCTACCTCATTTTGTGGCACACAATGTCGACAACAAGGTTCATTGGGAGCACACATTGACGACAGCCTTTCGAAGAGCACATGATACATTTGAGGTGCCTGTGTTACTGGATGCCCATTTACTGGCAACAGCATTGCATGTTGACGAGGAATCCATTATGGCTTATCTGGTTGAATTTCTTCGAGCTGTGCATTTGCAAAGAATGTGTCGATCGATGGATGAATGCGAGGAATACGAAAGGCAACTCAGGGGAAAGCGCCAAGCTGACATTGAACAATGGTGCACTGCTGCTGCCACAAGTAGAACAACATCAACGACATGCAATACACAGCTACGACTTACGAGGGTGGTACAAACCATGTCAGTGGTAAAATCGCCATCGCCATCATCATTATCATCCCACCACGACAACAAGTTGAAAGATGATTCAAGTACCACCACTCGTGATATTTTGGACAAGATTGAAGATCTACGTCAGCGATTGATGAATATTGCACCTACTCGATCCACCCACTACAATCATCAACATCAACAACGTCGTCGTCGTCGTAGACAAAGTTCATGTACCACAATGCCTGATTCACCTGTGCCATCAGAGCAGGATTCATTGATGGATAACAACCACGATAACGACATCATCATAGCATCATCATCATCATCATCACCAACGGATCAGCTCCCCCTGCATCCACTTCAAGCAGGGTATGAAGACTTGCGATCTTATGAGCAAAATTTTGCGGGTTTTCAAGTATCCCTGCACGCATTTCAACAGGGCGATGATATCAAAAGGTGGTTAAGTGGTGGTGGTGGTGGTGATACAAGATCTTTATCCACTACTGGCAATGGCGATACTATTCAGGAGGCATATGCAACGCTTATGCAACATGTTGACCAAGCGACACACCAATTGGATTTATTTCGAAGAGGATTCTTTTTTGGTCGACAATGTGCGGATATACGTAGCGAATTGGATGCTATCCAAACCAAGATGTTGAAGACCACACCTGCATCTTCCGATAACAACATCCAGGACTTAGGGAGGCAATTGGAGCATGCAACTACCATGTTGGATGAGCTTCATGATAACGAATTGCTCACCGTTGAATCCATCTATCATGAGCACATGGCATCCCTTGTTCGGAAAAAGGAGCGGGTACAATCATGGGTGGACGAGGTTCGAGTCTGGTTTGCGGAAGCCAAACGCATTCGAGAATGGATCGAGATACGCATGCAACGGCTTGAAAAGGTTGCTGTACCCGTTGAGCCACTCAAGAATATCAAGATGGTCGTATCAAGAGCTGAAGTTGAGCGATTGAATGCTGAGCACGAGATGTTGGAACAAGAGATTGAATCATTTGATAAGCAAGATATGGCTCGTTTACGTGCGCATGTGAACAAGTCCCTCACGAGTGCAGGGCAGGACGCTACTACAGCAGCATCCAGCAACGATCTTAGTCCAGCTGACACAACGACTATTGAAATCACCTTGACAACATTGACGTTGCGTGAAAAGCTTATGAGCATGTTACGCCGTAAACGTGATGACCTTGATGTCTTGACGCAACGCTTGGCATGGGAAGAGGAATTCGAAAAGACACAGGCGTGGATTGAAGACACGGATCAGCAAGTGGAGGCTTTTATTCGGGATACTGCACGATGGCAATTGGCTGAGGATGATATGGACACCTTGCAATATCGGCAACATGATCATGTTATGGCTCGTGAACGACTCAAAGAATTGGTTATCCAGCGCTTGTTGATGCTTGAAAAGAAACGTACCGAGTTTGATCAAGGCCAGTTCACCACCACCATGGATAGCTACAATGATCTTGAAGATGTTGCCAATGTGGATGCATTACCCGATCATTTGGAAGCGCGACAATCATCCTGTGAACGACAATTTGAGGACTTGTTTAAGAGGATCAACTTTTCTCGTCAAGTGGTGGAACAACGCCTCAAGATGATGGAGTTTTTGAATCAAGTTCACAGCGTAAAGTACGATGCTCAGCAGCTTATTTTGGATCTCCAGCAAGCACAAAAGGGGGATAAGGATTGTGCTGATATGGTACCGCATGTCCAAGTGATTCACGATCGGATTGCTCAGCTTGTTGCGGCTTCAGGAACGGCACGTATACCCTATCCACAAGCAACATTGTTTTCTGATGAAGAAAAAAATACTCGCTCAAATGATGTTATTCACACTCACGTGGAAAAATGGCGTCGTGAGCTGCTGTTGTTGGATGATCATGTTGACACACAATTGGATGCATTGCAGCAAAAAGTGACCATGGATAAGCACAACAACCAGCTTTTGGATGAAGCGACCCGTCTTTATCATTGGGCCGATGATCGATTGCAGCATTTGAGGAAGGCAAGATCTGATGCAAGCACGGGTGAAATATTATCTGAGGATGGCCTACGACGGCTTGAGCGTGATCGTGATTACTTGTTGAGCAAGCTCAAGGAAGACAAAGAGGATGAAGCTATTGATGTATTGACGAGGATACAAGCCTTTGTGGAACAAGTGCCACGAATGAAAGTTTCGGTTGATACGCAGAGATTGGAGGACATGGCACAGCATTTGACCACATCCTTTGATCAATTGCGTGACACATTGGAAGACTACACCAAAGACCTTGACATCTTGAGAAAGCGAGCCGACGATGATAGTAGCCACATCAGCAAGATCCATGCTTTGAAAGCATACATCTCGGATACACGTGCCTCATTACCAGCATTGAAGCAAAGCTATGGATTCATGACGGGTCGATCTCAAGAGCAGGATCACAAGAGATTCAACATGCTGCAAGAATCTGTGGATGGCATCATGGCGTCTTTTCGAGAGCAAAGCAATCAGTTACAACTGCTGAAAGATGAGCTACACCATGACAATCAACATGTTGTTGATAATGCTGAAGATGTTCACAAGGCTATGGATAGCACATTGCAAGAATGGGAATGTCTCAACAATGACCTTGATTCGTTACAACAATTCACGGAGAATGTTGAGCGTTGGTATGAGCGACAACGTCGATTGAGCATTGTGGAACAAGAGTTTTTGGACAAGCGAGGGAAACGATCAGCCTATTGCGACAATGAAAATCTCGACAAGGCGATTTCCATGCTGGAGGAGATTGGCAGTGAGATTACATCAGCTGGTCAACATTGTCGAACGGATCCTTTGGAAGCTGCCAATCATGCATGTGCATATGATCGACATGCCGCATTGATGAAACAAGCACGAGCATTGCGACAAGAACAAGTGTCATTGCAGCAAGCTTCAAGTGATGCAACCATGCGTGATTCAATGTTGCACAATTTGGGGACAATGTTGAGCGAGGTGCAGCATGAGAATGAACGAATGAGGGAGCGCGTGGCCGTCATTGGACAATGCGATTTTGCATTAATGTCAATGGATGAGATTGGCAAGTTGTACCAAGAGTTGCAACGTGACACAACACAATGCGTCGCCGTTATCGACAAATGTCGTCAGCAATTGGCACACAAGACTATAGCGGCGGACAATGTGGTACAGGAGCGTATCGATCGTGTGGAGGATTCATTGGCGGAATTGGAGATTTTCAAAGACATGCTCGAAAAGCAAGCCTTGCTCGTACGAAGGATTCAGGTTCATGCCGAAGCTGCCAACAATCTCGATACGTGGATCGGTCAATGCAACGGTGCTATTGCACGATTTGCCAATGCTGATGCAAGGAATACCGTGGATGAATTGCAAGAACAACAAGATGCTATTGGGCGAAAACTTGCAGAGATCCAACCCGTTGTGCGTTCGTTTCGAGCCATGCAAGAGCGTATCTTTTCTGGTAACATCGAGATTGGTGCTGATGATACGGCAATCAGAGCTGGTGTTCAAGCGCGTGAGGATCGTACAATGGAATCGTATCGTCAACTGTTGACATCCTTTGATGGTGCCAAAGCCAAGGTGCAAACGACTCGGCGTGATGCGGATGTTGCTCATATTGTTAAGGATATCTTGACATTGGTGGGAGAATACAAGGATCGCACCAATGCATTACGACTCTGCAAATCATTTATGGTGGATGGTGATATTGGACAAGCTGGGCAATGGAACGATTTGAAAATGGTGACATGTTGTTCATTGTCAATGATGCCACATGAGAATGAGCTTCGTGACTACAAGAGTGATCTATCAATGATTGAGCAGGACATTGAACGACATTTACAAAAGAAGCTGGATGATCTTGACACTATTCTCGGCAAGGCTGTTGTTCGAAGCAAGAAGCTCTTTTCTGCACAACGGGCTGAAATTGCTATGGCAGTACGTGGATTAGCCGATTTGCTCAAGATGAAGCATGATGCAGCATTGACAGCTGAAAAGGTGGAACCCTTCTTGAACATTGCCGAGGAGATTGATGTCATGTTATCTGCATTATCAGAAGCCGTGGATCGTACATCACCAAGTCAAGCACGTATCGTGGATGGATTACCTAGTCGAGCAGATTTACAAGCGATGCTCATTGATTTGGATACGCAATATCGATATTATCAGCCAAAGATCAATCATTTATTGAAGGAGGCGTATGGTGCAGCACAAATGGCGATTCGTGATAAGCGAGTTGCGGATTCCTTGGATGAGTTGAAATACAAGTGGAATCGACTACAGCAACAAGTGACGGCACGACACAATGACTTGGCAAGTCGAATTGGACATGTCGGCAAGCCATTTATGAGTACACGATTGACATCAGCTGGTAATATCAACAATCGATCCACTCAAAATAAGCGTATGTCGATGCCTTGTTTCAATACTGCACCTCCTCGTTCGATTCAATCCACTCCCAAACCAGCACCCAAATCACGAGCAAGGCCACAATCAATGCTTATTACACGTGCAACAGCAACGCCCACAAAAAGACCACCTACAGCACCAACGTGTGGATTGCTTGGATCACGCCAACAACAACAACAACAACCATTTCCATTTCGGGATCGACGCTATACAACAACAACATCTGAGGCCTATGTTGCTGATCCAAAGAATGACCTTGATGTGGCAGTGGGCAATATTGTGAATGACTCACCATACAAAGTGCGAATCAAAAAGGTGCCTGGAGAAGTGGGACGCTATTGGTTTGGAAAGAGCCGACCCAAACTTGCGTATTGTCGTATTCTCGGGAGTCGAATGGTGATGGTGCGAGTCGGCGGTGGATGGGTGGAGTTATCTCAATTTTTACGGGATCAGAATCTGTTGGAAGATGGTCGCTACATTCCACGGGATGCATCCTCATCTCCTATTCACCATAGCAACAACAACAACAACGGCAACAACGTGGTGACGCTATGTGGCGGGGATGGCATCAATAGCAGGAGTTCTAGTCCGCTCACTAAACGAGGAGTAAAATCACCCACCTCACCTCATCCAGCATCCAGCCCACTAAGGTCAACATTTGGTCATGGTATCAAGGATGGCAACAAGGCATTGATCCCAATCGATAAGGAAGGCAACCAGGTGCAAGTGCGGATGACAAAAGCAAAGAGCAATAGTACCAAGTTTATTACTCCATGGCGATAGTAGCAGCAATACTAGTAGTAGTAATAGTAGAAGAGAAGATAATAGCATAGCATTGCATCATGTTGTATGATCTGTATGAGAAATACAAAATTACCCCTGATTCTTCAACTCATCATCTGAACCGTACTTTTGGGTTGTAGCTGTGGACCATTGTTAAGCATGGAGGCACAAGCCATGTCAATGCTCTGTACTGCGTGCTATGTGTTGCCATGGTGACATGGAGAACAAAGCGTTTGTGTTTCGTGGTACATCATGCTGCTGATGCTGCTGGCTGTGCCCATTGTCTCTGCTGTTGTTGTATCAAAAGTAGAAACAAGCTTTTTGAAAATGAGACGCATGCATCTTTGCCATAAACTTCATATGTGATGTAATAATACCGGCAGCTAAGCAGGTTGCAATTAAGGGGCGTTTATACCATATGTAATCCCCATGAAGTTGATAGGAGAAATATACTTCTCATAGTAGGCGCGGTGGTCATACCGAAAGTAACATGCGAGATTCTGAGTTGATAACCAAAAACTCGATTTGTTAATACCATAGCAGGTATTTCCTAAGCAGTTTGTAATCTAAACAAGATTATTAACTGAGTCATCTCAAATTCCCGGATGCAACAAGGTCATCTCCTCATGATTTTGAAAGTGCAAAAGCATAATCATGCTTGTGGTCAAAGAGGCAAGGATGACTATTTTTGGATAGCAAATAATACATGGTGTAACGAATGATTTAGATATCCGAGCGATCTCAAAAGGCTTTGTGTTGCGTCAATGAAGCGTCAATGGTGTTTCACAGAAAGCATATCCTCATGCCGCTGATCCCTTTGTGTGTCGTCGGTCAAGGCCGCACTTGCATAATGAAACCACTTGCATAACAACACCACTCATTCATATACGTGCTTCTTGTCCTGCTTGTGGAAAATACCGAAGAGAGTTATTCAATGAATCAAGGTCACACAGAAGATTGGACGGGGAAAAGCCAGCTTTTTTCCGCGCACCCACACATACACATGATAGGCGTAAGCAAACAGGCGTCCTCATGGTGGATCTACTTTTTTAGGCTGATGTCTAATGAGAGAAGGGGGGCGATCATTGTTCCTACGGTTACATGGACCTTGCAGATGCGTTACAAACTTTTCACCCTCTATGCGCACGGACAACTTTTGAAAGTGTGACAGATTTGAAGGTGCTGGTACGATGTGTACATGTGGCCTGTGTGTTTCATTGCCAACATATTTGGGGAATTAAATCTCATCAAACATAGTTGGTGAGAATGTGTGTGTACATGCATTTAGTGTATCAAGATCCCCAAGAACGAAAAAAGATGGCGGTGGTGGTAGCGGCTGCAGGTATACTTGGCCGTGTAAAATGGGTAATATAGGCGGGTACCAGTAAACGCTTGTGAAGTTTTCCTCAACTTTGAGTTCCGATCGCAGTATGGCTATAAGGTTCCCACTTTTTCTTCATCTCTCTCAACCTTTTTTCATCTCTTTCTCTCACACCACCTCCTGTTTTCACGCCTTTTCGCGTCCATTCTCTTGCTGATGAACTCAGTTCACGACTCGACCAAAGATTGGCAACAACAACCTGCTGCTTCGGATGCTTCAATGCACTATCCACCCATGGATCACCAGCATCATGGCTACCCAAGCATGGGTGCCCCTGTTCATCCACCTCTGTAAGTACACTTTATAGTTTTTCTCTTTGGGATCATTATTGTCGTTTTGGGTATGTGTTGTGTTGTGGATGGAATGTGCATGGCTGTCATTTATGCGGTCCCTTTGGTGCAACCTCAAGATGTGTGTTGTCCTCGGGAAAAGGGACCAACGTGGTAGTCATCTAAGGCTGGCTGGCGCTGTAGCAGTAACAGCTATTTGCCAACAGCGGCGACATAATAATGGGACCTGAAAGATGAAACAGAGGAAGGGTGAGAAAAATAGACTCCCAAGAACGTTTACTGATTTCTTCTTACTCATGCAACAGCCATCAACACCATCCACACTATGCAACGGCTACACACGGATATCAGCCCAAGCCTGAAACCGACATGCGACTCCCTGGGTGAGTTTTTTTGTTGTATTTTTTTTATTGATGGGGGACAATCATCTCATCCCAAACAAACCCAGACGCCCGAGCCCCGCAAAGAATGAGACCGCATCACCTGTAACAAGAACGCTTCCCCCATCATCATCTTCAACACCGCCACCGCCACCACCATTATCAGCACCTGGCATGCCATCCCCAAGCTATCGTAAGCGTAGCCGAAGCGATTCTTTATTTCCACAAGAAACAGGTCCTTTTTTCAGCTCAGCAAAACCATTCGATAATTTGTTTGCTTTGGACCGCACAAGTTTGTAAGTGTATTATCTCTCCCCCAAAACCCTATCTCTCTAAATTTCATGGGACCTTGCTCTCCTCTGCTCTCACTGTGAATGGCCCCCAATTAACCTTTTTTCACCCTCCCCCCATTAGATTGACTGTACGCATCCATTCCAAGATGGATCGTGGTTTCTTCCTTGCTGATAATGATTGGACGTGTTATCGTCGCAACTACTTTCAAGTTAGCAGTGCTTTCTCGATCCATGGTATCAATCATTATTATGCTGATCATGAGCCACCATGTCTTGTACGTAGCCAAGATGGGTTATTTTACCCTGTACGACGTTTCTTGTTGGGCATTTCTGCACGCGTATCCAACAGCGACAAGCGAATCGAGTTGGTGCAACATACACCCAAACGTGACAAGGGCCCACAAATGACACCACAACCCAAGCCTATCATTCCTGGTGGCAATCTTAGTATGAGTGCAGTTGGCACCAATCAAAACATTGTCACTTTTGAGCGTATTCAATTCAAGACGGCAACAGCCAACAATGGCAAGCGACGAGCAGCACAACAATATTACGTGTGTGTTGTTGAATTGTATGCTGAAACCGATCAGGGCGAACAAATCAAGGTTGCTTCATGCCAATCAGCTCCTTTGGTTGTACGTGGTCGTAGCCCTGGTCATTACACTGATAGCCATCAAGAACGAGCTGCTGCTGCTGCTGCTATTAGTGCACCAGCTCCAACATCAGTTGCTTCAGCCATGGCATCTCCACAACAAGATCGATTCTTTTCATCGCAGCGGGCTGCACCTTATACACCACCACCATCAACGGTCATGGGTGAATATGGCCATTATCCTTATTATCCTCCACATCCATACATGCCTACTATGATGATGCCACCCACATCTTCACCTGCTGCTCCTCCTCAAACAGCAACTTCGGCACCACCACCACCTCCCCCTCAGGCTAATTATCATAATCCTGGTCCTTACATGGTTGCAGGCATGCCCGTTTCTTCTCCTCAACCATCACCACATTATCCAACTGCACCTGAATTTGCAGCTCCACCACCACCACCACCACATCATCATAATCATCATCATCATCAACAGCAGCAGCAACAACATCCTATGGCTACACCTGATGAGCACCCCAAGTTATCACCCAATGGATACAACATGGAACCTGATTGGTCTCGATCACGTATCAATTCCGCAGGTTCAATGCCTCAATCCTATTTCTCGGCTCAAGGTACACCAACGCTATCTTCAAATGCATCCCAAGCAAGCGCATTCTCGCCAACTACTCCCACAACGCCTTATGTTGCTACAAGCAGTGCTGCTGCTAATGGAGGTGCTCGCAAGTACAATGCCGTCAACAACATTTGCAACCAACAAACTTCATAGATCCATTATCCATCTACGTATATTTTGATCCGTTTTCTCTCTCTCTACCTTGACACTCAAAACGTGCTCCATTTTACCCTTCTCTTTTGTTTGTCCCTATATACACTACGTTACTGTTTTTTCTTTTTTACTTGATATGATATGATTGTACTCTTTGTTTTCCATTCTACTCTTGTGTGAATCCATTCCTTCTCTTTCTCTCTATCTCTCTCTCTCTCTCGTATTATTGCCTGTTTCCCCAACCCCATCTTAAAACACACATTATGTGAATCTCCCTTGCTCATATATATAATTGATACCTGATGTTACTATTAGATAAAAGAAAATCATGCTTTGCAAGCACACATAGGCTGTGTGTTACTTCTCGGGCCGCAATGTTGGTAGTACAGAGTGAGGAATGCATCAATCTCACGAGTGCATAGGCGCCTAATTACTTTATAAAGATGTTGTATGCATGCATCCACCCAAAACAAAAGATGCAATCATGCATGTATTGTGTGTGTGTGTGATGATGATGATGATGACAAGTGTGTGTGTGTGTGAATGAAAATACAACAGCAGCCAACAAGCTGGATCGGCGTTCCTGTTTCTCCCATGCATTGAGTGTGGCTTGTCGAATCACATTGTGAGGAGCCAAAGCGACAGCACATGCATTCAGCGCACTTTTTTTTTCTCGTTGTTGTCTCTCTCTCTCTTTTACACATATCAATGGCCAACAAGACTGGGGATGAAGCTGGCATGACCAGCAAGGATTACTACTTTGACTCGTATGCTCACTTTGGTAAGTGGTAGTGGTGGTGGTAGTGGTAAAAGGGTTCTTGGTAATGACAGCCTATTGATCCAATCTACTCCATTAGGCATTCACGAGGTAAAAAAGACCAGCGATCGCACTCATCCAACCCGCACTCTCGATTGACACTTTTATTTCAGGAAATGCTCAAGGACGAAGTGCGCACCTTGTCATATCGTTCGGCCATTTACAACAACAAGCACCTCTTCAAGGACAAGATCGTGTTGGATGTTGGATGTGGTACTGGTATTCTTTCCATGTTCGCAGCTAAGGCTGGTGCCAAGCATGTCTATGGTGTAAGTGATATCATGGATGGGCGAAGGATGGGTGTTTATGTATTGTAATGCTTACATACACGCGCGTTTTTTTCTTCTTTCAGATCGATATGTCCAACATTATCATTCAAGCACGCGAGATTGTCAAGGATAATCATCTTTCCGACAAGGTGACTTTGATCCAGGGCAAGATGGAGGAAGTTGAGTTGCCTGTCAAGCACGTTGATATCATCATTTCCGAGTGGATGGGTTATTTCTTGTTATACGAGTCTATGTTGGATACGGTTCTTGTCGCTCGTGACAAATACTTGGTAAGGAGCAGCAGTAGCAGCAGGATGGCAACAAAGAAGATCATGGGGATATTGACTTGGAATGAGGATAGGCTCCCGATGGCTTGTTGTTCCCTGATCGTGCCACCATGTTCATTGCAGCTATCGAGGATGGCGAGTACAAGGAAGAAAAGATCGAATACTGGAACAATGTCTACGGCTTTGATTATTCATCCATTAAGCGATTGGCTATCAAGGAGCCTCTTGTTGACACCGTGGAAGCACGTGCTGTGGTGACCAACCCATTTGCCTTTAAGCAGATTGATCTTGCTACCGTCAAGAAGGAGGATTTGACCTTTGATGTACCTTTCAAGGTGACCGCTGCTCGTAATGACTTTGTTCATGCATTCATTGCCTGGTTCGATATCGGATTCTCACATTGCCACAAGCCCATTTGGTTCTCCACTGGTCCCCAAGCTCGTTACACCCATTGGAAGCAAACCGTCTTTTACACTCCTGAGACTTTGACCATCAATGAAGGCGAGTCAATCGAAGGCCGATTATCCTGTGCTCCCAACCAACGTAACCCAAGAGATCTTGATATCGTCATTGATTACGAGTTCAAGGGCCAAACTGGCCATGTCAAGCAAACTTGCGACTTTAAGATGTAAGTACACATATGCTCTTATCATTATGGATCAGGGTACTAATTACAATTCTCGTAGGTCGTAAACTAGTCATATTTATTGTATTCCTTGCACACAAGACCCATTTGTTCTCATGAATCCCTTCACTTATCATGTTTGCATTCTAAATCATTTCATGTTTCCTTTTCAATACAAAAGCTATGCAACAGTCAACAATAGTTGCGGCCATCATATAACCTGTAATCAGTCATTTTGCGCACGTGCTGGACACTCCATCATAATTTGCCACTTTTTGCTATGTTGCTGGTCTTGAAAGATGTTTAAATCAATAAGCGTAATGCATCATATTTATGGTCGTTGTACTATATAAAACTTTTCACTATGTATAAAAGCCGTATACAATGATATCATGTAAAGGATCCTGTAGCTTGAGGAGCAAACGGATTACGTGTGGGTTGACCCGTATTGTTGACATCTAATCCCACAAGATCGCTTGTGCTGCTGGATTTTGCTGTACCATTTGGTTGTGTCTTCATCGAGTTGGCAAACCCGGTACCTCTTCATATTGATTATCAGCATTGAATCCATCACTTTTCCCACCATCTTTAACTTACACTGGGACACGCAAGTTGCCTGTGTTACCAAAAGTATCTTGACCCCTAATCATACGTGTGAGTTATGCAGCTCCATTGAATGTATGTTGGACTAAACTTACTCTCCCGATGCAAGTAGAGAATTCAATTTTGCATATCGTGGATCGACATTACCACCAGTGGGCATAGAGCTTGAAAGCTGTGAAAAAGTAGTTAGATTATCAATTGCCACTATCCTTCTTTATAATAACATGTACCTGCTGACCGGTTGGTTGAGCATTCAATGGGCTTTGAGATGGACCAAAAGGGTTATTCGTGCCCGTTGCCATGGCGACTTGTGGAGGGGTAGTTGTGCCTGTGCCAATAGTGCCCGCAGCCATGGATGATTGTGTTGCAGGGCTCCAATTCATTGCACTGGGAGTGTTACTTTGAAAGGGAGATGCCATTCCTGTTGTCATTGGCTGTTGAGCTGTCAACCCTGTGGGCATTGTATTCTGAAATTGCGAGCCACCAAAATTGTTGGGTTGCTGCATAGACATCCCTGTGACCATTGGCTGTTGTTGCTGTTGTTGTTGTTGTTGCAACATCATTGATTGTGGTGACATCATTGTATTTGGTTGAAAAGGTGCTGCACCAGTATACTGTTGTGGTAAACCCGTCATTTGTGCTTGCATACCAGCTGCTGCCCATGGGTTGTTATTGGCTGAAATTGGATCATTGAAGGTAAAGCTGCTCATCCCAGTTGGCTGTTGTTGTTGTGCTGCATAAGGATTGATTTGGGCGTTGTAGTTTTGCGGGAATGGATTCAAATCATCATCTCCAAGAAGATCCTTTTCATTTTGACGGGCAAGCTTTTCCCTCTTCTTACGTTCCAATTCGCGAGCTTCTTGTTCGCTCATCTCAATAGCTCGTGCAAGATCAGAATCACTATACGTACATACATCAATCATTAGCACTCTAAAAGTGATTGATCCTTTTCCCTCCTTTACCTTTGTTCTTGATTCTTTTTCTCGTTTTGCGCTAGTCGTCGTGATTCTTCGATAGCTCTTTGTAATTCTCGATCATCCGCATCATTATTGTTGTTCATTCGTGGTCCTGGTGTACGACTATACGGTGATCCATAATAGCTTCCTGCTGTTGATGGTCCTCCTCCTGGTGGTCCTCCTCGACCATATCCCATGGTTTCATTGAAATAATCTCCCACACCAGCCATTCGATCTCGCATTTGACCTCGTGATTGACGCTCTTCTCTCAGCCGTGCATCATCCATCAACAAACTAGAGATATCTTTGGCTTTCTGACGCACTAACAAGACCACGTGTTAATAATAACTCGCCGAAATTGACACTTTGATGTAACAAACTTTACCATTTGCACCCACATCACGACCATTGTCATCGATGTGTTGGAACTCTTTGAGTGTCTTGACAACGTATGCATTTTCCTTGGCATAAAGCACCACATTTTCGGAGCCGACATGAATACAGTAATCCAAAAGCAAGAGAGCCTAGCAACCACCACGTGCATGTTTATATATGTCTTGGCTCCATGATCACATTACACTCTTACATACCTTGAATACATGACGCCAGTTTTTTCCTTTATCGTTGAGACGACGATCGATCATGTCCATAATCTCCACAAAGTCATGCCTATACATTAAATGTCAGTAAGGGTACACAACAATGACGAGGGAGTACAAGTGTGTGATCCCAGCCATCTCGTTCTTGCACCCTCCCCCCACTCTTGCACTGGATACTTTACTCGTTGTATGTCATTTGTGCGATCTCGTTCATGATGGTGCCACTTGGTCCCCATGGGTCATTCGATGTCGCTTCTCTCACTCGAATTTGGGCATCAGAGAATCCTTTGGCATAGTTTTTACTGCATAGCTGAATGAGCCTATTGTCATGGCTAGAAAAGAAGAGACCTTACATGCTTCGAGCAACTCCACGAGCGGTCATAATAGTAGAAAGATGAAGAGAGAGGAAAAAGAAAAGAAAAACTAGTGCCAAACTGAACCAGTCGTTATAGACCCCGCATATCCAAACTAAATTCATGCAAATCCCCCACTAGTGATCGCCAAGATTTTCGCTATTCGTCCAACCCATCAAGCTTTTATAATACTACTTGTGTAACATCTCTAAAGTAAAGCAGGAAAGCAAAAACAATATTACATACGTAAGGTCGATAGTTGTAAAAGAAAAAAGGAATAAAAAAGAGTGCGCATATAAATGTTGGTGCGGATTGGTCATTGGTGGTGGTCGTCATCATCATCAGATATGTGAGTGTGCATTGTGTATGTATATGTATATGTATAGGATGTGTTGATGGATGCTTCCAAGTGCGTAGTTGCGTGCAAGAGTCATTAGGAGGGGTTGTTGTTGGTGTCGTTGTTGCTGTTATAGATCAATTTCAAAGTTGGTGATCTGAGGCAGGTATGCACAGGCGCTTAATTCCAGCATGTACACGTCGTCGAATACTGTTTTGCCATCATATCCTCCAAGGACATACAATCGTGAATCGTGCAGCACAGCTGCATGATAACCTCTTGGACTAGGAGCTCCACCATAGATCCTTCGTGATTCCCAACTCATGGTCACTATACGAATCCTTAATATTGCCATTCTCCTAATGATACATCATTCTTACTACACTCACCTAAATTCAATAGCAATACCTCGTTTGAGTACCGAGACCCATCATGACCTCCAATCACAAACACATAAGATCCAACTTGGGTAGCTGAATGTGCAAGACGTGGGACAATGCGATCCAACTCCACTTGCGTCCATCGATTGGTAACTATTTGATAGGCAATCAGCCTTTATCCTTCGATCTCTCACTCTTCCAATACCACTTACCAAGGTCTAATACGTGCACATCACTGAAGCATTCATGACCATCACTACCACCAAATACAATCAATTTGTCCTTGACGAGGTTGCTTGTATGGTAACCACGGGCAATAGGAGGAACACCAGATGTAGAAAGTTGTGACCATCGAGGACGTGAAGGATCAGAGATATCAAGGATATGGACATCTGACAAAGCTCTTGCACCATCACCACCTCCCATAACTACGATTTTGTCGTTCCATAGACATGTTGTGTGTGCTCGACGTGGCGATGGTGGGATGCCTTCTGTAGCAGGTTTACTCCATACAAGAGTATCTGTAATACAATCATCATTAGCTCTCTTCACCTTAATTATGCATATGCCAATCCTTGCCTGCATTGAGTACGTAGAGGTCATTAAAGTAATTTGGTCCATCACCACCACCGAAGATGTAAAGATAATGTGCTCGTTTGCCGGATCCCAAGTCTCGTTCAACGAGTGTGCTGGAATGTGCACGACAAGGTGGAGGAGGTTGTCCCAATGTTCGAGGTTTTGACCATGTCATTGTATCTAGGTACATGTAATGATTAGAGTCCATGTGTGTACCTTGCTTCCTTATCCCATTCCTCCTTACCCATATCCAAGACGTAGAGTGCATTGAAGCATGTCTTGATGTCGCAACCACCAAACACAAACAATTGTTCGCCAATGAGATTGATCGTATGCGCTCGCAATGGTCTTGATGGACCACGTCCATAGGTCACTGAACGAGACCAATACATTCCTGCAGCAGGTGCTGGGGGTACACTTGGACTAGCGGATAATTCCAAAGCGGCTGCCATGTGATCAGGCATTGCACGTTTCGAACGTCGAGGTTGCAAGTTGTTATGTGACGATACATGGCGTACATGTTGTTGCTTTGGTCTTGATGGTACTGTTTGTGCTGATCGTGTACGCTCTAATGGTTGGCTAATGGGTGGTGGACTTGTCGTTTGCATGTGGGGATATGACGCTAACATAAATAAACAAGTGCATAGATTAGCATCTATCATCCATTACCTCTCCTATTGTTCTATACCTGATGGAGAAAGCTGCTCTGCTGGCATGGAAGCATAGGAGCGTAAAAGGTTTGACTCTTGAGTTGGACTCCTGGGATAATCGGTACTCGTTCTCGGAATAGCGGCAACGTCGTCTCCACGCTGCATTTCGGGAGGAAGGGTTGGTGATTCGGGTAGCTCAGAGACGGTGCTGCTAATGACAAGATTGAATAAGAGGGTGGGAATACCAAGGTAAAGAAAGAGGGTGTGCGTACCTGTCATCATCACGGTGTAAGCCCGAGTTCATAGACAAGGTGCTAGAAGTAATGTCGGCATTCATGTAACGACTGTTGTTGTTGTTGTTGCTGTTGTTGGCGGTGGTTGTCATGACATGATGCGAGCCAGAGGAAGCGCTCGATGTGGTGAACTGAGACATTGGGGAAGCAATGTTCTCCTTTTGACTTTGGCAGATATGGTTCGGAAAAATTGAAGGTGGGAAAGAGAAAGCTTGAAGGAAGAGAAGGAGGAGCTTATGAATGCGGACTTGGACAGCAACAGCAGCAGCAGCGGATATGAGATTGACGTCTATAGTCAAACACAACGACGCTCACCTTCATTCTAATGCTTATCAACATCATGCGGAAAAAACAAGACGTCATTTGCCATATAGCATTCCTCGTTATCAAATAAACTTGACTTGATTTACTGCTACCCATTCCTTTTGTTGCTGCACACCATGACTAGTAATAGGGCAACCGGAACGATTACAACCCCGAATCTGACAATACAAGGATGATGTTTTTCCTTCGCTCTCCCCTTCGTTTCTTAGCCAAACTAGGGATGGTAAATCTCCACAGATTTGCCATAGCACAAATCCCTAAAGCGGGATAGGTACCTTTTTATCCCGTTCAAAGGGCGGGTTGACAGGCTACCGTAGTTGTACAACAACGGGAATCGCCGTTATGATATCTTAGCCCAAAATGTCATGTGTGTACAAGTTGATCGTGTGCAACCTAATACGTGTTGGTTTTGTAACCTATAATCTCTTTTTACACCATTGCTCTTTCTATCAGCTTACGGTCACTGGTAATCGAAAGGAGAAAACAGCGATCATAGACACATGGCACTTTAAGCATGCTAAACTAAACACAGCTCGGCGTTATTAGGAGACAACAACTACACAGGAGGGTGCTACTACTACTACTTTCGTTTGAATAATAAGCAATGTGTATATGGGCTTGAAACACATGGATCAATAAAAGGCGTTTGCATATGGTATTACCTTGCTGCGGATGATGGCACTTGGACATGTCAATAATAGAAAAAGCGCCACCGTCGTCTCCATACACGAGCAAATCGACCATCACAGGACATGTGCCAGATTCCAGATTTGTATCAACCCATTGTTAACCAATGTTGCTTATAATTTGCCAAGTTCAAATACTAAGCGTTTGACACACAATCGAGCACGTTCTCGAGGTCCCATTTACCACAACGCTCTAGATACCTGGTATCTCTTTGGAGGGTCTTTGGGTTGTTTGTTGGTCATGTTGAGAAGAAGAAAGGGACGTAATTTTATACCCAAATGATGCATGCATGTTGTTGATCAAAGGAATATGCTCCCCCAATCACCTGAACATGTAATCAAATCCTTATCATATTCCATTTGCGGCCAATGCGAAGATTAATTGGTCTAGCCAAGCCCAATGTCAACAGCAATGCGCACCGTTACACAGCCCCCCATAAGCACACATCTCGGCATGTTTGCCTACGCCCGATGACCAATGTGGCTGCATACACCACTTCTCCACATCACTCCTCAAGATTGGTAGAAAACATAAGTAATGTATTTTCTCGGCCTGCTTGAGAGAAGGTTGACTACCCAATCAACGCTATTATCATAGCCAAAAAGTTCAATAACTACTTCTTCCGCATCAATCAATCGTGCAAGCTATCAAAGGTTATTGGTGGAGGAAAGGGAGGTGTGGTGTGTAATGGGCGATTTTTACATGCATATGGGTGCGTGAATTTCTATGCACACAAGAAAAAGAAATGATGATGGTCGTTGTTGGAGCGCCTCCACCAGCAATGTTTGGTTCTCTTAGAAAGAGCCTGGGTGTGATTGTCCATGCATAAATCGGCAACTGCATAATCAAATTAGGGGCTTGGTGGCAATACCCATCATCGAACAATGACATCAATTTGCTATCACGGTATTATTTCAAGTCATCAACCACTTTTTGTGCCCATAAAAGTACATCCCCATCACAAAGGAACCTGCCAATATCAGGATGCCTTTATGCTTTCATAGCAGCGGTATTCGTGTACGTATGCCTGCGCATAGCAACAATGATGATCCAATTACATTAGTGTCAGCAACGAGCAGCTACCTGGTATTGTTAGCAACATGATGTGCTCGCTAGCTGGGCCCCGTTGATATATGCAGACACTGAAGATCCTTGTTGTTTTGTTACAATACTATGCTCCTCGAGATGCAATAAACGAAGGCGATTCTCCATGGCAGCAGAATGGACCTTTTGACACGCTATCACTGCAACGGTATGTGGATGGGATACGACTTTTGCAGCAATCATAAAGAACAGCAAGTACACGCCATACAAGGCACACGACAAGTAGTGGGGTGCTTTATTTACCCTTCTCTCTTCCATGAAAGGAACTTTTGTTGTTTTCTAATATGCGAATAGACATATAAGGGGCTGGGTGCCAAAAGTCATCCTGGCTAAATTAGGGGTTGGTGAGAAGAGAAGAGAGAAGGGGGGCTATTTGATAAGCACAGCAAGTGAGTCAATATGACCATTGCGTGAAGCTGAGAGAAAATCACATAATCGTTTCAATCGTATCTGGATGGCTATTGGTTTCCATGTACCTGCAACCCACATACTACTACATATTCTTTGTTTCCAAGAGTAGTAGGTTTCCGCAGTCGTCGTATTATCCATTTGTATCACAAGAGGATCTGCTTGGCCACCTGGTATCATTCATGCTCTTTCACCTTGCATCTTAACAGGGATCTGCATGACGATAATGTTTGGTGGTGCTATCGACCCCGCAGCATTAGCATCCATCCGCAGTTCTTTTTTTCATTTGTTTTGCTCATTTGTATCACTCTTCTCCTTTGCAAAACCCCCCATTTCAAGAGCGCCGCAGTTAGTTTATGTCTATGTGTAGCAATACAAGTGGATGTACGCCAAGCGCATGCTGTCATGGTGTTATCGGGTGCAATGTGGGGGGGGGGGGAAGATACCATCTCTCTTTCTCTTTCTTTATCGGTCTTGTTATAAAAGCAGCTCACCTCCCTTCCTCATCTTTCTTTCTCTCTTATTCTTCACTTTTTTATTACATCAATGTCATCGCATATATCAAACGACGCGTATGCATCAGCCATGGCTACAGAGTACATCCGTGGCCTTTCCTTCCAGAAGCTTCAAGAGATACACAACTCAAACGTCGACCAGTCTATTCACAAGCTTGTCTTGATCACCAACTTGCTTCGAATGGAAACCCAAATTCACAATCAACAAGATGACGACGACATGCTAGAACAGCAATGGCTAAACACCTGTTTGGACGAGCTTCAAGAAGACGAGCAACAAGAAGATCCAATGGATACAGAACCACCGATACCGGATAACCGACAGCAACATCATTATCAACCTCATTGCATGGATGAACGAGACGACTTTCGAGAACAACCCTACTGGTCGGTCGTGGCAGTTCAAGATACTGACATGAAGGAGCTTTATTACACCTTTCGAAACTTTCATAATGCTTGTGAACACTGGCTGGCCTAGGAAAATGTCGACACCTTCTTCTTGACACACACACACACACATTATACAAAAGATTCCCTTCTCTTTATTTGCTTTGTCATTCCCATTCAACTTGTTGCTGTATATAACAAAAAAAAAAAGAAAACGTTGTAGATACTACTATTAAAGCTCGTTCCTGTTTCTGTACTTAACATCATCTCATTAAGCATATGCCGCCAAAACAGTGATATTCTCCTCATATCATGTCCCCCTTCCTTTCCTCACCCCTCCCCTTTTTTCTCCTCTTGTAAGTGATAAGAAATTACAGGCAATGATTAAAGACAAGGTGTGCATGTACTTTCACCAATAATATGCTTCATCCTTCAGGTTGCTGAGTAACTGGGGAAATTCATTTTTGCACCGTTGTTACTTTGGTATCATCCTCTTTCGCTCCTCGTGCTGCCAACATGATTGCATGTTACACTTTTTTGATGATCACCATTCACCTAGATACTACACCACTTGCTGCATAGATATGAGCTATTGAATTGCAACAACAGCGTCAATCATCGACATGTCCCTTTTTTGAATTTCACGCCAGCCTAACAGATATCACGCAATCCCAGATCCGAAATCCCCCTTCTCTCAACATTCCGTTAGACACATGCAGGCACCCTGTTTCCAAAAGAATATTCGCATGATCGAGAGCGTGCACGAGTGATTCGAACGTCCCCAATACACGCATAATCTTGATATTTTTCACTCCCCGCGTCTTCTTAATCATATTACAAGTCAAGAATGTCATCATTCTTTTCTCTCTCCTCAGGACTAAAAACGAAGTCATCAATCGACATGGATAAAACAATCGATGGGAATGGCAAGGAATACGCCACAAAAGGATGAGACATGGGACAACAACAACAACCGACTTTTTACCTGAGAATGACGTGCTCTTAATGTATCTCGACCTGTTTTTTATACTAACAATATTTTGACAGGCAAAATGTATCCCTCATTTTCAATCAGGTTAGCCAAGTTGCCGGTGATACGTTGCACATATGGATCCATGTGCGCGCATCACAGCTACTATAGCAAGAATAAGGCCATATGCAGATTCCCCGGCACTCAACCCGAGATAGGGGTTTTTCAGGAAGCCATGTACAAGAATCTTGGATACGGGTGTACAAGATCTTGTAAAACGGATCATGCACAGAAAGAGTGGAATGCCCATTTTATTGTTATCAAGAAAGGAGATCCCGCTATTGCTTCTATGGTCATCCATTCATGATGAAGTTGCTCCTTCCCTTTTGTTAAGCACATGGATTAGCCTCTTTGCTGCTTCTCAGCAATCGTCCTTTGTACATGCACCAAAAGAGTAACCATGTGACACAGCGCGTTGTGCATTTTCTTCTAGCGAGTCGAGACCACGTGGCGACAAACTTCTACGTAGCCGCCAGATGCTTTGATTGTCTCGGATTTCACACAAAGTCTTACTTAAAGTGTCCTTCCAAGGACCCGTAGGCATGTCAATTGCAGTATAGTAGTGGAAAAAGGTCATTTTGAATACATGGATAACAATCCTTTGCTAAAAAAAGATTGAACCCTTTATGCCGGCTATCATTTGCATCATACACACCCATTACGTCAGATGATTGTCCCCCGTTACTTCCATCATCATAATGTCGTTATCCCCCACTGCGTGTGAGAATACATAGCAATCCATCATTATCACATGAACTTTTTTTACAAATGCGATTGAAATGTTGTTGTTGTTATCATAAGGGCAGACTAGGGAGACATACATAATATACACATACGCAAACAAAGGAACAAAAAAGGATAAAAGATGTATATGAAAAGAGAAATGCATGGGATGTGATATGATTGTTGTTATTTGCAGAATGATTCAATGACGGCAAGGTGTCGTGATGCACGAACAAGATGATAAATCATGTAAATGTGGGTTATAATCAGGACCAAAGTCAACGTCAATAGGCATCCCATTCCATGAGTTGCTTCATCATCATTCACTGTTGTGGTATCTTTGTTTTCATTGTCGTTGTTTTGAATGATCGGCGCCTTCTCCGTGGGTGTTGATGATGGTGGTAAAGCAAGCATCGGTCGCCATCGGCCCGGCCAAAACAATGTAGTACGTTGTTTTCTTGTGGTCGTCGGCGGTGAAGAAGAAGGAGGAGAAGGAGGAGATGATGATGGTGATGTAGCTGTAGGTGAAGGAGGTGGTGTTGGTAATACTTCTTGCGTTGCTAGGATGTCGGCTTCCTTGGATGGCACAGTAGCAATGGTGGAGACATGACTCGCTCGATCCTCTTCTTCTTCATCATGTTTCTGTTTCTTGTCACTTTGAGGATGATGCTCTTCCCAAAGATCCATCAAAAGCTGATAGGCATCGTCGCGTGAGAGAAATGATGCAAATACATGCTAATCATCATGTGAGTAGAGAGACTTTTTTTTCTCACAAATAGGCTGCTTTTACTCTACCTTTTCGCGTCCTGACACAATGCGAATACCATTGGGAATCAGTCTAGCCGTGTTGCGCTTCTCAATGACTTCAATGTCGGCAAATGCAATAGCAATCTAGTACATAGGTTGACCATGTTGGGGTTAACAAGAGCTCTGTGGTGGAATGCAGGTATGACGGTTGTGTAGGATTTCAGCAAAGAAAGGAGTACCCGTCGATTTTACCGGCGGTCGGCAATGATACGCACCCGAGTGATCCATCCGAAGATGTTGGCCTTGAAACAAACGTGGTGTTCAGAAACGTACATGTGTCCTTGAACCAAAATGTCTTTTTGTAATGCACATCGATATACTAGTAGCTTCATTGTGAGTGATACATGTGGTCAAATAGTGAGATAAATAAAAAGCATACCTTGGAGTAAACGTTCATCCAATGGCACAGAGTCAAAGAGTGAATGAAATAAATGGCGGCGACGACGCATACTCATCGAGTTCATGAAGAAATAATGATAAATCTCAGTGACATGGAAGTGAAGGAAAGAAAGAAAAAAGGGTTAATACATGCATATGTCATGGGCCCGTGCTGCAATCCTTTTTAATGTATGTGTGGAAGGGTTGATGATGAGCCGTTTAGCAACTGAGTATAAACATCCCACCTTGTGGGCTCTTTTGGCCGGGCCGAGCATGATGACTCTCTGACATAGTGCAAATGTGAAGCATTGTTTCCACCAATCCAGTTGCCCCTTTCTTGCCTTTATCAGGTTATTGTTACAAGGATCCATCCACCTACAACACCCTGGCTCATCACTTTTTGGTGTTACTGCAATCCACAGCTTCTTCTTCTTTTATCCCTACTGTCATATTCTCGTGGTTTCGTTAAAAGTAATAAAGCGGCACGGAATAATGATAAGACCGAAAGAACGTCTTGTCATTGGAACACAAGGAGACTCAGCAACAAACGGCGCACGTCCCATTTTGCCTATGGAGATCATGCTGCCCATACACATCTATCGAATAACATTAGAGATAAAAGTCGGCATAACAATAATTCCTTAACACGTGAATGTTGGTCAATACGAGCAAACATAAAAAAACATCTCGCCATTGGATATATGGGGAAAGCAGGAGGCGATGATGGCTGAAGATGAGATGATGTAGCCAGCAGCGTTCTTCTTTATTTACACAATGACAGGTTCCTGACATGGATGTACTTGGTGGTAATCTCATCATCCTCGCATCATCTAATTTCATCAGTGATACTACTATCATTTATGATATATGGAGTAGGTCTTGGGATGAGTCATAATACTACGACGATGTGCTTCTTTATTGAAAAGTGCTGTAACACGTACGTAAATCCAGCTATTGAGCGCACATCCCTTATTATCCAAGATTACCCGAATGCGTGTTAGAAGAATGCTTGGTGTAAGGGTGCGTTGATACCCTTGTTAACACTCTACTATGCATCGAATGTGTTCCTTGACTATGATTTACTAGGTTGTTGGCGGCAATGGTCTATGCGCTTTAAGTTCCATTACCAGAAGGGCTGAATCTAAGACTCTAAAAGGTATACTAGGACCCTAAATCCAGTGTATTGATTGATTATGATGACATGGATATGATCGATTCTGAGCACCTGGGTAATCAGAAGCCCACATAATATAGCATCATATAGCTCCTATCCGTTGCTATGCGTATGGAAGAAGTAGGCGAATAAAAAAAAGCTGCCATTACGGTCCTTGACAATAGCTAGTTAACGCTTGAAGGATGCCATCATGTACCTTCGTTCGAGGTATACGACACGAAATGGATATGAAAAAGAAAACCACAACAATGATCCACACGCAATAGCCAATGTGATGCCGTACATTATTGAGCAGGCTCAGCATTGATGATACGCTACCCCTTTTAGCAAACTTCATCGTTTTAGGGCGTGATGAATGTCTTTTTCTTGTTAATGAGGAGGATGCTCCTTGGGTGTTGGCAGCACATTATGTACATGTACAATGGATTTGGGGTGGTTTTATTTGAGGAGCAGCCCTACGTTTTACTGTTTGTTGCACTGCTGCGCATCTTCAACAGCATGAGATGGCAACACATGGCGAGGGTTACACTAAAGTAGATAAACAGAGAATGTCATGCTCATCCTATCCAAACATACCACGCGGTCTCAGCATAGTATAGGCCCAAATATCCCTCAACAAACATACCCACCAACCAGGTTGTCATGGCCACCATTGTGTGTTGTAGTACAATGGTGTCACTGATCCACCTCATCACATCTTAACATACTCTCTCTCATCCCTCTTAAAAAGATTTCTATCAAGGCATGGAAGGGGATCTTAAGTGATGAGAAAAGGTACATGTTGTCTATCAGATCTCAATTGCGTGTGAATGTGGGTCGTGTGTCATCATCACCGATGATAGGTGCAATTACCAATCACAGGGCGTCGCATAGTGCGGTGTGTGGTGCCTATCAACGCCGCCGCATGAAAACTGCACTTTGCTCCACTCTTCTTTACTCTCTATCATGGACAGACTCAACGCCAACCATAATCTCCTGCAATTCATATCGGCTGCAGCTCAAGCGGTAATTGCTTTTATTCATTGCACTTGCATGTACTGTGGGTTCACTTGGGACTAACAGACAACTCGTTTTACGGGGATCACTCTCTTCATTCTGGATCGACCTTGTCTCCTTGTTGTGCGGATGGGACATTGACCTTCAGCTAGAAACGGACGATTGTACAGCGAATGCTAGTTGCCATGGGATGCCAAACAATGCCACAGCATTAGACGATAGACCATCTCCAAGTTAGTATTATCAATATCAGCAAACGTGGCGCATAGCTAATGTATCTTTGTTCACGATAGACCATGAAAGGCAGGACAGAGATATAGAAGTGATGCTCGCTGATGCAACAGGCAACAATGTGGAGGATCTATCTCGCAGCATACAGCGTTCAGGAGAGCCACCATCATCCGAAGACATCATCAGAGAAACGACCTTGGCAGAGAAATTACAACTCATATTTGGATTATCAAAAGCTGAAAAGTTACATGGTGGTAGGTTATAGTGTGGGTGGTTGAATGAAATCTAGATAGTGTTGAATGGCTGATATATTATTCATTGTGTACCAAGTATGGTCATGCTGCATGGTCCGATCGGCCATTGTCCCTGGAACATTGTATCTTACCGAACGTCATATTTGCTTTTACGCATCTCTGCCGCAAAACCCAGTGAGTATTGAACAAGGATGGGGGAGTCATATGCGTGATTGACCACGCGAGCAGCCAGCTCAATGTCACATGTTGTAGCACGTTTATCGGAAGACTGGATATCTTTTGGTCAAGCATCCAACCAAGAATGGCTTTGATCGATGCTTTTTCGAGCTCAAAGATGATATGTTGGCATGGCATGAAAATGCTACAGACAAATACTCCCCCAAAGGAAAGGTGGATCTCAAGGAGGCACTTGCTGTGAGGACGTCGAGGAAACGCGAATTTGGGTTCAAAGTCATTACTATGAACAAGACATGGCATTTGCAAGCTGACACCCATGCAGCTATGGTAGAATGGTATGTACATAGGGTAGAGATTGGAGTAGGTGGACGTTTACTCATACACGTGTCAATTTTTAGGATCAACGTTCTACAAAAGGCAATTTTCAAAGCAAAGAATGCTGGCAACAGTCTCAAGATCGCACTGCCGTTTGAGAACATCTTGGATATGGAGCTCACCGAAGCCTTTGAATTCCAGCAGTTTTTGCAAATTCGAGCTGTCGGGATTGATGATAGCTTTGTCATGGATGAGGTATGGATCAACATCTTGGTATCAATGTACCATTGACCTGACAGCTTGTTTTAGTATTACTTTGCTTATTTCGCAGACGCCAATGCAACCTTTACGTCATTGAAAAGCACGTGGGGTCACTCACAACAACAACAAAGCACGCATTCATTGTCTCGTTCTGGTGGCGGCAGTGGGGCTACATCACCAACGTATTCGTTTCCAGATTTATATGAGAATTCACAGCCCATCGTTATCCCACCTTTACATACCACCATGCCTACTACAACAACCGACCGCTCCACCCCCTCGCCTGTTTTTCACGTGACAGATCCCACAGCTGCTGATATTAATGATTCGTCGAGTTCGGAGGAGGAGGAACAGCCCATGGTTGATTGGCTTGCTGAAAAACGAAGATCTGGCATGAAGCTTGTATATGGATTCTTGGGAGGGAATAGCAGTGGAAGCGCAGCTACAGTATACCACACGGCGGATGAGGATCATGGCGACCAAGATACTATACCCCAAAGCTCAGCAGACACCAAAACCAGCCGCTCATTTCCACATGAAGAGCCTATCGATGAGCGTACAAGAGCAAACTTTCGAAAGTATTTTGTACTTCCAGAGTCAGACAAGTTGAATGCAGGTACACAGAAATCGTGGGGGATCAAGTGATGGGGATTCTAAGCACTCTTTATGCTTTAGTTTACCGCTGCTCATTGATGAAGACTCTCCCTTGTTATGGAAAGCTGTATATATCCACCAACCATGTATCATTCAACTCCAAAGGTTTCGCAACCAAAGCAAAGGTACAGTGTCCATGATACTTTGGATCCCTATAGATGCTCATTCAACAAAGATGATTATACCTTTCAGTGACATTATGAGGATACAAAAGATCCGGAGTGGTTACATCTTTCATTCATTGAGTATTCTTACACAAAACAAGAAGGAAGTAAGTGGGCTGTGAATGGAGAAGATTGCTCGTGCTGAGGTTTTTGACCAAAACGATCGATAGGTGTTCATCGAATTTTCATCCGCTGCCACACGCAATAGCTGCTTTGCAAGATTATTCCTCCAACACAAATGGCATTTTGAATCAAAGCCGTCTTGCGATCAACTCAAGTAAGGATGCAAAGAGTGGATATGGGTCCTCTTTCATTACCCTTTATACTTATATCAATGATCGATATTTAAGAGATATCAAGGATTGGGAAGCGCGTCTTATGGAAGAAGAACACAGCGAGACATCTGCTTTGCCACAATTACAAACCGGTAAATTGATTATCAAAGACCTTCTTCATACCATATTAACATACCCGCCAACGCTTATTTTCATAATAGATGGGCTGCCAATTCTCTCGCATACATCAGACGAGCCCTTGCTATACAAAAAGCCAGACACGCCATTGCATTTCACTTGTATTACTATCGGCACTCGAGGCGATGTCCAACCTTATATTGCATTATGCAAAGGATTGATGGCTGATGGACACAAATGTCGTATCGCGACCCATGACGAGTTTAAGGACTGGATTGAGAAGCATAGCATTGAATTCCGATCAATCGGTGGTGATCCAAGTGAATTGATGGTAATAGGATTCTCTTCGTTGTTCAATTTTGATGCTGGTTACTTATGATGGATCTCTCTTTTACTAGCGTCTATGCGTTGAAAACAACTTTTTCAGTGTTAATTTTGTCAAGGAAGGGTTGCGTTTGGTAAGCGAAAATCATACATAGGAAAACGACCCACTAAAAGCTTGTTTTGGAAATAGTTCAAAGGCTGGATTGACGAACTTCTTGAAAAGACTTGGTTGGCGTGTCAAGGCACGGATGTGTTGATTGAAAGCCCTAGTGCAATGGTGGGAGTTCATATGGCTGAGAAACTACGTAAGTATCTATTGCATGATAGTGATGGGCGATAGCTAATCCCCACGTGTAAAAGATGTTCCTTACTTTCGATCATTCCCAATGCCAATGACAAAGACTCGTTCGTTCCCGCACCCCTTTGCAACGCCCAACAACCCCAAAGGATGGCTCTATAATGGTATGACCTATGTGCTCTTTGATCATGCGATATGGCGCGCAATTGCCACCAGCACGAACAACTTTCGACGTGATGTCCTTCAGCTGTCACCCACGAGTTACGAGAAGTTGGATATCTGGAAGATCCCCTATTTGTATTCATTCAGTCCGAGCATCGTGCCTAGCCCTTTGGATTGGAAGGATTGGATACATTGCACTGGTTATTGGTTTTTGGATAACCCACAGGTAAGAGATGGCATTCTTGGATACTAGACTTGAAACGGTATTTACATTTTTCGTTAGACTGGATGGAAGCCTAGCGATGAGTTGATGCATTTTCTCAAATCCAAAGACCAACGACCCATTGTTTATATTGGATTTGGCTCCATCATTGTATCCGATCCTGACGACATTACACGAACGATTGTCGATGCTGTGTTGCTTTCCAATGTGCGAGCCATTATCTCGAAAGGATGGTCTTCTCGACTACAACAAACCAAAGATAGTGATACCGATAGCCTATTGCAGCGATATCCTGATACCATCATCAGCGTGCAAGCAGTGCCACACGATTGGCTATTTCCGCAAATGCGTGCAGTGGTACATCATGGTGGTGCAGGCACCACAGCAGCTGGTCTTCGAGCAGGCGTGCCAACCATTGTCAAACCATTTTTCGCCGATCAATTCTTTTGGGGAGAACGTGTAGAAGAAATGGGTCTTGGCCTCTGTATCAAGGATATGACAGTAGAACATCTCTCGGCCGCTTTACGAGTTGTGTCAACAGATGCAAGCATGCTTAGGATGGCACAGGTCTTGGGTGAAAAGATTCGTCAGGTAAGCAATCATTTATCTTGCATGAATTCCATTTTCAATCATAGCTCAACTCTATGTTGCTAGGAAAATGGCGTGGAAACAGCTATTCAATGTTTGTACCGCGACATGGAACTGGCACGAGAACGCACATTGTTATCAGCGCAAAAGACTGCCAATCATGATGATGATAATGATGATACAACTTCACCGCTCGAAGACAGCTTTGTCGATGACCAAGAGTGGACTTTGATAGAGTCAACAGCTTCCGGGTCTGTTTCACCTGCATCATGGAGACCACGGGCAGCCTGATATTACAACAACTACCACCTATACTATTATTCTCTCTTATATATATATACATATACGACACTCCTCAGCTATAGCATTGAGCATACTTTAATGGCACAAGTGATAATACAACTACATTGTATGTGTACATTCATTGGAAGCATGATCAAGCCAAGAAAATTTGCCCTTTTATGGGGATTAATCCGGGATGCAGTTTGTTGTGTAGTACAACATTGCTGGTGGTACATGAACCCGTTTTTGTGTGATCGGCTGCCTACAAAACAGAAGCTATCATGGGAGAGGACGTAATTGTGGATCCAAGTGAACAATAGAGGAGATCCAACGTGATATCATTGTGCTAAAAATAGATACAGGTGCCAAGCGACAAGCTCGCTTCTCTTGGCAGGTAATACGCATACACCACCATCCACACATTACAGAAAACAAAGGGACCGAAAAGGAGAAAATAGCCACATCCCAAAAACAAAGCAGTGAGTGTTGAGGCGCATGTGATGAAGAGCATTGATCCCAATTTGCCAAGCGACGTTACTTTATGATTGTCGGAAGTCATCGGCCCAGAGCGGTTTCTTGATCTATCCGCCTAAAAGGTATAAAAAGTGCATTATGAGCTGTGGGATGATTTCTCACACACCTTTTCTTCATTCTTTTCATCTTTCATATAAATTCATTCTCTCAACAACAACACAACCAAAATGAACCAACAAGGATACTACCAACAAGGCCCTCCTCCACCACAACAGGCCTATTATCAACCACCTCCAGGTAACGATCGCAAACCCCTCTTGCTCCAAACCGATCACGTTTTTATTCACATCCTTTTCTCTTTTTACTACTAGGCCAATACTACCAGCCCCAGCCTCAACCGCAGCCTGTCTATGTTCAACAACAACCTGCACAAAGTAAGGCAAGCCAAGGTGGATGCATGGGTTTCCTTATGGGTTGTTTGGCATGCTGTGCTCTTGAAGAACTTTGCTGCTGCTGCTGCGCTGAAGAAACCTGTGAGATCTGCTGCTGATCATAAAACAAGGCCTATAGTCGAACGCTTCTCATTGCACATATACATTCATACACATACAATGTCCTCATAACTACCATTTATCCAATTGTCCTCCCACCTCTGTGATTTTATAAATACCCTCTTCATTTGTAATAATACATTGTCTGTGGTATATAATAGCATCAAGTACTCTTTTACTATAGCTTTGTCATTGATGGTTAGGGAAGAGAAAGTGTGAAGTAAACAATACGGTGCATGTGATGCGAGCTGTGTCTGTATCATTATTGTGTGCAGCACCCGTTCCTATCCCAAGCGGCATCTCGCTATGTATTACTTGCATCATGAGATAAACTAAGATGCCTTTTTTCCATCCCTTTATAGCCATTGACTTTGACAATATACTCTGATAAGTTTAAATCCAAGACGTGTGTTTTAGCTTCAATGATAGTTTAAATTGGCATTCTAGCGATCTTTGAGTTTGCCGCGTGTGCCCTGGATACAGTAGACGCATGTGTCAGATTTAGCATGATCGGGATTTTGATGTCCCATTTGTTTTGGATCTGGTACAAAGATAGACGCACGGTTCGGTTACACATATCCTGAGCAATAACCAAATGTGTCAAACTCATTTCGGGAACCAGCTTTTCCGGTGCAACACAAAAAGCTTCTTTTTTCCTTTTTTCCTTTACAAGTGCTTTATAGGATGGAGTACTTTATTAACAATGTAGTATACATGATAGAGTGATTGGGAGAGAAAGAGAGTAAACTAGATACAATGTTATAGTGTGCGATTATCAAACGAGATAAGTATATAAAGGAAGCAGTGGTTTGTTTCATGATCAGTCTACAAGTATCAGGATATCATTGTTGTTGTTGTTGTTGTTGTGTTGGCAGGAGGATTTGGTGTCGGCATTGAGGTGATCTGACAAGCAACAATCTTCTTCAACACCGCTGTCGTCATGGCAAAGGTCGTTGTTGGAGGAGGAGGGGTATTGACTATTACTTGCATCACGATAGGTACGCACCACACATTCCATAGCTTCCCACCACGTGTATTGACGAGCCTTATCCACGGCTGCTTGTCCCATACGTAAACGCATTTCCTTGTTTTGAACGAGAGAATCGAGCTGCTGATGGTATCGATCGCATTGCTCCTTTCTTGATAAGCCCGTTGTATCCAGTAATAAACCTGTTGTACCATGATCCACAAGATCACATACACCTTCAGCCCATAAACCTGCCACAGGAAGACCTGATGCCATTGCCTCCAGCACCACTTGTCCAAAAGTCTCCGTTGTTGAAGCAAAAGCGAAAATGTCTGCCGATGCATATGCTGCTGCCAGGGCATCGCCTTGCAAGTAACCAGTCCAAGTGACAGGGGTATGTGTACGTTGGCATTCGGCTTGGATTTCATCAAAAGCAGGACCATGACCCACAATCACCAAATGACACCGTGAATGATCCATTTGTTTGTATGCATCCAAGACCAAGCCGATATTCTTCTCAAAGGATACTCGACCCACATAGAGGAGGATGATCTTATCGTTGCTTGTAGTGGTGGTGGTGGTAGTCCAAGACTGTTGAAGAGCCAAAGATCGCCGTGTAGGAGAGAATTGATGGACATCAATACCACGTGGCCATATCCTTACATTCTCAAATCCTCGTTGCCTTAGAATACGCCGAGTTGATTGTGATGGACACATGACGTATCGAGAAAAAGAATGACAAAAGCGGTTCCATTTCCACATCGTAGGTGCGAGGAAATTGTATCCAAAGTGGGTGCAATAGGTGGCAAGGTTGGTGTGATAGGATGATACAAGCGCGGTCTTGGGTAGATAATAGCGAATCACGGCAAGTCCAACAGCTCCCAGCCAACAAGGATCGACCAAGTGAATCACATGAGGTGCAAAGTCAATCAGCCGTCGTGTAAATCCGGATCGCCAAAAGTTCAACTTGAGTTCAGGATAAGGCGGGAATGGAATGCCTGTTGTACCCATAAGCTCGGCACCCGCGTATTCTGTCATACCACTCTCGGGACCGAGGACAAGGACTTGGTGGTCATTGGCATTCAAGTGTTCAAGCAAACGCGCCAATGTACGCGTGACACCGTCGACCTTGGGTAGAAAGTTTTCTGTAATTATGGCAATGCGCATGTCAAAGTTGCCGATAAAAGGAAAAGCAACGAGGAGAATAAATAAAGTAGTGGTGGTGTTGTTGTTGTTGTCACCTTAAAGTGCGGGAAAACAAGACAAAGAAAGGAGAAGTAATATGATAACGGCATGCAAGCTTGTGGAATGAAGAATGGGTGCACAATGAAAGAGAGCTTGCAGGTTTTAGCCCAACCAGCCAATCCATGTGACCTAGAGATCAGTAGTCGATTATCCAATAGCCGTCTTTGACGGATCAATGTGCATTACTGCTCACACAGCATCTTTTTGTATTGGATGATTGATAAAAACGTGCGGCTTTTATGCATGAGATTGGTCTACTGCGATAGTGGAGGGGTAATGACAATGGTGGGGATTGTAAACATGTGCGTACTTTTGTGGATGGATGGGGTAGTAGTTTTGGTAGTGGTGGTTGTCATGGAAGTAGTGTTGATAGGGTTACGGGAAAATGTTGTTGATGATGATGACGATGATGGTAGTGATGATGATGAGATATGCTTACAGAAAGGAAGCACGGCGGCTAGCATCTTCCATCTCATCAGGAGAAATGGTATGCTTCTTGTCATCGCTGGGGATTTCATACACACCACCCAAAATCACATAGGGACGGTAGGCGAATTGAGACAAGTCTTCCATAGCAGTGACACCAGAGAGCACAAGAACAGGATCAATCTCAGAGCTGATACCAGCAGCAATGCTATAAATTTACCCACATTAGTGATCATTGTACTCTTCCACCTTATTCATTTTCACTTACTCAGTGTCCATACGGTCACCAATGATACAAGTCTCGGCACGGCTAAGACCCAAGACACGTTGGGCATAACGCATGATCAATGCAGATGGCTTGCCACAGTAGAAGGCCTTGGTCTTGGTAATCACTTCAACACAAGCAGCAAAGGCACCACAAGAAGGAATCTTGTTACCCTTGGAATCAAGGTTCTCAACATCCAAGTTGGTGGCAACAAGCTTGGAGCCCTTTTGGACAAGTTGAACAGCCTTGGTAAGGTTTTCGTAGTTGCTGAGAAAAGAAATCAATGTAAGTACATGCATCTAAAACCAATTACCATCCAATATTTAAAATACTTACTAGGTAGAGCCTTCACCAAGGACAACGTAATCGGGGTTGTGGTCGTTCATGAAGAAGCCCTTATCATACAAGGCATAGGCAAGACCAGGCTCACCAATGGTATAAACGGTACCACCTTCGGGCATTTGGGTCTTGAGGAATTCAGCAGTGGCCTGACCAGCAGTGAAAAAGTGATCCTCAGTAACATCAATACCCAAACGATGCAACTTTTGCTGAAGCTCACGAGGAGTAGGAGCAGAGTTGTTGGTAAGGAAAAGGAAACGCTTGTTGTTGCGATGCAAAAAGTCGACGAGCTCCTTTGCACCAGGCAAGAGTTTGGTGCCCTGTGCACAATTGGGGTGAGCATTGCATATCAATACATAAACAACCAATTCAACTTACGTGATAGATGACACCATCCATATCGATAATGTAACCCTTCTTTTGGCGGATAGCTTCAACACGCTTGTTGTGGTAAGAGGGATCACGCAACAAGGCATAGTCCTTGGCGACTGAAGGAGAAACCTTGGGGGTGTTGGCACCACTGCCAGCAACAGAAAGCTGTTGGGCAAATTGCATAGCGAGATCACGGCTGTCCTCAGTGGGAGGGTTGACAGGTTCGTTAACGCTGGCAGGAGACTTGGGAGATTGCGACATGTTGATATGAATAGAGTTGAATAACGATAAAGACGTTGCACATTCACCAAAAACCTGTTTCTTATATACAATGGGTGTTCCTGCTATCAATGACAGATCTATCCGATCTGACTTATTTACGCTTGTCATCGTTTCCATGGTCCGCTAATATCGTCTTTTACTGTTCTCGGTCCTTTAATCCAGTATGTTGAGAGCTAGCGGCTATGACGTAGGGTTCTTCCAAATCGGGCATGTAAGAAAATGATTACAATTCCTCTGTCTCGCCACAAAGAAAGTTTTTTCATCCTGCCGTCGCTTGTGTACATATCCAAACACGGAAAAAATGAGACAGGATCGTCATTGTAATATGACAAGTGGTAGCAACGACACCTTTAAGAAACAACAACGAGCATAACAACCTACAACACAATGCAACTGCTATGATGTTTTACTCCACGCTTACTTCCTCCGCTTTGAACAGTGCTCGGTGACCCCGGTCTAGTGGGTCGTGGTGCTTTTGCGGAGCCCGTACCCACATCCAACATACGCAACGCGCATGCCGCACCCACCCACACACATAATGAATACGCTAAACAACACACACGCATATGCCAGTCAACAGCTTTAGAACCTCCGCACTTTTGGTGCTGCCTTCATGGTTCACCCCCTCTTTTGCCACTCCTCGGCTATGTTATCCATTTTCCTTAAGCTCATCGATAATTGAAGCTGTTGATGATGATCGCTTTGATGAGCCATTATCAACAGCTCATCAGCTTACCACCCTTTCTTTATCTCCTTTTGGTCATGATCCGATGGTGCGTCTCTTTACAGATCCCGATCGAATCCGATAGCTGATACTTGATAAGCAAACGTCATCGCAAATGGAATCTCCATCTCTCTCCCCTATTCCCGCCTGTTATTATCGGCTTATACACATGTGTGCCTCGAATCAGCAAACGTATCAATTATCGTATCAACGTTGATATCTATCTGCCAAATTCATTCTCTCCGACTTGTTTTTGCTACATCAATTGCATGGTATTTTGCTACATCAATCAATGTTGCCTATCAACTATGGAGCGGAAAGATCGAGATGATAATTGTATATTATTGTCTTGGGGGAGGGTTTGTGCTGCAGCACATCAACAAGGAACGTGATGCGGGCTCCCAATCTTATTTGACAGAAAACTGCCATTCCTTGTAAATTGACACTTGCATCTTGAAAACTTCATTCGAGTGGCATCATCACGTATCGAGCATATCCAAGCTACATACCTTGTATCTAATTACAGCCGACATGCAAAGCATTGTGTGCTCCACCTAGCATTATTGGGACAAACAAAGATGACTTGCACCAAAGGAGTGTCTTCAACATTGCTATCATGTACACAGAGACGTCATTTTCAACAAGCTGGCTTGTCAGATGGTGGTCCCCTATACACGTACACACAACCTTTTCTCGCGTGAAATCTCGGTTTACAGTTTATGAGACAGCGGAGCATGATAGGGTCCTCATTTTTAGTCCAAATTTGCCCTTTTCTTGCGTAACATGCTTGACGTCTTTGCTTGGCCACGTCCACCACCTTGATGCATTAAGGTTCTTGCTGACATGTGCCTATATTCCTACATTTGTAGTTGTGCAGCATCTACTTAAATTATCAAAACCAGACGCTTGGATGCATGCATACTATTTTGTCTAGTGACGTTGGACATGTTTGTATTATGATCGATTACAAATTCTTTGTAGGAGGAGAGAGAACAATGATCAGCATGGAGGCGGATGGTGGTGTGGGACCGATCAAGCTGTGTTATAAACTACGCCTTCCTCTGTATATTGTTTCAGGGTTGCATGCAATCACATGCATTGTCGGTGCTGCCCGAAATAGAGTACACGAAAAGTGATCCACCATGACGACAACAAAGGTCGTTAAAGCAGACAATCAATAAAGCTGCATGATACGCGATAGCGTAATCTTGCAGGTTCCTCTATATTATTTATCCTTGTATGGACCATTTTCTTCCAAAGGTGATCGTTGTTGCTATTGGCAACAGTATCTTTCTTATCAAAGGCGCACGTGCCTTGGCCGCTGCATGTTGGGCTAAACGTTTTATCCTTCCCGCCATCATGCGGATTAAAGTTATATCTTTGTAAGGCATGAAGACAATGAGCATGATCACTCGAGCAGCATGAATTAAATCAAGGAAGAGGTGTAAATAGTAGAGGCTCCATATTTTTATGAAAGGAGCTATGCACACAAAGCTTAAAGCCCGAGAAGGCATTGTACATGGTAAGTGGTGTTGCCAAAGAGATGATTCACGTACGTCAGCCATTTTCCTTATGCAACACTCGCATTGTTGTGTGCAGCTGGGTTTTGAGGCAGATTAAATGTTGTGATCGCGTGACCAAATAGTCCTGAATTGTTCGCGTCAAAAGGATCACGCTTCTTCCCGACTCTATCCACTATCCCAATGCCTCCCTCAGTAATCGAAATCGTGGAATGGCCACACCCAAAGATCCACATTGCTGTTGACAAAACGTTCCTCGACAACGTCAAATGTGCACGCGATCCCCCCATTGAGGTATGTTTTCAGTCTCATTTTATTATTGACTTTGCCCAACCAACACCTTGTCGCGATCTAGATCTTGGACGACGACAACCAAGTTACACCTGAATCAGAGAACAGACAATCAGAGAAACGACCACCTACTTCTCAAAGAGACACATCCAAACCAGCAAAAAAGGCACGAGTTACGTTCGCTGAAACGATCACGAGCAGCAGCAGCAGCAGCAGTAGCAGCAGCATGACAAAGGCCAACACCAACAGCAGCGTGACAAAGGCCAACACCAACAGCAGCGTGGCAAAGGCCAAGACCAGCAACAACGTGGCAAAGGCCAAGACCAGCAGCAGCGTGACGAAAGCCAAGACCAGCAGCAGCGTAAAGAAGACCAATGCAAGCAGCAGCAATAGCACACCAGCAACTTCGACCAATATCTACAAATGGAGCATTGTTGAATTGGGTCCTGTACCACATGCACACCAAAGTGGACCTCCTCGGATGCCAGGTGGCGTGGATGAATACGCGTAAGATGATCAATTGGAGAAGAAGGCTGTTGATGGATGAATTGCTTATAGCATTCATGTATAGAGGACGCAAGACTGTAAAAGAATGGTTGCAAGCAGAAAGCAAATACAAGAAGGATGTCAAACAAACCAGGGTGCCAGTATACAAGAGTGGTGATCGACAAATTGCTCGAATTGGTGCTGAAGAGGCCGACATTGATTTGACTCCTGAAGGAAAGCAACATGGTGCACCTATTGGGAAGTTGCCGGATCAATTGCTCAGCCTAATCTTTCAACAATGTTCCCACATTCAAACATTATCAACGGTGGTGACCGTGTGTCGTCAATGGCGTCGTGCTGGTTTGGATCCATTTGTGGTAAGCAGCTTAAAGCGATGTCATGTAATGGTGACTGATTTCCCATCAATTAGTGGCGTCATGTTTCAGCCGAGCAAATGTCACTTTTCGAGCAGATTGTGCAATGCGGCAAAAGTGATAAACGACCTTTAGCACGACGACTCCAACATACTGTTTCAATCACATTGGATACGATCATATACGCATCTTGTCGGATTCACAGCTTACCAAAGAACGCAAGGACGATCTTTCCACGGCTAAAAGAAGTGTATGCAACATGGCATCATTATGAGGATTTGCTTCGATTTATCACTTGGATCCCTGGCCTTGAAGTGATTTGGGCTGATCGCATCAAAGTCATGTCTCGTCATCAGCAAATGTTGATTTTCTCCGAATTCAAGAAGCACCAAAAGACATTGAAAAAATTGAGCATGCGATTCAGTGAAGGATGTCCTGTGGAAGGTTATTTGGACGAATCACCGGATGAACCCAACGTTCTGCCACGAACCCTTGAAGTGCTCGAATTGGTGAATATCTACGACCCTGATGAAGAGGATCATATGAAGCATCTACGTAAGGTACAAGAAAAGATTACAATGGAGGACCAACGTTCGGGATACGCCCAACTTCAAGGATCACTCAACACAAAGTATCGATCGATTGGTCAATTACACAACTTGCGAGCGCTTACTTTTGGTCGTTGCAATGCATGGACAGCTGAGATATGGCGAAAATGTTTATTACCTTGCGCACCAAAGCTGGAGTTTTTATCATTGGCTGGATGGGATAGCAGAGGACGTATACAGGACACCCCTGATGAACGATTACAGGCACGGGAAAACTTACCTGGTGAACCACCTATCAGCTTGGCAGAACGTGCTATTGCAGACAGCATTGCTCGCATGAGTAAAATACGACGTATTCAGCTGGTCAAGTTTTATATCGGTCATGGAATCGTTCAAGGTGTCAAGCGGTTACTGCATAATAATGATGGCGACCTTGAAATCGAAGCAGTCTATGTCAATGGCAAAAAAGCACGCAGCGGGATGGCAAGATTAGAGGCACTAGAAGGCACAAGCACAGATCTAGAAATTTACTTTCAATGACAACAACATGTAAATAAACCAATAAAAGCATTAGAAGGTGGATTGATAATCAGGGATGATTTAATGATGCAAATGGATGGCTCTAGTCTAGATAGTGTAATGAAAATAGGGATCCACTAATTTCTTCCACCATATCCATTAGGTCCTTTCAAACCGAGACTGGCAGATAAGACCTACGTATCATCATCATGATTAGATGCATGTGCAACCTTATTGCTCCTACTGCTTTACCTGATCCAAGATCTTTCGAAGCTGGGTATTATCTTCTTCAAGTGTTTGTATACGTTTCTCAGCTGTAGCTTGTTCCTGACGCAGCAGTTGGATATTATCCTTGAGTTGGGCGGTTTCGTTTTCTAGATTTTCTAAGGCGTCATCGACGTAGTTGCGGCGATTCTTGGCTGAATGATGAGACCTGTACAACTTTGACAATTAACCTTTGTCTTCCGCAGCAAGTGCCTGTTATCATGGGACGACTCACCTCCAGCTCTCTGCAATGATGATGGATGCTGCAACGCCAAAAATGAACGATTCACTTAAAAAGTTGGCTCCAGCTTCAACAGCTCTAATACCATCGTATATCAATATCCATATGATACCTCACTCTATCCATCGCATACGCACTTTGCATCATTCAGCGGTCGAATAACTTCTTTCTTGTATCCAAGGAACTTCATCTTGAGCGTCATTTCCAACTTGTGCGATCGCTATGAACCACGTTTCATAAGCATACTTGACTCGAATGGTGGCCAATGTCGTTATATTGTTACCTGCGCAACAGCTATGCAAAAGTCTCGGAATGAAGCATGCTCCTTGGCTTGTACCTTAATCGAGTTGGCGACTGGTTTGGCCAATGTACTTTGGAGAAGGCATTGTAAGAAGGCCTTGTAGTTTCTCGTGTATTATGTTGTTGGTGAGCTGTTACCGTATCAATAAAGATCCTAGTTTCAGGGTGCTCATAGTAACGTTATGTTGTGTGTAATAGTGGGAAACCCCGTGTCTTGGCTACCCAGCGGGGTACATAAAACAAGCATTCCTGTAAAACAGGATCAGTGCGTTGCTTTTAATGATTGAGTCAATTAACAGCTTTTGTACAAGTGTAGTATTATTTGGTCAGGGTAGTCTATGGCAGGCTGGAAAGGACGTATATATGCAATTGATCGTGTGTGCGTGTGTATATATATGTGTGTGTGTGTTGGATGTTGGAGTGTGCGTGTGTATATATGTGTGTGCGAGTGCATGCGTGCGAGGAAATCATCAACGTGGTGGTATGGGAGCTTGATTAATGGTCTTCAGAGCGATCGTGGTCTTCACCTCCAAGAGCACTATATACATCATAATGAATAAATTAACCCCATTGTGTTGTTTCCATTGTTGACAACCCCTTCTTACCTAAACATATTGGTCGAATTGTTTTCATTGGAGTTGCTCTTTTGTTCTCCCGATTTGGAGCTAGCTCGATTCAAACTAGCAAAAGGGCTGTTGGAAGGTCCGAGTACGTTGCTTCGTGTTTTGCTTCGATCAGTCTTGCCGAAATTGGCCAATTCGTTGCTTCGATTTGGGCTCCCAGAACCACTGCCACTGCCAACCATATTCCATCCATCCACTACGGAAGACGCATTGCCGCTATTGGATCCTTCACGTTGTAAATCACGTGCCCCTGCACCTCGATGTGATCCAGCTCTTGACATTGGATGTGGCAAGTTGCCTCGAGAGCTACCTGTTCGCTTCATAGCCTCCTTTTCTTCATTCCTTGCCTTTTGTGCCTGTCGTTATTGTAGAATATCGTTGGTTATGATCCCTTTACAAGCTTCCTTCAACCGTTACATACCTGCTCGTGGATCTCTGCAATAGTGGTAGGTGCAGGCTGATTACCCCGTCGGCTAACCCATTTGTTCTTGCGTAAATCAAACACGTCCTATCCGATACATAGGGTGAGATAAAGATAAAGCCCAATGCCAAAACCTTAAAGATTTACTTACCATGATCATAAACTTGATACGTGAACTCAAGTTGGGGCTCTCGGTCATTTCTTTCATACGAGCAAAATAAGCATCGAGCCATCGTCTTGTTTTGGGTACATCCAGCCTTTGGCCAACGGTAGTCAATAACTTGCACATGGTCTCTGTTTCCTCATCCACGGCGTTGCTTGGATCATCGGCAAGGCGAGCAAGACAATCGATCATGATTTTGTCTGTGAGCATATGCAGCTTGAAAAGTTCACCAATAAACTGCACCAGACCTAAGCCTTGCCGCTTCGCTTTGACAGCTGCATAATACTCGTCACTCATCATGTCGGAACTATTCTCTTCCAATTGAGGAATCTTGGTTTTCCATCCACGCTCAAAATCATGTTGACACCGGTTGAGCAAGAATTTGCGGAAAAGATTCAAACCCGAAACGATGTTGCCTTCTTTATCTTGCCATTTGATATCATCAGTGATCACGTCGTACATTTTGCGGCAAAGCTGTGCCCACATCATGGCAAAATTGGGTTCATCGCAGGCCTTTTCAAAGGTGAGTTCGATAACAAGTCGTAACGAGTGGCCATTGTCCTCTTTCTCTGATTGCTTTGCGTATTGCCAAATTTGATCCGAAATAGAATCGAACTTTTCCAATGTCAACTTGTTGAGTAAAGCCTTGACCTTGCGAATAATCAACTCATCAGGCATTAAACCATCATCCGCTGCTTCAGCTTCACGTTGTCTACGCAATGCAAGAGGTACCCAACGATTTTGGCTCTTTTCAAGGGGTGCCACTTGTTCTGGAGGAATAGTAGGTCCACCTTGTTGTTGTTTCTCTTGTTGTTCTTTTCCATGACGACCCTTGTTGTTACCACCACCGTTGCCACGACCACCACGTCCTCCTCGACCACCGTGTGAGCCTTCACGTTGCATACCACCAGCTGATCCAGGATGTGGGATACCATGACCACCACTACCAACTCGATGTGTCAAGGGTCTACCACCAGAAGCAAAGTTGCCCATATCCATTCTTGCAACACCATCCTTAGAGCCGTGACGAAACATGGCAACATCTCCACCACCAGAAGGTGTACGTGGACCACGACCACGTTCTGATCCTTGTCGACGAGAACTCATACTTCGGTTACCATTTTGCTCATCTCCTTTGGTCATGTCGCGGAATTTAGATAAATCTTCTGAAGTCTGAAGACACAATGGTGCAAATTGCATCAAAAATGCTGGATCATACTGAATTTTGCCGCTCTTGGGATCTTTGCTACCAAATGGTTTGATGTTGGGTGGATATCGAACAGTGCTAGGATCATCAATCATGCGTGTAGCTGGTGAACTAGGTGTGCGAATAGATGTTGTAGCTGATGTCGGCGTTGATGAAATAGTTGTCAAATCAAGTCGTTCAGGCACCTTTGCAGACTTTTCATCGGCTGCTTTCTTCTTTTCATCCTCAATTGCTAGTTGGCGTGCTTTTTCCTCTTCTCGTTGTTGTTGCTCCTCCTCTTTTATCCTTCGCTCCTTTTCCTCCAAAGCTTTACGTTCAGCTTCCAAACGTTCTTTTTCTTCTCTTTCTTTCCTTTCCAATTCCTCTTTCTCCGCACGTTCTTCAGCTTCTTTCTTTGCACGTTGTTCAGCCTCTTCTTTGGCACGTCGCTCAGCTTCCTCTTTGGCACGTTGTTCAGCCTCTTCACGTTCTCGTTTTTCACGATTCGCAATAGCTGGATCCACAATGGGAATGCGTTTCAGTGTTGGTGTTGGTGATTTTGATGGAAGTGATGGTGATTTGACTTCTTCCTTTTTACGCTCCTCAACAACTGATTTTGTCGGCTCTTTGGTGATAGTAGTAGTAGTAGTAGTAGTGCTACCGCTGGTTGATGTGGAAATGGATGATCGTGGATCTGCCTTTACTTCAGCTTTGGTATCAGGGTTGATGATGGGCAATGCTTTACTGGTTCTAGGAAGGGTGACATAGGCTGGTGATTGTTGAGGGATGTAAGGCGAAATTGGGTATTGCGGATAAAAGCGAGGTTGATTGTCGTAGTTTTGTGGAATAAGCTACAGGAATAAAAAGTAAATGAGTTGCTGTACAATAACAAAGTATCCATTGAACCACTTACATAAGCTTGATGGGATTGTACAGGGACGTGACCAGGGCTGCTCCATGCATGAGACATTGGAATATTTTGTGCTGCAGGCATAGATGGTGAAGTTGCCATATGAGGAGACAATGCCTTCTTTTGATGGTGATAATGATGATGTGGTATATAATGTGCATGTTGCATATTGGGAGAAATTGATGGATGTTGTGATGGATGTTTGGGATTGTAATGGTGCTGTCGATAATGCCTGCTGCCATGGTGATGTGCTGAATGGGAATCGGGCGAGGAATGTTGAGGTGCAAATGGCTGTGTGAACAATTTACGGTTGTTATTGTTGCTCTTGTCAGGATTAAATGCGGTCGATGATGGCTGCTGATGGTGCTGTTGTTGTTGTGCGGATATCCGAGGAGATGTTGTGGTGGTGTTTCTTGGCTTTGAAGAAGGAGGATGAGGAGGAGGATGTGTATGTTGTTGTATCCGAATATGAGGTTGTCCCTGCCAATGATGTGCCTTTATAAAGAAAGATTGTTAATGAAGGTTCATGGTAACAATCATTGCAAAGACTTACGGAGGATGTGTCTGTAGCTGGTAAACTACCGAATTTGACCTTTGTGGATTTCAGGATATGGGAGGAGTCATTGATGGTGATGTTCAGCGATTGTGGTGGAGGCGTATCTGTATTCTGATTGATTGATCCAAACTGGATGGTGTCTAGATTACATGGTCAATACATGCATTTATGCATTGCATTCTACTCCTATTTTACCTGTTTTTATCGGAGGTGGTTGCGGTAATTGCACTGACGCATTCCTTGGTATTGATCCTGATTTGCTTTTGTGTGCCAATCTAAAATAGTCATCACAACCGAGTGGTTAACAATTGATCATCTGATGCTGCGGTCCATCACCCTTCCCACTCTTCTCATCCAGGGAGACATTGTCCCATCGATCCAATCCACGTGCTTTCACACTAAGAAGCTACGCCACTCTCTTATGAATAAAGAAAAAGCATACCTTGTGCGTGTGGTGGTGGTGGTGATGATAGGATGTTGCTTTGACGATGCTGATACTCGATCGCTGGTTGATGATGATACACTCGTGGCCGTTTTCAACGTCGTCTCGTTTGTATTGTCTTTATCACTCGAGGATGGCGATGGCGTATTCGATGACCAAGTGCTGTTTCCTTGCTGATCTTGAATTTGAGAGCTTCGCTTGGCAGCTGCTGCGTAATGGAACACTGACTGTGATTTGGAGCTTGTGTCTGATGGAGTTGGCGTTTTGCTCATTAGATGGACCAAAAGTGCATAACCTTGCAGAGCTATAGTGCATGTTTCAGTGTGAGTTGCTGTTATATGGAAGCATGGGTGGATGGCGGTTTTCAGTAACCGAGGCAGGCAATGGTCAAGATTCACATACTTTGCTTATCAAGGTTGAAAGTGTAGTAGGAGAACGATTCAAATAGGTATCACCCCACCTTAAATAAGATAAATTTCTGTTGTCTGCTGCTGCTGTGTGGACGTCACTAATGCATTCTTTATGATTGATGCTCTATTTCAAGTGGTCGTGCATTAACTCGTGCACTGACATATACGGGATACTATAAATGCAGATGAAGAGCGGGGAAGATACAAAGAGTCGCCGCTTGACAATGGTGCCTTTATGCTGTTTGATAATCATACAAAGGACAAATCTCGCTAGAGAATAGGTTGACATGCAAACCGAATACCATTAAAGAGCATCATGTGCCAATGAGAAAAATTGATGTATTCTTTGGGTGGGTAAAGTATGTGGAGAGGTGATTATGATATGAGCTTCTACTACTACTTTTCATCCAATGGGCTCATCAATGCACATGCTTGCTTTTCCAAATCGAGAACAACGAATCTAAATGTGATATCTTTTACTTTGATGGGTGGTTGTGATCCGAGCCTGCTGGTTTCCATTCCAAGAGTACACCACCACAACCACATGTGAGAAAGACATCTTCACTTGTTGACTTTGTTAATGTCATATGAATACGAAGTTTTGGCAATGGGATCATTGCTGCAATACCAGTCTTATGATACGCTTTGTTGGTGGATTGGGTACGGTAGTAAACGCCAAGCAAGGTTTTACCACCCTTATGGCAGAATGAAACCGCCTCCTTCTGCTGACGAAATCAATTGCAAGCAATCTACTCTTCAAGTAGTCAAGTGCTTTCAAATCATGGGTGGATTCCAACCACGTGTTATTCTTTCACTACTCACAAACGGGGATTGCTCTATTGGTGATGGCTCGGAATTGCCGGTCAAGATCGTCCGAATGTGATATGATTTTACCATGGATACCAGTTGGATCGCATCACTCAACTTTAAAACCCAGAGAACTCGATAGAGAAATGTCTAGCAACCGCGTCTGAAAGTTTTTTTTTCACCTTCAACTTTTGTTGATGGCAGCCATGTGATGACAGCTTTGGTAACCGGAACATCAGTAGGCATGGTGACCATGTAGGAATGTAACGATAAAAGAGACCTTTTTTTTATTGTTTGTCCAATATGCACTATGCCTACAGCCTTTTGGTTGATGTACAAGACGATGTCTAGGCGAATGTCTGATGGTTTTGTTATCAAGTAGTGTTGATGCGATATGTATTCTAGATGACGAATAAAGATACATGTATTACAATTGTGATAGGCGATGACTACAAGCGTGGGGATGTTGTCGAGAAACGTGCGTAGAGAATCTCTCATTGGTGCATGATATGGATTATCCCCTACTACAACCGATCTGCTGACAAACCCTCGTCGCCGGTCATTCGGATGCATGTGGGTGGGATGGGTTATGCCGATAAAGGGGCGTTAGGAAGGTGGATGATAAGGATTAGTATCTTTCTTTTTCGTCTCTTTACATTTTTAAACCATTACATGGATACACCCACATCCTCGTCCATTTTCTCCTTTTACGGACAAAGCCTGGATGAGGCTCGTCCTTTGTTAACTCAATCAACCGCTACATCTTATACCCGCGACGAGAGTTGCTATGACCAACCCGTCGTTGAACATGAGGAGCGAATGGCAACAGCCTCTCCATTCAGTGGGATCAGCAACTTGTTGAATACTATTTTGGGTACTGGCGTGCTGGCCATGGTAAGGAGCTACATTAAAAATCATTGTCGTATGCGTCCAATTGATAATAGGATGGTGTATTATTATAGCCAGCAGCAGTAGCCACCGTTGGATTGATACCAGGCATGGTGTTGACATTATTTTCTGGCATCACTTCAGGTACAGGTCTGTACTTTTTATCAGAATCAGCAGCACGTGTACAAGGCCGTCATGCCTCATTTTTTGCTGTCTCTCAGCTGACATGGCCAAGCGCTGCCATGTGGTTTGATACGGCCATTGCAATCAAGTGCTTTGGTGTAGCCGTCAGCTACTTGATTATTATTGGTGATCTCTTGCCGCTGGTAGGTTTGTTTAGTCATGCAAAAAGTGCACCAATGCCGTTTATCTCACACCCACATGCACATATTATTATTATTATACATCAGGTCGTGCTTGCATTTGCATCTGAGCCAATCGCTGATACATCGCTCCTTCTGGACCGTCGTTTGTGGATCTTGGTTGTAATGGCTATACTTGCTCCTCTCAGCTATCTACGTACGCTTGATGCCTTACGCCATATTAGTGCTCTTGCCATAGTATCGGTTATCTACCTTTGTGCCATCGTTGTCTACCATTACTTTACGCCTGGGTTATTACCAACGCCAGAACAAGTCGACCTATGGCATATCACCCCTGGCATCTTTAGCAAACTCCCTGTTTTTATCTTTGCTTTTACATGTCACCAAAATGTAAGTATGTAGGTTTGTCAAGGAGATAATCAAAAACTCACATGAAGCTGCATCTCCTTTCTGGAAATAGATTTTCACCGTACACAACGAGTTGAAAGATAATAGTCGTCGATCGATGATTAAAGTCATCATTTGGGCTATCGGATCAGCTGCTGCCGTTTATGAATTGGTGGCCACAGTGGGTTATTTGAGCTTTGGTCGCAATGCTAAGGGCAACATCATTCTAGAATGTATGTCTACTATTGTATACCACCTCCTTCATGTTGTCATGGTGTTCTAACCTAACATCTAATAGATCCCCCAAGTCCATTTGTGGCAGGTGGTCGACTTGCTATCGTTATTTTGGTCATGTTGGGATACCCACTTCAACTGCATCCATGTCGTGCATCATTTAGCAAGATATTAGAGGCACTCAACATCCATCCACCAATGAAGCATTATACCACAACTACAGCTCTTGTCATTGGTACTTTTATTATTGCCATCAGCGTATCACAACTTGATCTCGTGCTTGCATTTGTTGGATCTACCGGCTCAACTGCAATCTCATTCATCCTACCAGGCTTATTTTATTACAAGCTACATCAGGATAAACCATGGACCTGGGGAAAGACAATAGCAGCCATCCTAGCAGCTTATGGTGTAGCAATCATGAGCGTTTGCTTAACGTTCAATATCATTCGATTATTCACAGAATAGACTTTCTTATTACTATCAATAATACCAATCAACACGCTAAAAGGAAGATACCATTTCCAAGACTGATCCCCTTGACCCTGTTTTATCACGTGATGCGTCATGCCTTTCCCCCCTGAAAAGTACCATGGCTTGTAGCCAATTGCCCACACTTTGATATCCACGCAATCCACGCTATCAATCATTCATCTCCCCAATGGATATCATCATTGCTGTATCGGTACGACGTATACGTAAGGCAACAGTTGTATAAGGTGGAAACACGATCGACTTTTTATATATGTTCATAAGACTAGAGCATATACAAAAATAGGATAAAGCGCTCCAATGGTCGTAAAAGCTCGTTTAGATGTTGAGCTTGGTGTGGCGCCAGTTGCGACGCTTAGCGTTCCAGCTGTTGAAAGACATACGCATGAGAACCCATTATACAATGCACTCATTGAGTAGTTGAGCTTACCGGATCTTGGTGTCAGCCTTCATGCGGAACCAGTGGGGAAGGGGACGGTTCTGCTTTTGCTTCTTGGCAAGCTTGACCTTGGTGCGGAAAGACTTGTTGGAAGGCTATTGTAGAAATACACGTTAATAAATATTCATCCACCTGATAACGTATTCATCCATCCCATATACGATGCATCCATCGTTATCCAAATCCATCCGTCACTCGTAAACGCTCCTTTCCATGTTGTCCACCACTACTTACCATTATAGATGTTACCAACAGAAGAGGAGGTATGACCAAATGGCCGTCGTGAGCTGCTAAAGCACCCTGCCCACCCTAATTTCAAAACCCGACAATTCGGTATCCGTCATTGGGAGACTATAAAGAATATATTCATAAAAAGATGTGATGATGGTGGTGCATATATGAAAGTGTTGAATGAACGTGAATAATGAACATTAGACTATAGGAACTTGCAGAATAAGGAAAAGAAAAAAGGACTCGAATGGGAATAATGGCAATCAACTTATCGCCTTTTGAGTTGGGTTTCCATGGTTCGACGCTGTTGCCCAAGCCATGAGCTGGGTTGCAAGATCTTTGAAGTAACCAGCTCTTTATGCGTGCGACGTGCAACATCGTACCATGCGGATATCATAAGCTGTTGTTCTCTTCGTGCTTGTAGTCGCGTCTCACGTAGTTGTTTCTAAAAAGTCATCATGTCAATATGAGAAACGTTATAAATGCAAAGAGAGTGATATGAATACGTACCGTAAGTCGCTCGTTTTCTTCATCCCGGATAGCCAGCTCAGCCTTGAGAGATGCCACAGCTTCATCATAGTTGCCATCAGTATTGCCACTCTTCATGCTCTTGACCATATTATCTTGTTGACGTATAAACTAATTGAGGATAGGATTCAGTCACGAGTATCATTAAACCCATTTACTATACCTACCTCGCGCATCTTCTTCATCTTGATTTGCATTTCACGTACGTCTTCTTGAAGTTGGATCGTTTGTTGCTGAAGCATAGCATTCTGCTGCTTGAGAGGTTCATCATCTTTGGCTTCAAATGCGGCAAGCGTTGCTTTCATCTCACTAGACAGCATACTTTGTAAATCACAACCGATCAAAAAAAGAGAGCTTTTCTTGTTCTTACCTATTCAAACGCTCCTTCTCCAATAGCTGATCCTTTTGCTCGATATTACCACCCATGAGCTTATCCTTCTCCAAAAGAAGCTTGTTGATGTCTTGAAGCTGTTGCTTGGTTTGCTCCTCAAGCTGCCGAGATCGCTCTTCCATTTGCTTATAGCGTTGTCGGAACTCGTCGGCATCATCTCCAAGACCGAAATTGCCGTCTGCAATCTTCTTTTCAAGCGTATCTCTGGTCTCACGGAGCTCTTTGGCTTCTTTTTCAAGTTCAATGATTCGCAATCGAAGTGACATGGTATGCTGAGACTGGTCGAGTAATGCATCAGGGATATTCTCGCGGATCCTTGACATCTCGCTTTGAAGTATATCACGCTCACGGGATGCAGCCAAGAATTTCTATACAATTGATAAAAAAAGGTATAAGCATCGATTCTCAAAGGTAATGCAATACACTTACCTTCTCATTCTCAAGCTTTCTTTGGTTGGCGTCTTCCAAGAGATGCTGCAAAACAACGGCCCGTTGATTGGCACCAGGACCAGCTGTTTCCTCTTGTAACGTCTTTGCACGACGTGTGGGTAATCGACCACTATGATAAAGGTATGTATGAGTATGAGTATGCGTATGCCATTGGAGGTATCATGGTTACTTACAGATCCGAGAGATTAGAGTCTTTGAGTGAATCTTCGAGCGTTTCTTCAAATTCGACATCATCGATATCCATCGCATCATCGCCCACAGTGCTTCTTTGAACCAAGGCTTGCTCAAGAGTACCACCGAGCTGTACGTCCTGCAAGTTTTCTTCAAGTACTTGAATACGATCCATATCCCTTGCATGATCAGCCTCCATAATTTCAAGCTTCTTTGTCATTTGGCCAAGTTGATATTCCATCTTGTTCTTCTCTCGCAGCAGATCTTGGTTCTTGTTCTCCAAAGAAGCCACTTGTTCTTTGTAAGAATCCATCAATGTCTTGAATGCAAGAGCACTACGATACTCTTCTTCGATGCGCATGTTTTCATTGACAAGACGACGATTTTCCTCATTCAAATTCTATATGCATACTCATCCATTAGCATTATAAAGTATCACGATCGCATTACAATGCATTACCTTGTTCTCTAGGCGAATCTGGGACGTATCCTCAAGTTTCTTTTTGAGATTTTCAATTGCATTGCGAGCACGTTGCAAACTTTCAGCCGTGTGACGATATTCATCTAATTGATCCTTGAGACGGGATGCTTGCTCAGCACGTTTAGCCAACTCCTCGCTCTAATAGAGTTCTTTGTTAGGGATCATAGCATGAAAAGAGGTTCAAATGCTTGGTGCTTACCCTGCGTGTCAAATCGGCAATGGTCTCATTTTGTGTATCGAGCAGCATTTCCACTTCTTGTCGGCGATCCTCACTTCGACGACTAAAAATGCCAAGTAAAATCAGTATTGTGAAACACACGTGATCGACCTCTTGGCTCTTCTACATACATGTCTTCTTTGAGATGTTCAATTTCGGTACGCATGATGAAATCTGCTCGGCCGGTTTCATTCGCTTGCTCAACTGCTTTATCCATTTCGCTCAATCGAAGTTGCAAATCTTCTTTTTCTCCTTGCAATTCATCCTATATTACATCAATGGTCTCAGCACTGTAATACAAAAAATAGGAGTAAAATCACTCACGTAGCGGTTTTGTAGTTGGCCATGCTTCTCAATCAATTGTTTGTGCTGATTCTCGAGGTATGTCTTTTCTTCCATGATCCTGTTGAGTTCGATGGAGTTGTGCAATATCGGATCACTGATAAAGTTGCGTAAGTCTATAGGTTAAACGCTGTATCGATATCGACATGCTTACTCATTGTATCCCATTTGGTGAGATTGACCAGAGACGGAAGGTTCCTGAGCCATGCCAGCACTGTGCATGACTTGTTCAATGCTCAACATGAGGGCACCTTGATATTGTTCGGGCAAGGATTGAATCTTTGAAATGTACACCTGATTCTCGTTGCAAACGACGGCGATACAGATGATGAGTTGGCATAATTTGATGGTCTCTCCAACGTCAGCATCTTTGGCAATAGCGTTCAAGTTGATGGATGGTAACATGGCGCTGCTACGGCCGAGAACCTCTTCATAGTAACGCGAGACGAGTTTATGCAGCTTCTTGAGGTTGTTGATCTTTAGCACCCAATTCTCACCGACGTCAGCCGAGCGGATGAGTTTAAACCACTTTGGATCACTGTAGCGCGTATACATGTGTATGAATGAGTGATATTCATGCGACCAAGCTATGCATATTCGTTAAACTTACATGTCTGCAAGCACTTCAAATAAAATAATGCCATTTGAAAGGTCACTGATATGTCTACACTTGTGCGAGATATTGTCGAAGGAGTTGATCTATGAATGCCAAGGGATGGTGTCAGGACTGTCATTGAAGAACAAAAGAGTGGACTCAATGTTACCCATTCAATAAAGGCGGCTTCTGCTTCTGGGACGGGTGGCATGTTGAATGAAAGGGATGAAAGAGAATGTTCAGGAGGAATAAAGGGGAAGTGTATGAATGATGACTGGTTGCTTTGTTACGGTATTGTGAACTTGGTGAAAGGAATGAGATAGAGTATTGAAGAAAACGAAGAAGAAAAGGGGAGCAACCGAGTGTCCCGCAAGGCGTAGGAAGGTGTGGGCGTATAACTCTTACCAACTTGCCTGCGTTTAACAACCACGAGGCGCGGAACATGAAATCATTCATCATCCACACTCGAATGAAAGAGTATGCTGTGAATGGCTAGTACATGCCTGTTACTACTGCTATCATACACATATCACCATTTGTGACTCCCATCCCCTCATATCATCCTTGCCCTTACAACAACTTGTAATAAATTTTGCTCCTGCATGATTGACTACTACCAATGTTATGTATGAATTGATTCAAACGAGACTTCTCTTATGGCGTTTATATAGATACATGGGGTCGTTTGTTATGGAGGGTAGCTAAATATGTCATACGTGTTTACAAGGGGGTAATCATGGGTGATAAGGATACAATGAGACTCATGATTAAATAATCTCCACAAAGTTTGCAGGGAACTACAACAAGACATATGAATTAGTCAATGGCATCATGAAAAATAAAGGTTTTGATATACTTACAATGCCTGTCTCTGAATTAAGGCGACCAGTCCACCTACAAAGTATAATGCAATTAGCACATAGTGATCATTTTGCTATGGCCATGGAGCTTACCAATCATGTTGTGTATCCGTTCGCTTGATAATGGTAATAATGTCACCCTTACGGAACGGCAAATCTCCATCTTGCTGCTTTGAAAAGTTGAACAATGCGCGTGCACGGATCTCATTGCTGTTTCTGTTTTCCCACGTTGTATCTCGGAATGACGAGGGGCTGTCATCAAATGTGCGATTACTGCCATAGGTATCAACACCACGACTTGGGCTATATCCACCACCGTATCCACCTGTCGTTGCTGCACGATGCACACCTCCTCGGCTATAATCCGCCGACCTATCATTGTTGCCACGGAAACTATCTTCATACACAGGCTCTGTGTTGTACATTGTGCCTGATCGTCCAAGTCCTCGTCCACTTCCAAAACCACTGTCGCTGCTACCATTCATGAAAGCAAATCGGCCACCTGCAGCAGATGATGCATATGTGTTTCCTCCTGCTCCATGGAATCGGACTTCTAGAGCACGATAAAGAGGATCGGCTTGTGGAGGTGGTGGAATGGTGCCATTCAAAAGATCACGTGTTGCCACCTTACGACCATACATTTTCGCATTTGCATCAAAACGTTCGATAATGACGGATCCTTCCAAAGAGATACCAGCAAAGAGACCACGCGTCTTGCTATAAGAATATACGGCTGCCACACTCTTGATTGATGCTGTGCCTGATGCTTCAGCGTTTCGACCAATAGGACCAGCAGCCACTATGTACAATAGAGCGTGAGACTCACCAAGTAAATTACCTTGAATATAGCCAGCTTACATACATGAAATGTTGCCTCCAAGTGTGATGCTACCATGATGCATGAACGTTTTTACGGCAGCGGTTGTATTCAAGACCATAACAAAATCGGTCAACTCGGCGCCTATACTTGAACATTAGCATCTCTACCATCAACAATGAATGTCGTAACCTTTAACTTGCCTACTTGTCCGCCAAAGCCTGAGCCAACTGTACCGATTGCACTTGGAGCGCTCCAAGCTATAGGAGACCAAAGTTGTCAGCAGGGGTTGAATACGCACTATCTTGAATTCCGACGAGGAAAACTTACATCCATCAGGCAGCCTATATGGTTGAACATCGTTAGCAACATTATCACACACGCACACAAAGATAAACAACATGGACGCACCTTGCAATCACTAAACCACTGCCAGCTCTTCCCGAAAAGAGGAAACCTTTGATATTGGTATTAGCATAAACCTATCACCATATATACAATACAGCCTAACCTGCTTTAAGCACTGAATAGATAGCAAGACCTTTGGCGTTTGCCAGAATACCAGGAGGGATGATGGTGTCTAGACCTTGGCCTGGGTCTGATAATAGTGTTTTAGTTCAAGTCGCTCTCGTTAGCTCATTTGTATTATGCTTACCGATAAAGCTGTTGAGGATCCTCGATGCTTTGCGGCATTCAGCTAGGAATAGTCTGCCATTTAGACGTTGTATACAGCATGGGGATTAGAGATAAACTTACAAGCAAGGCTCGAAGGAAGAGGAGAGTTGATTTTGAACGACATTGTAGTAAAGGAATGAGAAAAGAAGCACTCGAAAGTTCCAAAAGGTCAGAAAGCGCTATATCTTGGCTGCCTAATTTAGCCAGTGTCCACATCGAACCATGCACATGAATTTTTCCGTTTGTTGACTTTTACTAAACAACGTAATTGGGGGGGACTAGCTTTATATGCACACATGGTTGTTGATTCGAAATAGCAAATGACAATGAAAATATACCTGCAAGTCAAAGGATGATACCTTTCCTTGCATAGTCGTTGCTATGACGGTGGTGGTGGTGGTACACAACGCCGGATGATGCATATATAGTTCCACACAACTCAGCTTGGTGGATCCTATTAATATTCCCTGCAGCAGTATGCGTGGATGTATGAAACTTGAACAAAGCGTGCTATATAATCAATGGCAACATTGTTTTACTATAACAATGAACATGATACTCAATTACGCTCTTGATGATTTCGACCTCGATAGCGTCCAACTTTTATCGATGAACCACTACTACTTCAGGTACTTGTTTTCTTCCCATGCTGCGTTCCTATACATAAATAATGCATATCTACATGAAAGCAGGATTGGATCATGATGGTGGCAGGGTTTACGTTGTATGGCCATTGTTCAATGTGCTACACTTCTTAGGGAGATAGACATCATCGTATGTATTTTCTTGCAATGCTTTGTTGTCTCGTAGCTTATATGAACGAACCACTTCTTTACTCTTTGTTACAAGCTGTGTTTATTGTTTACTAGTAGAGATGTCATATCTATCAACAACCAATCCCACCAAGCAGGAGCAGCAGCAGCAGCTGGGAGCAGCGACGTGCCTGAATCTCCGCGTAACGCGCCAATTTTGTAAAGGGCATCTTCCTTTTGGACACGACAACTGACTTTTGACTTTTACCCACCTGATCCCATGACTCGATCACCACTTCAAGCCGCCAGTCGAATATCCCACAACGATGATAGGCGTAGAGCAACAAAAACGAGTTCAATGCAACGAGAGGACAGCTCACGCATTCAACGCGAACGATTGACGAGGGATGTCTTATCACGACAACAAAGCAGCGACATTCGATCCACACAAGATACCACCGTAGCCGGCCCAATCGTCACCAATCTCACACCCGAACAAATGTACTCCAACTTTGAAGAATGGATTAAAATGGCAACTGATAATGTAAGGATCGATACGACAAGTTGTACATCGTCTCTATCATCCACTGATGTATCATCCTTTTCATACGACAGAAAATCAATGCGAACAACAGTTGGAATTTTGCATTGATCGACTACTTTCATGAGTTGACTTTCCTACGTGATGGAGACAGCATCAACTTCCAAAAGGCCTCCGTATCACTGGATGGCTGTGTCAAGATTTATACTTCTCGAGTGGATTCCGTGGCTACTGAAACTGGCAAATTGCTAAGTGGTCTAGCCGATAGTGGAAGTAAGTTGAATAGGGCATCGTATCGAAAGATGTCATAGCTGATGGGAGAGTATTTGAATAGGAGATGGCGATGAGGAAGATGAATTGCAAAGTACCAGCGAAAGACGTGTTCGAAAACGGGTAATAAGAGGAGTAAAGCGGCATGATAACCAGTGCTAAGATAATTATCATCATCACCATCATAGGGCAATCGTGCTGCCGATAGTACGTTACTTACCAGCTTCTCATCAATCGCTCTCAAGAAGTTTGATTTGGATTTTGCCGTCGATCCCTTATTCAAAAAGACATCAGCCGACTTTGATGAAGGAGGAGCACGTGGTCTTTTACTCAATCATTTGTCCTTGGATCGTGAATGCAAGATTATCTTTGATGCTTCTGATGCCAGCAATGCCGATCCAGAATCAGACAAGACCGAATTAGAGGATATCACACATGACGACGATCATATGGATGCGGATGGAAATCAAATCGACAACGACTCGCAGCATGAAGAACAACAGCAACCTACAGAGACATCTCAGCACGAAGAGGAACAACCACAACCTACAGAGACATCTCAAGACGATCCTATGGATGTGGATAATGATGGAGGAGCTCAACCAGAGAATGAGCATGGAAGCGAGCCACAACCAACAGCTGATGAACAACAACCAAATGCTATCGAAGAATCACAACAATCCCAAAAAGAGATCCTTGTTGAGATTTCACGACTCAAAGGTATGAATGGGAATGGGAAGGATCGTTTGATGATATACTAAAGTGCTTTTTTCACTTTTATAGCAAGAATGCCAGACATCGATGCCCTCAAAGATCTTCAAATTTGCCCATCTCTTCAAGGATACAACTTTTTCTCTGAAACCGATCTCAACATGCCATCACTTGATCACGACGAACCTGGCAACATTCTTGACGGCAATGTCAATCTACCAAACGACAATATGGATTTACCCGACTTTGGTGTCCAGGATGGTTTTGATGATGATTTCGCTGTCGATTTCTTTGATTACGATGATGGTGGTCCTATGGATAGTCCTGATGATCCATTGATGGGCGAGGATGATAGACTTATGGGTGGTGAAAATGATTCAGCAGGCAATGAGCCCGCACTTCATGAAGAAGACTTCCTTGGTGCTCTAATGAACGATGATGGAAATGAGCTCTTCAGCTACTTTGACTCGACGTTTGCAAAGAATTGGGCTGGCCCTGAACATTGGAAACTACGAAGACCTGTATCCAAAAGTATGTGTAGAGAGTGTTGGATGAATGCCATTTCTTTTAACATCCTTGTTTGTTATTATTACTAGTACAATCCAAACCCACTACGGAGACTGATAGTCATGATGGTGGAGAGACGTCTCGGAAAAAGAGTCGCCAAGGATTTCAAATCGACTTTCTCGAAGGGGAAGACGTGGATGAAGAGGAGTTATTTGCACCCGACAAACCAGCAAGGATCACCATATCCACCGGGAAAGAAGCTGCTGTTGAAGACAAGATACATGTTTTACCTGACGACATGCACTTTTCATCAAAACAACTTCTCAGGCTTTTCTTGAAACCTAGATCAGTGGTAAATCTACATTCGAATGCTCAGCTATCACCCTTACGTTTTATTCATCCATGCCTACATTAGATGTGGGGACGTAAGAAACCACGAAGGGAAGAAACAGAAGCTGAACAGTCACCGGCACCACCACCACAAGATGGTACGTACAATGAACGAGGAAAGGGTAAAATGAATCAGCATCATTAATCATCCCCTTAGATTACGATGGAGGTTTCGACGATTTTGATTTTGGACCGGATACGCAGTATTGGGCTGATCAACAGATTGATGATACACCAGCGGATGACGAGCCACCGGCAACCGATGCATCAATGGCTGATCAGAGTAAGTGCTTATTACCCTTGGAACGAACAAGAGATCTAAATTCATATACCATGTTAGCATTCTTAAGCGGTTACGATGATTCGTTTTATCACGACAGCTACTATGAAGCATACGATGATCCTGAAACATCTCAATATGGTGATCCTCTTATTACCAACCATCGACTCAAGAAGAGCAAGCCACTTTATGTCAACTATGCTCGGACTGCAAAACGTGTTGATGTCAAGAAATTAAAGGAGAACTTATGGAAGGTGCTTGTAAGCAACAAGGTAATGAGACTTTTTATTCCTGTTATCACATAGATCTCTAATTTTATGCAACCATAGCGTGATGTACCGGACCGCATGGATCAAGAAAACGAAGGCGATGATGAAAAGGTCGAAGGCGTTCAGAGGTTTACTGATGTCCTACATGATCTGAGGAGATTATACCATCCCAAGGTGTTCCGTGACATTTCGGTTCCCTTCTGCTTTATATGCCTGCTGCATTTGGCGAATGAAAGAAACCTTACTATTGGACGTTCATCAAGCTCAAATGAAGATGACGACGACGACGACGACGAAGATAACTTTGTTCTGGGAGAGACACCAATGGATGAAAAGTTCTTGAACGAGTTAACAATTGTACAAAATGTATAGTCAAAACAAGCATTTATTCCACATTCCCCTCCGCTTTGACATTCACTAGCTTATATTTGCATTCCTGCCCTCTTCTTATAAAGATCATAATGGCATAGTACCATGCTTCTTCCATGGGTTTTGAAGTGATTTCCTTTGAAGCAAATTCAGCTGTTCTATCAATCGCGAGCGAGTCGTCCTATCATCATCATTAGAAAATAGAAAGATTTGGGCACATGGGATGTATGTAATTACCTTGGTTCAATAATATCATCCAGGTATCCTTTACGAGCAGCTGCGAGTGGTGTGGTAAACTTCTCTTTATACTCTGCTTGCAACTTGTCTTGATCAGGTCTATTGCGGAAGATCACCTTGACAGCTCCCTCTGCACCCATAACGGCTATTTCAGCACTGGGCCATGCAACGCTATACATAGATGAATAAGCCTCTATCCCTCCAAATAAAGCGCCCTTGTACGCATACTTACTTATAATCACCACGCAAGTGCTTAGAGCTCATAACAATATAGGCCCCACCATAGGCCTTCCTCGTAATCACAGTCAACTTGGGAACTGTAGCCTCGCAATACGCGTATAGTAGCTTTGCACCATGTCGAATAATGCCGCCATGTTCTTGTGTGGTCCCAGGGAGGAATCCTGGTACGTCAACCAAGGAAACAAGTGGAATATTGAAAGCGTCACAAAAACGAATGAAGCGTGCAGCCTTGATAGATGCATCCATATCGAGCGCACCCGAGGATATCAAAGGTTGATTTGCTACCATGCCCACCGTTTGACCTGCCATCCTGCTAAAGCCAACCAAGATATTGGGTGCGAAATCAGGAGAAACTTCAAAGAATGAGTGACGATCGGCGATCTATATACAACTTAGGTAAATCATTGTGCAAGTGTAATTCATACCATGTAATCCTTACCCTGTTGATAACTTCTCGCATGTCATAAGCAATGTTGGGGTTTGAAGGAACAATGGTATCCAACGCTTCGTCTTGTCTATCCACAGGATCTTCATATTCTCGAATGGGAGCAGGATCACGATTCGATAGCGGTAGATAATCAAATAAATCACGCATTCTAATATATATACAATGAGTCCCACTTGCATGATCATGTTGGGTAAAGACAATGAATAATACCGTTGCAATGCTTCCATGTCGTTGCTGTATGCGTTTTGTGCTACACCGCTCTTGGATGTATGCGTTTTAGCACCACCTAAAGCTTCTTGGGTGACATGTTCATTGGTCACAGCCATCACGACATCTGGTCCCGTAACGAACATATGAGATGTGTCTCGCACCATAAATGTGAAATCGGTCAATGCTGGTGAATAGACAGCCCCGCCAGCACAAGGACCCATAATCAACGACAATTGAGGAACAACCCCTGAAGCAAGGACATTTTTCTATGTCTCCCATGTAAGATGACAATGAAAATAGAGATGATCATCAAAACACACTACCTGAAAGATATCGGCATAGCCAGACAAAGAATCCACACCTTCTTGAATACGTGCTCCTCCTGAATCTTGTAAACCGATAACAGGTGCACCCACCACCATAGCCTGATCCATCACTTTTAAGATCTTGTCAGCGTTGGTACGTGAAAGACTGCCACCGAACACGGTAAAATCTTGACTATATACAAAGACACGTCGCCCATGGATAGTGCCATGTCCTGTCACAACACCATCGCCTGCTATCTAATCGAAACAATAGTATAAGAAGAGATGAAGATGATGATCCATCATACACCATCCCCATGGATACCTTGTTCTCTGACATCCCAAAATCAGTACACTGGTGTTCGACGAAAGCATCGTATTCTCGAAAGGACCCTTGGTCAAGCAACAAATCGAGTCGTTCACGCGCTGTCAATTTTCCCTGAATCACCATGGTCAACAACAGCCATTGGCGCAATGACCTCCATTGTCTACCTTTGCATGCTGTGCATCGCGTTTATCCCTGCCACCACCATCAAGTGCTTGCTGTCGTTTGTCTTGGATTGTAGCAGTGGTAGTGCTGTAGTAATGAACTCCTCGACGAGATGCGTACCATGCCCGAGATACATAGAGTGTGGGGCGGCGGAACGAACGTGACAACATTGATTTCAACAAGAAAGGAAAAACGAAGACAAGGCATGTGCATTTGATATGCTTTTAATAATGCACGATGTGTGCATATGAATCGATCGAATGATTTACAATGGTAGCTAGTGGAGAGGGGTTTGGTATTAACAAGAATAAAAAAAGTGTATGGTTGTTTCTATCTACATCATCTAAGCAGCGTATATATGTATATATGGATCAAAGTGCACGATGGTCATTGTTTTACTGGTTGGAGGTGTTGCTGGAGGAATCAGCACCTTGTTGTTGTTGTTGATCACCGCCATCTTGAGCAGCACGGTTCTTGTAAACCATCTCAAAGAGCTTAAGAGAGCTTTGTTGAAGATCATCAATCTTAGCCTTGAGTTCTTCGGGGTTGGCAACATCACCAGATTGAGCCTTCATGGCCTCCTCACGCAAATCAGTGATCTTGGCCTTGATCTTCTCAGCTTCAGCCTTATCAAGTTGCTCCTTGAAGTCTTCCATAGCCTTCTCAGTCTCAGTCATGACCGAATCAGCACGGTTGGCCATTTCAATGGTATCACGACGAGCACGATCAGCCTCAGCATTGGCCTCAGCTTGTTGGATCATGTTTTCAATTTCATCATTGCTCAAACCAGAAGAAGCAGCAATAGTCATGGATTGATCACGGTTGGTGGCCTTATCCTTAGCGCTGACGTTGACAATACCATCGGCATCGATATCAAATTCAACTTGAATTTGAGGAACACCCTTGGGAGCAGGAGGGATACCAGTCAAGTTGAAGTCACCAAGGAGCTTGTTGTCACGGCACAATTCACGTTCACCTTGGAAGACACGAACGTTGACTTGAGTTTGGCCATCAGCGGCAGTAGAGAAGACTTGAGCCTTCTTGGTAGGAATGGTAGTGTTACGGTTGATCAAACGAGTGAAGACACCACCAAGGGTTTCGATACCAAGGGAGAGAGGAGTGACATCAAGAAGCAAGATATCGGTAACGGAACCAGCAAGGACACCACCTTGAATGGCAGCACCCATAGCAACGGCCTCATCAGGGTTGACAGACTTGGAAGGCTCCTTGCCAAAGATGTTCTTGACGGTGTCAATGACCTTGGGCATACGAGACATACCACCAACCAAGATAACATCACCAATTTCAGACTTGCTGATACCAGCATCCTTCATGGCCTTCTCACAAGGAGGAACAGTACGTTGAACAAGGTCACCAACAATACCTTCGAATTTGGCACGGGTCAAAACGGTGTTGATGTGCTTGGGACCAGAGGCATCAGCAGTGATGTAGGGAAGGTTGATATCGGTTTGCACAGTGGAGGACAATTCAATCTTGGCCTTCTCACAAGCTTCACGCACACGTTGAATGGCCATGCGATCGTTGGAAAGGTCGAGACCAGATTCCTTCTTAAAGTCTTCCAAGACGTAACGCACCAAGTGAGAATCGAAATCTTCACCACCGAGGGCGGTGTCACCATTGGTAGACTTGACTTCGAACACACCACTTTGGATCTCGAGAACAGAGATATCAAAAGTACCACCACCCAAATCGAAAACAGCAATGGTCTTATCACCGGACTTGTCGAGACCATAAGCAAGGGCAGCAGCAGTAGGCTCGTTGATCACACGTTGAATCTCAAGACCAGCGATCTTACCAGCATCCTTGGTAGCTTGACGCTGAGCATCGTTGAAGTAAGCAGGGACAGTGACAACGGCGTTCTTGACCTTCTTGCCAAGGAAACCTTCAGCGGTCTCCTTCATCTTGCCAAGGACAAAGGCACCCATTTGAGAAGGAGAGTACTTTTTGCCTTGAGCTTCAACCCAAGCATCACCGTTGGTGTGGGGAACAATCTTGTAAGACACAGCCTTGACATCAGCTTGGACAGCAGGATCCTTGAATTGACGACCAATCAAACGCTTGGTGGCATAAACAGTGTTGGCAGAGTTGACAACAGCCTTTGATAGAGAGCATCCCATACGTTAATATACACATCATCCAAGGCATACCATTCCATTCCATTCTATTTACCTGACGCTTAGCAGCTTGACCAACCAAAAGTTCACCATCCTTGCCAAAGGCAACAACGGAAGGGGTAGTGCGAGCACCTTCAGCGTTTTCAATGACACGGGGGTTCTTGCCTTCCATCACAGAGACACAAGAGTTGGTAGTACCCAAATCGATACCAATGATGGGGCCCTGGACACCACCAGAGCTGTATGCACGGGACATGTTCGAGAGGATGCCCACCTGAAAGACATCGTTAGTGATTTTGTTGTTGTATGGATGGTGTATGGATGTAATATAGCTTACATTCTTACGAGCCAAAGTGGGGATAAGACGAGAACGAGATGCCTTGGCCAAGTTGTACATGGTGAAAAAAAGGATTTGAAGAAAGAAAGTGTTGGTTTCTCGAAATGCCGGGGCGGATGAATGAAAAATGATCGGTGGCTGGAGGACTTGGAAAAAAAAGCGGAGCGAGAGACTTAAGAAGGCACCAGAAACATACAAAATGATATATTTGAGTCAGCGCGGAACAAGTCGGATCAAAGTTAAGCCAAAATGTAGAAGCTGCGGATATGATGTTTGAATGTATGTGTGTATCTTTCCATTGAAGCAAATGCTGGTATTGAATATCATTGGTTTAATGCAATTGAATGGTAAATGAATAGCTGACTACATTGACTACGCTCGGCCTTTGCCCTTTTCCTTCTTGCCACTTGGTATACTATCTTCCTCCATTTCTTCATCTCCATCATCCAATGGTTCGTATTCAGATGCATGAACCTCTTCCCAATGACCTAGTACACCCACTTTGTTACTATCCATCATCATACCCATATACCATACCATCCTTACCTTGATCACCATATACAAAATAGATCTCTGTTTCATTCTGTATACCAGATGCACTTGCCTTGCTCGCATCATTTAGCAAGTTGTATCCTTCGCCGTCCGATCGTCGAATGTAAAGCCGCAAATCGTCAGCCTTCTTGCCAGCACTGGGAATGGCAGCACACAATTTGTCCTTGATGGTGGCAATGGTATCCGAAGGTTGATAGCACAAGAATACAACGGTCTTGGCACGCCTTGCTCGAATGTACAATGGCTTTTCTGGAGGGATCATGGTTGAAGAGATGCTTGAACGCGAGTACTCAAAAGCACACACGCACAATGGGCTTTTGCTATTTGGACGACATCAACGTTTAAACCCAGTCAGCGCCTGCCTCCTTCTATGGCGATGGCCTTTCAGCATTAAGAGACATGAGACTATAGCCATGGATTCCCTTTTCATACTCACCGATGATATTGGCGTATTCAATAACGAGATCCTTCTTCAAGTACCACGCCCTGCTCATGGTTTGAAACAACCTTCTTGGATACGTCACGATGTACCTGAGTTCTATTATGCTATCCCTTACTATACTTAATGCGTGTAAATCGAATCCACCACAATTCTGGTTGTACCAATAAACACGATCGTTTAAAGTTTTCCGAAACGCGTACAACGGTTGCAATACAATGCATTTTGAATCTCACAGCCTTGGCCGGATATTTCGGGCTATTGGCGTGTGACAAATCACATTTCCGATTTTACCAAGCTTATCGTTGGCTTTTTCATTTTTCTCATCAGTGTGTAATACGACATGGTTGCGAAGAAGGAAATACAGATCCGAGATGGGGATCTACTCTGTGTGGGAGTCTTTTCTTGCCTACAATTTGTGGGGATAACGTCCATGATCACCAAGATAAATGCTACTTATGCTTGTGCAACATTCAAAATGACTTTAAAGTTTCCCGTGGGAGAGCTGTTCCCGCTAAAGCCATATAAAAGCTCTCCCTTTTCTCGAATCTCGTTTTCTCGCTACGTTTTTTCTTTTTTCTTTTATCATGTCCTCCAACTTTGTTGCTGAAGTTACCACCTCCAAGGGCGAGAAGATCTCTAGTAAGCACATGGATCATGTGGGTGACGCCATTTTGTGTATGCTGACACTTTGTTTATCGTATCACAGTTCGCACGGGTCTTTTCATCAACAATGAATTTGTTGCTGGTGCCAACACTATTGACACTGTCAACCCCACCACCGGTGAAGTCATTGCTGCTGTTCAAGCTGGTACGTGCTATTCTCCTTTCGGATTTAGAAACCGTGAGATATTCTGGATCAGAAAGCTGAATTTGTAATTGATGTTTATTAGCCGAGGAAGAGCAAGTCAACGCTGCTGTTGATGCTGCCGAGAAGGCTTATCGCGATGTGTGGAGCAAGACTACCGGTCGTGAGCGTGCTCGCCTTATGAACAAGCTTGCTGATTTGATTGAAGAGCATGTGGATGAACTTGCCAAGATTGAAACCTTGGATAACGGCAAAGGCATTGCTTTCTCAAAGGGATTTGATGTCCCTGAAGTTGCAAAGACCCTTCGTTACTTTGCTGGTTATGCTGATAAGATCCACGGCAAGGTCATGGAAACCCAAGGCAAGCTTTCTTATACCCGCCATGAGCCTATTGGTGTATGTGGTGCTATCATTCCATGGAACTTCCCCATCATGATGCTTGGTTGGAAGATTGGTCCCGCTCTTTGCACTGGCAACACCATCGTTGTCAAGACCTCCGAATTGACCCCTCTCTCTGCTTTCAAGTTGGGTGAATACATTAAGGAAGCTGGTTTCCCTCCTGGTGTTCTTAACATTATCACTGGTTATGGTGCTATTGCTGGTGACAAGCTTGCTCGTCATCCCAAGGTTGGCAAGATTGCTTTCACTGGTAGCACCGCTGTTGGTCGTATGATCATGAAGGCTGCTGCTGAATCCAACCTTAAGAAGGTCACTCTTGAGCTTGGCGGCAAGTCTCCAAACATCATCTTCGATGATGCTGATCTTGATCAAGCCGTTGCTTGGGCTCACAAGGGTATCTTCTTTAACCATGGTCAAGTCTGCTGCGCTGGTTCGCGTATCTATGTCCAAGGTAACTATCATTATCATTGATCTAAAAATCATTGTACATGGTGTATTGAAATTTTGGCATGATCCATAGAGGGTATCTATGATAAGTTCCTTGAACGCTTCAAGGAATACACTTCCAAGACCAAGGTTGGTGACCCCTTCAGGTACGGTATATACATGCAGTGGATGTAGTCATATGGATCAAGCATTTTCTTATACCCAAAACTTTATTTTAGCGAGGACACTTTCCAAGGTCCACAAGTATCCAAGGTTCAATTTGATCGTATCATGGGCTACATTGAATCCGGTAAGAAGGAAGGTGCCACCTGCTACATGGGTGGTAACCGCCTTGGTGATAAGGGTTACTTTATTGAGCCTACGGTCTTCACTGGTAAGTAAAGGAAACGAGACATTCTTGCGGGATCACACGCGAAGTCTGTGCAACGTAATCTTGGATTACTAATCGTACTTGCAATCCTAGATGTCAAGGAGGATCATGTTTTGATGAAGGAGGAAATCTTCGGCCCCGTTGTTGCTGTTTCCAAGTTCAAGACCATCGATGAAGTTGTTGAGAAGGCCAACGACAGCGCTTATGGTCTTGCTGCTGCCGTTTTCACCAGCAACATTAGCACCTCTATCACTGTTGCTAACAAGCTTGAGGCTGGTACCGTTTGGATCAACTGCTTCAACGAATTGGTATGTATATGATGTGGATGGCTACTGGGACCAAATAGAAGCTAACATCATGGGTGGTCTTGTTTTAGGATTACAACACCCCCTTCGGTGGTTACAAGCAAAGTGGTATTGGCCGTGAAAATGGTGAATACGCTCTTGATAACTACTACCAAGTCAAGTCCGTCAAGATCAACATTGGCTTGTAAATGCCCCCAGTATCTTCAATGCACGTTTATATTTAATGCTATGTATTCTAACACGAGCTCCAAAGCTCACCTACTATATCCTCTGATGTCAATAAAACCTGTACAGCAACAGCTTCACTGTATATGTAATGCTCTTTTTCTTCGTTCTTGATCGTTAGCAATTGCCTTAACGGCACAAGTGTAATAATCGTTGATGTTCAATCAAATCCCCCTTTAGTGTACTAGCCGATCCCCATGTATATAGCCCTTGCATGTACACTACATGTCGTTGCCTAGCAACGGTTGATGGTGTGCTTAATGCCGACCCCTTGATATAACGCTTCTGGATACAACCTGCTCGATATAGTGATAATGTGATTATGTGTTCGTTTTTGTCATATACAGAGGTGATGCTTGCAACGAATGATATCATCATTAGGTTTTGTGTTGTTAAGGAGGAAGTAGTCAAATGCCTTCTTTTTAATGGCTTTGAATGAAAGTTAGCATCCTACATGAGCTACCGAGGTTGTTTGAAATAGTGAAATGTGTCTATCATGGGCGTCACTTATATGAGAATGGTCACCATTTGCTATACAATCAAGTCTTTATTATTGAACATTCGATGCATAAATGCTACTTTAGAGCTACGAGAATATGATTTTCGAGACCAGTAGGCAAGTCAAAGTCCGATTGGCAGCGGCAGAATGTGGCAGCTGCTTCCCCTAGCAACGAGCTTCTTCCCTCCCTTTCCGCGGTTTTAAAGCAATGGTATGGATCCAATACAAGTTGATGGGATGGCAGGAATGGGTGATGCATGGATGGATGATCCCTTGAGAAGATGGATGAAAATGTAGATGAGTGGATTGATGGGATTATCCAAACACACACACGCATACATACATACAGCAACGGATGCGGCTCATCTTACAGCTTGATATTCGACAATTGTCCAACTGACCAACATTCGATCGACTTTTTTTCCCATTAGGCTGACCAGGTGCAACAGACTAGAAAGAGAACTTTCCGCAAGTTTAGCTATCGTGGTGTCGATCTTGACGCTCTCCTTGACTTGTCCAGTGAGCAGGTGAGCACGCATTGTAGAGTGGCAACTCGAGTACCTGTGTATTCATGGCAAATGTGTTATCTTCTTTCGTAGTTCATGGAGCTCGTCCACGCTCGTGCCCGTAGAAGATTCCAACGTGGTCTTAAGCGCAAGCCCATGGGTCTCATCAAGAAGCTTCGCAAGGCCAAGAAGGAGGCTGCTGCTGATGAGAAGCCTGCTGTTGTCAAGACCCACCTCCGTGACATGATCATTGTTCCCGAAATGATCGGCTCTGTTGTTGGTATCTACAACGGTAAGACCTTCAACCAAGTTGAAATCAAGCCTGAGATGGTTGGCCACTACCTTGCCGAATTCTCGTAAGTATATAAGGATGATGATGAGGATCAGTGATTAATATGGGATATTCTTCAACAGCATCTCTTACAAGCCTGTTCGCCACGGTCGTCCTGGTATTGGTGCCACCCACTCTTCTCGTTTCGTTCCCCTCAAGTAAAAACGATGGTGGTGTTGCATTTGTCGAAATAAACAGTCGAATTGTATTTTTTCGAATATCGATCCTCGATCAAAATGTGTATTCTAGACATCGCATGTCTAAAGCATTCAGCTTCAAATGTCAACAACAACTTTTTTATGTCATGTCTTGGATCAATGGGAGTGGATATTATCTTGTGTTTGCCGACGGTGTTGGGCTTTCAGTAAAAGCTGCAGACTTCATTACGAGAACTTTAAATGGGGGGAGGAGAGACGCTGACCAGTCGAGAACATTAACAGGTGTATAGTGCATACCCCCTAAATTAACCATCTCGAACTTTACATTTTTGTCAGACGCTGGACATCGACTTGCTGATCAACCTCATTCAAATGAAGATCCCACACTTCATGATGAAAGCATTACTTGGGAGCGTCCAACGATGAACGGACGGGAATATAAGTAGTGTAGGCGATCCATGACCTTAAGATTACCCACCTCGAACTTGAAACTTCACGAAGGTGCTCTTGGGCATGCTGATCAACTTTGTTCTAATAAAGACCACGCGCTTCATCATGAAAGCTTTGAGAAGCAAATACCCTTATACTTTACATATGCTGCAAGGGCGGTGGAGCTGCTTCCTCCTAATGGATAGTGTCGAGAGCACTATACAGTAAGCATGGTGGATAACGGAGTGCAACGGCACGTGGTGGTTACACACGCACATCCTTGACAGGTTGCTGCATAAATGGGATGATGTTGATTTTTAATAGTATTGGCTCATTACACACAAGCATTCAACGATGAAGAAGCTAGTCATTATGGAAATAGCAATGGATTCTTATACACGGATACATTTCATATTCTTTAGTACTGGTATGGAGGGGACACACGTTGGTTGTACAGGTACGGGCGTGGAGCTTGTTACAAAGTGGAGTAGGATCCTCAATTCAGGCTTGGTTGCCATGGTGATCGTAAGCTCAGGTTGTTGTTTATGGATGTTCCTTTTAGAAACACAAAAGAACAAAAGCATCTCGATACAATGATGTAAATGATCCAATATCGCTTCCCGACCATCAAGTGTCTATTTCGCCTTTCAATCCAGAGACCAACTAATTGATCCACATCTTGCACATATGAGCTGATAGCACGATACTGTAGGTATTATGTTCAATCCAGTGTTTATTCGATTGAAGTTGAAGAAAAAGGCATCGTAAGTAGGGCTATTTATCAAGTAGCTATGACATGGATAAAGGAAGAGCATTGCCAAATGAAGAAGGTGTAAGTGTATCGCATAGAACCAATGGGTATCATTGTGACATTGCATTCTTGGTTGCTGCCGCCATAAGCATCTTCATCCATGACTGCAAAATAGCTGCTGCACGATTTGACTCATATGCCCCAGTCTCAATCCATGGTGATCAACCATCATCCTTCGTCGAAGATAAAAAGCCCTCTCGACAATCCCATTCGATCCATCCCCATCATCCTCAGCCGTATCCACGTGATCGTTCATGATGACAGCGCGACAAGTAACCAAAGCAACATTCCAGGATTCCTCATCACCGCACTTGATTGCATCCATCCATCCATAACCATTGCAAGTACCATAAGGACCTCTCTGATCGCTGCTGTTATGCTTCCTTTTCCATCCGCCTGTTGGTCTATCTCTTTCTTGGTCATTTTCGTCGCAGCTCAGCCAGGTGAAGAATGCTTGTATTGCGATGTACATGATTGCTGATATCGAATCATCCATAGGGATCCGTATGTACCAAAGCAAGTTGCTACACATAAATAAAACTACCTATATACAATGGCTATCCGTTGTTTGCGTAGAAAGGCTGTAGAGCAAGTTGCTGCAAGTAAAGAACGCTGTTTGATGGAGTAAAGACATTGCTGATAGCAGCTGCTGTAACGGTTGGTAGTGGCAGAGGAACGTGTTGTAGTAGAGCGACAAGGTTGTGAATGCTGTTTGAGACAATCAAGTAAAGACATTGCAAATGGCAACTGCTGGAATGAATGCTGTTACGTTTGATTGTGGCAGAGGAGTGTCCAAGAGAGAAGAGGCTCGTGTGTTGTAGAAGAGTGGCAAGAAAGTTGTGTACACGCCATGGACTTGCCATTCAGTCAAAGACAATCGGATCAAGAGAGTTGTAGGATTGACATGATGGGTTGAAGCAGGACAATCGTTCGCAGGTGGTGGTTGTACTGAATGGGGCCAACAGATAAGAATGGGAGGAAGGGGGGAAGAAGTTGAGGTGGAAGAAGTGGAAATTAAATAGGCCGGACACCTCTTGTATAAATGCATGCACGCTGTACATGTTCTTGATTATGAGATTGCCCCTCTCGAACCTGGTACTTTCACACAAGATGCTCTTGGACATGCTGATCATGATGTTCTAAAAAAGACCTCATGCTTCATTTGAAAAAATTGAATGAGAGGGTATAATGTGGGATTTACTATG